TGTCTAAAAGGATCATTAAATAAATATCGGTATGTCGGGAAAATAATGATAATTTTGTCGTATCAAAAATCTCATCACCGAAGATGAATTGTGTCGCGACAAAATCAAAGTGCTTTTCACTTCATCGACACGATCGGCCCAGCGACATTTCTCTCATTACATATTTCCCCCGCCAGACTGATATCTCGGCCTTGCACGCAATGCAGCCGCTAAAATTAGCAGCAAAAAAATATGTAGCCTGTCTTCAGCCCCTCTTCAAAATATTGAAAGGTTATTGCATAATAACAGGGTTCGAGCACTTCACTTGTTATCTTCAGCCTGTAATTTCGTATGGCAGTTTCTCGAAAAGTTTAAAATACAACCGCTATTTTTTGGACTATGTTTTTCCAATGTTCCAATGGCCCGCAAAAACCCAAAAAAAAATAAAAAGTGAACCTCCAGCAGTGTTCTTTAGATCCTCTGGAATTTCATTTTTTAATTGGCACTATAAACAAAAACATTTTAGTTACTGATCAGACAAGTGATCAGAACAAATGGAAAGACTCCAAAAATCATTTTTCTCGAAAGATCCGGATGGCATAAAGGGTAAGTAAAGCTGGGATGAAAGTAAAAAAAAATATGCAAGGTTGGAAGCTAGGGGTTTACAGATTTTGTTAGCAAAAAGTCGATATTCTTACAACATATTTGAAATCTTTTTTTTTATCATGGAAAGGTCACAAAAAGTTTTGAAAAAGTCTTTGATCTTTTCACATGTCTTTCAGGCAAAAAACAACGTCTAATATCTGAATGTGCGGCTGAAAAGAGAGATTAAAAATTAGTAGCGAAAGGTACGTGGGCTACAAGTCTGTTGCAAAAATAATGAGCCTGTCGTATCTAGAGGTGGCAATCGGGCCGGGCCGAATTTTGCGGCCCGGCCCGCGGGACGAAGTGACCAGGCCGGCCCAGGGCTTTTTCAAATTTTCTCAGGCCCGGCCCGGCCCGATGAAAGCCCAGGCCGGCCCGGCCCGACCCGGTTTGGCCCGCTAATACAGAAAAGTTGGATAAAAGTCTTTGCACTTTCTACTGGAAGTTCTTATGCTTTCCAGAAGGGTTTTACGTGTGTCTGCGTGAAATTAAAGAGTCTAGTCGGATGACTGGAACATCCGTACAGGTAGCTAAAACCTAGCCAAAAAGTTGGATTGTGTTGAATTTTTTAATCCTATAGGAAGTTAGCTATATAAAAGTATGGACGTTATAAGGTACATGGATAACCAAAAACTGTTTAAACACTTTCATTTACATCAAGGAATCAAAATTACAGTGAAATTTTTAAATTTATCATAAAAAAATTCGGAGATTTTTGCCCGACCCTTGCATATTTGGGTGGGATTTTACATATACATAATAAGTTACCTACACATATACATAATTTTAAAAAGTAGTAAAACAGCGTATAAGTAAAAAAAAGTTTAATCTAATTTCCATCCATTCTACAAAGCATTTGTGCTTTATTTTGCTGGTTTAGCATTAAAAATTTTTTACTTATCTACCTTCCGGGCCGGGCCGGGCCGAAAGTGTCGGCCCGGCCCGCGGGCCGAAGCGGTCAAGCCGGCCCAGGGCTTTTTCAAATCTGCTCAGGCCCGGCCCAGCCCGATTGCCACCTCTAGTCGTATCAAATAAAATTTTTTGGGGGTACTTGAAAAATTACATATGTACTCCCCAGCTTGATGGCCAGGTAGCCGGGATTCGCGAGATTTTTATATGAGGAAATATGGGATTTAAAAGGGTAAAAGGAAGGTTTCTGAGCTGTGAAAACATAACGACTTGATTTACGACAGACATCAGTCTGTCGTAAAAATAATGAGCGCTCTGTCGCATCAAAAATCGCATCGTCGCCGAGAAAATGCATTGTGTCGCGGCAAAATCAAATATTTTTTCATTTCAGCGACAAATTTATTGGTGTACATTTTTATGTGGCATTGTGCTTACTATTTTTCCGACAGAGTAATCCCAATTTTTATCAAAATTACAGCCTCGTACTCCTAAGATTCCCTCTGTAAAATAAAAGCTACCAAAGTCCCCATTTCATCATCAAAAACAAGATTTTTAACTCGCTATCATTCCACCTCTCCCATCAAAAAATTCAAAAAAAAAAGAATCAGGCAACAAAACAAACAGGGGCTTCGATAGTTCAGCCCCCCACGAAAGGTAGTTCAAACCCCCACTGTTTTGCCCGTTTCACACCCCACATAATGAACAAATTAGAATAATACAAAACATGTAAGTGGGGGTTTGATCTACTACGTTGGGGGTTTGATCTAAAACATAGGGGGCTTGACCTAAAACGTAGGGGGCTTTTTCTAAACGGAGGGGGCTTGATCTAAAACGTAAGGGGCTTGATCTAAAACGTAGGGGGCTTGTACTGGACCATACAACTTGGATTAATTCTTTGAAATAAATTTTGGAGTTTAGAATGGACGAGGGGGGTTATACTGGGTTATGGGGGGCTAAACTGGACTGGGGGGCTGTACTACCTTAGCCCCAACAAACATTTTGCCGTCTGCAGCGAAACTTTATCAAATTAATCTTGAAGTATCAGAAAGCCGGATGGCCGGGTAATATTACTCTCATTTTGCGCCGAAAACCCCCCGGCGAATGTTCGCAAAAGGCGTCCAAATTGTCTCGCTATTCATAAAACTCATCCAACACATCGATATTCGAATTCCAGAGCGAATATTTTTTTGTCCTTTGGCCCGGAGGCAAAATTTTTCGGAAATTTTTTCTCGTTTGAAACTCGAGAACATGATTGATGACGTCATTTGAAACGAAAAGAAATATTTTTTCGAATTTTTCTTCGAATTTTAATTAATTTGATTAGTAGGGCAAAAAATTGGAAACATTTTTTGAATAGAAAAGCGAATTTGAAAAGATTTTCCAAGTAAGGAAATAGTTGCCAGTGGATTAAAAAGAATTTTTTGTTGGGTTCAAATTTTCCGACCCGAACGAAAAGAGTGATGCATAGAAAAAAAGATGAGAGATTTGTGACGCCACTTGTCATCCGAGTTATGAAGAAGCCAAATGTGGAGAGGACACGTGTTTGATGGGAAAAGCCAAAAAAAAAATAGTTTTTGGCCGCGTTCTTTGCGATGAGATGTTGTTTTTGATGGATAAAAATAAAGATATAAACTTCTGAAAAAAGTTGAATTGAAAAATCCAAGATTTTTTATCAATGAATCTCTTGATACAGTAGATGTATTAGGTTGTTCAATATGAAATGTCGGATTTTAACCTTTAACTTTAAAACACCATAACTTTGTTTATGATAAACTTTATTAATCGAAATAAAAACCATTAGAATCAACACACTTTTGCCAACGAGAAACAAGTTTACTTATGCCGGTAGCGTAAAAATCCGGAGTTCTGGAGGCGATAAAGTCGGCGAAGGCGGTTTTGGCGTCGTCTTGGTTTTTGAAGCATTTCTCCTGCAGGAAGTTGTCCAGGTGCTTGAAAAAGTGGTAGTCGGTGGGCGAGAGGTCCGGCGAGTATGGTGGATGAGGCAGAGTTTCGTAGCCCAATTCGTTCAGCTTTTGCAGGGTCTTGCAGAATAGATATTGATAAAATTTAGGTCAAATTTAGAGTAAAAATTTTTAAAGCGTATCCGAGATTTTTTGCTGACAATTTGTACAGTTACAGGTCGAGACATACATAAAAAAATCGCAAAATTTTTCTCTTGTTCTCCGGTCTTCGGCATGGGGAAAGATGCTCCATTTGGTTGCCGTTGGAAAAATTGGAGTTGAGTTTGCTGCCTTACGTAGTGGAACAGATCCCGTCCGGTTCGAAATACGGAAATACAGAGGACCAAGGCAGGTGGACAACGCAATGGCTGCCCCTAAATTAATACCATTCTGCCCCCAAATTCTCCCATTCTGCCCCCAAACACATGCCCCCAAATAGGAGGTTGGAAGGTGCCCCCAAAATATTCCCATTATGCCCCCAAATACAAAAATTAGTGTAGGGTCATATTTTATGGTGGTAGTCACACCTCGGGCTAAAAAATTTGAAAATTCGTAGTGGTGATTGCGTAATAAGTAAAAATTCTGAGATTATGACCAAATGTAGGATATAGGGGTAATCGATGGCGCTGATTTCGAAAATGATATTCATTTTTTATGATTCTTACAATTTCGCTTAAGTAGTACTGTAATGTAGTAATTTTTTATTTTTTCATCGAATAGTGGACTTATAGGTAATCGATGGCGCTGATTTCGAATATTATATTTATTTTTTATGATTCTTACAATTTAGCTTAAGTAGTACTGTAAAGTAGTAATTTTTTATTTTTTCATCGAATAGTGGACTTATAGGTAGTTGATGGCGCTGATTTCGAATATTATATTTATTTTTTATGATTCTTACAATTTTGCTTAAGTAGTACTGTAAAGTAGTAATTTTTGATTTTTTTCATCGAATAGTGGACTTATAGGTAGTTGATGGCGCTGATTTCGAATATCATATTTATTTTTTATGATTCTTACAATTTTGCTTAAGTAGTACTGTAAAGTAGTAATTTTTTATTTTTTCATCGAATAGTGGACTTATAGGTAGTTGATGGCGCTGATTTCGAATATTATATTTATTTTTTATGATTCTTACAATTTTGCTTAAGTAGTACTGTAAAGTAGTAATTTTTGATTTTTTTCATCGAATAGTGGACTTATAGGTAGTTGATGGCGCTGATTTCGAATATCATATTTATTTTTTATGATTCTTACAATTTTGCTTAAGTAGTACTGTAAAGTAGTAATTCTTTTAATTTTTTTCACAACTACTCGATTTAGAGGTAATCGAGGGCGCTGATTTCGACAATTGTAATTATTTTTCATGACCTGTCTTTTTCTTGCGTTATAAAATTTCAAAATCTTCAATGTTAAAAACGGAAGTTAAATAAGCGCCAAAAATTTGGCCGCAAAAATGTTAAAATGTGAAAATTTTAAATAAAATGTTAAATTTGTTACTATGAAATGGAATTATGGCATTGTGATGATCCAGAGACAAGAACAAGGACCCATACGAGATTTGCAAGGTAATTACGCAATATTTTCTGCGATACGCAATCACTCCGCGTCAGGCCAAACGGAAGCGGGAGAAACACGCAATAATTTTTCTGTGATAGGCAGAATGCCATGACCCCGGCGCGTGGGGTCGAACGGAAGGATGTTTGGCAAATTACCGCGGGATTGTTGAGGGGGTGCTTATCCAATCTTGGATACAGTGTCGCCACGGTCATTAGGGGAACATTTGGCGCTCGTTTGATATCGTGATTTATATGCGAGTGTTTAAGTTTCTTTTTTAGAATGGTTGGCCAAGATATTGTTTTGGACGAGAGTTTTGTCAGCGTTCGAACGGAGGACACCGAAAGTGGTTCAGATGAAGACGTGAGGGCTCCAGTTGAGAACAGAAGGAAGAAGAACCGAAAATACGAAGGCGAAGAAACCTTTCGAAGTTTACAAGAACTGAGAAAATGGACCAAGGATAATGGCTGGAACAGTAAGGGAAAGACAGTGAAAGATGATGGGACTGTCATTCATGCGTTTGTATGCAAGTATGGTCGCCGAACAGGATCAGGAGAGAAGTGCGCAGCCAGAATGAGATGTGAGGAAGTCGCAGGCTTGTTCACGGTGAAGATGGACAAAGAGCATGGTGAACACCCAGATGCCAAAAGGAGGCTTCCAGAAGGTCTGAAAGAAGAAATCAAACGATTGTTGGACGAACTGCCATCAATTACGGCGCAAGTCATATTGCGCAGTGTCCAGACACGATTCCCAACAGTGACTCTGCGACAAATTCAGGTTGGTCAATAACTTTATATTTAAATCTCGAAATTTAGGGAGTGCTTTCGGAAGTCAGAGGTAGAAATCCAGACAAATCCAGACAAAATCAGCGCCATCAACTACCTATAAGTCCACTATTCGATGAAAAAATCAAAAATTACTACTTTACAGTACTACTTAAGCAAAATTGTAAGAATCATAAAAAATGACTATCATTTTCAAAATCAGCGCCATCAACTACCTATAAGTCCACTATTCGATGAAAAAATAAAAAATTACTACTTTACAGTACTACTTAAGCTAAATTGTAAGAATCGTAAAAAATGAATATCATTTTCGAAATCAGCGCCATCGATTACCTATAAGTCCACTATTCGATGAAAAAATAAAAAATTACTACTTTACAGTACTACTTAAGCAAAATTGTAAGAATCATAAAAAATGAATATAATATTCGAGATGAGCGCCATCAACTACCTATAAGTCCACTATTCGATGAAAAAATAAAAAATTACTACTTTACAGTACTACTTAAGCTAAATTGTAAGAATCATAAAAAATGAATATCATTTTCGAAATCAGCGCCATCGATTACCCCTATATCCGACATTTAGTCGTAATCTCAGAATTTTTACTTATTACGCAATCGCCACTACGAATTTTCAAATTTTTTAGCCCGAGGTGTGACTACCACCATAAAATATGACCCTTCACTAATTTTTGTATTTGGGGGCATAATGGGAATATTTTGGGGGCACCTTCCAACCTCCTATTTGGGGGCATGTGTTTGGGGGCAGAATGGGAGAATTTGGGGGCAGAATGGTATTAATTTGGGGGCAGCTTCACAATTATCCAAGGCAGGTGTGAAACTGATTCTTATAGAGGATACTTGCCACTGAAAGCTGCGGAATTACAAAACATGCAAGCAGACAGCTCAAAATATTTAAATCACAGCGTTTCGCTCACCTTCTTCCATCATTACGTCCACGTTTTACGTCAGCGGTAACTGCCCGCCCTCGCCGGCGCTTACGTTTTATTTTCTGGCCTAGGAACTTCCCAAGTTTCTCTATCTCTATTGGAAGATAGAGAAACCGCTGTCTTCGTCTCGCTGCCCAGCGCCATCTGAAACCAGAAAACTCAATATAACCACACAACAACGCAAAGCAACCGCAAAGAACCACTCATCGCTACATACCTTCTTGAATATGGTTCCGAACTTATATAGGCCCCGGCGGGCCCAGATCTGGTGATCGATCGGTTGCCCTAAGGACACGTTGTAATATCATTCATTATCAGGATAAGCCTTAGGATACGAGAAATGACGCGATTATTACAATCAAGTGACGCCGGAAGCGAACCAGATCGCTTCGATATCTGTCGTCTGCAAGAGTTCCTGAGGGGGGAATATGGGATTTGAAAGGAGTATAGAGCCTTTTTTTGCATTGGCATATTTCCAATTTTTCCGGTTTTACTTTTCATTTCCAGCCACTTCTCCGCAAAAATGCAACTCTTCGCGGGGTTTAACTATTTGATCCTCCTGGCTAACCCCTTCCTCTCTTGTCACCTTCCGTTCGTTTTTTCTCTTCCTCATGACCACTAATCTCGGTTATCTTATCCCTTCCTCCCCCACCTCATTCAACTGTCTGACTGCTCTGTTTCGATTGTAACAAAGCGAAGAAAAAATGCAAAACATTTTTTCTCCTCTCTTCCCTCCCCCACCGCTACTTTTCTTACTATTGTATTTTTCCCCCGTCCTCCTACTAACTACAGCCTTGTCCTCCGGTCCATGCGCAAAACCAAAAAAAACCTTGAGGGCTTGAGAAGCGCTGAAATCCCCCTCTCTCTTCGATCCTGCTGTACGGCCACTTGAGCGGTCTCCAGGAACAACACTTGAACGGTGGAAGCGCGTGATGAACACCTATAGTCCATCATTCCGACTGGGCACAGCGAATAGCCAGATGGCCCGGATTGCGGCCGATCCCAGCCCGATTGAAAGCCGGCTCCACAACTTGAGGAATTTTTGGGAGATCAACGCGGAAAAGGAACGGGAGGAAGCGGTAGGTGGATTGGTTGATTTTTTCAAAATTTTCGAGAATTTACGCTCAGTTTCTCTTCAAATTTTGGCAAAGCTCATCAACGCAGCCAGATAAAAATTTCTGAAATTATTAAATTGCGCTTTTTGGCAGTTGAGATGCCAGTTTTTGACGATCTTTTCTGCGAAGAGCTTACAGGAAATGCGGTGCAAAAAATCTAATAATTTCTACCGTAGAGGGTAATGTTCCCACAAATAATCAACTTTTTCCGCAAGAGGCTGGCAAAGATATGGTCTAAAAGTGTTTTTCTCTATAGTTGAGGACCAACGCGGCCCCCAGGCGCCGGGCCAGGGTTAGCCCTGGGTACCGCGAGCTCTTGCTGCGCCGAGTTCGAGGCAGGGACCGCTGATCGCCTGGATCGTCCACTCAGGCCTTTTTGGGCCGGCTTGGACATCCTCAGTTTTATTTCTGTGCGAGGAGTGACCCTGAGGTCCTAATAAATTCCCTTATTTACCCTTCTAAGGATTTACAATTAACAGGGTACCCCAAGTGCGACACTCAGATTTTGATGAAACTTGGCACAAATTTAGAATATTTTTTTCTAAAAAATATGCGGGAATCCTAGCTCGCGCTTTGCAGAAACAACCGAGATTTTTTGGTCGAAAGTTGGCGAAATTTTAACGCTTTTTGTTGAATTTCGGCACGAAAAGTTTCATGCCTCTTTCTGCCATAGAGAGTAATGTTTCCACAAAAAATCATTTTTTTCCGCCCGTGTGTGTTTTTCCCTCTGACCGCTCTCCATGTTTAGCGTACTCTCTCGGCGGCAAAGATCGTTCAATATCTCGACGACGCTTGCAAAGCGCGAGCTAAAACTTTCAGGAATTGGTATTTAATCCATGCCCGACGTGTGTGCAAAATTTAAAGAAAATCTGAGCGTCGCACTTGGGGTACTTCCCTTGTAAATACAAAATGCGGAGCGGCTAGTGACCCGGGGATCTTCAAATTGAAATTATACAAAATGACTTACAAATTGAAATTATATAAAATGACTTACCTGTATTGACACTTTTTGTCTCACCCTCTCTCTCTCTCTCTCTCTCTCTCTTGTGGGGCGGCTGGATTGGCTGGCGACGTCGTGGGCACTTGGAGCAGTAGCTTTCACACATGTGGAAGACACAAAATGGATTTTGCGCCGGTCCGGTCCTCGAATGCCCGTTTCCCAGCCCGTTTGTATTGGCCTTGTTTCTCATTCTTACGCCCCCTTTCCGGCTTCGATCCGGCCAGGTTTCTTTTCCCCCACCTTCTTGGCCGAGATTGAGCCCGATAAGGCGTCTCATGGCCGATCGCGGCCGCATTCCTTTAGGTTCGAGCGCTCTTTGTTCTTTTCGATCACGCCATAGCGCGGGCTTTTTATCCATTTGCTTTTTATCCTTTTCCCTGAACTCTACGACCGCATTTTGCATGCTTCTTCGGTCGCAAAAGTTGCTTGGTATCTTGGCTGCACCTGAAAACCGCGAGCTAAAATTTTCACAAATTGATGTACGTTCAATGCCTAAAGTGTGCGCAAAATTTAAACAAAATCTGAGCGTCGCAATTGGGGCACTTTGTTTGTTAGTTTTTTAATTTTTGAGTCATCTGCAGACAAGACCTGTTAATCGTATCCGGCATCATAATAAAGCGTTTAAAATTGGTGTGATGACCAGAAAACCGACCGAAAGTCTCCGCCGAATACACTACTTTCTGCGGTGGCAGAGAAAACCATTCTTTTGGGTGTAAAAACCCGCCCATCTTCTTCTTTATCCTGCAAAAAGAATTTTTTGAATACCTTGACTGAGCGATGAAAAAACGACAAAAATTTTCCGGCACATCTCGGTAACTCTGTAATTCTTCAATTTACATATAAAAAAATGAAATGTTTCATACATATTTTACACTTCTTGTAGACTCTCTACATACTTTAAAATTTTCAATTTTTCTAACAGGGGAAGTACTCCAAGTGCGACGCTCAGATTTTCTTTAAATTTTGCACACACGTCGGGTATGGACTAAATATCAATTCCTGAAAGTTTTAGCTCGCGCTTTGCGGGCGCCGCCGAGATATCGAACGATTTTTGTCGCCGAGAGAGCACGCTGAATGTGGAGAGCGGTCAGAGAGAAAACCGCTTTTGGGCCATAACTTTGGCAGTTTCGTGCGGAAAATTTTGATTTTTTGTTGAAACATTATCCTTTACGGTTGAAATAGGCATGAAACTTTTCGTGCCGAAATTCGGCAAAAAGTCCTAAATCTTCGCCGACTTTCGGTATAAAAATCGCGGTGGTTTCTGCAAAGCGCGAGCCAGGATTCTCGCATGTATCTTAGAAAAAATTGTTCAAAATTTGTGCCAAGTTTCATCAAAATCTGAGCGTCGCACTTGGAGCACTTCCCCTGTAAATTCAAGTTTTAGGAGAGAGCCGCACAACTTCATCGAATCCACAGGCCCTTTTCCTTTCCTCGATGGCGCTCGTCCGACCCAATGTCAGCGTCGTTGGTGGCGTCCGTTAAAACTCCAGAAGTCATTCCGCCAGACAGCAGGATTCCCCAGCAACGACTCAACATGCTGATGGAAGCAGAAAAAGAAGCGCAGGAAATTCGGGTAAGTCATTTAAACTACTCAGCATTCATCGTATTTTACAAACAATTTTTTTACAATTTCAATATAATTCCTTCATTTTCAATTCAAAAGTTTACATTTTTAGCAAGTAATTCGGCAGGATGCGGACCGTTGGAAGATTCGGCGACGATCCATTGGCCCATCCGAAGTCCATTTGGACCCAGTCCCGCAGAATCCTTGGTATCAGCCGCCGGAAAGTCGTATAGAACGACAATCAATTGCGAACTCACAAAACACAAGGATGTACTTTGAAAATGGAGCACCTCAAGAGGTGAAAAGTGAGTTCATATCAAAGTTTTTTAGTGGTGGAAAATTTTGAATCAGGTAAAACCAAATTTGATATATTATATTTATATTAGGCTTGGAAGTATGACCGTTTTTTGCTGTGCATTTTTACGGGTAGAATTAAAGTCTTGGAACAGCGGTTAATATCACCTGAAAGAACGTTGAAGACGCTATCTATTGATATATGCTTCGTGTGGCCAAGCTTATCATAGCGGTTTCTATAAAGCTTCAAATATGACAACTTCGTCATAGAAATGATTGGCATAAACCTAGGGCGTTCTTTTATACATACATAAAGATTTTTCTTTTATACGTAAAGATTATTGCCCATGCTTTCAAAAGCCGCTGAAATCTTTTGACAAAAAATCTTTGAAGTTTTGTCAAAAGATGGGCGCTCTTTTGTGGCTTACTTACGGAAAATTAAGCTCTTTTAAGCAGAAGAAAAAATCCATGGACCAAATTCGTCTTTTGTCCAGCTGGCTCTCTTAATTTAGCGTGATCTCGCGCAGAGAAGAAACCTTTATAATAACAATTTGTGACCTTTTTTTAGGCTCCTACTTTCAAACACCTTTCTGATCATTTTTTCATTTTCTGCAGCCTCTCTAAAAATGAACGTCTAACGGTCGACTCAGGCTGCAGAATGCGCTACAACCTTGAAGCAAAGAGTGTTTAAAAATGAATACGCAAAATTTTCGTTGCAGAGGCTTCTTAGGACCCCCTTGAAAAACGCAACTTTCCTTTTGAATTTTCATTTTTTTGCACACTGATTTCAGGGCCAAACTCAGCGTATTTCAACGAAATCTCGGTGAATGTCAACAATCAGCCGGATGCCAGGACAAGGCAAATTGTAGAGTTCTTACAGAACAATTCAAGGATCTTGCAAGGTAAATGGCGTGTAATCTCAAGCCATTTCTCTCCTTTTTCGGAAAAAAACAGTTCTTTTTCATCTTTGAAATCTTGGGGTAAAATGCGGAATAGAAAACGTAAAGAGTCATTTCCAGAGCTCGGAGTAAAAATTCCCCCGCATCTTCTGCATCATCAAGTCCAATATCATCCCCAAAATCAGCAAATAAATTATCAGAACGGAGTTGAACATGAATATCAGACCAGAAGAGATCGACCAATGTCATTTTTGGAGCGAGAAGTCTTCGAGGCTCAGCAGAGAGAGGCAGAATTCGCTCAAACTCGACAACAACTCGGAATAATGAACTTGCAGGACACCATTCAACTGTGGAAGAGTGGGCAAACTTGGGATGGAATCAGTCGGCCCAACAGTTCAAGCGGATTCAATGTGAGTTGAGGAGAGGGGTTAGTAAAATTTTGGGGAGTAAATATAGAAGCAAGAGGTCGATTTTGGAAACGTGAAAAAATAATTTTAGGAGCCAAACTCTTTCGAAGAATACAGCGACTCGAATGCTCAACAATTGTAAAGTGATGTCATTGAATTTTGTAAAATAAATTGGTCTGTAAAGTTTACCAGAGATGCGTTAAACTCACAGGGGAAATACTCCAAGTGCGACGCTCAGATTTTGATGAAACTTGGCACAAATTTAGAATAATTTTTTGTAAGATATATGCGAGAATCCTAGCTCGCGCTTTGCAGAAACAACCGAGATTTTTAGATCGAAAGTCGGCGAAAATTTAGGATTTTGCCGAATTTTGGCACGAAAATTTTCATGCCTGTTTCTACCGTAAAGTATAATGTTTCTACAAAAAATCAAATTTTTCCGCACGAAACTGCTAAAATTATGGCCAAAAAGCGTTTTTCTCTCCGACCGCTCTCCATGTTTAGCGTGCTCTCTCGGCGGCAAAAATTGTTCGATATCTCGGCGGCGCCCGCAAAGCGCGAGCTAAAACTTTCAGGAATTGATATTTAGTCCATACCCGGCGGGTGTGCAAAATTTAAACAAAATCTGAGCGTCGCATTTGGAGTAATTCCCTTGTAAAATTCAAGCAAAAAATCTCGAACATGTCTTGGAGAACCCAAATCGAAATTCTTATATTGATTCGGTACCAAATTTCACTGGAAAAGGGCTTATAAAATATTTACTCATTACAATAACTCTGCAACAACGTGGTCGTCTCTGATAGCTTGGCAAGAAAGAACTTGGAATCGCACTTCATACTGACCTAAAAATGCATCAAGCTACAGTAAGCGTCAAAAATATGGTATATACTGCTTAAAAAATACACTAATGTAAACTGACCGTATTTTCCTCATTTTTGTAAACATCGGTATGAGTTGGATAGTAGTTGTAGATGTAATCATGAGCCGCGTTTTTGAGAACATCTTCGCAGAAATGAGGGCGATTGTAGATCAGGAATACGGTATAATGAGGTAGTGTTTGCACATGTCCCGTGGGTCCAATGCATTTTGATAGAATATTTATACTCTAAAAATAAAAACAAGAAAGTTAAAATTTTTAAAAACTTACAGCATCAAGTTCAATGGAGTAGATGGTTCTGTTTTTGTTGTATGTCTGACAATGTGATGAGTAAATCAGATAGAAAATGGGTATTAAGTATTTTAAGAACATCCAAATTACCTAAAAATCGGGTTGAAAATAATAACGGCCGGTTGAAATTGCCAGGAAATTAAATGTAAATATTTTGTAAATGCATAGCAATTTTGAAGAACGTATTTTAAAATGCCAAATTGTAATTCAATAAAATGGCTAGTCGGTCCGAAAAACTGTACAAGCAAAAAAATATTTTGTTAAAAGCCCCTAATATCACCATTTGAATCTCTCTTTTTTGCGGCATGGAAGACGAAATGTCGCCGATTTTTTTGCGGTCCAAATAAAACTGTTATATATATGTAGTATATAATTTGAAATGGTGGAACAGATCGTAAGATACATCCTGAATACTCTCGAGGCAAAAAGTCCTCAGAATTTGCTTCCCAAGTAGCCGAAAAAAGCAAGCCACAAGTCGAAAAATCTTTGATAACTGAAGCTGAAGCCTTCTCACACACAACGGAAACTCTGTACAAGGAATTGCAATGGTATACAATATATTTTTGCTCTAAAAGAGTTCCATTGTACGGAGGCTTATTTACGGCTAAAATTAACTCACAAATCTTTTGATATGGTTTGTTATATTGAGGTTTTGTCGTATGGAAATTTGTTGAACAAAAATTTCACCGTAATCTTAAGGCTACGAAAATCGCTGAATATATTAGGTTGGGGAATAAGTTCGTAGAGCTTTTTATTGTTTTGTTTTGCAAGGATTGTTTGTTGTTTGGCAAAGGGTATACACATTATTTGATACAGTTTTTTCTCCTCTACAAAACTGTGTTTTTAGTTTTTTTTGAAAATTTAATTTTTTATAATTTTTTGGGCTTAAAAAGTTTTTGAGGTCCTCTTCGCCATCGAATTTTTCACCTCGGATTTGGTTTGACAGAAAGCGGAAAAGGTGGCAATCGGTTGGCGCAAGGTCCGAGAGTATGGTGGACGCTAAATAACCTCCCATTCGAACTCATGGAGTGCGGTTTTGACGACTTGTGCAACATGCGAGCAAGATGACTCGTGGAGCAAGATGACTTGGCCTTGATTTCAGTCGAATAACCCCATTTTCGGGGTGTAGTTGGGCATCATAGGACTCCTTGTTGACAGTGGCGTTCTTTTGAGGCATGTCCCAATGCACCATGACTTCCCAGTCCCCCAAATGCAGATCATGGCCTTTTTGGGTGGGGATCTTGCTTGACTGTCCCCTGGGGCCACCCACTCCAGGAAACAGTCAACATTTTGCTTTATATTGACGCACAGACACCATTTTCATCCCCGATGATGATTCGATACAAAGACCGCCGTTTGCGTCCACGTGCTGCTCAGCGAAAAAAGCAGGTGTCGAAAACGCAATTTTTTGCCTCCTAGATGGTTCACTTTTAAGCCCAAAAAATAATTTAAAATTAAATTTTCAAAAAAAACTAAAAACACAGTTTTGTAGAGGAGACAGAACTCTTTCGAATGCATATATAAACTTTTCCAAACAACAAACAATCGTTGCAGGACGAAGCAATAAAGAAATCGTTGCGGACTTATTCCCCAACCTAATATTACCAAAGCGAATGTATCAGTCTGTCGGGAAAATAATGAGCGCCGAAAGCAGCATCACCGTCGAGAAAATGGATTGTGTCGCGGAAAAATCAAATCGCTTTTCACTTCAGCCACGCATTCGGCGCAGCGCTGACTTTTTTCCAACAGACTGATATATAAAGTTACTTGTTTTCCGACACTCTTGCCCACAAAAAAACATCCCCGAATCCCTCAAAATCCCTGTTTCGACAAGCATCCATGAATCAAAGCAAACAGTTATGAAGAAGGTGACTAGAAAAGGAAAAGCACTCCCTCATCGGTTTTATTTAATATTTATCTTGCTGATAACGACTGTACATGTAAACGAAAGGTCTTTTTTTATTGCGAGCGTCTCATTTTTTCTTCCCAAAAAAGCCGTTGGGCTCGCATCGGCCAAGTCGGCATATCATTCCGGGCGGGCAGGTGTTGCCGATGAAGCATGCTGAAAATAAACAACGTTTTTGTTATGGTAAAATACGGTTTGTCCTATAAGGTAGATAAATTTTTATTTTTTTTATTTGGTAAAATACGGTTTGTCCTTGCGATTTATTTTAGCCCTTATTGGTATAACTTGCCCAAGTAATAAGATATTTCAAATATGACAAAAGATTTCACTATTTGAAAATTTTAGAGACATTATTAGCGGTTTGATTTGTTAGAGCCCACGTACGCAAAATTTCAAAATTTAACCTTACCCGACGACGACGACATGTAATTTGGAGTGCAGATTCCAGCGATACAGAAGTGGCCAACCGGGCAAGTAGCACCAGTGCCACACGCTAAAAACAGAAAAAAACCATTAAAAATTTAGTTGTCGACCCTTTCTAACAATTACTACCCCTTCCGGAAAGTCGCCGGAGCCAATACGCTAACTGAAACTTGGCTGAAACTTGGCGGAAAATGGTAAGACGCACCTCGGAAATCAAGGTATCGAAGCTCGCCGGAGCAGCTTGTTTTCGAGCTGCGCATAAGATGCAAACTGCGCCCTATTATTTTCAACTAATTTTCAGTTTGCGCATTGGCCATGGCTATCAATCTGTCGGGAAAATAACGGCGGGTCGTCGCATCAAAATGTCTCGCCTCGCCGCTATCGCGCACCAAATCCCAAGCCGCGGCTTGCAGTCGCAAAGCGATGATGAGCGACTCCGAGGCGCGACGATCCGCCGTTATTTTGCCGACAGATCGATATACGCACCGGGAGAAAAAGTCAAAAATTTTCTTTGCACTGTGCAATTTTTTGCTTTTTGCACAGCGCAATGGGCTTTTTTCGACTGTCACACTGACTTTTCTCGCACAGTGCAAACACCAAAAAATCAGTCCGGCGACTTTCCGGAAAGACGCGTTCCAGAAATTGCACAGACTTTTCCGGCCTTTTTCACATCGCACAGTGGAAGTTGCCTGTTTCCCGTGCGACGCGATCCTTCTCGAAACATTTTGCACTGTGCAGTTTTTAAAAATTCGCTTGCGTCGATAATGCACCAGCACGGTGCGAAGGGTCAAATGCACGCCGCAAAAGGGGGTTTCGTGCACGGTGCGGCCACGACAAAAAGTCTACGCAATTTCTGGAACGACTTCGGTTATCTTGTGCATATTATAGAAAACTTGTGCATATTACAGAATAAAAAATGCATATTATAAAAAAAAAGCAGCAGAAAGTTCATAAAACAAATTCAAGAGTCCAAACTCACTTGGCGGCGGCTTCAATGCGCCTTGTGATCCGCCGTAAACCACATTACTCTGCGAACAATACCCGTTCACACAAATCTGGCCGTTCAGGCAGTCCTGCATCAAATTGCACATTTGAACTCCGGAAGGGCGCTCTGAAAGTTCAAAAATTCGTGATAAACACTGTTTTTAAAATCTTGGGATTTTCTATAAGGAAGAAATGAAAAATAGCGTATTTTACAATTTACAAAACAAACTTTCAAAAAGGTTTTTTGACACTACTAATAAGCTCACCAATAAGTCCATTCGTCCCCGCAAGGCCATTGTATGTCCCACCGACGCCCACTGTCCCCAACGCTCCATATCCGCCATCGTAAGCGCCAGCTCCAAGAGCATTAGCACCCAGGAATGGAGTGCCAACTCCAGCGGTGAATGAACAACGGCCGGCTTGACAAATCTGGCCGCTATAGCAATCGGAGGTCTCGGCACAAACTGAAAATTTAATTGAGAAAACAGGCATCCAATAAACTGCAATAAGAAGGCGAAAGTTTAATGGCCAAACATAGTCATAGGCCTAGAGTTTAGTCAAAAATAAAGTCATCAAAACTTGTCGAAATTTGAGGTGGGGCAATCACAAGAATAACAGGATATCTTGAGGTATCCTGCCATTCTTGTTGTGATTGCTCTCACTTATGAGCCGCTATTTGTGAAAGCTGTATAACAGAATCTGTTCTGCAGATGACACAACCAAAACTTTATGACAATCAAAGCATAAGGCTTCAAGAATCTCAATAAGTGGAACAGGGACGATTGGGGAAAAAGACGATTGGGAAAAGTACGATTGGGGAAACCGAAAAGTACAGGGTGGGCCACTCGAAATGGGTAAGTTTTTTCTTTGGATTTCTCCGCGGATACTCCGCCAATTTTACTAAAATTTTGATTTTTCTGGAGCCGAGACCTGCCATTTTCGACAGATTAAATTGCAAAAAAGATATATTTTTTGAATTGATCTTTCTATGCCTTCCCAAAGCTTTGAAGAATTATTTTCGAGTCGAAACCGCTGAAACTTACAATTAGAAATTCAAAGAAAAAACTTATCCGTTTCGAATGGCCCACAGACACATTGAAGAAAAATAATACTTTGCGGAATCCCCAATCGTCCAACACCACAAAAAAATCAAAAATTCCTTACATTTATGCGCCGCATTCATCAACGCCAAGCTCGCTCCATATCCCAATCCATATCCCGTGTTTCCATATCCGGCATACCCTCCATAGCCGAGGCCACCAACTCCACCTCCAGTTAATCCGGTTCCAAAAGCGCCGCCCGTATTACATTGGCCGCCAACGCAATACTGGCCCGGAGGGCATGAGACGAATCTGCATAAGTCATTGCCATAGCCTCTCAAGGCGTTGAGGAAGTAACTGTTTCCATAGAGCTGCGCATTTGAGCTTTTGAGGAGTAGAAATAGAAGAAATACCAAATTTATATACATCATCAGACAAATTTCACTTTTCAACAAGTTTTTGCAAATTTCAGTGACTAAAAATCGTAATAGCGACAAAGCTGAGCCTCCGGCGAAAGTGGAGTAATACTTTCCAGATGATAAGCCAGGTTGCGCAACTGTTCGCCACCGCTCTCTGATCCGAATCGCTTTCGAGCCCTGCGCCCTTTTGCCCGACAAAAATACCTTTTTTGCGCGCGGTTCCGGTTGAGGGAACACGTAGGCGCGTGTGTGTATTATACGAAGCCCCTCTCTCTCTGATCCACGGCTCACAACCTCGCGCCGTTACGAGGGCATGTCAAAAGGGCAGGGGAGAAAACATTGTTGTATCAGGGGCTAATAAAAAAAATGAAGTGGAAAAGTGACGGATCATAATTGTTTTGGAGCCTGGAGGGAGTGATTGAAATGGAGAACGGTATGAATACAGCTGGATGTTCAAATTTGCGGCCAAAGGTCGACAGCGTACCGGCTATGCTTAGATTTCGAGGACTCGTTTTATGTCCAAAGCTTGTCAAAAATAACTAACAAGGGAAGTACCCCAATTGCGACGCTCATATTTTTTTAAATTTTGCACACAAGTCGGTCATGAACTATGTACCAATTCCTGAAAGTCTTAGCTCGCGCTTGATAAGCTCCGCCGAGATATTGAACGACCTTTGCCGCATTACTCTCACATTACTCTCTATGGCAGAAACAGACATGAAACTTTTCGTGCCGAAATTAGTGTCAAATTTTCGCCAACTTCCGATCTAAAAATCTCGGTTGTTTCTGCAAAGCGTGAGCTAGGATTCCCGCATATATTTTAGAAAAAATTATTCTTAATTTGTGCCAGGTTTCATCAAAATCTGAGCGTCGCACTTGGGGCACTTCCCCTGTAAGCTTGAAGGCATGCGAGACATTTTTCTTCAAATTTTACGATCCCACTTTGAATTTACTCCATATCAACTGCATAAAATCTTAGCTCGCTGTTTGCAGAGGCAACCGAGTAAAGTTTCATTATAATCCAAGCGTTGGACTTTGAGCACTTCGGTCGCCAAAAAAGTTGCTGCAAACTGTAAGCAACAAACTTTGGATATCTCATAGAAAACGTTATGAATTTGCGGCAATCTTTATCAACTCAGAATATCTTTTACGCGAATTTTTTTGGACCAAAATAAACAACTTTTATGGCCAAGACATACATGCTGTTAATAGTCAAGGGTAAAAGTTCCTTTTTTGGCCACGGCTTATAACTTCGCGGAAACCGGTCGGAATTAGCCCAAATTTGGCATGCAGGCTCAATACATCGTTGTCAATGCCCGGACAGTGGATTTAGTTAGTGAGGTACCTTTTTACGTATATACCAGCTTACTCTTCAAAAACAGCTGCAGCCTGCGATTATACATTTTATATGACGAAACCTGTCCGGAACTAAACTTTTTGCCCCCGTGTAGAACTCGAGCCGTCATAGCCTTCGTACGTACCCTTAAAACTATAGAGCTACTATAGTGATTCAGTGCCAGCAAGGTCCAAGCTTTTGTTCCTAACTTTAGTTCCCAAGCTTGGGCGCAGTTCGCAGAGTACCTTTGTTGTGGCCAGAATAAGGAACTTTTCCCAGTCAAGCCCTGTTCCACGAATCGCAAATGAGCAGAAAATATAATATATATTCGTTATAGAAAGGATTCGTTGTACGTTGGTTTTTTGCCTAAAATCAACTCTGATGATCTATGAAATTGTTCGTTATACACGAGTTTCGCAGTCAAGAATTTCCCCTGTACTTTTACCAACTGACTCCACTTCCTCATCGAATTGTTGCCTTTTCCCCGACAATCTTGTGCCTTCATTTATGAGTAATACAATGTCTATTGTTGGTCGGCGCGCAAATCAAATTTGGCCAATCACCGGCGACCGCGAACAAAACCCTGGACTTCCGTACACATTTTTATTCGCTACTCTTTACTCTTTGAGTCCATAAGGATGCCCCATTTTTGTGGCTGGTTTTTCTCATTTTTATTGGTCCGAAGTTTTGCAACAATGCCGGAGGCAATATTTTGCTATAGCGGTGAGATTTGTTAATCAATTTATTGATGTATGAAGCATGATTGTCGTATTTTACAAGTAATATTTTAGGAGTAAAACAGGCCGAGAATTGGACAGAACCCTTCAGACCCCGAGAATGCGCAGAGGAATTTACTTGGTGTATCGTTTCGAAGAACCATAATTTGACTGGAAACGCGGACGTTACACTGTAGTAGGTTTGCAAAAGATTAGAACATAGAAATTGAGCCCAACCCAAATTCGCGGGGATTTGTGAGAGATATGGGGTTTTAGGTCACCTATTTTCCTTTATGAACCCTAAAAATTTTTATAGAAAATGCTGTCAGAGATCTTGTTGAGTGGTATATGCAAATTTGCAAGGTTCTCAAAGTACGATGGGCAGATTTTCTCAAAATTTTGTGTCCAACCCACATTTAAACTTATAAAAATTTTAGCTTGCCCTTTGAAGGGGAAGCAGAGATATTCAACGACCTCTTAACGAGAGACTACGGGAAATTCGGAGAGAAATCAGAGATAAACCCGTTTTGGCCGATATAATGCCAATGTGAAATGAAAAAATGGATTTTTAATCGAACGTAAAAATATGTAGGACAGAAGCGTTCATGCCAAGACTGGCCATAAAAGTTTTTGGATCTTATAATCAAAATTACTCAAACTTTAACCGCCAATATTTCGGCAAAAATGGAAATGCCTTCTAAAATCGCCCTCCCAATTCAAGCTTACAGGGGAAGTACTCCAAGTGCGACGCTCAGATTTTGATGAAACTTGGCACAAATTTAGAAAAATTTTTTCTAATAAGATATATGCGAGGATCCTAGCTCGCGCTTTGCAGAAACAACCGAGATTTTTAGATCGAAAGTCGGCCAAAATTTAGGACTTTTTGCCGAATTTGGGCACGAAAAGTTTCATGCCTATTTCTACCGTAAAGGATAATGTTTCTACAAAAAGTCAAATTTTTCCGCACGAAACCGCCAAAGTTATGGCCAAAAAGCGTTTTTCTCTCTGACCGCTCTCCACGTTTAGCGTGCCCTCTCGGCGACGAAAATCGTTCAATATCTCGGCGGCGCCTGCAAAGCGCGACCTAAAACTTTCAGGAATTGATATTTAGTCCATACCCGGCGTGTGTGCAAAATTTAAAGAAAATCTGAGCGTCGCACTTGGAGTACTTCCCCTGTAAAATCGCCCTCCAAATTCAAGCTTAGTGTTAGCCAAATGAGTTCATAAAACTCCTGAAACTTGCCGATTACGTTACTAGAACCTCTGTACAACGAATTGCACGGGACAAAAAAATCAAAACCCATTGAAGGGTTTCGTTTTAGGAAGGTTTATTTTGGCCTAAAATCGACTCTATGGACCAACTTTGAACCTGTTTGTTTAGAAGGAGGGCTTGTTATTCTGGAAAATTTTATAAATTCACAATATATTTTCAGTGGCTGCGCAACGCACGACGACTGCCAACTGGCGATAAAAGAGTTCCCTAGTAAGCAAAACGAGGGTCCCAAGGCTCCACGACGCCGAAATAACAAAGGAATGGGCTTTTTTACGTCGCATGGAACAAAAGCGGCGGCCGATACGTGTTGCCAAACCGATTTATGCAACTCTTCTTGGCGTTTGAGGTCAAATGTGAGCCTAATTTTCTTTTTTATTGTGTTTTCATTACTTTTGAAGGTAGTTAAGTGAATAAATTGGATATAAATTTTTCTCTTTTTACTCCAACTTTGTTTTACAATCAAATTTATGTCAAATCAATACAAAATGGGAATGTTTCATATAAAGTTGTTATAGGAGTAAAAAATCAGACCAAAAAATTTAAATGTACATGTCTCTAAGACGTCTTGAACTTTCACAATTTAAAGATTTATAAAGTACAGTAACCCGGAAAAGACCGACGAAAAAAATAAAAAATCAAAAAAAACTCTTGAAATTACAAAGCAATCAATCTACAGTGGAATTTTGGAAGGGAAAATGCATGGATAACAAAATTTTCAGACAAAAATTTTAACAAGGAAAGTTCTTCTATGGGGTATGGAGTTATAGGTCGATACACATATCAAAAAAATGGCAAAAGTTTTCTGATTCAGAATATGTAAAAATTAGCTGCCAAATTTTGGTTTGCAAGGGCGAAAAAAATCCTCAGAACTTCTTGTAACACCACGCAAATGCTTTTTTGGTCAAGTTTTTACCAATTCAAAAGTTTTGTTTTGAGCGAAAAATTAAACCCTGGCATCTTGACAAGCCTTAAAATATCAAATTTGATTCATACTACATCTTTTTCAAATTAGAACTACTATTAAGGTGTAGTATTAATCCAATTTGATATTTTAAGGCTTGTCAAGATGCCTGGGTTCACTTTAGCTCAAGACAAAACTTCTGAATCGGTAAAAACTTGGCCAAAAAGGCATTTGCGTGGTGTTGCAAGAAAAGTTCTGAGGTTTTTTCGCCCTTACAAACCAAAATTGGGCAGCCCATTTTTACATATTCTGAATCACTAAACTTTTGCAATTTTTTTGATATATGTCTCGACCTGTAACTCCATACCCCATACAAGTACTTTCCCTGCAAAAATTTTTTGTCAATTACATCAAAATTCCACCGTAAACAAAAAAAAACTTTAGCCCGTCTCCGGAAATTCTGATTATTATCGACCCAATAGACAATAACGACCAAAACTTCTTTCAAATTTACAGTTTTCTTCAAGATCTTGAAGATGTGGCCTTGTTCGGAATCGAGGCCAAGTCGACGATCCCCGAGCTGGCCGTGAACACGGAAAGTAGCGCCGAATCCACGGGTTCCATGCAAGAGGGACAAGTGAACGAGCGGAGAAGCCAGTCATCAATGCAATCAACGTGGTAGCCGTGTTTGCAGGGGAGATAGCGGAGGGATTCGTTGGGTTCGAAGTCCAACATACATATTGCACATCTGAAATACATTTTTTTTAATTTCAAATTTTTTTTTGTAAAAATTCCATCCTTAGACTCGTATTTTATCAGTCTTTATAAGAACCGTCAAAAAATTTTTTTTTCAAATACATACCTAAAATAAGGTAAATTTTTGGCAAAAACAAGTCAAATTCCAATTTCCAATCCAATATTCTTTGTCTATCATAAGTTTTCCGCCATAAAAAATCTTATTCAACGTATAATTTGCTCATTTTCACAGCAAATCCCACAAAATTAATCAAATTCGCCTAAAGTAATATATATTTTTTCAAATTTTGTTTCGATACCCCCAAATTATCGGTCGAAAAGAAACTGATTCCCTTTCTAGCACATTGAGACTTGTTTCTAAAAGCAAAAAGCCAATAATAATCAAAAAAACTCACTCATCATTGATCGACTGCCCTGACTGATACTTGGATATGGGAATTGAAGCTAATATTCCGCGAACTCTGGCCTTTCTCTTCTCGTCAATTGCCTGCTGTTCTCCCTCCTCCATGTAGGCGTTGGACGAAGCGTACAATTGGTTCACATAGGAGCTCTGCAAAAATTATATTGTACTAGACAAAAAATGCTCCAAAGTATTGGAAACCAAGACAACTGTAATACAAATAAGCTGATTATAGACTACATTTTATATACTTGATCATTTAGACAACAAAAATTGTGACGTTTTATCAAAATTTTTCAAAAACTGCATAAAATAAGGTCAAAAATATCTAATTCGGCTAAACAACCTTTAATCCGGACAAATTTTTTTACTCCACAACCACCACAAGTCCATTTCACACCTCTATCTTCTATCTTTCCCCTAAAAATCGCAAAAACAAAATGAAAAAACCTTACAGTATGAGATCGTGACCTTCTTGACGGTTGACTGGGCTGTTGTGGATGAGATTGGACTGAACTGCTCGTTGAATGCCGCTGGTTACGTTCTTCTAACTGTTCTGTGTCCTCGGAAGATCGTCGAATGTACATGAAGGGGAGACAATTACCCATCTTCAGTTTTTCTCGAATGTGGATGAGTAATTGGTTAATTTGAAGTCAAAAGGAAAAACCTTGATGGAAAAAACAAAGTACTGGCGCCCGAAACGTTCTTCACAAGTTGGTCTTGCTGAAACAAAAATTCATCAGGAGGCCGAAGATTTTAGCGAAATTTTACTTGATTTGAGATTGGGGGTAGTCTAACATAAATTAATGCCAAATTTCGGTAATTTTCGAAGGAAACTCACGAAAATTAATCTTAAAACTAATACTAGACACATCTATCTGTCTTATGTAGCCATAAAACTCCTATATACATCAAAACTAATTTTATTTGTTATCTAAAAAATTCGAAGACCTCGATCTTTGAAGGAAAATTAGAAAATTGAGGTCAATTATCCCCCATCTAGCCCAGTTTCGTCTCTACTTTAATCGGAATACATCCAACGTTCTACTTTCACCCTTCAAACCCAACTTCCAACATTAATTTAGGTACATCTCGAACTTTTCCTCTCAAACTTTTCTACATTATCCTTGCGCTCAAAATCAATTTTCCTCATGACTCTTGCTTCCTGAAAGTCCCGGATAATGTAATTCCCTTCTCCCCACGTCTTCATTCTCACTTCGTGTCTAAAAATCAATGGAAAAAAGGGGAAACCAACTTACTTGAGCCACTCGATTCCACCCAGTCGAGATCAGAGGAGGAGGCCTTCTTTTCCACCGAGTATTGTCACCTGGTACAATCGAACCGAGCGCAAAAACAGCTGGCTCTTCTTCTTCCCCGTCTTTTTTTCGCTCTTCTGAGCGCAGAGAAAAATATGGGCGAGAGGGATTGTCTCTGGCGGCGCTCCTCGTTCCGCGCACTCTCTGCGCGCCGCCCCTTTTTTGAATGGATTTGGGGCTGAAAATAAATGAAAATTGTAAGTTTTTGGTGAGTGAGTCAGTGTATGGGAGCGAATGAGTAAGAGCGCAATGAATGGGAATCAAAAAAGTAATTTTTTATTGATATTGGTTGAAAAATTTAGTATAAGGTCAGATGAGGTCTAAAATAAGGTAAATTTGTCGAAATTTGATGTAATATTATGGAAGTTAAGGTAGAATAAAATAAATTAGACATTATTCTTTCATTCTAGTCTAAAAAATCTAATGGAATACGAAAAAATTTTGGAAAAATTTCGTGAAACATCAAAAATGCTGTTTTTCAAAATTAAAGCTAAATTTTGTTCGTAAAAACCAAATTTGGATATAAAAATTGAAACCTTGTCCCTCCAAGGGCCTTACAATCCCATATCAACCAAAAAATTGCAAAAAAATAGGCCGGAAATGACTAAAATCATCAAAATTGACCTTATTTTAGCCGATTTCCCCCAAATTTTGATGATTTTCAAGTTTTATCTCATAACCTTTATTATAACGTATTTCTACAGGCGTATTATACTCTAACAACCAATTTCCAACACTTTATGCCTTTTATAATTTCCAAAGACATAACAAAAAATTAGTGAAAACAGTTTGAAACAAAACAAATGGCCTTTTCGTCTGTTTATCAGAAGAAAAACAGGGCTCTGATAACAAATCTCCCTTCAAAAAATAATGTTTCCACTCCTCGGAAAACATTTTCGTCTCAGTTCACGTGACCTCAGGGGAGGAGACGCTCAAAAATAAAAAAAAAATAAAAAAAAATTCCGAGTTAAGCACTTTTTGGCCTTTAAAACTCAAATTAACTTAAAAAACGGGGGAGCGATTTTTTATTGGGAATAGAGCAGAGACATCACTTTTTTTACTACAATCACAATTTTTCGGTCTGGAAGTTTTTTCGATCGGAGAATTTTTGAAAATCATCAAAAACCAAGTGTAATATAAAAATGATGACATAAATTCAAAATAAAGGGGGAATTTGGGCTGTAAGTCATAAATAACCTTGTAAAATACGCATTTGATTAAGAGTCCGTCATAAAAATTGATTTTTTCGAACCAAATTTTTTCCAAAAAACCAAATTTTTTGAAAAAAAATCGTCAAAAAATCGGATTTTTCCTAAAAAAATCGCTGTGAAATACACTGTAAAGTTCCTTGAGAAGCTCTGAGTTCTTTACAGCTCAATAATTTGCCAATAAAAAAACTTTTTGACGACAATTTTCGAGAAATTTCCAAAAAATGACTAATTTTCCACGAATTTTGTAAACAATTCGCGAAAAAGGTCAATTTCATCAACGTAATTTAATTAAAATTTACGTCGCATCCATTTTCTCCAACCCACGAACATCTGCATCCATTTTTATTTGGAGGAACATCTGCTAAATTTCACGAGGAATCTTTTTTTCAAAAAAAAGATGAAAAAAATAAAAAATTTCTCGCGGATCCGTAGCCTCAGGGCGAGGAAATGAAATCTGCATGGGTAAATCTAGTTATCCATCTTTGGGCTTTTAACAAAATTTCGGAACAAAAAACTTAAAAAATTTCAAAAAAATTATATTACACTTGATGATTGACCTAAAATAAGCTTCAAAAACCCTTCCAATTCCACTATTTCCAAAGCCATCCACTAAAATACGGTCTGATATTAAATTACACATCTATTAAAACTTAAACTTCATACTAAATTATCCTTTATCACATAAAAATGGAATAAAAATTGAGTCTGAGCAAACCGTCGAATAAATAAAAGTTGATACAATTGTACAAACAATATATATAGGAGGACGTATTTAGCACACTGGAGAGGGGTCTACCCAAATTTCGGGGGAATAGAATATGATATTATGCACTTCGATGGCATTTTTTGGAAAAAATCTCCGTTTTTGAGGATGATTATAGCAAAATTTGGAGAAAAATTTTGGATTTTTAGGTAATAAATATATTTTTTATGCCTTTAAATCAATTTTCGGACCTCACATAACCTCTATAACCCTACATGGGCACCTAAAATAATCAAAAATTACTTTAGATCAAAAAATTTTTTTATCAAAATAAAAAAATTTGTACCAAAAGTAATTGTTACCAGTTCTAATAGCCCTGAAAACCCTTTTCAATCACTCCACACCACCTTTTCTATCAAAAACAATATAAAAATTCGTAAAAATTATATTACCCATGGCAAATTTTCACCTCAAAACGTCCAAAACCACCTCGAATCCACTCAAAATCCCATAAATCACCCAAATTTCCCTCTAATCAGCTATAATCATCCTTAAAAACAACAATTTCTTTAAAAGTTTTGGTCGAATCTAATTAAAAAAAGTTAAAAATCTTTTTCTAAACATCTCAAGACAGTGGTTCGTCCGATTCCTTCCGGGCATTCAGGTCGTTCATAAACGAGTCCACCGTTGATTCGAGGCCGTCGTTTTGGTCAGTGTCACGAAGATCTTGAAGGCGCAGTCTAAAAAGAGAGAAGATAAGCCCGATTATTGAGCAAACAAAACATGTTTTCGGGTCTTAAAACATGAAAACTGCACGCGGCCACGGGTATTTTTATAGTCAAAGAAACCCTAAACCATCCAAAAAATAATGAATTTAATCTGCCATAAAAATTAAGACTACAGTGACGAACCTGATCCAGTGGCAAAAAACGTACCATTTTGCATCCGGGAAGTATCAAAAATGTGGCAAAATGCTTCCCTCTCCAAGTGAAAAAGACTCGTTTTGAAGGGCGCTTCACAAAAAGAGCGGTTGCCCTTTTGAAATCGGAGTCTTTTCACTTGGAGAGGGAGGCATTTTGCTACATTTTTTGATACTTCCTGGATGCCAAATGGTACATTTTTTGCCATTGGATCAGGTCCCCTGTATGTGAGGGAAAGGGAGCGCCTTTCAAAACGGAGTTTTTTCACTTGGAGAGGGAAGCATTTTGCTACATTTTTTGATACTTTCCGGATGCAAAATGGTACGATTTCTGCCACTGGATCAGGTCCGTCACTGCAAAAGAAAAAAAAACGGCAATTGGCGCCAAAAAAATTGAAATTGCCCGAGGCGCTAAGCTCGGAATTTCTTCAAATTTTGCACAAATCATCTCAGTCTAGTCTATGTGTTAACCTACAGATAAAATTTTAGCTCTTGCCTTGCATACACATCCGAGAAATTCAACAATTTATCTCTCGGTGCGAGAGACTCTAGGAAATTTGGAGAGTCGATCAGAGAAAAATTTTTTTGCCACCTTTTGAATCTCGCATAAAATCCAAGGAACTCAAATTTTGGGACCTCCAAAAAAATTTTTTTTCTTTCCATAAATCCATTTTTCATCCAAAAATTCAACTCTTCAACTTACAACGTCACAATATTTGCGTGCTGCGCTTCCACGGCCAATTGAAGGGCCGTTTCTCCTTTCGCATTTTTCAGGTCCTTATCCGCATTTCTTTTGACCAATTGATAAACGCCGAGGGTGTTTCCATTGGCGGCGGCGATATGAAGAGGTGAATTTAGGTCGGCATCCACCACATTCACGTGGATCCCATTTAGAAATAGGAATTCTATTAGGACATTTTGCTTCTAAAATGGGTAAAAAATGAATTTCCTGGCCAAACAAATGTCCAAAAATGGAAAATAAAAAATTTTAAAACCCGAATTTCAAAATTTTTGAAAATTTTTCAAAAATGAACAAAATTCAAAAAATTGACAAAAAATCTTTAAATTTTGACAAAAAATATCTTAAAAAGGCCCAAAAATTCATGCCACAAGACTATCATAACATTCAAAGCCTAAATTTGAGAGAAAAAAATCTCCAAAAAAGCCAAAACCCCAAAAAAATCTCAAAAATTTCAAACCCCCAAAACCTCCTTACACTGTTGATTGCCACATGAATTGGATACTTATTCGTCGACAGTCTCGCATTTATATCAAACCCATTCGCCATGAGATCCAAGATGCCCTCAATATTGCCCGTTTCAATCAATTTTATCGCCTTTTTCTCGATTTCATTTGCATCTGTCTCGTCCAGGTGCGAATCCGAGTTCCTTGAGGTGATGCTTTGGCGTTTGAAGCTCGGAGAGTCGATTGATTCGGGTTGAGTTGCATTCGCGTGGAAGAAGAGGTGTTCATGGAAGGAACTTGACCTTGGCGGGCCTAAAACAATATAAATTTAGGAAATTTTTTTTTATAAAAATCTACAAAAAATAACATAAAATAGGGCCAAGACTTTCAGAAGATCATATGCAATCAATTTATAAACTTTTTTACCACTTCGAAAAAAAAATTTATCTAAAAAACCAAAAAAAAAAAAATTAAATTTTCATCAAAACAATCAAAAAAAAACTCAAATTTCCATTAAAAATTTAAAAAATCAAAAAAAACTCATTTTTCCGTCAAAAATCAAAAAAAAACTCAAATTTCTATCAAAAAATCAAAAAAAAAACTCAAATTTCCATCAAAAAATTGAGAAAAAAATCAAATTTCCATCAAAAAATCAAAAAAAAAAACTCCAATTTCCATCAAAAAATCAAAAAAAAAACCCCAAATTTCCATCAAAAAAATCGAAAAAAACTAAAATTTCCATCCAAAATCAAAAAAAAACTAAAATTTCCACCAAAAAATAAAAAAAAAACTAAAATTTTCATCAAAAATCTCCTCCTTACCATAACTGTTGATCAATAATTTGTTCACCAGCGGTTTTACAAACCTTTTCTCCACATACTTCGCGGTTATAAACAGTTCTCTTTCGGCGCGTTCTGACGTCGGAGTCAGATGTTTGACGCCATTTTGAACCAAATTCTGTTGGTCAATGCCGGCCAAATAAATCCTATTCACTTTCTGATTGCCCAAACTCTTTAGGACCTCTTTTTGTTCGTTTGAAAGTTCGTCCATCGTCAGGGAACGGACCTTCGAAACATGTACCCCAAGAGAGCGATGGGCGCCCGAACATTCGATGCAAATCACCACGCCCAGATTAATCGAGGCCCATTTGGCGTCGCTGTGGCCACAGTCGGCGCATTGACGATTGCCGGGGATGCGTTTCAGCTCTTCGAAGAACGAGACTCGCTGGATTTGGGGGTTTGGTTGGCTTAGAGACAAGTTGTTGGGCAGGGTGGTGGAAGATCGCTTGGAATTGTTCTGATTCGTGGAGCTATTCAGGGAGTTGACTTCGAGGCTCTGCATAAATGTCGAGGGCTTCTCTAGGGTGTCTCCTGGAACGATAAGGTCCAAAATATTTTTTTTATTTTGAAAAATTCAAAAATTTTTGCAAGGAAAGTGCTTCTATGGGGCATGGAGTTACAGGTCGAGACATATATCAAAAAATTCGCAAAACATTTCTGATTCAGAATATCTAAAAATTAGCTGCCCAATTTTGGTTTTTAAGGGCGAAAAAATCCTCAGAAGTTTTCTCGAAACCACGCAAATGCCTTTTTGACCAAGTTTTTACCAATTCAAATGTTTTTGTTTTGAGCTAAAGTAATACTACTACCTTAATAGTAGTTCCTTTAAGGCTTGTCAAGATTCCAGGGTTTACTTTAGCTTAAAACAAAGCTTTTGATTTGGTAAAAACTTGGCCAAAAAGGCATGGCATTTGCGTGGTGTTGCGAGAAAAGTTCTGAGGGTTTTTCGCCCTTACAGACGCAAATTGGTGTGCTAATTTTTACATATTCTGAATCACAAAAATTTTGCGATTTTTTTGATATACATCTCGACCTGTAACTCCATACCCCATAGAAGTACTTTCCTTGTAAAAAAAAAACATTTTTATCAACTCCTACCTTCATGTAAATGCTGGATTGTTGTCTGTAGCGCGTGGATCCACTCTCTACACAGCATTTCCGAGTCCGCTTGGAGGACGTGATTTCTAAAAATTGCCAAAAATTATTAACCAAAAATCATCAAAATTAAACTTTTTTCAAAAAAAAATTTTTACTTACCCACTTCTTGACACCAGCTCAAAGCAACAGCTCCGTTCAATTGATGAGGGTGCTGGTCGGACCAGGCATAATTTCAAATTGTCTTCCATGACCATACTTTGGAGTTGCTCTCCGTTCTTCTTGATATACATCTGAAAAAATATTTTTTTTGATTGTAAAATACGACGACTAAGTCAGTGATCAAATTTGTTGGCAAAAATCTTCACCTTGCATCCCAAAAAAAATTTTTTGAAAATCGCTAAAGTAAGATAACAAAAAAATCCTTCAAGGACGTCACAAGTTAAATTTAGATATCAAATACAGTATTCTTCACTAAAATAGAGGAAAATTTCGAAATTTTTTACCCATTTATAAGCAAAATTTGCACTTCAAAAATTTTTTTCTAAAATAAAAAGACAAAAAGTTGTTTTAAAACATCATCTAGGTCTTAATCCACCCTCTGAACTTCCATTCTCTTTTCAAAAAATCAAAACTTCCTCAAAAAATAAAAATTTTCCCACCAGACATACCTAAAGTAATATGATTCAAACCCCACTTACAAACTTCTCGCCTTTGATCATAAACCATCGTCGATGCCAGGTCTTAAAAGCTTTGTTCGACCGCTTGAACAGGTATCCTTCCATGGCGACCTCGGGATCTGTGGGGAGACCCGAATGCATTTCATAGAGATCCTGCAAAGAGAGACCGTTAATCTACGATTACTCATGTTTCAGAGCAACTCACATAACGTTTGAGTAAGCGGCTCCAAGAAATTCGAATGTAGCGGACTAGTGCTTTCAATAGCCGCATTTTAAGACATCTTTCATTAAGTTTTCGATATTACACTAGGCAGACCTTAAAAAAGACCTCAAAGGTCAAAATTTTCGGAGAAATTTTGTATCAGAGATGTTCATAATTTAGCCAGGAGCATTTCAAATCGAAATAAAACAAGAAAAGGCGCCGAATATTGCCCTTTTCTTCGATAGCGTCATCTGGCTCATGGTGAATATAAATGATTCATAAATTGAGCTTCGAAGGGAAAATTTCGTTCAAAAACAGCAAAATACAACTATTAGAAAGAGCAGCCGGATTATCATTCACTAAAACCAGGAAAATTCAAGAAAAAATTATATTACCTTAGGCACCACTGAATGCCGATCCTGCATTTTTCTCTCGACCAGCTTGCTCCTTGTCCGCAACATGTTAATATTGTCCGCAATCTCGTCGGTATTTATATCTGGCTTCTCCACAAAAACAGAATGACCTTTTTTGAAGAATTCGATATACTCCTTGATCAACAGCCACAACTAAAAACAGAAGGTTCAAAAAAACAAAAAAACAAAGACTTACCGCTTCGAGAAGGACATAATGCTTTCGTGAATGGGCGATGTTGATTTGAGCTACATAATCCAGAGAAGTATGGGCAAAACAAGTTCCTACAGCAGTCAGTCCATTCCTCGCTTCCTTCAGAGCTTGACCACAGCTCCTTGATATGGACGCGCGTTTATTTAGTGAGTCATTTAGAGCTTGGGACATGTTGTCGAATTGGTTCCGGCTGTCTCGAAGTTTGGATAGCTCACTGAAACGAATTTATGAGTAATTTTGCAAATACACCTCATGTATAATATAAAAGGTCACAAAAATTAGAGAAATCCATAAAATTTCCTCCTCATATTTTTCACAGAGCTGTAATATGATTTCGTTCAGCTTGCCGAAAACTTACTTTTGATTGAAACTCCCCAGATGAGCCAAAAAAGAGGGAAAAGTGTTCTCTATCAGCCCTTTGTTCAAAGAGACCACCTGAGCCAACGCGTCCGAGATGGCGTCAAATGTCTGCTTTGTCTTAGGTTCATCGACACCTAATTCAGCCCACAGGGTGTTCAGAGTGGCCGTGAAATTGCTGAAAAGATCAAATTTCTTCAATCTGTCATGTACAATGTAACAGATGTCGAAAACCGTCGAAAAACTTACTAAATCGCGGCCACATAATTCTGGCCGCACTCAACAATGACGTCCACCTTGTTGACACACTAAATCGATCAAAATCAAAGAGAAAGCGACTTACCTCCGCATATCTTTTGTAGATAGAATTGAAGTATTCCTGGTTTTGATTCAGATCTTGTCGGAACGCCGGTGAATCCTTGATTGCTTCCTGGAAATCCAACGCCAAATGTGGCCGCTCGGCTTTGGCCATTTTTTGAGCAAAAATCGGGACTATTTACGGCCAATTCGATGGGAAAACGGGCCGAAATTACACAAAGATCTAAAAAAATTCTCGAAAAATATTTTTTTGTTTATAGGGCGCGAGCTGCCGAGAAATTTGGCAAAATTGGCGTTGTGTATCAAGTGGGAGATGACTGTTATGTACGAGAAGATTGAAAGGAGGTGAAATACAGCCTTTCGAGACATTTTTTTACTATAAAGAAATCAAAATTTCCATAAGAGATCAGCTGGTCATAAATAATATAAAATAATTCTTAACGGAAATTTGAAAAAAAACTATCTCGGATTATTGAAGGGCCCGTCATAAGACGCGTAATACAGTAATCACTTCGTGAAATAATGTAAAACGCAAAAATTATACCGAGATTAACTATTATTGTCAGTGTAATATACAAAAATCGCAAATAGTTTTTAACCATGAAGTCAAGATTGTCGAGAAACAAAATTTATGCTATTTCGAACCCTATGGACAATAAAAATAAGTATTATAAATTTCCAAGGTAACATCAAAATGTGCCTAATATTATATTACGCTGGTGCCCATGACTAATAATCCTCTGGATTTCAGAAAGTGAAACCAACCAAAATTGACTTTTGGAGAGGGGGAAACCTACAAGTGTTTTTTTTTTGGAAGAAATCGCTCTTTCGATCAGTTTGGTTTCACTTCCAAAGCAGTCGTTGGAACGAGATCAAAACGGGATAAAAAGGCTCGAAAATTGAATGGATTGTAATGTAAATCGTTGTCGTTTACAAGAGGTTTTTGATGACAATTTGCAGAGATTAATTTGAGACATCTTTTTAGTTCGCGCTTTGCAGAAATTATAAAAATTTTTCAAGGTTTTGCTCGGAACTTCGCACAAGACTAATTAGAGAAGTGCCTCATGTGCTATAATCGTATTTTATTTGCATATTTTTGGGCCTAGGCCAAGAATAGGCCAAAAAAAGCTCACAAGGGAAGTACCCCAAGTGCGATTGTCAGATTTTCTTTAAATTTTGCACACACGTCGGGCATAGACAAAATATCAATTCCTGAAAGTTTTAGCTCGCGCTTTGCAGGCGCCACCAAGATATTGAATAATCCTTGCCGCCGAGAGAGTGCACTAAACGCGGAGAACGGTCAGAGAAAAAAAAACACTTTTTTTGGCCATAACGTTGCCAATTTCGGATGAAAATTTTTTATTTTTTCTAAGATTATTACTCTCAGCAGTAGAATTAGGCATGAAACTTCTCGTGCCAAAATTCGGCAAAAAGTGTCAATTTTTTGCCGACTTTCGATCTAAAAATCTCGGTTGTTTCTGCAAAGCGCGAGCTAGGATTCTCGCATATATCCTAGAAAAAATTATTCTAAATTTGTGCCAAGTTTTATCAAAATCTATGCGTCGAACTTGGAGCACTTCACTTGCAAAAAAATGACGAAAACAAAGCCAAAAGAGACAAAAAATCTGATTAAACATGTTGAAAGACATATGGCCCATTTGTGAATACAAAACGGACCCCAACTTGGCCAAATCAAATTATTCGTTTTTATAGCCGCAAACGGGGCCCGACGACACAAAAAAAGAGCCCGCGTTCAGTTGAAAACGGAGCAAATTCGAACCGCTTTTGGGGCTGTTCAACCAGCTCCTTAAGCGAGGGTTTGAAACAAACCAAAATTCGAACGTAATCCCTCCGGCGATAATGTGTTTACAAGGCCGGGAAAGATGGGCAAAGAGGGTCGACTTGCGTGTTAATTGGCAAGGAAAATGAGTGAGCCAAAACGGGAATACAGAGTAATATACAATTTAAAAAAACAGGTGGCACGTAAACAACCACACATGAGAAGGGCCCAAAATGTGACGCCCGGTTTTAATATTATACATACGCACTTGCTCTAAGCCAGAAAAAGCTCTGGGGTACGAGAATAGCGGACGAAAAAAAGATTTTGCAAACTTTAAGCCTGTACTTATGAGACATAAGAATATTTGCATATAAGTTTGGCCTGCCAAGTACTCAAAGTAAGTACTAGGTGGGCCGAACAGCCTTGACAATTACTTATCTTCGCGTTATTAAACTAGACACATCTTGGCGTTAACAAAAAAATACTCCAAGTGCGACACACAGATTCTCGTTGAATTTTGCACACACGTCCGGAATAGACTAAATATCAATTCCTGAAAGTTTTAGCTCGCGCTTTGCAGGCGCCGCCGAGATATCGAACGATTTTTGCCGCCGAGAGAGTACACTGAACGTGGAGAGCGGCCAAAGAGAAAAACGCTTTTTGACCATAACTTTGCTAGTTTCGTGCGGAAAAAAATAGATTTTTTTATGGAAATATTACCCTTTACAGTAGAAATAGGTATGGAACTTTTCGTGCCGAAATTCGGCAAAAAGTCTTAAATTTTCGCAGACTTTCGATCAAAAAATCTCGGTTTTTTCTGCAAAGCGCGATCTAGGATTCTCGCATATGCCTTACTGAGAAAAAAATATTCTAAATTTGTGCCAAGTTTCATCAAAATCTGAGCGTCGCATTCCTCGTTGTAAACACGAAATTTATAATTGCATATTTTTATTGTCCATAAGGTTCAAAATCACATAAACTTTGTCTTCCAACAACCATGACTTCATGGTTAAAATCTGGTTGCAATTTTTGCAGTTCCAATTTTTCCCATTTATGAAACCGCTGGCCAAAGTGCGGTCGGCAATTTTTTGTGCTCTCCGAACGAAATGAACTTGATCTATCCATTGCTGCTGATGGCATCTGCTCAGAACACCAGCCGAGATGATAATCATTCGACCAGGAGTGCCGCGAGAAGACCTGCGGAACAAAGGAGGACTGAAAGGGAAACGGAGCCGATAACTACAGGTAGAAATCAGTTTTTCGAAAAGGACACTGCACGTTAAACTGAACAGTCCGGTGACCGGAATAGACTCTTCGCTATCGGTTTTTTACACTTCGTCTATATTTGACAGAGAAGTCAGAGAAAAGACGTGCAAAACGCACTCTCTCGCCCCAAAAATCCCCCATTTCTTTTTCGACAAAAAGGTTTTTGCTTCTTTTTTTGGCCGAATTGCCAATTCGGACCATTTTTGCTCATCTCACAAGGAAGTGGTACCCCAAGTGCGACGCTCAGATTTTGATGAAACTTGGCACAAATTTAGAATAATTTTTTCTAAGATATATGAGAGACTCCTAGCTCGCGCTTTGCAGAAACAACCGAGGTTTTTATGATTAAAAGTAGGCGAAAATTTGACAACATTTGCCGAGCTTCGGCACGGAAAGTTCCATGCCTATTTCTACTGTAAAGGGTAATACTTCCATAAAAAATCATTTTTTTCCGGGCGAAACTAGCAAAGTTATGGTCAAAAAGTGTTTCTCAGACCGCTCTCCGCATTTAGTGTACTCTCTCGGCGGCAAAGATGGTTCAATATCTCGGCGGCGCCTGCAAAACGCGAGATAAAACTTTCAGGAATTGATACTTAATCTATGCCTGACGTGTGTGCAAAATTTAAATACAGTGGCGGACCTGATCCATTGGCAAAAAACGTACCATTTTGGATCTGGGAAGCATCAAAAATGCAGCAAAATACCTCCTTCTCCAAGTGAAAAAACTCCGATTTCAAAAGCGCGCCCGCTCTTTTTGTGAGGGAAAGGGCGCGCATTTCAAAACGGAGTTTTTTTATTATAGTGGGAGGTATTTTGCCACATGGTTGATACTTCCCGGATGCAAAATTATAAGTTTTTTTTTCCAATGGATCAGGTCCCTCACTGTAAAATCTGAGCGTCGCACTTGGGGTACTTTTCTTGTCAGTTTGACGTGCACTGTTTTTGTTTTAGACGATTATACGATAGATGACTATTATGAAACAACATATTCTGATGAATATATTTACGGCGAACCCAAAACATCTCCCACTCGAGCACCGACATCTAATGGAACGTCTCCCACTTCAAGATGGACTAACCGGACGACGAAAGTCACCGCCTTTCCTGAGCCATCAAACTTAACCACATCGACTTTGGAGACGAATCGAACGAGGCGATGGAGAAATGAAACGACGACCAGTCAAACGAAAAGGACAACTAGAGGTGGGTTTAGAGGTTGAGCGAGTAAAATTGAGAAGTTGGTGTTAGTTGCAACTAATCCTTGGCCGTTTTTGTAGGCCTATTTGATCTTTAATGTCACTATTTTCTGCCAAAATAGTTCACAAAATTATATGTGCCTTAGGTCGTGCAAAAAACTGGATTAACAGGCATTAAATTTTTTTGTGCCAAAATTTGGCAAAAAGTGTCAAATTTTCGCCAACTTTCGATCTACAAATCTCGGTTGTTTCTGCAAAACGTGAGCTAGGATTCTCGCATATATTGTAGAAAAAATTATTCTAAATTTGTGCCAAGTTTCATCAGAATCTGAGCGTTGCACTTGGGGTACATCCACTGTAAGTAAGAAAGTCAAAGATCGAGTGTTAGTTTCGTAAATTTAAAATATTTTGGCGTCCTTAGGGCACAAAATTGCGTAGTTGTATGGCTGAAATATGAGGCTATAAAGATCAATTTAGGATGTTTTTTATGAAAAACGGTTGACCGGGCTAAAAGTTATAGCTGAAACAATGTTTTTACTGGCTTTTTTTTGGAGGCTTGGGCAAAAAATATAATTTTTTTTTTTAATTTCAGGTCCGAATGTAACGGAAGCGACCGATTTCCCTGTCACGACTGACTTCCCTTTCAATCCTGATTTCCCATTCCCTTGGATTTTTACAACCCGGAAGTCAACGAGAACCACAGTCGCTACAATTGAAACCACGACCACAACGACTCCCGAGGCTCCGCAAACTACGAGGACGAAACGTTTGTGCTATTATACTACGACTGCCATGCCGTCCACTACGACGGCTCAGGAGTCGACTACAGCGCCTTCAACTACGGCCGATTTTGAGACTACCATGCGGGCGGGGAATTCAACGACTGAGTTTGGAAATACGACCGATTTTGAGACTACCATGGGATCGATGAATTGGACCAGGGAGCTCGGAAATAATACCAGTTATGAGAATACTACGCGACCAAGATCTACGCGGTATAAGTCGACTACAAAGGCTTGGAATACAACCGCTTATGACAATACTACGCGACCAAGACCTACGCGATATAAGTCGACTACGGCGCCTTGGAATACTACGCGATCTCGAAGACCCACGCGGTATAAGTCGACTACCTCGCCTCGGAGTTCCACGCGACCTAGACCTACGCGATTTAAGTCAACTACCTCGCCTAGGAATACTACGCAACCTCGAAGAACTACACGATATAAGTCGACTGCAAAGCCATGGAATACGACCACTTCTAAGCGTACTACGCGACCGAGACCTACGTGGTATAAGTCGACTACAGCGCCTTTGAATACGACCAGTTCTAAGCATACTACGCGACCGATACCTACGCGGTATAAGTCGACTACAGCGCCTTGGAATACCACGCGAACTCGGAGACCCACTCGGTATGAGCATTTTCACAAAGTGCTTGGACATCATTTCGCTTTCGCACGGTGCATCTTGAACTTTTGTCGCCAACGCACTGAGGAATTTGCACAGTGCAAATGGCTTTTTTTTGCACTGTGCATCGAAATATCGCAGCGACAAAAGCGAGTTTCAACTTTGTCGCTGCGTCGGCCCTGGGAATTTGCACAGTGAGAACGGCTTTTTTTGAGGTTTGCACGGTGCGAAAAGAGGAGTTTGCACTGTGCGTTGGCGACAAGCGTGGGAAAAAGTTCAAGACGCACTGTGCGAAAGTAAAAAAATTTGCCTTTGCGCACCGTGCAATCCTCAAAGAAGCCGATTGCACTGTGCAAATTTTTGGTCAAAATCGCAGCGGCGCAGTTGAGAAAAGCTACGTCGCAGCGACATTTCAAATGCACAGTGCAAATCCAAAAATGGCAAGTGCACGGTGCAAGAACTCGCGAATTTTTGTGCGCGGTGCGGACCGCGGAGAAATGTCCAGGCACTTTGTGAAAATGCTAATATAGGCCGACTACTCTGCCTTGGAATTCGACCGATTTTGAGACGTCCACGCGATCGATGAATTCGACCACTGAGTTCGCAAATACGGCCGAGTATGAGAATACTACGCGGCCTCAGCACCCTACGGACTACGACTATGGCTGGACTACAGCGCCTTTGAACACTACCGATTTTGAAAATTTCACGCGGCCTCAGAGACCCACGGGATTTGAGTGGACTACAGCACCGTTGGATTATGAGAATTCTACGCGATTCCTGAACGACAGCACGTCTGAATCGACCATTGAGATTTACACTACGACCGATTGTGAGACTACCACGGCGCCGATGAGCACGAGCACGACCACTGAAACTTCGCGTACGTTTACCACAACTACCAAGAGACCCACCACAACGCCTAAATCGACCACTGAGGTGGCAAATACGACCATGTCTTCCACTGAGTCCCCGACTACGACCACTTACGACGACGAGTGGATTACCGAAGGAGAAGAAGGCACGGACGTCAATAAACTGCCGACTCCACAGCCGTTCCTTGCCGAGAGGAAGAGCAGTAAGTCAAGGGGGGATTGTGGGCGAAATAGAGATGATAAGTTATGTTTAGAGTGTAGAGGTGAAATTTGACCGGTCATAACGCTAATTTGACCGAAAATATGCCCAGTTTGATCAGTAATATTGGCGATATAGATAGTCAAATTTCTCCCTCCTTATTATTTAGTATTTTCATAAAGTGCATGGACATTTGTCGCGTCCCGCACAGTGCACAGAAAACCCGTCCCGCACAGTGCACAGAAAACACTAATCTTGCACTGTGCACTTCTTTTTTTTGCTTGGTTTTTGCACTGTGCATCAAAATATCGCAGCAACAAAACCTTTGACGGTGTCGCTGCTTCGGCCCCGGGAATTTGCACGGTGCAAACGACCTTTCTTTTTGCACTGTGCATCAAAACATCGCAGCGACAAAAGCGAGTTTCAACTTCGTCGCTGCGTCGGCGCCGGGAATTTGCACAGTGCAAACGGCTTTTTTTGAGGTTTGCACGGTGCGAAAAGAGCAAAGTTTGCACTGTGCGTTGACGACAAGCGTGGGGAAAAGTTGAAGATGCACTGTGCGAAAGCGAAAAAATTTTGCCTTCGCGCATGGGGCACACCTCAAAAAGCCGTTTGCACGGTGCAGATTTTTGATCAAAGGCGAAGTTTGAGAAAAGCTGACGTCGCAGCGATATTTCAAATGCACAGTGCAAAATTGAAAACAGGCGAGTGCACGGTGCAAGAACTCGCGGATTTCTGTGCACCGTGCGGACTGCGACAAATGTCCATGCACTTTATGAAAATGATAATATAATATTGCTAGCAGTCTTGTCGCTATACGCAACCAAAATATGATGTTCTTGACTGCTTTTGTCTTCCAGGAGAAGCGGTTTTCTTCAGCTGATCTGATTCGTTCTAATACTGCGATTTTTTCCAGAAATCTCCCCGCTGTCTTTGTGGATTGCCCTCTTCGCCCTGCTCGCCGTCAATCTTGTCAGCGGACTCTTATTTTCAGGCACTTATCTTGGATATTTTGGTCGAGAAGATGAAATCGCCTCGGTGGAAGTTACACTGAAGTATGAGTGTAAGTAACGGCTGTCGGGACTACATTTTTTTTTAGAAATTTTAGATTCTGAATTTTTGATTTGTTATTTTTTCAGAGCGCCAAATCAATGATGTGTGCCTTCAATAAAGCTTCGGAATATATGTGATGCCATGATTTTGTCGAAATAAATTTTTTATTTTGATTTTTTTTTAACTTTTTTGAGTGGAAGATAAGACGACTGTGGTCCCTCAGTATGCACACCAAATCAAAAAAAATGTGGCCAAATAGAAAAAATGGCCAGGTCGTGAAAAGTATGGCCAAAGTTCTTTGATTTGGCCACATTTTCTAACAGGGGAAGTGCTCCAAGTGCGACGCTCAGATTTTTATGAAACTTGGCACAAATTTAGAATAATTTTTTCTAAGATATATGAGAGAATCCTAGCTCGCGCTTTGCAGAAAAAAACGAGATTTTTTGATCGAAAGTCGGCGAAAATTTTGGACTTTTTGCCGAATTTCGGCGCGAAAAGTTTCATACCTATTTCTACCGTAAAGGGTAATGTTTCTACAAAAAAATCAAATTTTTCTGCACGAAACTGCCAAAGTTATGGCCAAAAAACGCCATTCTCTCTGACCGCTCTCCACGTTTAGCGTACTCTCTCGGCGGCAAAAATCGTTCGATATCTCGGCGGCGTCCGCAAAGCGCGAGCTAAAACTTTCAGGAATTGATATTTATTTTATGTCCGAATTGTGTGCAAAATTTAAAGAAAATCTGAGTGTCGCACTTGGAGTACTTCCCCTGTAAGATTTGGTTACAATTGCCCCACTTGGCCAAAATTGAGAGCTAGCCAACCGATTACCAGTCCTTCGACTTGTCTTTTATATGAATATTTGTATATATTTTTATATAATATTTAATTTTTTTTATAAATAAATTATTCAATTTTTTTGGAAATCAAAAAAAATTACTGTGAGCAATTTGGCATGTAAATATAAAAAAATTTTCGAAAACCCTTTTCTCCATTCCAGATAAAATTCAGCGAAAACAGAAAACATTCTCCCCTTTGCGATGCTGACTCACTTTCTCGGTTTATCACCTCGGCGGCGAAACGAGCCGAGCCCTCGGAGTTTCCTTGGCCTGTGGGGGAAAGCATTTCTCCGGGCTTTCATATTTTCCTGTATTGAACGTTTTTTGAACAGGTTCTTTTATAAAGTCTAAAAAAAAATTTCCGACTTTTTTGAAATATTATAGTTGAGAGAGAATGGGCTCGAATAAACAAAAAAAAGATTTTTTAAGAATTTCTTGGCAGGGTTTGGAAGAAAAAAATTTGAATTTTCCGAGTCATTTTTTCGAAAAATTTTCAGGATTTTTAACAAAATTCTTCGGGAGATACCACGATTTTTTGTCGAAAAATCCCATATTCTAACTGTTCAGTAAAAAATATTTTGAAAAATTCAATTTTTCCGGTCCAAATTGGCAGAATGACGGAAAAAAGTGGTTTCTCTGGCCGCTCTCTGCATTTTCCACACTCTCTCGTCTCAAAAAAAAGATTGTTGAATATCTCGGCTGTCCTTGCAAAGGGCGAGCTGAAATTTTCAGGAATTAATGCCTGTTTTAGACAGTCCATATGGGGGAAAATGAAAAAAATTTAGCGATTTTTTTCATTTTTTTCCAATTTCCTCAAAAAATCATCGACCAAAAAAAAGACCCTATAAATTTCCCAGGCTTTTTTCGGAGCTTCCCCATAATATATATATTCATAATATATTCATTGATCTTGCCCATCAACGCACCCTTTAACACCACTCCATCCCCTTCTTGTTTTGTTTTTGCGCCCTCTTTTCTCGCGTTGTCCATTCCGATGAAGGGAACGAGCGCAAGTCCCTTCATTCTTCTTCAGATTGACCTTGGGTTCTTTTGTGCGGGGGTTTCTTCAAACAAATTAATGTCAACCCAGCACTCTTTTTTTCGCGGAAATTCAAATTCACTTTCCTGGCGCCACTGTTTTTTGCGAGGAGTTATTATAATACTATTTTTATGGGGTCTTGGGTGTTTTTCGCCCAAAAAAATGATTTTTTTTTAAATTTTTGTAAGTTCGGTAGGTAAAATTTTTTCAAATCTGGCTCAAATATTGTGATTAAGCCACAAATAAGTTTTTGGAAAAGCTCAACATTTGGATAACGATTTTTTAAAAAAAAATTTAAATTAGAAAAAATCGCATTTTAAAATTTGGCATAAAAAGTAAAAATTGGCAGGCGAGTACAAAAAAATCTCGAAATTTTATGTTTTTTATATTCAACTATCTTTTCTGGCGAGAGACTATGGCAAATGACCAGAGAAAAAGTGATCTTTTAGCCTTTTTTTGTGAATCGTGCATGAAAAAAAAAAGATTTTTATTTTATTTTGTGATAAAAATGTTGTACTCGACACGTGAAATCCATAGTCAATCAAATTTTTATTTATAAAAAAGGAATTTTTTTCCTTTTAGCCTAGAAATCTTGATGGTTTTTGCAAATTAACGAGCCAAAAATCTCACAAGGAAAGTACTTTTATGGGGGCTCCTACTTTTTGACGGGACATATCTCAAAAAATCAGAAAAAATGTGCTGATCAAGGATATATAAATCCTAGCTGCCCATTTTAGGTTTTTAGGGGTGAAAACTCAATCGGAAGTTGACTTAAAGTCCTATATGAACCCCTTTTCGCTTAATTCTTCACAGGTTTACAATTTTTATTTTGGCTTAAAATGGTGTTTATTGAGTTTCTAAGACGTAATAAGACAGTCTTGGCCCAAAAATTTATTTTTCCGACCTTCAACTTCAAAAAAAGTTGACTTAGCCCAAAAGGGAAGTCGAACCTGTGCGGCGTCCCCCCTCTTGATTCCCAGACTACGGCACTAGCCACTCGGCCACACGGCTCTCTTCCGAATGAAGAGACCGACTGCGCTTTTTATCGTTTCGAATGCCTGCGCCTTTTGTAGGGAAATTAAGCCAGTTTTTGGGCATTTTCACCCCTAAAAACCTAAAATGGGCAGCTAAGATTTATATATCCTTGATCAGCACATTTTTTCTGATTTTTTGAGATATGTCCCGTCAAAAAGTAGGAGCCCCCATAAAAGTACTTTCCTTGTCAAAAATCTCTTGCAAAATTATAATGTAAATTTGTTCCAAACTTTTCCAAAATTTTTAAAAAATTTATGCGTATTGTGTAGTTCCATATTTAAAAATTACAAAAAAATTTTTAGCTTTTTTAAATGTTCAAGAGAATAAATTTTTTCTTCAAAACAAACTCCTTTTTAGCGGCTATTTGTTTTACAAGAGCCGCTCTGATTTGGCTCGATCTTTGCGATCCCCTTCTCTTCTTTAGAAAAGGCTTTTTTCGACCGGAATACGTGGCCATCTTGAGAGCATAGCGTTCGAATATCAAGCCCGGAGGGCTTGAAAACGGGTGGTTTTTTTAGGGCTTTTATAAGATTTATTTTTGATAAGCAAATTTTTGGATTTTGAATTTTTGAAAACTCAAGTCGTTGAGGTAAAATTTTTTTTTAATTTCAAAAATTTTTGGCTTTTCATTAGCAGCCTGGAGCAAAATATTAAGAAAAATTAAATAAAAAAAATATTTTTTTTTTCAAATTTATTCTACCGATATAAAAAAATATTCTTCCTTGTTTTTCCCCCCACTTATCCACCACCGATTTTCTTTATTTACCCGCCGAAATTCCACCCGATTACGGGTGTTATTAGCCCCAGTCAGTGGGAAAAGAGAATGTTGGCGATCCGATTTTTTCAATTCTCTTTTATTTTTACTCCTTTCCCACGATCAAAAAATACTTTTTTCTCTCGGATCGGAGAGAATATAGGGTATATTCCATTCAAATCCAATTTTTCAATTATTTTTTTTTCTGAGCGGAAAACAAATCAGATTTTTTGAGGGATACTTTAGCATTTTTATGTGATTTAGAGTGTTGTATTTTTTGTAAAAAATAAAAATTTAAAAATTTGAAGAAATTTGGCGCAAATCTAGATCAAAATTTTAAAAATTTTCATGATTTTTTAGATTTTTTTTGAGTTTTGCAAAAACCATTAAGATTTTAAAATTTAAAATGTTTTTTTGGTCAAAAAAATGTTGAATCGTCAGAAAAAGTGTTTACAATTGAGATTTTGAAAAAATTTGGCTCAATTTTAGATAACGATTTTTTTAAAAAAATATTGGAGAGTTTTGGTCAGCACTTTTCAAAAGCCATTGAGATCCAAAAATCGTAAAAAATCGACCGTTTTTTTTGACGATAATTTTACTTGATTTCAATTTTTCCAAGATTTTTGCCAAAAAATAGCTTTTACTTGGCCAAGAACCGGGTTTTTTGGCCATCTCTCCTCATTTCTCATAACTTCTTGACCTAAAAAATTGTTGAATGCCATAAAAAGCTCAAAATTTTTTACAAACAAAAGCTTTTTTTGACCTTATTTTAAATTGTAATTGAATTAAAAATGGATGATGAGCCATTGTTTAAGCTTGTTCCCATCAAAGTTCCCACCAAATTCTGATGTTTTTCCACATGTTTTTCGTACATACGACAGCGACTTTCCTTTATTAGCCACTTCTCCTTTTTTGTTTTCCCTCAAAAGCTGGGCAAATACCTCCAATTCCGAGCTCCTTTTTTTGATTTTTCCTTGCGATTTTTCGGCCAACTTTTTTTATTTTTTTCTCTGGGCTTTATGTTGTAACATATACAGTGGAATATACCAAACTACTCCGTGTAAAAACATTTCTTTTTGGAAATTTAAATTAACAATTTTTAATCCCTTTTTGAACCAAGTATACCATTTTTATAACAAAAAAATGTAAGCGCCCGTATTTTATCCAGAGCCAGGCGAGACTTTGCATAACGAGTAGGGCGTTTTATGAGGCGATTTCGCCTTTCAGGGTAACCACAAATTTCATCGGAAGGGAACTTTGTGGACTCTTACAAGGCAAGTCCCCGAACTCGCGAAAATTTGACCACCAATCCGCCGTTTTCCCAATCGCGCTATGGAAAAACTGGCGGAAGACGGGAGAAAGAGGGAGTACGCTCGAAAAAGGGCGCGGTGTTTTATACAGGGTGTTCCTAGAATTATGGAAAAAACTATTCATTAATAACTTTGTGCTCGGTGGTCCAATCCAAAATTTTTTTTTGCATTTTAGAGGAAATTCAATTCAATTCACAAGGGAAGTACTTGAAGTGTGACGCTCAGATTTTGATGAAACTTGGCACAAATTTAGAATAATTTTTTCTAAGATATATGCGGGAATCCTAGCTCGCGCTTTGCAGAAACAACCGAGATTTTTAGATCGAAAGTCGGCGAAATTTTAGGACTTTTTGCCGAATTTCGGCACGAAAAGTTTCATGCCTATTTCAACTGTAAAGGATAATGTTTCTACAAAAAATCAAATTTTTCCGCACGAAACTGCCAAAGTTATGGCCAAAAAACGGTTTTCTCTCTGACCGCTCTCCACGTTTAGCCTGATCTCTCGGCGGCAAAAATCGTTCGATATCTCGGCGGCGCCCGCAAAGCGCGAGCTAAAACTTTCAGGAATTGATATTTAGTCCATACCCGACGTGTGTGCAAATTTTAAAGAAAATCTGAGCGTCACACTTGAAGTATTCCCCCTGTCAATTTATTTCCGCTGATCATCTATCAAAAGTAGAGAAACGGGCCATGATTCGGGCGAAAAAAGCACTCCGCCGAATTCAAGGCGGATTACGGAAGTCTCCGCCGATAAAACGAAAAAATCTTTTTTGATTCTGAAAACTCCAAGGGTTTTCTGCAAAATGCAAAAATTTTTTTTCGGATTGGACCACCGAGCACAAAGTTATTAACGATGTTTTTTCCATAATTCTTGGAACACCCTGTATAATAAATATATCGGCAAACCTCTGTACAGCAAATCGCAAAAGACCAAAAAATTTGTTTGTTGTCGGAAGACATCGTTGTGTAGAGGCTTGTTTTAAACGAAGGATGCCTAGGAGTGTTTTTTGGGACTTCTGACATTGCTTACTTGTTTATAGTCAGCTTTTTTGGTACATTGGATAAAATAAGTAGATAGAAAATTGCCCCAGGCATAAAGCATTGATAGGCTTAAATCTCCGCGTGCTTACTCTACGAAGGCCATTAAAACAAATTAAAAAACCCTTTGGTTCTGCTCAACTGAGATATTCAGCGATTTTTTAAAACGAGAGGCTACAAAAAATGAGGATAGGGAGTTACAAAAAGACAGCGTTTTTCGGCCATCTCTTTTCAAATTGTTGGTCCAAATACTCCAACTTCCACATTCCCAATCTTTTTAATATTTGCTAAAAAAAATTTTCGTGTTTCGCCGACCCAAAAGAGATGTAAAATTTCGCTAAACGTGGTCTAGCAACCGTGGTCTAGCTTTATACGATTTCTAAAACCTTTAGTCTTATCTTTGTTTTATAAATCTCCTTTAAAGCATTATATACACAAAAAGCTTCACCAATCACACCGTATTTTACAATTTTTCAGGGTGAACAACCAAAGATTAATTTATTTGAAAATTGATGTAATTACGGGTAATATTTATCGACGCTATATCCAACATACTTAAAATGGAAGAAGCCGCCAGCCGCAAGACGGTGTTGAGTAAGTTCTCAACCGACGTCGGAGAGAATGTAGCGAATTTGATGGTAAAAGAGGTGGTTGCGACGGTGGATAAGCCCGGAATGGGCGTGAAATTGGTCGATGAGCAAGAGTTGGAGTGGGTTATGCAGGTAATTTGGGGGGTTTTGGGTCAAAAATAGCTTACTTGTCATCTAAAATTGATTTTTGAAAGAGGTGACATTTTATACGATGAAACATGATTTGGCCTAAATGAAACAAAAGGTGAAAATATCAAAAAATACTGCCCCATAAATGAATTTTTCAGGTCCTAGACTACTCGTTACAACTGAAAATGTCGACAAATCGCGAGTTTGAGACGGTGCAATCGGCAGTTCGAGTTTACGTGGCTTGGCTTACCACAATTACTACTCATCCACATCCTTCAGCACCTCCACCGATGCTAAAAAACCCACTAAACTACTTCTGGTGAGTCTCTGAACTTTTGTTTTTGGTCATCCGCGAAGGCGACATTTTATACGATGAAACATGTTTTGTCGTATAACACGTCTCCATGAAACTTGAAATTACAGATTTTTAAAAAATATTAGAAAGCTTGTCTGTGAGAAACAAAATTTTCTGCATAAAGTGTTATTCTGGACATTTTATACTATGAAACATGTTTTATCGTATAAAATGTCCCTTGGCGGATCAAATTCGGAAAACTTGTTGCAACCTGATTGGATAGTCTAAATAATAATTAAAGATCAACAATTCAATGTAATACAGTCTTTTTATAAATAGAAATTTGATGAAAAAATACAATTTTGACCTTTTCTCCCTAATTTCCTTTCTTAGCCGGCTTCTGGACGCCTTGTTGGCCGCATTCCACCCTCGATCCGCCGATTACTGCAACTACAACACTCTGGTGACTCGACAAGCCACGGAGATTCGTCAAATCTTGGGATCCGTTCGAGTTCTGTATCGTCGAATGGAGGCGGCGCATAAAGAACATGACGCGGAAATGTGGTCAAGAGTACTGCTGTTTGTGAAAAGTGCCAACAATATTCTGCTCAGCAAACCTTGTTGGCCAGGTAATTAACAAAAAATGGGGGTGGAAATGAATTTTTCATCGATTTTTTTGCAGAAAAAGGGGAAAATTCCAATGTTTTGCAAAAAAAAATTTTTTTTCTTGATTCTTTTCAAATTTTGCACACGTATTCCACGTATCCCAGTCATCAATCTCTGAAAATTTTAACTCCCGATTTTCAAGCAGAGCCGAGATATTGAACGATCTTCTTTGCGAGAGAGTACGTAAATTGAGGAGAGCCGGCCAGACAAAATTTTCAAAAAGCTATAACTTTATTTACTTTGATGGAAAACAAATGAATTTTTGTGAAAATATTATTAACCCCACCTGCAATACAGACTGATTTTTAAAGCCAAAAAATAGCGAAAAATGATGACTTTTTCAATTTTTTATGGAAAAGTCATCAATTTTCGCAATTACTCCAAAATTTCAGCTATTTTTTGTCTTTTTCCGCCCTATAGATAAACAAAATTCGATTACCAATCTATTTTTGGGCTCATAAACAAGATTAGCGGCCATTTTGAACGTTTATTCTATAAAAATTTTCGAATTTTTTTCGATGTCTACTACAATATCTTCAGATGAGCTGGGCAACGTTATGGCGGCGGATTTGGCCGAACACCTGTTCGATTGCTGGGTTCTGGCGGCAATTCAGGGGAAAATCCCGACAAAATCGTATTGGAAGATGCTCTCGATGAATGCGCAGCAATGGATCACTCATGTAAGGGCAACAAGTAATATATAGGGATTGATAAGCTTATTATATCCTATTTTACAATTCTAAGCTTTACAATTACTCTTTCAGGTGCCTGTAATCGAATGGTGGGGTCGGAAACTTTTGGCGCTTACAGTTATAATTGTAAAACAAACTTTTGGCGAAGACTATTCGGATATTAAAGTTGGTAGGTTCATTTTTTTAATTCTTTTAAAAAAAGTTAATTTTGAACTCAATGCTATGTAAAAACAACATTTTTACATTAAAAATTTTTTTACCCATTTTACAGCCAGACATTTACAAATTTGAAAGGTGACATTTTATACGATGACAATTTTTTGTTGGATTTTGATGAAATTGCGGCTTATTTATGACATAATTTTACAAGATGTATATAAGCAATATTTTTAGTTCGCGTTTTGCAGAAATTAACGAAATCTTTAGTCAAAAAATTTTTTACTTTTTCAAAATCTAACAATTTTTTGAACTCAATGCGTTGTAAAAACAACATTTCTAGAGTAAAATTTTTTTTATATTCCCGTTTTATAACAAGATTTTTCCAAATTTGAAAGGTGACATTTTATACGATGACAAATTTTTTTAAAATTTTAATCAAATTACCGCTTAATTTTATAACATAATTTTACAAGATGTGTATAAGCAATATTTTCAACTCGCGTTTTGCAGAAATTAACAAAATTTTTATGTCAAAAAAATTTTTATTTTTCAAAATTCAAAATTTTTTTACAACTTTTGGCTTAAAAAATTTTCAATTTCATGACGTCATCAACTCAAAAATTAGACAAAAAAATATTTTACCTTTTCAGCCGACGAATCCCTTTACAAATCGGCCGAAATTTCGCAACTCCGCGAGATCTGGTGGCAATTACTCACACTGTTCGGGAATCCGGCCAAAATCACGGACCAAGCCGAGAAAATTTGTCTCGAAAATGGCGTTGAAGCGACGTTGAATCAGGTCGTAACGGACCAATCAACACTCTCGTTCTTCTTGGCCATCCACATTTTTGCGCAAATTGTCGACATTTTCTACGGCGATTCGAATGTTTCGATCGATTTGCACGAGAATGAGGAGCTGAACTCGCAATTCCTGGACTTTCAAAAGCATGCGGCCGAGAATTCGGCCAAGAATTTTCATCGACAGAGCAACATGTCCACCACGTCCTCGAATCACTCCAATTTGGAGCGCCAAAACGACGAAAATCAGTCGACTTTGACGCAGAATGGGAACGGGAATTTCAAGAAATTGCATGCAATTAATCAGCATAGTCCGGTGCCGAATCGGAATTCCAAATTGTCCGCAAAAGCGAGTCTGCATCATGCTGTGAGTCTGCAGACGGATATTATCCTGGAACAGGCGGCCAGTGCCAGTGGAAGTGAGCTCTCGCAGAATCCGCCCATCTTGAAACCAGCGCAGTTCGTTTGGTACATCTTGAAGAGTAAGAGACAATTTTTGTGTGAAAAAATTTGAAATTCATCCCTCAGGTGTTGTAAAAACCTTCGAAAATAGTTCGATTTTTATTTTGTGACGGGCGACATATCAATTAATGGAAATTGCGGAGTAGAGGGAGAGTTGACTCAATTGGGTCAACTGTTCGCGTGGAAAGCAAAGATCTCGGATTTTGATGCAACTTGGGGGAATTATGACATATTTTACAAGGAAAGTACTTCGATGGGGTATGGAGTTACAGGTCGAGACATATATGTATAAAAAAGTTTAAAAAATCTGATCCAGAATATATAAAAGTTAGCTACCTAATTTAAGTTTGTAAGGGCGAAAAACCCTCAGATCTTTTCTCGCAACACCACGTAAATTCCCCCTTTTTTACATTGGAGCTACTACTAAGGTCTAGTACTAATAAAATTTGGTATTTTAAGGCTTGCCAAGATGCCAGAGTTTAACCAAAATGGCATATTTTGAATTAGAAACATTTTTTCGATATACAGTAACCCCATACCCCATAGAAGAACTTTCCATGTGAAAAATTTGAAATTTATCCCTCAGGTGTTGTTAAACCCCTCAAAAATAATTTGTTCTTTATTTTGGAACGGACGAAATATCAAATAACGAAAATTGCGGAGTAGAGGAAGAGTTGGCTCAATTGGGTCAAGTGTTCTCGCTGAAAGCCGAAGGGGTCGGATTTTGATGAAACTTGAGGGAAATTTAGAGGAACATTTTCTAAGGCATTTGTTGATATTTTAGATGCCGCTTTGCAAAAATCGCGGAGATTTTTAGTTCGAAAGCATTTTTGAGAAGTTTTTCGCAAAAATCGATTTTTTTCTAGTCAAATTGACGGAGAAAAACAAGAAAATTGCCAAAGGCACTTTGATTGTCTTTGGAGCCTGAGCATTATCGTATTTTACAATGGAGCATTATCGTATTTTACAATAAATAAAATTTTTTTTACTTTTTCAAATTTTTCAGCCAATAAATTCCATCAAATTGTGAACAACTCCGAACGAAAACCTTCAAGTGCAACCTTGCTGAACCTGTTTTTGCCATGGCTTCGAGACGCCGCAAGAATTTCGATCTCACCGAGTCAACGGAAATACAGCGAAGGTAAGGGATTTTTGAAAATTTTAACGATATTTGGCTATGTTTGCCTCAAAACCACTGCTGTTTAGGATTGTTTTCATTGTGAAAATCAAATCATTTTTTTCTCTTTTATTCCTTTCTTTTGTATTTTTTTATTTGGGGAAATGAGGCCATTATAAGCAGTCAAAAACAGTGAAAAAACCTTCGATTCTCCGGCTATTTTCTTGCTAAAATTTTGAAAAAAATTTTGGCTACAATTTATTATAACTGTAGTCAACTTTAATCTACTATAATTTACTACCATTTTTTGACTAAAAATGTTGCGAAAACGTCGATTTTTGAAGAAGTCCAAGAATCTCACTTCCACTGATTTGATGGTGATAATTGAAGATATGAGTAAGCACAAAAAGAGATCGTATTTCACATTTTATATTAATATTAATAGTACAAAAGCATTTTCCATCAAAGTTTCCAGCTCGCGCTTTGCAGAAACAACCGAAATTTTTAGATCTAAAGTTGGCAAAAATGTGACATTTTTTTGCGAATTTTGCCATGAAAAGTTTCACATGTATTTCTACCATAGAGAGTAATGTTTCCACAAAAAATCAATTTTTTCCGCGCGAAACTGACAAAGGTATGGCCAAAAAGTGTTTTCTTTTCTCTGACCGCTCTACGCGTTTCACGTACTCTCTCTCTGCCGAAAAGATCGTTGAATATCTCGGCTTCCCCTGCAAAGCAAGAGCTAAAATTTTCAGGACTTGATATGTGGCCTATGCTCGAGATGTGCGCAAAATTTAAAGAAAATCTGAGCGTCGCACTTGTGATATACAGGGTGTTTCAGGAAATTCCCCGGAAAGCAATCGTCGATTTCTCGACGCTCAGCCACGATATCCAAAAAAATTTTTTTGCAGTAGAAAGAAGGTTATGGGCGGTTTTTTGCCTAAAAAGATTTTTTTCTACGCCGACGCGGAATGCAGTGTATTCGGCGAAGACTTTAGATCGCTTTTTTGGTCATCACATACATCTTAAACGCTTTTTGTGGTTTCTGATGGCTGAAATGCGGATAATTTACTGATTTTTGTGCTTATCAAGCGTTCGGCAAAGGTATGGCAGCCGCTCGCCATATCTTAACTCAGATACGGACCAGAAATGGTCCAACACAATTTTTATTGTCTGGCAACTATTTTCTGCGGGTATCGTATACCCTCCAAAATTTTGTGGTCAAGCCTTGGCAGATGTCTAGCCATCACGGAACCACTTGGTGCACCAGAAAACAACAAAAAAATTTTTGTTTAAATTTTTCTTTGCCCTGCTGTTTCAAACATTCGCGCGGTGGGCTCGACTTCATCGATATTGCAGCGACTGCATTGCACTGTGCAGTCGCTAAATGGGATCGCATAAAGTTATACCCTGCCTCCTGATCCATTGTGCAAAAAATCTGAAGACTTTCCGGATGCTGCAGTGTCACAGTAAAGCGTTTTAGATAAGTGTGATGGTCAAAAAAGCGGTCAAAAGACTTCGCCGAATACACTGCATTCCGCGTCGGCGAAGAAAAAAATCTTTTTAGGCAAAAAACCGCCCATAACCTTCTTTCTACTGCAAAAAAAAAATTTTGGATATCGTCCGAGAAATCAACGATTGCTTTCCGGGGAATTTCTTGAAACACCCTGTATTTTAATACTCTTACAAGGGAAGTACTCCAAGTGCGACGCTCAGATTTTCTTTAAATTTTGCGCACACGTCGGGCATAAACTTATAAGTATTTCGGGGTGAAAGAGCCTTTGTTCAAAAAGTTGTAGCGACCTCAGTTTGCACTTAAAAATCTTGTTATTTCGTTGACAAAAAATAATGTCGCTTAAAAATACATATTCCAAAAACGAACTCTCTGCGCCACCTCCGCCGAAAGTTATAGTCTCCTACTTTCCTTCACGTTTCTTGAAATACCCTGTAAATATCAATTCCTGAAAGTGTTAGCTCGCGCTTTGCAAGCGCCACCGAGATATTGAACCATCTTTGCCGCCAAGAGAGCACACTAAATGTGGAGACCGGTCAGAGAGAAAAGCGCTTTTTGGCCGTAACTTTTCCAGATTTATGCGGAAAAAATTGATTTTTTGTGGAAACACTATCCTTTACGGTAGAAATAGGCATGGAACTTTTCGTGCCGAAATTGGGCAAAAAGTCTTAAATTTTGGCCGAATTTCGATCTTAAAATCTCGGTTGTTTCTGCAAAGCGCGAGCTGGGAATCTCGCATATATCTTAGAAAAAATTATTCTAAATTTGTGCCAAGTTTTATCCAAATCAGAGCGTCGCAGTTGGGGTACTTCCCTTGCTTGCCAAAAATTCAAAAAAAAAAAAAAAAAATCACTCTATTAAAAATCAAAAAAAATAATCATTCTAACCTTTGATGTCAACCACTTTTCTGATCCTTCTTTTCGACCCCACTGTTCTCCCAACCCTCCCAAACTGTTGGTTTCCAACCTTTGCCCTGTAAGACTATTGTAAGCGGCTTTGCGAAGGGAGTTCTTTCTTCTCCTTTCCCTGTCTGCGATTGAGGTCTCTCTTTTTCGCGACGGCCTTGAGAAATGTGGAGGGAAATTCAGGGAACCCCATCTCGGCGTTTTAATTTCCTTTTCATATACCTGTTATTCGATTTGGCAAGGAAAGTACTTTTATGGGGGCTCCTACTTTTTGACGGGACATATCTCAAAAAATCAGAAAAAATGTGCTGATCAAGGATATATAAATCTTAGCTGCCCATTTTAGGTTTTTATGGGTGAAAACTCAATCGGAAGTGGGCTTAAAGTCCTATATAAACCCCTTTTCGCTTAATTTTTCACAGGTTTACAATTTTTATTTTGGCTTAAAATGATGTTTATTGAGTTTCTAAGACGTAATAAATCAGTCTTGGCACAAAAATTTGTTTTTCCAACCTTCAACTTCAAAAAAAGTTGATCCAGCCCAAAAGGGAAATCGAACCCGTGCGGCGTCCTCCCTCTTGATTCCCAGACTACGGCACTAACCACTCGGCCACACCGCTCTCCTCCGAAGGAAGAGACCGAATGCGCTTTTTATCGTTTCGAATGCATGCGCCTTTTGTAGGGAAATTAAGCCAGTTTTTGGGCATTTTCACCCCTAAAAACCCAAAATGGGCAGCTAAGATTTATATATCCTTGATCAGCACATTTTTTCTGATTTTTTGAGATATGTCCCGTCAAAAAGTAGGAGCCCCCATAAAAGTACTTTCCTTGTGAGAAGCGAGGGGTTTTTATTCAAATTATTTAGGTTATTGATATAATAACAAAGTTTTTCGTATTTTAACATAAGTTACTATGTTTTTTCCAGTTTTTCAAAAAAAAAATTTTCGTATTTTGATGAAATTTTTGTTCACATTTTGGACGTAGGCCATATATCAATTACAAAAAATTTTAGCTTGTGCTTTGCAAGGACAGCCTAGATATTAGGCGATTATAAATTATCATGAAAAAAATATGGGCTTGCGGCCGAGACAATACGCGAAAAGCGGAGTGCCGTCGGGGGAACACACTTTTTGGTTGTATCTTTGCCCGGTTTACATGGAAAAAATCGATTTTTTATTGGGAAATTCGTCTCTATGTGTAGTATAGAATTAGGGGCACAACTTTTTATGTCATAATTGCAAACAGGTGCTATGTTTTCACCAATTTTTGACTCAAAAAATAAACAAAAATTCTTGGTTATTTCTGCAAAGCGCGAGCTAGAAACCCCACATCTTCATTTTCCATAGCTTCTTATCATCAAAAATCTTTGCAAAGATCATTGAGAATTTCGGATGTTCTTGTAAATCATAGGCTGAAATTCTTAGTGTTGATTTATGGCTTACAAGGGAAGTACCCATGAGCGACGCATTAGAACTATCTACGCTCGGATTTTCTTTAAACTATGCACACACGTCGGGCATGGACTAAGTATCAATTCCTGAAAGTTTTAGCTTGCGTTTTGCAAGCGCCACCGAGATATTGAACGACATTTGCTGCCGAGAGAGTACGTGAAACGTGGAGGGCGGTCGGAGAGAAAACTGCTTTTGGCCATAACTTTGCTAGTTTCGCATGTAAAAAAATGATTTTTTGTCGAAATATTACTCTCTACAGTAGAAATAGGTAGAGAAAACACCTTTTTGGCCATAACTTTGGCAGTTTCGAGCGGAAAATTTTGATTTTTTGTAGAAACATTATCCTTTACGGTAGAAATAGGCATGAAACTTTTCGTGCCGAAATTCGGCAAAAAGTCTCAAATTTTCGCCGACTTTCGATCTAAAAATCTCGGTTGTTTCTGCAAACCGCGATCTAGAATTCTCACATATATCTTAGAAAAAATTACTCTAAATTTGTGCCAAGTTTCCTCAAAATCTAAGCGTCGCATTTGGGGTACTTCCCCTGTTAGTTAGAGTTTATTAGAACTATTAAACAAAAATCATCAAAAATTTCACGCTGCCCTTGAGCAACTTATTTTTATCCTACTGCCATTCAAATTTACATATTATCTTTGTTCAAAAATTGGTCTCCTCTCGCCCCCCCCCTCAAATATTGAATCGAAACCCGTCTGTAAATCAACGTCAGCCCTTCGGGGCTTATGGGATTTGGTCGCCAACATATTTTCGAATCTATTTTTCTGAATTTTTAATCAGTATCAAGTGGGGAGAATGGTGAAGTGATATTTTGGAATGGAATGGGAATCGCGAAAAAACTTGGTTCCGAACCGCCACGTTTGATTTTCATATTATACAATTAGCCAGTGGCCGCGGGTTGTAAGCGTTTTTCGAGTTTCCGCCAACTTTTTTTTCTTGAGGGTTTTTCGAAAAATGATTAGATTTCTGCCAAAAAATGTGTAAAAATGAGGAAATATCTTAAAATTACTGTAAATTGTGGTGTGAAATTGAAGAATACTGACCTTTTTGTGAAGTAAAATTTATTTTTTCAGCAGTGGAAAAGTATTTTATGACAAGATTTTGCTGATTTTTTGAAAAAATCAGCTAAAATTTGCCATAATTTGATTATTTCCAAAATTTCGCCCGAAAATTTTTAAAAATCTCCTCTAAAAATCCCTTTAGCATATCCTCAGCTACATAACAGTTTTTTAAACATCCAAAAAATTTCAAAGTTTTCCACGGACTAAGCCCGGCTTGACCCTGGGATCCAGGTCAGCTACTGCAATTTACTCGGAAATCCCCTCTCGTTTTTATTACGCAATCGACAATAAACGTTCCCCCAGCACACCGAAAAAGAGTTTTGGTAACGGAAAACGAAAAGAAAGGAGGGAAAACTCGAAAAGCGCCGAAAATCAGGAGGTTCCAAAGATTGATTGCCTCTTCAGCCCCTATTGTACGGCTATATGAGCTGGTGTTGGCGGTATTGAGAGTCTTGTTTGTGTAAAATGTTGGGATAATGGGGAATCAACCGAGTCAAGGCCGTGTCGGGAAGAAGACCTCGAAACGTAAGGACATATTGAGATTTGGGAGATCTTTTGTCATGGATAACAAAATTTTTGTCAGTAGTTGATCTCCATCGTGTTTAAATAGACTTATTCTTTCTCCAAAACCCTCCTGCACTGATTTGCCGGCAAGATTCACTTCAATTTCGTCATTTCCCGTCGACATTTACGTCATCGTATAAAATGTCCCCGCAGTCTGCGGAATTTTGCAAAAGTCTCGGGCGCAGCTCGGTTTAGCAATTATTTTTTACAATAGTAGCGCACTTCGTTGAATAATCGAACAAGCTACTTTGAGGTCAGTCAACCATATTGACGTTGTTTTCTTTCTTCATTTTCTCGTTTTCCATGGTTTTCGTTGCCTGGAGACAAAAAAAGGAGATTATTTTTACGCAAGCCTCTTGTTTGCTCAATGCTGATCAATTTTTTGGTTGACTAGGGTATTATGCGTTGATACTGAACCTCTGAACTTTGAAAGATTGGAGTTTTATGGTTTTCTTGAGTTTTTTGGAAGTTCGGATATTACTTTAGGTGGTTTTGAAGAAAATTTCGATTTTCTTAGGTATTTTGAAAGATTTTTTAATGGAAACTGGCAGAATAAGGTAGATTCTTTATCACTTCAGCCATATAAGGCTGTTTTTCTTTTTGGAATTTTCAAAAAAATATCTTTTCGTCTCATTTTTCGAATTTTAGGTAACATTTTGATATTATCTTTAAAAATTGGTGTTTTTAGACATGAACCTACGATTTTTTGGTCTCGTTAGAAAGACCAATGTATATTCTACATTATTTATCAACTTTTTCCACCAAAATCTCTCGCTGAATTATCCAAAATTCCCTATTTTCTCCATGATCCGCCAATTTTTCCTAATTAAATCCGCAGCGGCGTTTAGATGGAGGGATTGGATTAGATTCCTGATTCCAGCCTTTTTCCTCTGACCAGTCAAGGTGTATTTGTTTGTTTTGCGGGAAGAATCCCCACCAGTTTTTCAGACCTCGCTCTCGTCTTTTTTGTTCTGTAATTTTTCGTGGAATCGGATGGATTTTGAACCGTTACGCAATCGTTTTCGCATATTCGAGAGGAATTTTATGGTGTGGATTTGTGTGAGGGGTAATATTGAGGGGATTTTGAGGGAAATTTGTATGAAAAATGGATTTTTATTTACATTTGGACCTAAATTAATTAATTTAGGTCCGAATGTAAATAAAAGTGTTCGGCTGAAGTTGAATTTGGTTGTAAAATAAAAAAAAATATATAAATAACTGTCTAGGGCATTCCTATGTCTAGTTACAGCATCTTAGGTGATTAATTCGACTTTTTTTATATTATTTTAGGTGGTTACCTAAAATAATATAAAAATTTTTCGATTTGACGGAAATCTCTAATACGATTAGTGATTATAGAGTCAAAGATCTTTTTGCACTCTTATTTTCATATTTTTATAGCCTTTAGTAATAGTTTTTACCAAAAAAATCCAAAAAATTTCAATCTCCCCCACAAAAATCAAAAAAAAAACTAAAAATAAAATAAAAATTCATGACCCTAGATAAGGCAAAAACATCAATCAGATTGTAAAAAAATTATTTACCTATTTATAAAGTCCATTAAAAAAATTCTTGATCTTTACCCTGCCAAACTTGGACCTTTCATTCAAAAGCTAACAGAATTTTTGTTTGCACAGCTAACTGTCTCACTTTTTATGCGAGTTGAAAGGAAATCGAAGCCTCAAAAGTTATGGAATTTGCGTTTGGGCTATTTACGAGCTGTTGATAGGGAAAACGTTGAAATTTTTTTTGAAATAAAAATTGGAGAAAATGCGAATTATTGGTGTTGAAAAGGGGGACGTTGACGGCTTGATTGAGGTCTATGAGTGCTGGCAATGAGGTTGTGTGTTTGGAAGAGGGCTTATGGAACGAGGTTTTGCCGATTTTTGGGGGGTTTTAGCATTTTATCGACATCTGATGTCATGGATAATATAAAAGTTGGGTTTCAGAAGGTCAGAATTTTTTTTAAAGTCGTAATAAGGTCTGAAGTGGAATAAAAATACCTTTGAGAGTCATTGAGATTACAAAAAAATATTAATTTACCCAAATTTTTCATGTGTTTAGTCACGATTACTTACAGTGACGGACCAGATCCAGTTGCAAAAAAAAGTACCATTTTGAATCCGGGAAGTATCAAAAAATGTAGCAAAATGCCTCCCATAGAGAGGGAGTTATTTTGCTACATTTTTTGATACTTCCCGGATTCAAAAATGGTACCTTTTCTGCCACTGGATCAGGTCCGCCACTGTAGGTAATCTCTGCCTAAACAGAGATGAAAAATTTGGATAAATTAATGTTTTTTGTAATCTCAATGACTTTCAAAGGTATTTTTATTCCACTTCAGACCTTACTACGGCTTTAAAAAAATTCTGACCTTCTGAAAACCAACTTTTATATTATCCATGACATCAGATTGTCGATAAAATGCTAAAACCCCCCAAAAATCGGCAAGACCTCGTTCCATAAGCCCTCTTCCAAACACACAACCTCATTGCCAGCACTCATAGACCTCAATCAAGCCGTCAACGTCCCCCTTTTCAACACCAATAATTCGCATTTTCTCCAATTTTTATTTCAAAAAAAATTTCAACGTTTTCCCTATCAACAGCTCGTAAATAGCCCAAACGCAAATTCCATAACTTTTGAGGCTTCGATTTCCTTTCAACTCGCATAAAAAGTGAGACAGTTAGCTGTGCAAACAAAAATTCTGTTAGCTTTTGACTGGTCAGAAAAGTGATAAAACAAAAAAGCATGAAGGGAAAGGACGGGGAACGTGACAGTTTTACGGAAACGGCCCGAGACTTGACTTTTAAAGTCTTTTTTTACTATATTTTCAAAGGCTTAGCTGTAGGGGAAATGATTTTTTTAAATTTTTTAGAGTTTAAATTAAATTTTTTTGATTGGAATTTGTGATTTATACCAAGTCCCTTTATTTTTGAGTATTATTTTCACTTTAAACCACCTTTTTGAAGCCAAATTGTAATTTCTTTAATATATTTTTTTTTTGAAATTTAATATTTTTGTCTCTCAAATTAATGTTGACTCCTGTTTCATGACTAAAATCAATTTTTTCAGATGTAATAAGCCAGCGGTCCCTGAGTTCAACCGATCTGGATCCACAAATGAGCGCTGACGGCCCGGTTTCCCGGCGGTCTTTTGGTAATTTTTTTTGAATTTGAACATCAATTCTCATTATTTCGTATTTTACAAATTTTTTTTGTTGTCTTGGAGTTCAACTTTGTGTAATGAAATTTTATTTTTTTTTTTCGATTTTTTTTTTGAAATTTTGTCGATTTTAGATTATTTTTTTAGTTCAAATTAGATAAAAAAAGTGTCGTATTTAAAATCTGTTTTGATGTTGAGAGTTTTTATTAAAGCCCATTAAGAGGTTTTAGATTGTGTTTGGCCAATTTTATATTGAAAATTAGACCTTTCGACCTTATTTTAGGTATTTTTACCTAAAATAAGGTAAATTTTTTTGATGAGAACTAGATTTTTTGAGTTTTTTGAGAAAAACCTAAATGCTCATTTCGTATTTTACAATTTGGAATTTTTTTGACACAAAAAAATATTTTTTTTTATTTTTTTTTTATTTTTGTTACCTAAAAAAATTTTTTCCTTTTTTCAGCCGGGAGCACCAATTCCGCCAGCGACATCTCCTCCCCACACCACTCCCATCACGCCGGCTACACCACCATCCTCCCATCGGACCCATCCACGGCGCCTTCGGTGGACGGAATCGCCGCAGGCAAGTCCGCCGCCCTCGGGGCATTATGCCGAATTGTGTGCTCCAAATCCTCCGCCGAAGTGATCAGCGACGAGCAGTTGGCCCAGTTCCTAATCGTACTCCATGAGGCACTCGTTGAACGGGACCGACTCATGCTTTGCTCGTTGATCTTCTACAGCACCGAGTTGTTCAAATTAGGCCTGAAAGGCGTGGAAATATTGTTGCCCAATTACATAACTGCCATTGATATCTTGCTCACGGAGTCGTTCAAATTGAGGTGAGTGGAATTTCTTTATTTTTGATAGAGGTCTTGGGGGTTTTTGACCATTTTTTTTTTGATATTACACTAGATGGCGAAGGTAAAAAATTGGCAATAATGTCTGAATAATTACTATTTTTATGAAGATAAGAGCTAATTATGGTTGTAATAGCTTTTCGAAGGTTTCATGAGGCTTTTCTGGCCAAGTTTTGTCTATTTTTTGATATTACACTAGATGGTGAAGATAAAAAATTGGCAATAATGTCTGAAGAATTACTATTTTTATGAAGATAAAAGCTAATTACGGCTTGTAATAATTTTTCGAAAGTTTAATGAGGTTTTTTGGCCAAGTTTTGACTATTTTTTTGATATTGCACTAGATGGTGAGGATAAAAATTGTCAATAATGTCTGGGAATTACTATTTTTATGAAGATAAGAGCTAATTACGGCTTTTAATAACTTTTTCAACTGCTTATGAGGCTTTCCTGACCAAGGTTTGACTAATCTTGGATATTACACTAGATGGGGAAGGTAAAAAATTGACAAAAGATGTGGAATTTCAAGTCTTTTTTTGGTTTTAAGTAGCATTTAAGCCAAATAAGGACATTAAAAGCTAATTTTGATTATGATTTGATTAATTTTTGCCGAAAGAATTCGATTTTTTCAAAATTTTTGAGCCTTGATGTAGCAAAAAAAAATTTTTTCAAATTTTTATTTTCAAATTGATTTTTTTCTTTTCAGACTCCACCCCTCGATAAATGAAGTCGACATGAGGCATTCTTGTCTGAGAGCGTTGGCCTCGGTCATCTCATGGCCCACCACTTTTGGCCGAGAGAAAATCACCCAATGGGATGAGACGGTCTCAATAACCAAGGGAAATAACAATGTTCTCGGTGTCGGCATGACCTATGAAGACCTCCGGCCGAGAATTTTAAGAACTCTGATCTATGCCCTGCGGAATGAAACCGACTCCATGAATCTTCAGCTCGTTTTGGGTGAGTTGAAAGGATTTTTTGGGGAAATTGAGGGAAAAATTAGATTTTTGGGCTAAAAATGTATTTTAAAGGGTGTATATGGTTCAGATTTGATATGGATTTCTATGTATGGGGCGTATTTTACATTTTTTATCGTGTTTTTGAAAAAAAAATAAAAAATTTTTTTTGAATATCAAAAAAAATTTTTTTTTTAATTTTTCAGGTTTATGCCACAGTTTTTGCGCCGAGAACTCCCGTTATGACCTGTCACAACATAAAAAGACTATCGATGAGAACGATGAGAAAGTTTTCGCCATCTCGGCTCTAAAACAGACCATCTCCGCCGTCTGCGACAACCTCTGCAAACCCCAATGGTGCGCCGAACTGGGCACTTCCTTGGCCGCTTTCGATTGTCTAAATGCTTTATCTACACTGCCAACTAGCTTATTGTTCCATGAAGGTGAGATTTGAAGGGGTTTGAGAGCTTTATTTGAAGGATAGGAGATTTTGGACATGGAGAATATAATTTTTTGAGCGTTTGAAGAGTTTTTGGATTTTTTTTTTGAATTTTGTATATTTATTTGAAGTCTACATGCCATCTAGGTTATTTCTCAACGGTTTAGGATTTTCGGATTTGCCAAAAAAAATCGATTTTTTTTTGATTTTTTGAAATTTACGTTTTTTATCCATAATCACGTTTTTATCCCATAATATTGGATTTTCATCGAAAGTACTAATAAATTAGATTTTAGATTTACTTTTTGTAGCATTTTTAAGATTTTTTTGCACCTGAAATCGCCTTTGTCAACTAAATTTTTTATTTTTTTACTTAATTTTTTAATAATTTTACGTTTTTTGTCCATAAACTTGCTTCAGACCTATATAATCTTTCGAATTCTAGGTGACCATTCCACGGGAGCCCTGATCGTCTCATCCCTCTGCCGATTCGTCAATTCCCAACTCCAGAAACCCCCTCCATTCCACTCCCGGGATCTCCATTCATCAGTTGTGGCGGCCTTTCAGTCCCTCGAAGTCTGGCTTTGTGCCGCCCCAATCTTGGCCGAAATGGAGTCGGTGATAAATACGGTCGCCAAAACCATCGAATTCGGGATGACTGGAGGCACAGACCTGAAACCGGAGGAGTACAAACCGGCCAGTCAAAGGGTCCACGATGCCGCGGAGAGCTTGCGATTCAATTTGTTTGGAAATGTGGTGGGTTTTTTGAGGAGTTTAGAGGGTTTGGGAGGAGATTTTAGGGGAAAAAATTGCGAAATTTTTTGTGGGTGAAGGAAAAAATTTTCGAATTTTTTTTTTTTTTTTTTTGTATTTTTTTTAATCAAAAAAAATTTTCTTTTTGCATGCCAAAATTTTGGTCGTATTTTTTCGTGTTTAACAACAAAAAATTAAAAAAAAAATTTTTTGTTACCTAAAATTAAAAAAATTTTTTTTGTTACCTAAAATTAAAAAAATTTTTTTTGTTACCTAAAATTAAAAAAATTTCAAAATTTTTTTTGCCGTGTTTTTATCATGTTTTACAACAAAAAATAAAAAAAAAATTTTTGTTACCTAAAATGAAAAAAAATGTTTTCCATTCAAGAATTTTTGGCCGTATTTTAAATTAAAATCAATTTTTGAAACACTTTCAGGGCTCAAATGACTGCACAACCGTGGTTGATGAACACAGCGTAATTCGGAAACTGGGCGATGACAACCTCTCCCTCGCCGGTTTCCAACACTTTGTCATCGACAAATTCAGCCTCATCAGTCTGCATAACTTGACTCATGCCGACTTTGTGAGCAACGGATTACCGACGGTGGTCATGGTGTGTAGAACGCCCTTCCAGCCAGCTCATGCGACTCTAATTCAACTCAAAAGTCGAGTGAAGAATGATGAGAATTTGGAGGGCAACAATAATAATAATAAAGGTGAGGAGAGGAAACAGAAATTTTGATCTCGATTTTGGTGGGCGAAGTTTTTAGAGGGGACATTTTATACGATGAAAAAATTTTACGAGGTTTTTGTGATAAAGATTTGTTAAGGTGACATTTTATACGGTAGAAGATGTCTAGAGGGCATTTTTAGTTTTTTAGAAATAGAAAAATTCCCTGGAGACATGTTATACGATGAAAAAAATTTACGAGATTTTTGTGATAACAGTTTTTAAGGTGACATTTTATACGGTAGAAGATGTCTAGAGGGCATTTTTAGTTTTTTGGAAATAAAAAATTCCGTGGCGACATGTTATACGATGAAAAAATTTTACGAGATTTTTGTGATAAAGATTTTTTAAGGTGACATTTTATACGGTAAAAGATGTTTAAAGGGCATTTTTAGTTTTTTGGAAATAAAAAATTCCCTGGTGACATGTTATACGATGAAAAAAATTTACGAGGTTTTTGTAAAAAAGAAATTGGTAAGGTGACATTTTATACGGTAGAAGATGTCTAGAGGGCATTTTTAGTTTTTTGGAAATAAAAAATTTCGTGGAGACATGTTATACGATGGAATTTTTTTGGCCTAAATTTTGTGATAATCCCACAGATTTTGATACAATTAGAAAAGAATAATAAAAAAAATAAAGATGAACATTTTTTCAAGACATCCGAGATGATTTTTTAACTCGAATTTTGAGATTTTTTTGGAATTTTTTGTCAAAAAAATTATTTCCTTTGACGTTCCAGTAGTTGTTTATGAAGTGCGTTCATTTTTACCGTAATTTTCAAGCTTTTTAATTCTGTATTTTTACCTTTTTAGAAGCCCCGGAACGAAAAGCCAGCGTCATCCCCGAAAAATCGAACGAAAATGACGCTCCGGGCCCAAAACCCCCAAAACACAAGGCCGAAATCCCCGCGGAATGCTTCAAAGTCGAATGTGAACTCGACAAGAACCTACAACTCAAATCCCCAACGCCGGAGTCGAAACAAGTGGAACAGGAATTGGGAGGAATCCGAAAAAGATTGGCCGAAGGAGCGGTTTCACCCTTGGGCGATAGAGATCAGAAAAATGTGTGGGCCACAGCAAGCTTGGACAGCCCATTATGTGCCCCGCCAAGGCCATCGGAGTGAGTTTTGGGGGAGATTTGACAAAAAAAAAATTAAAATTTTGTCTAGTGTAATATAAATTTTGAGTCAAAAATAAGTTTTGGGGAATGTTTTAGGTGCTGAGAAGGCTCTAGAAAAAATTTATTAGATTTCGGATTGATTTTGACACCTCCACCGTTTTTTTTTTTTTTTTTTTTTTTGAAAATTGGGGGATTTTTTATTTTAGGTACAAAATTTAAATTTTCTGCCTTTTTCGGTCTCTAAAAAGTGTTAGAAATCGCGAAAACGAATGTGGTTTGTCTTCTCTAGGCTGTTGTCGAATGTTGATTTCATTTTTACATCAAAAAAATATCTCTTTTCTAGTGCAATATAAATTTTTATCAAGTACAATATAATTTTTCAGGCCGTTCAAAAAATGCAACGCGGTCCGAGTATTCCTCTACGATATGGGCCTGTTGGACCGAAAAACGTTTGGCCAAGACCTGATCGCATTGGATACGGCCAACACGAAGGACTTTTTTGATGCCCTCCACTCCCAAATCGATCGACATCCGGCCAAAAAATGCGAAACCGTCTCGATATTCTACGTGCGGAGGGGTCAGCGAAGCTTCTCGGACATCCTGAAGAACACTGAGAGCCTGGAAACGACCTCAAAAACTTTTGTGAAACTCATTTCCCGGCTGGGCAGGATCCGCAGGACGAGGGAGCCGGCTTTCTGGACTGGCCATTGGCAGACCGCCTTCTCCCCTCCACCCGCCCTGGATTCGGACCCATTCGCAAGAACACACCAAGAGACCCATAGTTTGGATGGATTGGAGAATTGTATTTGGTGGTCGGACTCCCAACTTGAGATCGCCTATCAGCTCCCCTCCGAGAGAAGTTTGCAACGAAATCTGCAGTTCATTCATGAGAAAGACGACTCATATGCGGTCCCGGTGAAACAACAGACTGTAACGAGTAAGTTGAAGGGCATTTGGAGAGGTTAAGAGGAGGAATTGAAGTTTTTGGAGTAGTTTAAATTTTGGATGAGGAGTTGACCTAGAATAAGGTCGAAAATTGAGAATTTTGATGATTTAAAGGAAAGTTTGAACGGTATTCGGATGGAAATGAAAAAATGGACAGTAGTGAGAGTAGAAATTGCCATCTAGCATGCTTTTTGATTGGGGTAAATTTACCTAAAATAAGGTCAAAAATCGATGTTTTTTTTTTGATTTTGTGATGGGAAAATTGCTGTGTTTTGATGGATTATGAAAGGATTAGGGGCAGAATGGATGAGAAAAGACACTAGGAGAAAACATTGGCTGTGTTTGGAAGGTAGATTTGACCAATTTCATCTAAAATAAGGTAAAAAATGAAAAAAAAATATATTTTTAATGAACAGCGACTTATATTTTGGGATTTTACCAGTAAAATCCGATTTTTATTAAAATTTTTTATTAAGAATAGAAAAATCACATTTTTGAAAAAACAAAAAAGTCGGTTTTTATTCAAAAATATCTCTCAAATCTTCTATGGATGGCCCTAGATACCTGTCCTTTGATCTGCACCCCATATTCGATATGAAATTGCACTTTAAATGACTTTAAATGCGTTGATTTCACTCATTTTTCAATGTGTTCATTTTTTTTGATGTTGGCAAAGTCTGCTTAGCCGAAATTATCGCTTCAGTCAGCAGTCTCCAACAAACCCTTCACGTCAACGTTGCCGAGCCCTCGGTCCGAGTGAATCGCCCTCAAATCTCCCCCTCTCAACGCCTCCTCATCACCCACAATCGCCCCTCATTCAAACTCCAGGACAGCCACGAGCAAAAGAGCGATGAAACCCTCGAACTCATCGATGAATATAATCAAAACCTCGAAAAAAGAACCCAATTCGCCTCGATGAACTCGTTCCCGACGATAAATCAGAGCTTTTTGAGCATCGAAGTGGGCCCCACGCCCGGCTCAACCGAGCCTCCGCGAAGCGCCCGCTTCTCCCCGAACGCCAGGAATCGAATCTTAAGCCGTCAGAAGACGGTCGACTACACCCGGTACTCCACAACCACCGAAAATCAAGAAAGAAAGGCGTCGGATTCGGCGTTGAGCAGGAAAATAATTAATCGACAGGTTACGGCAGCTCCGAATACATTAATCACGAATCGACCGAATATTGATGAGATTATGGAAGAACCGGCGAAACGATTGGTCCAAAGACGATTTACCACTCATTCAGGAGCCCCAGATTCACCCAGAAGCCCAACGAAATCGAGAAATTCGTTAACAAATTCATCAACAAATTCACCAACCAGCTCAAAGGCATCAAGTCCAACGGTGATTTCCAAGCCATTCCCATCCACGAATTCGAGTCCATCGGCGAAAATGGGAACATCAGTGAGTTCACCAACGGTTTCATTGATGAATAAAAGCCCATCAATGAATTCGTCGATGAATTCTTCAATGAAAAATGTTTCATCAACCAGCCCAAAACCCTCAACACCATCTCCATTGACCCAACAAAGCTCCTTCAGCTATATCAAAAGCTTTTTCCGTCGAAGGAACACGGAAGATTCATCGTCGAGTTCCTTGACAAAACCCGAACCAACCCTGAAAACGCTGAGCGAGGTAACGGAGGAAGAGCTGGAGGAAATGTTCCCACGAATGCCCTCCCGCGAACAGAAAGGTACACCTTTGAAGTGCTTCTCCAACCAACCGAACTATCGCTGAAATCCTCTTTCCATTCGCTGAAAACCCCGGGTTTTGTGTTCTTGTTGTTGTGTTTTTGAATTGAATTCCTCTTTGTTTCCCTCTGTACTATGAGTTTTTCCAGGTTTTGGCGATTTGCAACTCTAGAAAGAAATTTTTGGGTCCTACCACGAAAACAATTTATTTTGTAATTTTGCAATTTTTGAGTGCCCAGGCTTTGGTATACTCTCCTGTAACTTTTCAACAGACTTTTTTTAGCGAGTTTAACGCCAACTAAGGTAAATAATTTATATTATATTACTTTATCCTACCAGCTTCTCCTTCGATAAACTGTCCATTCAATTTTTTTTATTTTGAACTAAAATAGAAGGGCGTGGGCTTATGGAGACATGTGTTGGATGTAGCAGAGCAATTATGAGTTATTTTTGCAGAGTACACGCCATCTTCTACATCATCTTCATTAGCTCCCCATTCCCGCGAAGGATCGTCCCTAACGGATGATAGCGGCGCAATCAGTGGAAAACGGTAAGGAAATAGCGGCCTTAGGGAGTGCATACCTTATCTAGAGCAAAATTATGGGAATTTACTTTGTATTTTAGCAGTAGCGACCTCTCTCAACCAACCGCAGCCACTAGAACAAGGTCCACTTCCACGGTGAATAGCGAATGCAGCTCGGCTCAAAAACCAATGCTGATGCCCTCAAATCAAAGCAGGAGCAATGGAATCCCAACGCCGAAAAGGTCGCCGGATCAGAGGGTACTAGTTGTTTGGTTGGAGAAGATTGAAGATTTGCATAATTTCCCATATGGTAAGGAGAATATTAAGAAAAACTTATAATTTTTGGTCGATTTGATTGGGATATTGGATTTTGTTAGATGTATTGGAACTGAAATAGTTTTTTGGGAGCCTTGAAATTTGTTTTACATTGAGATTTTGACAAAAATCGTCCAATTTCCCTAGTACAATATACTTTTTTGACAAAAAATTTCTTTTACCAGTCTATTTTCGGAAGAAATGTTGTTGTTTTATATCCGGAATTTGATTTATGACATTTTATTTTAGCTTTCGACCAGTCAAATTCGTTTCGAAAAGTTTTGAAACGAAAAAAAAATTTTGCACCGTGCGAAATGTATCATAATTTTTGATGAATAACTGTAATATTTCACTTCTAGACCAACTTCTAATGTCCACGGACGATGGTTCGCGCCGAGTGAACCCTAATCTCAAGTCGCAACGAGCCGATTTGCACATAATCTACCTCCATAATTTCGAGGAAGGTCTGGTCCAAGTTCACACGGAAGCCATCTGGACCAAAGCGGGACAGCCTGGCCCACTTGTCGATGGAATTGTCGTGTCCATCGACGCATTACCCTCATTATTGCGGCAGACGGTGGCCAATATTTCAAGGAGGAAGACTGTGGAGGTCGAGTGAGTTTTTGAGATTTTTTTATGTTGAGATCTTTTGTTGGAAATTGGAGTAAAAATGAAAAATGTGTTTGATATAGACAATTTTTTTTATTTAGAGAGCAAGTTTTTTCGTATTTTAGAAAAAAATTTATGTCTAATTTTTCCACCCTTTAGCCAACTCTCCCCCGCCCATCGCCGCCGCCAAGCCATCGCCGAACTGGCCAAGAAACACGGGTGTAGGTTCGGCTACACCGAATTCCTCGACCGCTTCATCACCAACGAGTAATATCCGTCATAATAATTCTAATATCCAAATTCGAAAATGTGATAGCATGGAAATGTTAATATTCTTCTTTTTTTGCAGTTTTTTCTATTTTTTATCAAAGGTTGTATAAAGAACATATCAATAAATTATTTGAGATTTTTAGGACAGAATTTTTTTGAATTTTTTTCTTGGGCAAGGCAGAAAAATTACGCAATAAACGCTGATTTTGACACAGAAAAATTCTTTTCAAAGTTTATTTATTCTGCTTTTTTATTCACTCAACGAAATGGCTTCGACTAGTGTAAGAGCTCGTCCGGTAAATGTACGGACCGAACTGAATGTTTTGGCCATGTTACTTCAGGCCAAACAGAGCTACACGGTGATCCAGAGAATGCTCACGGATCAAGCAAATGCGCTGGAAATGGTTTTTGATGAGATTGAAGAGCAGGAATGCCATTTGAAGAATTGTAAAGTGAGTTTATTGTGTGATTTTTAGAAGTGCTGAAAAGGCGACAATAAGGTTTCTTTTGAGCGAATGTACGAAAATTAATGTGTGCAAAATCAAAGTCTTGTCGTTGCTTTGGCCACTTTCCTCATCCAATCTAATAATGGACATTTTCAGGAAGACCTTGCAAAAATACGAGGTCTTATCGACAAGCTTATTGAAAAATGTGCCAGTATCCGAGCCGGAAATCGTTTGTGCAACAGGTTGAAGAAGGCGTTCAATCGCGTATTTAGTCAATGGGTTGCGGCATGGAAAGCGCTTCACCAGGTCAAAAAGGAAATTGCCGAAGCTGATGAGAAAGAAGAAGAAACGGAAAACAATGGTGAGACGAATAATAAAGAGAAAGAAGAAACATAACCAAGAGACGCGTCAATGTTAATTTTCTTATTATCTTTTTTGTCATAGTTGCTGTTAAAAATGAATAGTATTATAATAACTTTAATAAATGAAAAAAGACTTACTTTGATCTAGATTAAATTGGTGATATGGGGCTTATGCATAAAAAATTGAGAGAAACTCGCTCTTCTACCGCTGTACTGGTAGGAAATTCAAATCTGTTCAATATTTTACGACCTAAAAGGAACAATTCAGATGCCTTCAAACAGGATAGCAAATTTCTGCTATAAAAATTGCAAAAAAACGAATTTTTGGAATTTTCAACCTAAAAGACTTGATGATTTTTGCAAATTACGAGATAAAAATCTTTCATCTGTGTGTTTTAGAAAATTGAGATCTAAGTTTTGCCCAGGTTCCATCAAAACCCGTTGTCATTTCTCTCCTCCGCGCAACACTTGGCCCAAATGAGCCAAGTCTCTCACTTCCCCGCGAATTCTCTGTTTAATTTTGTCTGCCCTGAAAAGTGGTTTTCGGGCGCTGTTTTGACACGCCTCTTCGGCGGCGTCCATTATAAGGCACTCGCAGAGAGGGGTTACCCCAGTTTAAACGGCGTTCTTTTTGCGGAAAAATGTCGGAGAAGCTGAAGAAATTTGTAAAATCTACTCTGTTTGGGAGGAAAAAGGGCAAAAAGGATAAGAGAATTGTAAGTTGATGGTATTCTAGGCCATTTCTAGGATGATTTTTTTTTTAATTTTTTTACGAAAGTATTATTTACCAGTCCACGAAGTATTTTACGAATGCATTATAGCATTGTAAGTTGTTGTAGCCGCTCTTATGTCATCTAAATTTTATTAGGATGCAAAATCTTTCTATAGCGAACAATTTTAGAGCTTTCAAAAGTCACTTTTTGTCAAAGTGAACTTTCGTACAAAGGATCGTATATGACCAAAATATATTTTCTTTAAAGACGTTTCGTGTGGAAGGTCCTAATGATTCATAGGCTAAACGAATCTCCTTACAACAAAACCCTTCTCTAACCAATTATTTTTTTGGTTCTGTTGTACAGAGGCTTTTTAAGTTAAAATTTTTATACCTTTAAAAAATTTTCAGAAGCCAATAGAATGCGCTGAAGTCCATGTTGCGGCGCGCCGCCTCACCCAACGCAGCGCCTACGAATGCGAAGATGTTGTGGACAAGTTCCAATCCCAACGTCACTCATTTTATCACAACCAGACTCGGCGCACCCGAAAAACGGCCAAATCGATGGCTTGCGGCGAAGATCTGGACGAAGCGGCCTCGGATTCGGACGAAGAAATGGTTCCGAAACCGCGAAAGGTGGCGTTCAGTGGGAACAATCGCAGATATTTGTTCGAAAAACAGAGTCCGGAGCAAAGTTTGGCCCGAGAATTCGATCGAATGTCCATGCGGAATAGAAGAAATTCCCGGAATTATGGAGAAGAGGACAAGGATCGTCTGATTGAGGTGGGTATTTGAGATAAAAAAAAAATTTTTTTTTTTTTGAAAAAAATTTCGGCGACATGCACTGTGCGAAAAACAGTTCATTTTGCACTGTGCAATTCCTTGTTTTTTGCACCGTGCAAATGCCTTTTTTTGGGCTGTCGCTCGCATCCTGAATTTTTCTGCACAGTGCAAACGCCAAAAATCAAACAAGCGACTTTATCTAGGGACTAGAAAATAATTTCAAGGTAATTTTTTTAATTTTGAAAATTCGAAAAAAACATTTTTTCCCAGAAGTGCTTTAGGGGAAAAAAACGATATAATGATGTCGCAAATAGCTAAATTCACAAAACAATCCAATTTTCACCAGCTTTGAGACAAAAATTTTTGGTTTTTTTTCAGTTTTTCGCGTTTCCCCAAAAAAAATTTTTTTTTATTTTTTTCCAAAATGAGTTCAAAAATTCAAAAATCAATGATTCCATTCCAGAAGCTAAAAATGGAGCTTCGTCTGGCGAATCAGCAGATCTCCCAGCAGGAATTCATGATCGAGCGCAAAGAGCGGAAATACGACAAGCTGAAAGGGAAGTACATGGACGTGAGAGCGCAAAAGCAACACGACGACACCATGAACCAGTCCACCTTGATGCGGAACAGCATGCTCTTGCCCATGTACCAGCCCCCATACTATCAACAAATGCAGTTGCCGCAAATGCAGCCCAACTTCTTCAACGCGCCCGCAAACCCGCCATTCTTCATGCCTCAGGGCGCATTGCCTCAGGCACAGTTGCCTCAAAGCCTAATTCCGACGCCTCCATCGACGGAGCGGAGTTTTGTCTCGCCCGGAATGGCGGAAATCCAGCTGCAACGCAACGAAAGTGACTTGGAATCGGTCAAGAACTTCCGCCGAAACGATGCGCCCATGAACTTCGAAGCCGCCATGGAGGGCTACGCGACGGAGGAGAGCTTCGTGGGCAGCTCAAAGAGCATGGAGAAAATTGCGCACGCGCCTAGTCATGTTGCCAGCGGAAGGCGGAGTCATTAGAAAATTGAGTGGATGATTTCGAATTTGAATATTTTTTTTATTTTTCATTTAATAAATAGCTGTAGAAGAAGTAATAAAATGTAAATTTCGACATAAACAAACTAGAGTACTAATTTTTTTGAAGTAAAATTCTGAAATACTATTGAAACTTCGCAAATATTTAGATCCAATTTTGTAAGGCATACGATTCTTTATGCCGTAGTAAACAATTGCAATTTTTATGTGAAAAACTATGAAGATTTTGGCACTACGACTTTTCGGGGTAGGAGAAGGCTTGGTTAGTAAAAATAATAAGATTAATCCGGCCCTAGGATAGCTATCCCCTATTTCTGGGTATTTTACATGTACCCAAATGAATAATATATAGATAAAAGTTATGGATCTCCGTTTTTTGCCGCACATGTTGCTCTTTTAAATGTTGTAATAACTCAGGGTGAAGAAAACTGACGTAAGCAATAGCAGCATTAGAAAAAGTGGACATATTGCATGCCTCGCCAAGTCTCCGCCGAGCCTTTGCCGAGCGTCCGCCGACCATCCAACGGGTTCGCCAGGCCTTGTAGGCACTTCCTGCAACCTCTTTTCTGTATCGCCCCGTATTGATCGATTTTGGGTTGACCCGAAAAGTCGATACGCAAAAAATTTGGCACTTTTTTTGACTTGATTATGCCTATTGGCCACAGTGGGTAAGGGTCAGAGATTGCCACGGCTCCGGAGCCGGCTCTTGGCTCCGGCCCTGAGCGGCTCCGAGCCGGGAGCCAGAGCCGGAGCCGGAAATTTTGGGTGCGGTTCCGGCTCCCGAGCCCAAAGTCGGAGCCAGGCATCTCAGCGTTCAGAAAAGGAAAAATTTCATGATTTCGTTAAACCAAATTGCTTGAAAAATACTGGGAAGGATGTGTTCCATACGACTCGGCTGCAAAAACCTTGGGTGTATGATCTCTGGCACTAATCGCTTTTATTTTTGGAAAAGTATTTTTAAAAAAAATTTTGCTCGGGAGCCGGGATTAGGAGCCGGAGACCTTTTTTAAATTTTTTATGGGAGCCGGGAGCCGGAGCTGCAAATTTGGCCTCGGCTCCGGCTCTGGGAGCTAAGAGCCGGAGCCGAAATTTTGATCGTGGCAATCTCTGGTAAGGGTCACTTTTAGGTATACAAAAAAAAGAACACTACATCGTTTGATTCATCTGGCTCTACACATGTCACATCTTTCGGTAAGACGCTCCAACGTATGCGAATACGGGCTTCAACTACTAAACTTTTTACCACAAAAAATAGCTCCATTCTCGAAAATACGCGTATGCCACATGAAATATTTTAATTTATCTTTTATTTCAAACAAAAGTTTAGAGTTCACTGTGTCCAGAAGGTAGAAACAACGCCGCTGCCGACGTTGATGTCTCATTTAATAAAACTTTGTATTTCTCCACGTCAAAGCACGACGTTTGCGTGTTCGGTCGGCAAGCAATCGGGTTTGACACCAAAATCCCTATAAAAATATTTAAAATTATAAAAAATTTATATTACACTTGATAAAAAAAGAGAAAAAATCCGCTTACCAGCCAAAGAAGCCGTCATGAAACAGGAAATGCTGCCGGCGAAGAGCGCTCTGAACGCAATTTTTGCGAAAAGCGCTTTCCTTGTTGGCGCGAGGCCTCCAAGTACACCGAGTTGAATTCCCACCGAGCCCAGATTGGAGAAGCCGCATAAAGCGTAGGTCGCAATCATGGCTGCTCGTTCCTGAAATTAAAAACGTGGTTTTGGGGTAAAATACGGTGTGGCCAAATTTGTGTACGGAGTAGTATGCCCTTTCTGAGGCATTGCGAGGATTCTTTCTTACGCTTTGCAGAAACGACGAATATTTTTGTCCGAATGTTAGCAAAAATGTGTCTCTAATCTTACAGGGGAAGCAGTAGTGTATACAAGAGAATTAAAAAAATAAATTTCTCATGGCACCCTCAGGGAATTCTTTCAAGTGGTCCAACCCCCTTTGTAGACTACTGAAAGCACCTCAAATGTGACGCTCATATAAACTTGGCCAAATTTAGAATAATTTTTTCTGAGGCATATGCGAGACTCATATGGCTCGCGCTTTGCAAAAACAATCGAGATTTTTAGATCGAAAAGAGAATTTTTTTGCGAATTTTGGCACAAAAAGTGGCATGCTTATTTCTACAGCAGAGGGTACTATTTCCAAAAAAAATAATTTCTCCTCACAAAACTAGCGAAGTTATAGCCAAAAAAGTGTTTTTCCTTCTGACCGCTCTCCGCGTTTCGCGTATTCTCGACCTTAAAGATCGTTGAAGATTTCGGCTGCGCCTGCAAAGCGCGAGCTAAAACTTTCAGGAATTGATATTTAGCGTATGCCCGAAGTTTGTGCAAAATTTAAGGAAAATCTGAGCGACTCGCTTGAGATACTTTCCTTTTTAATTTATGCCTATGATAAAACAATACTTTTTTTTTAAATTTCGAAAAAAAATAAAATTGATTGCCTACCGACAACTTCTTCTCCAAAATCATCTCTCCCAGCTGCCGGTACGCGATAAATTCGTTCAACATTGTCTTCGTTCCCATCAACCCGGCCACCAGCAGCGTCTCCTCGCTGTCCGTAACGCCCATCACGAAAGCCAGCGGGTAGAAAATGTAGCCCAGGAACAGCTCCAACGACCAGCCGCTGTAGCCGATCAACTCGCCGCTGTAGCTGATGGTGCTGTTGACGAACGCCAGAAGGGCCAGGAAGACGATCAGATTGGCGAGGATCGCGACAATGATCTCGATGCCGGCAATGGCGCCGTTGGAAATGCACTCCAGCGCGTTGGACTCGGTGCTGCAAAGGGGTTGAGGATGGTTGTGAAAGGTTTATTGACATAGTAAAAATTGAAAAAAAAATGATTTTGGGAATATAGTTAAACCTCTGTATAACGAATTTTAAGGGCCAAAAAATTGATTTGTTATAGAAAGCTTCAGTTGTAGAAAGGTTAATTTTAGGCTTAAAATTGAATTTTCAGAAATGAAAAACTTTGTTTTGTTATCAGCAGACTTTGTTGAAAAAAGGCTTTTTTATACGATGAGAAATACCAACATGTCGGGAAAATAATGTGGATTTGTCAAGTCTTGAACTTATCACCGTTTTGCGACACTTTCCGCAACTAAAGATTTGCTGCGCGGCTGCGATAAGCCGAGACATTTTGAAGCGACAAATCCTCATTATTTTCCCGACACACTAATAAAGTCAAAAATGATATAACCAAGATGATTTATATCTGGCGGCAAGTTTGGGAGACCATTTTTAGCATCTATATATTGGGTTGTTCAGAAAGTTCCGGTGATTTTTAGCGCAAATTGCTAATTGCTTTCTTTTACCAGCGACGGAACTGATCCAGTGGCAAAAAACGTATCATTTCGCATTCGGAAAGTATCAAAAAATGTGTCAAAATGCCTCCTTTTCCAACTAAAACACACCTCTTTTTAAGGGCGCCTCACAAAAAGAGCGGGTGTGCTTTTGAAATCGGCGTTTTTTCACTTGAAAAAGGAGGTATTTTACCACATTTTTTGATACTTCCCGGATACGAAATAATTCCTGATCCAGTGGCAAAAAACGTACCATTTTGCATTCGGGAAGTATCAAAAAATGTGGCAAAATGCCTCCTTTTCCAACAAAAAAAACTCCTCTTTTGGAGGGCGCCTCACAAAAAAAGCGGGTGCGTTTTTAAAAACGGAGTTTTTTCACTTGAAAAAGGAGGCATTTTGCCGCATTTTTTGATACTTCCCGGATACGAAATGATACGTTTTTGTCACTGGATCAGGTCCGAGAAATCTAAAAAAAGAAATTGTCAGTGGCAAAAAACGTACCATTTTGCATTCGGGAAGTATCAAAAAATGTGGCAAAATGCCTCCTTCTCCAACCAATAAAGCTTCGTTTTGAAGGGCGCCTCACAAAAAGAGCGGGTGCGCTTTTGAAATCGGAGTTTTTTCACTTGAAAAAGGAGGTATTTTGCCACATTTTTTGATACTTCCCGTGCGCAAAATGGCACATTTTTTGGCACTGGATCAGATCCGCCACTGTACATGTAAAGCAAGATAAATGATTGTGATTTTACAAAGATCCGAGAAATCTAAAAAAAGAAATTGTCACTTGCAAAAACGTACCATTTTGCATTCGGGAAGTATCAAAAATGTGTCAAAATGCCTCCTTTTCCAACTAAAAAAACTCCGTTTTGTAGGCAGCCTCACAAAAAAAGCGAGTGCGTTTTTAAAATCGGATTTTTTTCACTTGAAAAAGAAGGTATTTTGCCGCATTTTTTGATACTTCCCGGATACAAAATGGTACGTTTTTGCCACTAAATCAGATCCGCCACTGTATCGTCAAATTCATCTACTATTTCGAGCAAAAATTTCAACTCCAACCTACCCCGGAGGCAGTTCCAAGTCCTCGATCGTTTTCAGCTGCGACTCCTCCGTTTCCGGGAACAGAATCTTCGAGCAGGCCAACGAGCCGGGCGCACTCATCACCGTCGCCGACAACAAATACGTCGGACAAGCGCCGAACGCAATGTACGCCGCGAACATTGAGCCGGCAATACAGGAGAAGCCGCTGGTCATCACCGCGTGGATTTCGCTGGCCGTCATCTTGGCGATGTATGGACGAATCAGGAGGGGGGCTTCGCTCTGGAAACGGGATTTTTTGCGGGTTTGGAGGACATAAAAGAATTTATGGCAACGAATGTTTTTTTGTCATCAAAAATTGATTTTTGATTTTTTAATTTTTTTGGTAAAATACGGTAAAATTTGTGTTGGAATGAAAATGTTGTAATAAAAAAAAATTTTTTTATGTAAAATACGATATGTACAATTGTTATAAAAATCGAATTTTTTTTGAAAAAAAACAGTAAAAAAGCGCCATAAAACTGTTGCAAAATCAAAATTTATTTTTTTTGTAAAATACGGTTGTTATAAAAATCCATTTTTTTTTGAAAAAAAAACAGTAAAAAAAGTGCCATAAAACTATTGCAAGATAAAAATTTTTTTTTTTTTTTGTAAAATACGGTCGTTATAAAAATCGATTTTTTTGAAAAAAAACAGTAAAAAAGCGTTTTTTTTTTTGTAAAATGCGCCATCTCAACCTACGACATACAGCACAAAAATTCCTTACCTGTCCCAAAAACACACAAGCACATGCATTGATTGATTCCGTCGCCGTAGTTCCCAGAGTCAACTGCACCAACCAAGCCATCTTTTTGAGGACAAATTGCATAATCCCATAGTAGTAGAGTAATGCCACAACGGCGCCAAAGTAGAGGATCACTTGGATGGACTGAAAATTTGTGAAACGTTTTTTTAATTGGGATTTTAACACGTTTTGCTGACCTAGGTAATAAAAAAATAAAAATTTAATTTGTAAAATACGAAAACGATAGTTGATGTCAACATTTTTGACAATCAAAACTGTGATCTGATGGCTGCAAAAAATATGTCGACGAAAATTTGTGACCACCAAAGGAATTCTTTGACGTACGTCGCTCAGATGTCAGTGAAAATCGTCTTTAATTTACCATAAAAGTACAGTTGCGAATCTGACCCAGTGGCAAAAAGCGTACCGTTTTGCATCCGAGAAGTATCATAAATGTGGCAAAATACCTCCCTCTCCAAATGAAAAAGCTCCAATTTCAAAAGTTTCCATCACAAAAAAAGCTGGCGCGCCTTCAAACACAAAGTTTTTTTATATGAAGAAGGAGGCATTTTGCTACATTTTTTGATACTTCCTGGACGCAAAATGGTACGTTTTTTGCCACTGGATCAGGTCCGCCACTGTTCTCCCAAGTTATATCTGGGATGCTCTTGCAAATCGCAAGTTAAAACTTTCAGAGATTGATAGGTGGCCTATGCCCGAAATGTGTGAAAAATTTAATGAAAATCTGAGCGTCGCACGTGGGCTACTTCTCTTTTGTGATCTTTTTATTACTGGGGCGGACCTGATCTAGCGACAAAAAACGTACTATTTTGCATTCGAGAAGAATTTAAAAATGTGGCAAAATGCTTCCTTCTCCAACCAATAAAGCTTCGTTTTGAAGGGCGCGCCCTTTCCCTCACAAAAAGAGGCGGGCTTTTGAAATCGGTTTTTCTCACTTGGAAAGGGAGGTGTTTTGCAACATTTTTTGATACTTCCCGGATACAAAATGGTACGTTTTTTGCCACTGGATCTGGTCCGTCACTGTAACAACAAATTTCAGTTTTTTGCGATTTTTTGATTTGCAAATTTTAGGTTCGATTACTAACGCGTGTAATATCTTTACAAACTATCAGATTTTTCCGTCAGCAAACAAAAAATCTATGGCCCAGAGAAGTTTTCCATCTATCCGACTCTCCACATTTTGCGTGGTCTCTCGAAAAAACGGTTATAAGTATACGAGAATACGACAGTCCTACCTTGAACGCAAACACCGGATCCATCCCGCAAATATTCGGAGGTGAAGCCAAGAACCCATAGACAAACGAGGTTCCATTGTCCGTAAAATCCAGAAAGTCGATGATCAACTCCGTCCCTTCGTTGAACCGTTTCTCTCCCCAATCCCATCGCAAAACAATCAACCCGATCACGAATTGGATCGAGAATCCCACCACAACGGGGCGCCAATCAATCTTGGAGGGAGCGTGGGAACAAAGGACCATAATCGATATTAAACATGCCATTCCGCCGAGGCCGATCAGACGCTGCGGCTGGTCGGTGGTGTCGATGATTACGAAGATCAGGATCAAGGAGATGAGAGTCACATAAACAGCTCTGAAAGGGGGGAGAATTGCAAATTGTGATGACTAAAACAGGGCTAAAAAATTTTTTTGAGATGCTGACGGAAATTTGCTAAATTTACAGGGGAAGTACTCGAAGTGCGACGTTCGGATTTTCTTTAAATTTTGCACACACGTCGGGTTGGTATTAAATATCAATTCCTGAAAGTTTTAGCTCGCGCTTTGCGGGCGCCGCCGAGATATCGAACGATTTTTGTCGCCGAGAGCTAAAAGTGGAGAGAGGTCAGAGAGAAAAACGCTTTTTGGCCATAACCTTGACAGTTTCGTGCGGAAAAATTTGATTTTTTGTAGAAACATTATTCTTTACGGTTGAAATAGGCATGAAATTTTTCGTGCCGAAATTCGGCAAAAAGTCTTAAATTTTGGCCGACTTTCGATATAAAAATCTCGGTTGTTTCTGCAAAGCGCGAGCTAGAATTCTCGCATATATCTCAGAAAAAATTATTCTAAATTTGTGCAAAGTTGCATCAAAATCTGAGCGTCGCACTTGGTACTTCCCCTGTTAGATTTTTTTCTAACAATAAGGCAAATACGATATTCTTAGCGTGCGCCAGGGGTGGTAAACATGCCTCTCTTTGAAAATTTCAAGCCCGGGGCCGGCACGTAAAAATCGGGCTAGGTTCGGTAAAGCCGGGCTAAGGCACAAGCTGAAAAAATTCCTTTGATCTTGACGCCTCTGTAGTGCTGAATTTTGCTGCAAACTGTCATTCATATATGCTCTAATTTTGGACCTTATATTATGACATATAAGTGAAAGGTTACTACAGGCCGGGACGGCCTGGGCTTGAGCCATTTTTAGGCCCGACCGATACAGCGGCGGACCTGCTCCAGTAGCAAAAAACGTACCATTTTGCATCCGGGAAGTATAAAAAATGTAGCAAAATACCTCTCTCTTCAAACCGAAGTTTTTTAGTTGAAGAGAGAGGTGTTTTGCCACATTTTTGGTACTTCCCGGATGCAAGATGTTACGTTTTTTGCCACTGGATCAGGTCCGCCACTGTAATTGGCCGCCCTTGGCTTGTGCTTTGAAAAAATAACCGAGATTTTATAGCCGAAATCTGGAAAAAATCTCAAATTGTATATATTTTTGGCCTTTTTCTCTGGCCGATCTTGATATTTAGCGTACTATCTCGGCCGCAAAGACCAAAATGAAAGTATGAATATATGAACACCACGAAAGCTTGATATCTCATGTAAAACATGTTGATCATTCTAAATTACTTACGTTTTGACGTATCTCATCCCGGCGATTCTTGAGGCCTGCTCCACAAAAGGCCCTAATGCCCTTTTTGTCCTCTTCCCCAAAAATCGAATAAATAATTTACGGTATAACAAATAAACCCATACAATTATGGTCAATATCAGCAATGGCTCGGCTTTTTTGTAATTTTTCGCCAGTGCCAGACCTAAAAAATGAAGAAAATTAAAAAACAATTTTTAAAATTTTAAAATACGAATAGTCCAATGATGTCTCTGTAAACTCACCCAAAAAACAATGATACAACGAGATTAACAACAAATAAGCACCAATCTTGAAGGCGTGCTGATTCTGTGAAACGAATTCCCCAACCTTTGCTTGAGCGAGTTCAAGATAGCGCATAGGGCCTGTCGAGGGCTCATTCAAATCTTCTGGAATGTAATCGAACGGTTGTTTCAGCTGCTCTGTAGAGTCGGAGACTTGAATCTGAAAAAAAACATTATAATTTAAGGCGATTTTTGAATTCTGATGACACTTGACGCAAACTTATGCAAACAGTGTACCAGCCTGTCAGATAAATGGTGAGCGCTATTGGCGAAGCAAAGGAGCTCTCACTTCTTTTTTATAAAAATTTACTTTTTTTTTTTAAATGTCATAAACCTTACTTCTTTTTTAAAAATGTCATCGAGTTTGGTGACTTTGTCTTGCCGGAAATCCCAAAATTTTTCAAGCCCGAGAATCTCATTTGAAAATCATTGCGAAAATTTTCTAACAAGGGAATGGTCTGAACTTCCCCCAGCGTTTGGGAAAATGACCAGTACAGGTGGATAGAGCATGTCAACTTTAGTAAAAAGTGACAATTTCCAGCTGCGAAATAAGCCTAGCCGACGAGAAAAATCGACCGAAAGTTCCACAAAAATTTCCTCTTTCTCTTCCCACGGAAAAGAAGAGCGGTGTCCAATGGTTCGGTTAGCCGAGTGGATAAAGCATCCGCTCGATATTCTTTTGGGGGTTGGTTCGATTCCGGGGTCTCGCGAAAGACCGTGATAAGGCTTTGATGAGTAAGATCAAGCTCTAACAACCAAAAAAAATGTTTTGCCATTTTTATACGTTTTTTAGGGACATTATACCACAACAATAATCGTCAGCAAATGAATTTTTGGGTGCTTCCGAACCTTCAAAGCGATGAAACGTCGAAGTTATACTCGTTTGGTGATAGACTTGTCTTTGAAAAAGGCAAAATAATTTTTTTTGGGTTGTTAGAGTTTGATCTTGCTCATCAAAGCCTTATCACGGTCTTTCGCGAGACCCCGGAATCGAACCAACCCCCAAAAGAATATCGAGCGGATGCTTTATCCACTCGGCTAACCGAACCACTGGATACCGCTCTTCTTTTCCGAGAGAAGAGAAAGAGGAAATTTTTGTGGAACTTTCGGTCGATTTTTCTCGTTGGCTAGGCTTATTTCGCAGCTGGAAAATGGCTCTTTTTACTAAAGTTGACATGCCCTATCCGCCTGTACTAGTCATTTTCCCAAACGCTGGGGGAATTTCAGACCATTCCCTCGTAAGTTTCACCGATTTCGGGCTCTAAAACTTGAAATGAAAATGTCAAAGGTCATTACGGGAGCCCCCGCACGTCAAGAAATTGCGGGCATTGCAAAGGTTCTCACAGCGAAAAAAAATTCATAAAACCTGTCATCCAAATTGCACATAACAATAATTTTTAACCTAATTTTTTTTATGGGAACTCTAGGGAGTACTACTAGTCGTATACAACTGTTTTTTATACCGCTGGTACATTCTAAATGGGTGTCATCGTGACGCATTTTCTGAACATGGTTCGAGCTAGGCTAAAAATAGTGCAAATTTCAAGGCCAACTATCAAAAAAACTGTCCCATCAAGCGGGACGGGACCGGTGTAGATACTCGAAGAACAGTTTAAGGATTTTTTTGACGTGGAGCCTATACCTCCTTCCAGTGCTCTCTGACTCGGTATCGTCGATACAAACTTTTATTTAGACGTTGTATTCTTCGCCATGGAAAACTGTCAAAATACTACGATTATGGGTATATTTTGGTTCTATTAGCTTAAGCAGCCCTCGAGCTTTCTATTGGTATCAATATCTTGTGATTTACTATTAATCTTTATGTCAAAATATTGCAAACCATTTGGACAAAAACGGATTTGCACAGGGCAGAATGCCAAAAAAAAATCTAGGCTTTTTCATTGGGCGCCCGTTTTTCTTTTATTTTTTCTTGACGTGCCCCGTGAACTTGGGCCTGTCATACTTGGTGGACAGAAAATGGGGCACCTCAGCTTCAATTTGACATAAATTTTATAGAAATTGGTGCATTATTGGCGGAGAAATACTTGAAATAAGGATGGAACCCTCGGCTGAACCACCCTGTAGTAGTCCTTCCGGAAAGGACGTTTTCTGCCAAAATGCATTGAGAAAACCATATTTTCTCGATTTTCGCAGCGACGCGTCAAAACGAATCAAAATTTCGCACAGCGAAGATGCTGAGGACTTCTTGCACCAAGTAGCCGCGAAATGACTTACTGTTGTTTTGCCATTGTCGATGAGATCATTTTGAAGTTGTGTCGGCAGATGTGGGCCTCGACGAAAAGTTGAGTCGGACACTCCACTGGACGATTCATCCGGAGATGACCGTTCGAAACTGTGATTCTCCATTACAGAAGAGGAGGTAATTTATAACAAGCAACTACTTTTCATAAATCCATTTTTCGAATTACTAGATTTTAGAGGCTAAAATGAAAAATTCGCAATACGACTATTAGCTAAATTCAAATAAAAAACTCGTAAAATTATAAAAAATTATTTAAAAAAAGCGGTACCAATCACAAATAAATCATCGGAGAAAATGAGCGTCAGTGGTTTTTCAAACATTTCGGTGGGAAAACGAAGACGAACAAGATTATGATAAATGGAATTATAGCGAGAAAGCGGGCTGAAAAAGTTGTCGGGGAGTGAGAAATTAACTTGCGAGAACAGAAGTCTAATATTTGAAAAATGATAATTGCTGTTAAGGAAAAAAGTAAAGCAAAATTTGGCTCGATTTCTAGATTTATATGGAAGTATTGCACCACTACGTATTTTACCAATAATAATTTGCGTCGTCTAATATTCGTGAAAGATGGCAGACAGAGGAAAGACCAAAATATATATTTTTAAAAGATTTTAGTTTCGACTAAAAAATCTCACAGGGGAAGTACTCCAAGTGCGACGCTCAGATTTTGATGAAACTTGGCACAAATTTAGACCAATTTTTTCTAAGATATATGCGAGAATCCTTGCTCGCGCTTTGCAGAAACAACCGAGATTTTTAGATCGAAAGTAGGCGAAAATTTAAGACTTTTTGCCGAGTTTCACGAAGTTTTTCATCTATTTCCAAATGATAATCTTTCAAAATAAAATCTTTCTGCACGAAACAAAGTTATGGCCAAAAAAGCCTTTTTTCTATGACCGCTCTCCGCATTAGCGTACTCTCTCGGCGACAAAGATGGTTCAATATCTCGGCGGTACCTGCAAAGTTTTATGCCTAATTCTACCCTTGTCAGCAGTAGAATTAGGCATAAAACTTTTCATGCCAAAATTCGGCAAAAAGTGCCTATTTTTCGCCGACTTTCGATCTAAAAATCTCGGCTGTTTCTGCAAAGCGCAAGCTAGGATTCTCGTATATGTTTTAGAAAAAAATATTCTAAATTTGTGCCAGGTTTCATCAAAATCTGAACGCCGCACTTTTGGTATTTCCCCTGTTAGTTAGGTACCTTTTATTTTGGGTACCCCTATAAAAAACGGCTGCAGGCTGTGTCGTTTATATAATAGTACAACAAAATCATCCCGGATTGTACTTATTGCTTCTGTATGGGAGCAAATTTAGCCTTAATAGTCTTAAGGGGTGACTTAAAGCACCATATAGATGATATAGTAAGCCCTAACTTTAGTTTACAAGCATGGGAAGATTTATATAGAAAATCTTCATCATTACGTATTTTACCAACGATAACATGCAGTATCTCTATATCTATTATTGTAAAAGACACAACAAAAATAAATTAGCTTTTTTGCAACATTTTGAAAAAAAAGCTTTTTCTGATTGTTCAAGGCTTTTTCCTTACATGATTGGTTATGAAAAAACTGTCGTAAATTCCATTTTTTTGTTGGATCTAAAAGATAACAAGGAAGGTGTCCGGAATGCGACGCTCACTTGTCAGACATAAAAGTAACAAATATTGTCTGGCTTTCGAACTAATGCCGGAAATTGTTGTTCTAAATGGCCCCAAGTATCATGAAAATCTAACGGTTACACTGTGGACACTTCTAGGTCGATTTTTTTAAATGAATTTACTTTTATAATATACAGAGTCAAGCGTATCTCACCCAAGAATTCGGGGAATTTTCAATTCAAAGTAGTGGCGGGCGCACACTTGCGGGCAACCACTTTGCGGGCAACCAGTTTGCGGGCAATTTTTTGCGGGCAGCCACTTTGCGGGCAGCCGACATTTGCGGCCAGCACCGGCATTTGCGGGCAGGGTGGACAGTTGCGGGCAGCCGACACTTGCGGGCAACCGACACCTGATTGTGAGGGTAACAGGGTGGACGTGGAAAAATTACTATGATATTGTGGAAATTTGCCGACACTTGCGGGCAGCCGACATTTGCGGGCAACCGGCACTTGAGGATAACAAGGTGGAGGTGGAAAAATTGCTTCGATATTTTGGAAGTTTTCCGACATTTGCGGGCAGCCGACACTTGCGGGCAGCCGACATTTGCGGGCAACAGTTCCAAAAGTTGCTATACAGTCTGTGTGATTGTTTTTTCCTGTTGCCCGCAAATGTCGGCTGCCCGCAAGTGTCGGTTGCCCGCAAGTGTCCCAGGCTGCCCGCAAGTGTCTCAGCTGCCCGCAAATGTTTCAGCTGCCCGCAAATGTGACCCCCAAATTTTGCCCGCAAAGTGGTTGCCCGCAAAAAATTTGCCCGCAAACTGGTTGCCCGCAAAGTGGTTGCCCGCAAGTGTCGCGACGCCAAAGTAGTTGGTTGATGCATAATTATCAACCAGTCAACGATCGTTCGACGTCGTAAAAAGCTTGGAAAGGTATGGAAATTGGCTGGATGGGTGCCTCACGAGCTCTCCGACAACAAAGCCGATCGCGTTCAAACTTGAAAAACGCCGGATAATTATGCATCAACCTAATATTTGGGTGTCCCATAAGTCTTGCAAATTTTTGGGCCGTCGATTTGTGCGAATTCTTGTAAGCTTTGAGACGTATTACGGAGTATGTCGGCTATACTGGGTTGAAGCTCAGATAAAGCGCTTCTAAATGGTGTATGACAAGACCACATAAGGTCCACCTCCTACCCACACTGCGCCGATGTTATACTAGACATTAAGAAAAATTTTGCCAGCTGATTTTTAAGACATCCAGCCGACCTCTATAACTTCACTTAAGATGGCAACAAATTTATATAAATATAGTCAACGCATATTTATACAAACCCTAGCACACATCATATTCATTGAGCCTATCAAAGATCATTTTTTCAAAAAAAAAATCTCTCATCATGTTGCAACGGACCCTTGAAATGTCGTTGACAGCCAAAAATTTCAAACATAATTCCCTTTGTTAATATGCGAATCTTTTTGCCGGTTAAGCAATTAATCGACTTTTGAGGGAACAAGAAACTCGCGATAAGAACAAAAGATAACATGGAGATTTTAATAAAAGGTTGAGGGCGGAAAAAATTGCACAGGAAATTGCTAAAAAAGGGAAGTAGAAAAAGTGAAAAGCTCAAATTTCTCTAATTCTGCCACACAATTGGGGCATAGGCCATGATTCCAAAAAATTTTTGCTCAATTTTTTAATCTCCCAGCCGAAATATTGAACAATCTTTGCGGCTGAGAGAGTACGCGAAATTCGGAGTGTGGTCAGAGACAAAAACTTTTTTTGGTCGTATCTTTGTCAGTTTCGCATGAAAAAAATTGATTTTTTGTGGAAATATTACACTCTATGGTAGAAATAGGCATGAAACTTTTCATGGCAAAATTCTAAAAAAAATTTTACATTTTTGCAAATTTTTACCTAAAATTTGTGCTTCGAAAAGGCCGTAGTACTCTTGTCAACCTGACTATCTTTTTACCAATTTTGGAATGAAAAATGCCTGCCTGGTTAGGGCTATAAAGAGAAATATTTATCAACTTTTTGCCCCAACAAATTGGCAAAGATATCGCCAAAAAGCACCTTTTCTTCTGGCCGCTCTTCATTTCCTCTCGCTGGCAACGGCCGTTTAATATCTCGGCTGTGCCTGATTGCAATTTAAAATTTTCAGCATTTCATAGAGCCTACAAATGCTTTAGTCTATAATGATAAAGCAAGAGGTGTTTGAAATTCAAAGTAAACACGCAAAAGCTTAAAACATCTCGCGCGAAAAATCATCAAATTTTTCGTCCATAGTCTAATTCACAAACCAAAATTGACCGCGCTGACGTAGAAATTTATAAAACCCACACGAATATTTCTATTCCTTGCTTTTTTGTCTTAATTTCGTACTATAAATTAATATTGCTTTTGACTTCTCGTTGAGCTTTTGTAGCAAAAAATTATTACTTTATACTTATACATAGTACAAGGGAAGTGCCCCAAGTGCGACGCATACATTTTGCTGAAACTTGGTACAAATTTAGAATCATTTTTTCTAGGATATATGCGAGACTCCTAGCTCGCAGAAACCACCGAGATTTTTAGGTCGAAAGTCGGCGAAAATTTGAAAATTTGCGACTTTTTGCCGAATTTCGGCACGAAAAGTTTCATTCCTGTTTCCATTATAGAGGGTAATCTTTCCACAAAAACTAAATTTTTTCTGCACGAAACTAGCAAAGTTATGGCCGAAAAAGTGTTTTTCTCTCTGACCACTCTCCACGTCTAGCGTACTCTCTCGGCGGCAAAGATCGTTCAATATTTCGGCGGCGCCTGCAAAGCGCGAGCTAAAACTTTCAGGAGTTGATATTTAGTCAACGCCCACCGTGTGTGAAAAATTTAAAGAAAATCTGAGCGTCGCACTTGGGGAGACTTCCCCTGTAAGAAAAATTATTTTTTTTTCTTTTTGGTGAAATTTCACAAAAGCCCAAAAAAACATCACGTATTTTACCCCATTTTCATCAAAATTTACACACCGAACCTTATAAAATAACCCTCAAAAACAACTTTTTTGGCCTCCAAAATCGACGGTTTGGAAATCTCACTGTTTTTCCTCGATTTTCCCATCAAAAAATTTCAAAATTTCCTGACTTTCAAATCCTCAGAATTTGAAAATAAATGGAAACATAATCCGCGAAACGCTTATGATTTGTAAAAACACGAGCACTGAGAAACTTTGCATTTTGTTGGGCCCGTTTTTACAACTAAATCACATGGGAATGGGTGAAAGCGAACCGGGGATTTGGGGGAAAAACAAACTTTTCACTCGATTTTTCGCTGATTCCCATTCCCCTTTCATGTTCACACCGCTATTGTGATATTATATTATTGTCAACGCTCTAAATAATAACATGACTTGCAAAGGTTGAAATTTGCTTTAAATTTGGAAATATCAAGTTTTAAAAGTACTCTCTACTGACAGGGGAAGTACTCCAAGTGCGACGCTCAGATTTTGATGAAACTTGGCACAAATTTAGAATAATTTTTTCTAAGATATATGCGAGAATCCTAGCTCGCGCTTTGCAGAAACAACCGAGATTTTTAGCTCGAAAGTCGGCGAAAATTTAGGACTTTTTGCCGAATTTCGGCACGAAAAGTTGCATGCCTATTTCTACCGTAAAAGATAATGTTTCTACAAAAAATCAAATTTTTCCGCACGGAACTGCCAAAGTTATAGCCAAAAAGCGCTTTTCTCGTCTGACCGCTCTCCGCGTTTAGCGTGCTCTCTCGGCGGCATAAATCGTCCGATATCTCGGCGGCGTCTGCAAAGCGCGAGCTAAAACTTTCAGGAATTGATATTTAGCCTATTCCCGACGTGTGTGCAAAATTTAAAGAAAATCTGAGCGTCGCACGTGGGGTACTTCCCTTGTGAGTAAAAAAAATTAATGAAATCCACCGTATTTTACGAAAATTTTCCCCGTAAATCACCGCTATAGTGAATTTTTGACCTTGCCTCTCTGACGTTATACCTTAAGTTTCACGTTTTTTCTCCTGGTTGATAAGGTACTGCAAAAAAAATCAGCTAATTTGAGACGATCTAATTGATAAAATGCATCAAAAACTGTCTGGCGTCGATTTTAATCCGCTTTTTATGGGATTACAGCAGGCTGAAATAAAGTCTAATTAAAGAGCTACAGTGACGGACCTGATCCAGTGTCAAAAGCGTACCATTTTGCATCCGGGAAGTATCAAAAAATGTGGCAAAATGCCTCCTTCTCCAACTAAAAAAAAACTCGGTTTTGAAGAGCCCTTTCCCTCATAAAAAGAGTGGGCTTTTGAAATCGGAGTTTTTTCACTTGGAGAGGGAGGTATTTTGCCACATTTTTGATACTTCCAGGGTGCAAAATGGTAGGTTTTTTTGTCATTGGATCAGGTCCCCCGCTGTACATGTAAAGCAAGATAAATGATTGTGATTTTACATCAAAGTCGGCCCCTTGAAACTTTCAAAACTTGCAGGGATATAGTAAAAATTAGACCACATTTTTGCAACAAGGAGTTCAATTGAGTATAATTTTTATGAGATACAAAATGGCAAAAGATCATTCTCCCAAAGTTTTAGCCTGTATTCTCCAGCAACAGGCAAAGATCGCTTTGATTTGAACGATCCGGGGGCCAATGCGCTAACTGAAACTTGGCTGAAAATGTTAAGGCGCAGCTTGGTGGTTTCTGGAAAATGGATAATTTTCAAAACTTTGGTAAGGCATAGAACGCTCCATTCAAAATATTTTCTGTTCAATTAATTTTAAATGGCGTATCTCAGCTCTAGAAAAATCAAAATCGGTAAATTTTCCACAACTCTAATGGGAGAAATTCTCAGCATCGAGTGGCTTTTGTAACCCCAAAAGATCAAATATTTTATAATTTTGTGACAAGACAACATAGCAAATATATACAATCACGATTTGAAGAAAAACCAAGCCTCGAAACTCCGGCAATTTCTAAGTAGACTGAAGATAATAAACTGTCTTTTTAAATACAGATTTTTCGTACAGTTCGTTCTACAAAATCTTATCTTAACCACACAATGTGCTTAATTAGTGATCGTAAATTAAATATTTGCTATTTATTTTTTGCCCAAAATTATGGCACACCTTGATATTCCGATAAAATATTTTCTATTATGTGTCAATGTAATCATTTTAGAAGAGAAAATTTTCTGTAGTCTACAGTTTAGAAAAGAGGATTTTACGAAGATAAAAAGTAAATTAATAATTGGACCAATATAGCTTTATTTTTAAATTTAAAAATTACTATTCATTTATGGCGATATCCGGTTCTGGAGTAAGATATTTGGGGAAGCGTTTTCGTCCAATAAATAGCCTCGTTCAAACAATATATTCACGACAAGAATGAAGGCACAACTTTACAGGGGAAGTACTCCAAGTGCGACCCTGAGATTTTCTTTAAATTTTGCTCACACGTCGGGTATGGACTAAATATCAATTCCTGAAAGTTTTAGCTCGCGCTTTCCTGTGGCCGTCGAGATATTAAACGATTTTTGCCGCCGAGAGAGCACGCAAAACGTGGAGAGCGGTCAGAGAGAAGCTTTTTGGCCATAACTTTCGCATTTTCGCGCGGAAAAGTTTGATTTTTTGTAGAAACATTATCCTTTACAGTAGAAATAGGCATGAAACTTTTTGTGCCAAAATTTGGCAAAAAGTCCTAAATTTTGGCCGACTTTCGATCTAAAAATCTCGGTTGTTTCTGCAAAGCGCGAGCTAGGATTCTCGCATATATCTTAGAAAAAATTACTCTAAATCTGTGCCAAGTTTCACCAAAATCTGAGCGTCGCACTTGGAGTACTTTCCCTGTTTATGCAACTTTTTTTCTCGGGGGTTAAAGTTGACCATGTCCCGATCGCAATTCTCGAAAGTGTGTCCTTTGCAAAGCGAGGAAGAAATATTTTTTGAGGCGTTGCCAAAGCTTGTGTCGCATCGCAGCAAACGGCGACGAAGTAGAATCCACTGATCCACTGGCATGGTCTTTCCTTGTCTTTGAGGTAGTACAAAAACAGCAGAGAGTTGTCAGAGAAGAAGTGTTGTTCGGGCCATATTGGAAAAATAAGGGCCGTAGACAAAGCAAAAACAAAGCTTCTCGTTCATATTTTCTTTGTTTTCCGCAAAAAAATTTTTGATTTTTGGTCACAACATCCTTTGGGCTGCTAAAAACTGAGCCTGAAATTTGTAAGCCAAAAGAAACAAAAAATTTCAAAATTTTGCCAAATTTTGTGCTAAAAAATCTCGGCTATTTCTGCAAAGCACATGCCAAAAATCTCGTATTTCACTTAGAAAAACAAAATTTGAATTTGTTCCAAAATTTAATCCGATTCTGAAAGCATTTCTCCGCCGGAGCAACACTTGTCCCAAATGAGTCAACTCTCACTCTCAGCCAATTTCTCCGATAAAATGAACTTATTTTAGTTTGGAATTTTCACCAGAAGCTTTAGCACTGTGCAAACCCCAAATCCGCGAATTTGCAGCCTTTCGTAGGGTCCACTAATATTTGAATTTTTTCGTAACAAAGCCCCTTCTCCAAGTGTTTGTCCTTTCCGCAGCGAACAAAAACGGGAATGGACGGTTTATCCAGATGTTTTATTCTTCTTTATTCCTATTTAAGGATACCCGAAATGAGGAAACAGCAATAAAGCCAAATTTTATTTCCCCCCTCAAAATTGAAATCATTTTCGAACAACGTTCGAGCGATTATTACAATGTTCTGCAGAGTAGTGTCTGTTATACTCTTTACTGTTTTGTTTTCAAATCTCGGTGAGTTATTGCAGATGGCTATAAACTTTGATAATATAATAGTAATAAATATTTTCAAATTTTTCAATATTAATGAAAATTTTCAAATTTTTTTTTGGAAATAGGGCTTCGGTTTTCTTCAAACTTTGCATAGATAATCTAAATAGTCCACAAATCAATCCCTAAAAATTTTAGCTTGCCCTTTTCAGCGGCAGCTGAGATATTCTAAAATCTTTTTTGCGAGAGAGCACGCAAAATGAAGAGAGTCGGCCAGACAAAAAAAAAGTTTTTTTCCCAAAGCCTTTTTGTTTCGGGATGGCAGAGATTAATTTTTTTGTAGAAAAGTTTTATATGACACTTGAATTAAGCCTTTTTTTAAGCAAAATATGCAAAAAAATTTTTTTTTTTTGATGGAATTTTCTATCAAATTTTTAGCTGATGACTATAAAATACGGACCAAATTTTTTGCATTTAATATTCTAAAATTCCAATCTAAATTTACGCCAAGTTTCATCAAAATCTGAGAGCTTGCGCCATCCGAGGGAAACACTTGACCCAAGCAGAAACACTTGACCCAACTGGGTCAAGTCTCCCCCTTGTTTAATGTAATCGTTAAAAAAGTTTTTCAACACATGTAACAGTGATTTTCAGTCATTTCCACTCCAATTCGTCAAGAATCCAGCGAAATCCAGGGGATCGAAAAGTCGTTGGCCTTCGACATTGGTGCTCCAGCCAAAGAAGATAAAGCCGACCAAAGCGAAGGCAAAGTCGGGTCCATCTGGCGACTGGGAAAGCGGCAATCCGGCTTTGGAAACAGCCTGGCCGAGAAGTTGGAGAAGTTTAAAGCTCAGAAAGCGGCCGAGAAACCGAGCCTCATTCCGCTTCCCGCGGCCACAGTCGACCCCAAAGTCAAACTTCCCGCGATTCCCAACAAAAGCGAAAAGCTTGGGACCACGTTGATCGACAAAACCGGGACACTCGGGCAAAATTTGGGCGACGACGGAGAAGCGGAGCTCGAAAAGGAGAGGAAAAAGAAGTTTCGGGCGACTTTGAAGAAGATCTTGAAGAACAAGGGTTCTTCTGACGAATTTGAGGCTCCTCCTGGCTTCTATGAGAAGGAGAAGAAGCCAGAAGTCAAGACCGAAGAGAAGAAACGAGAGGAAGTTAAAATTAAGAACCTTGTGGACAGCGACAAAACTGTTGAGGTCCCAGAAAACAAGGAGATAGTCGTTGTGGACAATGAGACTGGGAATGGAACAAAACTCGAGAAGACCAAGAGCCCAAATCTTGCGGAAAGCTCGTTGGAAAGTCGTGTAAAAGAGATCCTGAAAAAAGAGGAGGTAGGTAAAGTTTAATACTTTAAAAAGGTTCAAATTTCGCAAGCAAAACTCAACGAATTAAGTCTAGTCGACGCTAAAGAGCCCTTATAATCGTTGTACTTTCTCAAAATTTCAATTTTAAATTCATGCTTTTGTCAGCATTAAATTTGTTATATTGTACTTGCAGATCCCCGCAAAAGTTGATGAAATCATCCCTATTGCCCGCTCAGAGTCCTGGGGAACTGAAACACCAAAGATTGGACAGGAGACTGAAGCTCCGAAGAAGCTAGAGACTCCTCCAGTCCTTCCTCTAAACACTGAACCAAAGCCAACACAAAAAGCTACAGTACCCGAGGTGGAGAAGAATCCTTGGTCCGCCTTCTTGGATCAACTGCTACAGAATACTAAACGATCAACGGAAACTGCGCCAGGCCAGCAGGGTCAGCGTCCTGGCTTCTCTTTCAGCCTGTTCTTCTGAGACGACCAGGCTATTACCTCCTTTGCATGTCCTTCAAACAACATAATAACTCAAATGTCTAAATTCCTACAAATTCCCTCAGATTAACCTTGTTAATAACGAATAAACTTTTCCTCTTTTTGATTATTTCATCAAGTGTATCGGAGAAGGCCGTTTTGAGTTCTTCGCTTTTCCTAACCGGATTAAAAAATTTTCTTACGTTAGACAAACTTCCTTGGTTTATCTTCCACTGATTTCTCCACTCGGAGCAAGGGAAGTCAATTGGACCTAAAAAATCTATCACCCTTAATAAAAAGATTGGGATCGGCACTTCTTTTTTTCCCAGTTCCGTGTCTGTGAGACTTCGTAAAACTTTCAAAATTCCTCCGCCGAATTCTCCGCCAGCCTTTAAACACGAGATAAGAAAAAGCAAGAGAAGGTAGATGGTAAAGTGACTGGGAAGAAATTCATCAGCTTTTCTCCAATCCGATCTGCAAAACCAAGTTCCCAAAACGGCCGGTAAAAAAAAAGTTTCCGCCGAGCCTTCGCCGATGTGTGAGACATCCGCCAAGCTATTGCAGTAATCCTGACAAATCTGGGTTACTGTAACTTTGCATCCTAAGAATCAATTTTTTCTTGCCTTAGGCAAAACTTTAGAAAAACGTTGTCAACAGGTAAATTGCTCAGAATAACGATACCAATCCATCCGAACCACCCCCGACTCTCTGGCATGTCTAGTTTTTGTGATACAGAATTTGCGGTTAAAGTACAGTAAGCCCAATCTCAAAAAAATGGAAGTGCCAATAAATTTTGTTTTGTTAGTGTACTAACTGGGTTGAATTTCAGCCCTGTAGAACCAACTTGGTAAAAATGTGCCACCCCTGTTTTGCGGTTGCTCGACTTTCTCGCTAACCTTGTTTTAGGTGCACTGTTCGTATCTAACAGTGCAGCTTTATACCGGGAAGCTAAGTTCTTGTAAAATTCTTCATCTTGTTCTGTACCGTCAACGGAATCAATGCAACTCATATTGATGGTCAAATTTTTTTAGCAAACTATATGTAAGAAAAGTAACGATAAATATTAGTGGCATGGAGCATTGTAGTGTGTTCAGTTAATTTTAACGTGGCCTCCCTTGACGTCGATATAGAGCTCCAAACGTGCCATGAAATTTTGGGCAAAAGGCACCAGGTTTTTAGGGGAAATCGGTCCCAATGTTGGTGCAGCGATTACTTAGCGACTCACAACGGGATTTTCGCAGCGGCAGAATTATGCCCCGGTAATCTACAAAAACGCGGGATTTCTTGCCATTAGCACGAATTTAGCCGAAGACGACAAAGGCCCCGATTTTGACGGTCTTGAACGCCTATTAACAAAAATATTTTATGTAAATGTCGTGGACAACATATTTTAATATTTTATGTAAATGTCGTGGACAACATATTTTTGCAACTTTTTTCCTTTGTATTCGGATTCCGACGATGGATTTGTAACTTACGTACATACTGAAGTTTCTAATTCATCCTCATGACACGTATATCTGTTCTTCAATTTTCAACCCTACAAAAAACCTTATTCCACAATCGTGAGGTGGCCACCCCACCGGTGGGGACTTTGGTTGTCTATTATAAATAGTTCAGTTCATGCTTGACAGAAATTAGTAAACCTTTATTGACTTTCTGGTATTGATCGAAAACATATACGGGACTTGTGGTCGATTAATTTTGTCGCTCTGTCGTCAGTATGTAGCAGAATTGGAGGCGCTAAATTAGTATATTAAGCTGATCATGGAAATCCTTGAAATTCTTTGCCCAAATTGCGATTTTCAGTGCGAAAAAAGTGACCACCTTTATATTCAACGATTTCTTCAGCCGAGAGAGCACGTTAAAGGCGAAGTGCGCTCAGAGATAAACATACGTTTGGCCGTAAATTTTCCGGTTTCGCATGGAAAAGATTAATTTTTTCTGGAAACATTTTCCTCTACGGTAGGCAAGAAACACTTTATACCGAAATTGGCTAAAAGATGGCAAATTTTTAGAACACGATTTCTGAGTCACTGAATCAGCTGCCGGTTAGGCGTGGACATAGGAAGATATCTTTTACCGTATTTGAACTCCATTTTTTGCATTTCACAACTTTTCTACACTTGCATCGAAAGTTCCAAGATCATAAATCTTGCACAAAAATTAAAAAAATTTTTTTTGAGTTTTTGGCCTGAAATCAATCAAATTCATGGCTGAAGTTTGCCCTTAAACTATTTTTCTCTAACTCTCTCGTTAACACAGTTTTATTTACAATTTTCAAATTGAAAAGTTATTTCTCACAAAATAAAGCTTAGTGCATAAAAGATCGTTGCTTGGTTGTGCCTAATTTTACGCTGATTCCGAAAATTCAATTACTAACAGCGTACGTTAAGAAATAAAAATTTTACGGCCGATTTTTAGCGGCCGAAGCCATATTTTTCTATTTTACAGTAATCTTGGTTTTGAAAAAAAACCCTTTCGTTAAATTCAGTATGCTTGAAAACTTCACATATTTCACTTTTACCGATTTTCATCAACTGACTTTGTTCGAAAGTCCACTGAAAGCAAAATAATGATTTTACCTTCAAAAAATGCTTTAAAATTTATATTATCGCCTTGGATATAGTCATGCATGGCTTGAATATTCCTAACTGACCTATACTAATTGTTTTCTTAAAGTTTTCCGCAGTTTTTCAAATTTTTCGTCCTGTGGGAACCGAACCCGGGACCTTCGGATTACAAATTTTGACAAAATCCACTATACTACGAAAATTGGAATACGGGGAACAACGGTTTCGCTATGTTACAGTAACCCAAACGTCAAAAATCGACTTCCATTGTAATCACAAGGTGCCAAAACCTATACACTACTGATTTCAATCATTTGCGATGCATACTTGTTGATCGATTTTTTCCTATGTCCACGGCTGATATAAAGGTGGTCATATAAGACCTCGGAATTTTTTTTCCCAAATCGCGATTTTCGGTGCACAAAAAAGTCGACGCCCAAATCGAAAAATTGGCGTCGACTTAATTTTTTCAGCATCGAATTCCGAAATGCGGTGCTGACTTAAGCACTTAAGTCTTCGGTGTGCAGACTTAAGACTTTGTGCACTGATTTCGAAAAACTAAAAATTTACCGAATTTCAGAATTCGGTGCCGAGAAAAAAATAAGTCGACGCCAATTTTTCGATTTGGGCGTCGACTTTTTTGTGCACCGAAAATCGCGATTTGGAAAAAAAAATCCGAGATCTTATATGACCACCTTTATATACAGTGACTCAGAAATCGTGTTTTAACATTTTTGATCTAAAAATATCGGCCGTTTTTGCAAAGTGCGAGCTAGGAGTCTTGGATTGGTAAAAAAATTCATTTAAATTTGTGTCAAGTGCAGTGAAAAGCTGAGCGTCGCACTTTTAGTACTTCTCCTGTTAACCGAGATAACCCTTACCGGAATTACTTTCTTTGTACCAAATCCAGCGTTTGCTTTGCTCGAGGACATAAAATATATTGTCTCCCAAGCGCCGGAAGACACATAATTTGTCGCAATGCTGTACGTACCATTCCACGGGAGTGTTGTCAATCAAACAAACGACCTAAACTTTATGTTGTTAAGCAAAATTTTTAACAAAAAATTATGGTTGTTTCAAAGTTGGCGCGTCAGTCACGCTGTCAAATAGCCGTCGTTTTCATCATGTCATACGGTTCTTTCATTTTGATTGTCAAATTCAACTTTTTTGGAAAATTTTTGTAGATTTGTGCGAAAAAAATCGTGAATTTAAGATTTTTAAAAACTAAATAAAATTCCACTTATTGACAAAATGACCGATGAAACAAGCAATAAAACAAGTTGCGGCTACTATTAACGGGGACGATCAAATGGGCGCCCTCTTATTTGCTAAACTTTACCCTCTAATCGTCCACCTTTCCCCTCTAATTTGTGAATGGCGCCCTCTAATATAGATGCCCTCTAATCGAAACTGAACTGTGCCCTCTGAAAAACTGAATCGACGCCCTCTGATTTGATTTTCCCAAAATGGTATTGTTTCCTTACATAGTAGTGTAAGAATGCAGAGTAGTAGTGTTAAGTAGTAATTTTTGAAAATTTTGGTTGAGCTATCGATTTATAGGTAATTTGGGGTGCTGATTTCGAAAATGACATTCATTTTTCATGATTGTAACTTTTTTCTTAAATAGTAGTGTTAAGTAGTAATTTTTGAAAATTTTGGTTGAGCTATCGATTTATAGGTAATTTGGGGTGCTGATTTCGAAAATGACATTCATTTTTCATGATTGTAACTTTTTTCTTAAATAGTAGTGTTAAGTAGTAATTTTTGAAAATGTTGGTTGAGCTATCGGTTTATAGGTAATTTGGGGTGCTGAATTCGAAAATGACATTCATTTTTTATGATTGTAACTTTTTTCTTAAATAGTAGTGTTAAGTAGTAATTTTTGAAAATTTTGGTTGAGCTATCGATTTATAGGTAATTTGGGGTGCTGAATTCGAAAATGACATTCATTTTTCATGATTGTAACTTTTTTCTTAAATAGTAGTGTTAGATAGTAATTTTTGAAAAATTTGGGTGAGGTATCGATTTATAGGTAATTTGGGGTCCAGAATTGAGTTGTGCTGTAAAGTTGTGATTTCGTTTTTATTTTATTTTTTGATGAATAGTTATTTAAGTGCAAGGTATGTGTCATTGTTGATTCAAAAACTGTGTTCATGTTCTGTAGTTTTTATTCACCTCCAATCTGTTGGCAGAAGAATTTTTGCTCAGAATTTTCTGTCAAACCTGGCATTGCGGCAGGCTATCCCAAGCCAAACAATTTTATAGCAGAAAAATTTCTGTCAAACCCCGCCCATTTTGGCGCGCTTGATGAAGAGCAGAAGCAATACCGTTGATGACTCGAGGTAATAATCGCATGGAAAACACTCCTGTTGGATAATAGCACGAAGTTGCTCAAAGAACTTAAATTAGCAGAAAAACTTTACGAAATTTATTATAAAAATACTTCTCTTTAGACAACATAGTTATATTTTTTCAATTTTTTGTCGTAAAAAGAAAAAACCCATCGTACCATTTTTGTTTGTAACGTTGTCCGTACAAGAATAAGTTAAATTTACGCAAGTTATTTGCTGTTTCAACGTTTTCTCTGTCAATTTATTGCAATTAGGCAGATATTGCTTTAGGTGATATCACACGAACCTGAAGGAATTGAAAATATTTGTAAAATATTTTAAGTTTTTATTGTGATAAATGCTAGACTGACAATTATCCAACAGGATTTTTTCTCATGCAATCATTACTTCTGGTCATCATCGGTATTGCTTCTGTCCTTCATCGAGCGCGCCAAAATGGGCGGGGGTTGACAGAAATTTTTCTGCGATCAAATTGTTTGGCTTGGGATAGCCTGCCGCTATGCCAGGTTTGACAGAAATTTTTGAGCAGAAATTCTTCTGCCATCAGATTGGAGGTAAATAAAAACTACAGAAGCTGAACACAGTTTTTGAATCAACAATAACACATATCTTGCACTTAACTATTCATAAAAAAAATAAAAATAAAGAAATCACAACTTTACAGCACAACTCATCATGAATCTCGTTCTGGAATAAGCACCCATAAAACCTACCAATTCAAAAAATCTCAAAGTTACTACTTTACAGTACTGTTTAAGAACAATTTGACAGCAGCATAATTTCTGCCGAACTTGTGTTGGCGCCCATTTTTGGCGCGCCCAATGATGGGCTAGAGGCAGGCTCTCCCAAGCTAAACAATTTGACAGCAGCGTCAAAAATTACTACCTAACACTACTATTTAAGAAAAAGTAACAATCGTGAAAAATGAATGTCATTTTCGAACTCGGCACCTCAAATTACCTATGAATCGATAGCTCAACCAAAATTTTCAAAAATTACTACTTAACACTACTATTTAAGAAAAAAGTTACAATCATAAAAAATGAATGTCATTTTCGAATTCAGCACCCCAAATTACCTATGAATCGATACCTCACCCAAATTTTTCAAAAATTACTATCTAACACTACTATTTAAGAAAAAAGTTACAATCATAAAAAATGAATTTCATTTTCGAATTCAGCACCCCAAATTACCTATGAATCGATAGCTCAACCAAAATTTTCAAAAATCGCTACTTAACACTACTATTTAAGAAAAAAGTTACAATCATAAAAAATGAATGTCATTTTCGAATTCAGCACCCCAAATTACCTATGAATCGATACCTCACCCAAATTTTTCAAAAATTACTATCTAACACTACTATTTAAGAAAAAAGTTACAATCATAAAAAATGAATTTCATTTTCGAATTCAGCACCCCAAATTACCTATGAATCGATAGCTCAACCAAAATTTTCAAAAATCGCTACTTAACACTACTATTTAAGAAAAAAGTTACAATCATAAAAAATGAATGTCATTTTCGAATTCAGCACCCCAAATTACCTATGAATCGATACCTCACCCAAATTTTTCAAAAATTACTATCTAACACTACTATTTAAGAAAAAAGTTACAATCATAAAAAATGAATTTCATTTTCGAATTCAGCACCCCAAATTACCTATGAATCGATACCTCACCCAAATTTTTCAAAAATTACTATCTAACACTACTATTTAAGAAAAAAGTTACAATCATAAAAAATGAATGTCATTTTCGAAATCAGCACCCCAAATTACCTATAAATCGATAGCTCAACCAAAATTTTCAAAAATTACTACTTAACACTACTATTTAAGAAAAAAGTTACAATCATGAAAAATGAATGTCATTTTCGAAATCAGCACCCCAAATTACCTATAAATCGATAGCTCAACCAAAATTTTCAAAAATTACTACTTAACACTACTACTCTGCATTCTTACACTACTATGTAAGGAAACAATACCATTTTGGGAAAATCAAATCAGAGGGCGTCGATTCAGTTTTTCGGAGGGCACAGTTCAGTTTCCATTAGAGGGCATCTATATTAGAGGGCGCCATTCACAAATTAGAGGGGAAAGGTGGACGATTAGAGGGTAGAGTTCAGCAAATAAGAGGGCGCAAGGTGTATTGCCCCTATTAACGGTATTCATCATAGTCCATGTTAAACTCGCGCGTGAAAGCTTTGTATACTAGAAAATTTAGCCAAGATGACGAAAATGACGGTAATTTTACGTAATTTTGAAAAATTCTGTCAAATTATTATTACAAGCCTACAAAACATCAATTAATCAGCGGGGTTTCGGACTGGGGTTACCTTTAATACAGCATGCTCTTCGTCGTGATCGACTAATATGAGATAACTGTCTTTGTTGAGTTGTTGTCGTCTGTAACACGGAATCCTTTGCTTGTTGATTGTACTCCCTTCCACTGTGTAGACCCATGTTTGTGTTTTGTAATCAGTGAAAACAACTGAATTTCCATGCGCGTTTTGTGGACATTCCTGAATTGAAAATGAATCCTACAGTCACGTCATAATATTTTCTTCAAAAAATGTAAGATTCAGATGTCTAAAAATCTTTTGATTTGTCGATTAAAAATTTTTGCTAATTTTTATTTGTTGTAAAGTCCAAGAAAAAATGTCTGCACGAATGGCGTCGCGACACTTGCGGGCAACCTCTTTGCGGGCAGCCGACATTTGCGGGCAGCTGGGGACATTTGCGAACAGGGTCGACATTTACGGGCAACAGAAAGAAAGAAACATTCTGATTCTGTTGGAAGTTTTGGATATCAACCGACGCTTCCGGTCAGCCGTTTTTTGCCCATATGCAAGCTAGACGAAACGTCACCTCAACTTATAGTGAATTTAATTGCCCAAACCCGAAATTTGGGTGCGAAAACGAATCCTAAGCTTCGGATGATTTCCAACCCCTCCAACAGGATCAGTGTGTTTCTTTGTTTTCTGTTGCCCGCTTTGTCGTCTGCCCGAAAATGTCCCAGCTGCCCACAAATGCGTAGTGGACCCACCTGGTTTTGTCCCCAAGCCGCTTGTGGCTGGGCACATTGTGTGTCAATTGGCGTTGATACAAACGCCAACTGACAATGAGCAATCGAGGTACTGCATATTAGAACTTGATACTATATAGTAAAATTAAAAATTATGCATTCAGATGTTAATGTAACACAAGCAGCGCCAAAATGGTCATCTGGTGGAACTTACGATGTGCATATCGGCGGACGGTGTTGAGCATACGAAACCTGTTTGAAGGTCGTAGACCAGCATGACAGGATCGAGTCCTTCGTATACAAACACAAACATCTTGTACGTATCCGAAACAGCCAACCATTGTGTCACGAAAAGGTCAGACAGTTTGAACAAAGTCTCCGGCCCTCCAGAAGATGTCAGATCTTTGCGGTAAAAAGTAGTGAACGGTGGATAATGTCGGGTAAAATAAACTCTATCCATGTCATCGAAGGCTATGTAATCTGTTCGGGGATCTTTCTAAATAAAATATTTTAGAGAGTAGAGATCAGCTTTATTCGATTTTTTGAAGGGTGTCCCTATACCAATTGAGAAAAAAGTTATGGCCAAAATACTGCCGCCAACCCCGGGTTTGGACGCAAAAAGTCTCTCCGAAAGAGAAGTAGGCGGCGTCGCGACACTTGCGGGCAACCACTTTGCGGGCAGCCGACATTTTTTGATTAGAAATACGAAAATGCTGGATAAGCCTTTGATAACTATTCAAGCCACTTATACCAATGGAAACTTAATCCACAACATCTAATCGTTAAGCACATCGTTTGAAGTTCCAGTTGTAAGCAAATTTTGGCTGATTTCATAACATGTCCGCAGAATCTCCGTGGTTTTTCAAGCTGCCCGCAATGTGGTTGCAGGCAAGTGTGGGCCCGCCAAGTAGGCTACTTTCGTCAGGTTTCTCTCGGTCGCAAATGCGTTTTCGATGCTCTCTCGCTCCCCCCTACTTCTATTTTATTTTATGTTAGTGAAACAGGCCCCTTCTTTTTTCGGCGAGCAACACGTGGACCCAAACAGCGCTTTTTGTATCGAATCATCACGGTGATGAGAAATGATGTCTGTACGTGAATATGAAGCAAAGTGTTGACTGTCTTCTGGAGTGGGTGGCCCCAGGGGGCAGTCAAACAAGATCCCCACCCAAAAAGGCCATGATCTGCATTTTGGGGGACTGGGTGGGCATTTTGCATTGGGAAATGCTTGAAAAGAACGCCACGGTCAACAAAGAGCTCTACGCTTCCCAGCTACACCCTTTGCCAAACAACAAGCAACCCTTATAAAACAAAGCAGTAAAAAACTCTATGAACTTAGCCCCCAACCTTATATATAGAATACTGCTTGTTGTGGCTGTATAATTCACGCACCGGAAGGCGACGCAAGTTTTCTGTCGGGTTTGAATCCAGGGAATATGCGAGCGAGTCCATGGTGGCAATGCCTTGCGGTTAAAGGAACTGGAATGCTATGATGGACGTGGGCATTATCCAGCCGAAAATGTTGCCTGGTTGCCAGTATCACGTGTTCACCTTACAACCTTGGTACTCAAGGATATTCATTTGAGTTACTGTGGCCGCCAACTGAAGGCCTACGGCTCCTGCGAAGGCGCCCCAAGTTATCAACGAGCCACCTCCATAATTACGGCATGAGAAGTATCGCGATTCGTTTTCCATGTCATGTCAGTCATCGAACGACTTCGCATTCTACAAGAATACGGTACTGCAACGGTCAAACGTCGATTTCAGCACTCGTTCACTAATTAACCTGTGTTGTCAAAGTCTCTTTGGCAAATCTCGTTAGCCCCAGTTATTGTTATTATGTGTTTTAGTTAGGCTAACAAGCCGAATTCGTGAGCGCGGTTATAATTTTGCGACAAAAAAAGTACTTGGGGTTTTGCAGCTTTTCTCCAAAACTTTTCGAAACAATTTTTGGCGCATCATTTCTAGTACTATGATGCATACTAGTACCAAATGTGACGCATTTCTATTTACAAACAGAAAAGTCACAATCGTTTTTAAGGTTATTTTTTTATGACCCGCACTGAATATGCCTAACCAGCCCACCTTGATGATTTTTTAAAGCGTTATGCAGTTTAAAATACTTACAAAAATTGTGCAATGGAAGATGTTAATTTCTTCTTTCGCCAGAAGAAGGTCATGCTTGTTCCCCAACTCAATGTGATAATAACGACTCATTCCGCGAGTCCGAAATTCTGCTTTTAGAAGGTTTGCTTTCCGAGGGAACTTTTCGTGTTTTGGTACTGTTAACGTGAGATTGAGCTGTGATATTCCCACGCCATGAGGAAATCGATTTAAAGGAAGTTTTCTTCCAGTAATCTGAATATCTAAACTGACATCATCGTCAGACAGATACGTAGTCCCTGGAGATTTATGCAATTTGCCACATTTTAATGAAGTTAAACGCCTAAAAGAGTGTTGTTAATTGAAAGCAGAAATCTTTATACTAGTCCTTCCAGAAAGTCGCCGGACCGAAATCGGCGACACGCACCGTTAGAAAACAACAGTTTTCTTTGCACTATGCAATTTCTTGATTTAATGTGATTTACAAGTTTTAGGTTACTTTTTTGCACAGTGCAAACGCCAAGAACCAGTTGGGCGACTTTCCGGACGGACTATCAGTCTGTCGGGAAAATAGTGGCGGGTCGTTGCGCCTTCGAATCGTTTATAATCGCTGTGCGACGGCTAGCCGCAGCTGGAGATTTGGTGCGCAACTGCGCCCTTTTTTCGACGAGGCAAAACATTTGCTGCGACGTCCCGCCACTATTTTCCCGACTAACTGATATAAAAAAACTCGCGAATTTTTGCGACAAAAAAGCCTCAGCGCGGGTGCGTTCAGAATTTTACCCCATGTAATTACCACTGAATTCAAATCTGCAATAAAAACTCATAAATATCATGGAAAAAATATGCATAGAAAATAAGAATCTTTCTAGTAAACATACAGTGCCTCTGTGTTACAGTAATCCTATGCACCGCCGGAGTTTACCCAAAACTCTGGGGCTTAAAAGTCCTTCATTATGGTCGGCCCCTTTACGTAGGAAGGTCTTGTGCGTTTCATTGTGTTCTGTCACATTTCTGTCATAATTTCATCAAAACGTCAAAACTTTGAGAAAAATGCACAGAAGTTATTCTGCCGCAGTGTCAACAAACAAAGCCATAACAACATGGGCTCAAATTTTAGGGCATATTTTAATATTTTCGCAGCCATATAATATTCTCATCCTCACCTCATGAATAAGTCCTTCCAACCATCACCAATGTTAGCGCTTGGAAGAAGAAAGTTGTTTCGGCATCCTTCTTCAAATCTTTTTTCAAATATCTCGACTTCTTCACGAATTAACTCGGCCACAAGTGGGAGTGGCGTTTTGTCCAAAATTTTACATCTAATCTGCAGAAATTCAATGAGATAATTAAGTGTTCGCTTACTTCAAGTGGAAGACGATCAAGAATATTTCTAGCTGACATTTGAGCCTATAAGAAAAAAATTATTTATTTAAACAAGGTATTAAATAATACACATCTTTTTATCATACCACACATCAAATATCACATATCACAGAAGTTGTAATGCCACAGTCAAATGAAAATATTATATCAACATATGTATATACGTACATACTATAAAAATGGGTTTACTAATCATTTTTCGACCTTGTCCTGGCGGGACAAATTTCTCAAGCAGCGCACGTCAAAAAAATTTCTTCAGAAAAGTGAAAAAACAAGGAATCTCGGATCATTGAGTTTTTACGAAGTGCCACAGGATTATCGAGTAGGAAAAATTATTTTTCTCTTCGAAAAAACTTTTCTCAAAAAAAACTCTCTGGGAAGTTTTCTTTTGTGACTTCGGCGACATTTCGTCAAAATACAATGATCCGAGATTCCTTGCTTTTTCACTTTTTTTTTGACGTGTAGCGCCATTCAAGAGTATTTTTGCGGATTAACAAAAAAATCATTCAACGACATAAAATAAAAACATGATGCCTTTACGCTCTTCGCAGCTATCCAATATTCGACTACAACTGGCGCATATGTTTCCGATCCATACCAGACAGCTAATAAAGTCTTGAGTCTTTTAAAACTATGCAAATCGTCGGGCTTTTCGCAGTTGTATTATCAGTCTGTCGGGAAAATAACGGCGGATCGTCGCGCCCCGGAATCGCCCATCATCGCTCTGCGACTGAAAGCCGCGGCTGGGGATTTGGTGCGCGATAGCGGCGAGGCGAGACATTTTGCTGCGACGATCCGCTGTTATTTTCCCGACAGACTGATAATAAAGCATAAACCTCTATTACTTCTGCTCTATCGAAATATCCTACTCTCCAAAAAAGAAATCCAACAAACTCCGAACTAGACCATCTATTGTTGGCCAGTGGCGGCCTTGAGGAGGGCTTCGGCGACTTCAGCGCGGATCGACGCTTCAGTTTGTTAATAAGCAGCCGGTGCGAACAAGCAATGAACGCCGTGTAATTTCGCATGCCTTGGCATTGTGCCACAACGCATTCATGTTTTATTTCTTTTGCTGGTGAAGGAACAATTTTAAAGGTTTTGTACCCTCTACATTAAAAACACTTTTTTTTATTTAATGATACCGAGTTTTTACCTAGTGATGAAAAATCGAACAAAAGGTCGTCTTCCAAATTGTAGTTATCCTTTTAATTTTTTACTTTTTTACAAATTTTTTGAGTTACAGTACGCTTTTTCAAAAGTTTACTTTGAACTGCGCAAGTTCTTGCTTTTTGCACCGTGCAAATAGCTTTTTTGGGCTGTCGCTCGCACTCTGATTTTTTCTGCACAGTGCAAGCCGCTCGAGTAATTTCTGCGACATGCACTGTGCGGAAACGAAAGCTCACTGTGCAATTTTTGTCGCGGCGCACAGTGCATTTTACGGCTTTCGCAGAATTCCATCGATTGCGACCCCGCACGGATTGCGACCCAGCATCGATTGCGACCCCGCATCGATTGCGACCCAAAATGGGGTAAAGCGACCCCGGGGTGAAAATTCTTTGATTTTTTTCGGGAAAAACTTGGTTTAGGGGTTTTCGAGGGTGCTGATTTTGAAAATGATGTTCATTTTTTCTGAAACTTACTAGTTTTCCTTAAGCAGTAGTGTTAAAAAGTAATTTTTTCAAATTTTTCCAAAAATGCTGGATTTAGGGGTTTTCGAGGGCGCTGATTTCGAATATCGGGTTTATTTTTTCTGAACATTACTAGTTTTCCTTAAGCAGTAGTGTTAAAAAGTAATTTCTTGAAATTTTTCCAAAAATGCTGGATTTAGGGGTTTTCGAGGGTGCTGATTTCGAAAATGATGTTCATTTTTTCTGAAACTTACTAGTTTTCCTTAAGCAGTAGTGTTAAAAAGTAATTTTTTGAAATTTTTCCAAAAATGCTGGATTTAGGGGTTTTCGAGGGTGCTGATTTCAAATATCGGGTTTATTTTTTCTGAAACTTACTAGTTTTCCTTAAGCAGTGGAAATGGGGTTAGTGGTTGATTATGATGTTCAAGACGTGTTTTTCATGTCAAGGTGGTTGCTCAGAAAACCCGGAAATGGGGGTTAGTGGTCGATTATGATGGTCAAGAAATTTGTTTTAATTATGTTTTTTTGTCTTCAGATTTTCGATGATTTTTTGGAAGACAGAAAATTGAATAATAGGTACGCAGGTCATGAAAGTAAATTGAAAACATCAGATCCGGTCATTTGTTTGTCAAGTCCATTGCTAGACCAGAGGAAAAACCAATATAAAGCATTTGAAAAATTAAATTATGTTATTCATGACATCAGGATGAAATTCTCCAATTATTGATCATTATTGGTAATAAATTGATCCGGTTGCCCATTTATAACAAAGAAGAGACCAAGATCCTTTCGAATATACAGGTTTAAGCCAATGGAAGGTCGTGGATTTGAAATGAAAAAATATTTAATATAAAATTAGTCGAAAAACAGTGATACACTGTTCAAACTTGACTAAAAGTTAACTTTTAAAAACTTTTTCGATGTATTTTTTTATTGCCAACATATTTCTAAGTAATAAATGAGGTTTTCCTGCATTACAAACCGCTTTTTCTTCCAAAAACAAAAAATTTTTGCTGAAAATACCTTGAGAACAGAATGCCAAAAAATTGGCACCTCAAGAACCCGATATTCGAAATCAGCACCCTCGAAAACCCATAAATCGAGTATTTTTCGAAAAAATTCAAAAAATTACTTTTTAACACTACTGCTTAAGGAAAACTAGTAAGTTTCAGAAAAAATAAACCAAATATTTGAAATCAGCACCCTCGAAAACCCCTAAATCGAGTATTTTTGGAAAAATTTCAAAAAATTACTTTTTAGCACTACTGCTTAAGGAAAACTAGTAAGTTTCAGAAAAAATAAACCCGATATTTGAAATCAGCACCCTCGAAAACCCCTAAATCGAGTATTTTCCGAAAAATTTCAAAAAATTACTTTTTAACACTACTGCTTAAGGAAAACTAGTAAGTTTAAAAAAAAATGAACATCATTTTCAAAATCAGCACCCTCGAAAACCCCTGAACCAAGTTTTTCCCGAAAGAAATCAAAGAATTTTCACCCCGGGGTCGCTTTACCCCATTTTGGGTCGCAATCGATGCGGGGTCGCAATCGATGCGAGGTCGCAACCGAGCAGGGTCGCAATCGAAGGATTCCGCTTTCGCACGGTGCTGGCTTTTCGAACATTTTGCACTGAGCATTTTCATCCATCGCGGGAAATCGCTTCAAAAACGTCGCAGCGACGAAGTTGAAAATGGCTTTTGTCGCGCGATATTCGCTTGCACGGTGCAAAATGTCAAATGCACGGTGCAGAATGGCTTTTTGCACGGTGCGCCCCGCGACGAAAAATCTATATTTTCTGTCGCGTACTGGGTTTTTGAAAAAGTGAAGTTCGGAGTTCTGCAATGTCCCTTTCAAAATATCAGTCTGTCGGGAAAATAATGAGCACTCTGTCGTATCGAAAATCGCATCGCCGCCGAGAACCTGAATTGTGTCGCGACAAAATCAGATTGCTTTTCAATCAGATTTTCGGGATTGACGCAGCGACACTGCGCTCACTATTTTTCCGACAGACTGATAATCATTGTTTTCTATAGATGCAAATGTCAGCCAAAGATTTTTTGGATCTTCTTCCCCTTGAAGTAAGTGAAAATTTTATTTTCTCATTGAACTTCTTCTCAGGTTCGTTACAAAATTTTGGACAAAACACCACTTCCGCTCGTGGCCGACTTACTTCGTGAAGAAGACGTCGAAAGATTTGACAGAAGATTTGAAGAAGCCTGTCGCGACAACTATTTTCCTCCATTACGCGACATTACTCTTCGATGGAAAGACATATTTGTGCGGTAAGAATGGAGATATCGCTTTCAGTTGTATTTTTTTCAATTAACAACACTTTTTTAGGCATTTAGCTGCATTAAAAAATAAAAGATTGTATACAGATCCAGGAACTACTCACCTGTGTGAGGATGACGTCAGATTAAATGTTCAGATGACTGGAAGAACACTTGATTTTTCTGTGCTTCCTCGACACAGCGTATCACAAGTCAGTCTCACGTTGACATTACCAAAATACGAAAAGTTCCCTCGAAAAACAAACTTTCTGGACAAACGGTATAGGACTCGCGGGGTGACCCATTTTTATCACATTGAATTGGGGAACAAGCATGACATTCGTCAGGCGAAAGAAGAAGTTGACACCTTCCACGGCAAGATTTGGGTAAGTAAACGCATGCATTTGTTGCTACTAGTCGTTCCAGAAAGTGTGTGCACTTTTTGTCGTGGGCCGCACTGTGCACAAAATTCCCTTTTTGCGGGGTGCATTCGACCTTTTGCACCGTGCAAGTGCACTATCGCTGCGACGCAAGCTTTTCTCAACGGAGCCGGCGCGACTTTTGAGAAATTGCACTGTGCAAAATGTTTCGAATCGGATCGCGCCGCGCGGGGAACACGAAACTTGCACTGTGCGGTGCAAAAAAGGCGGAAAAAGGTGCACGCACTTTCTGGAAAGACATGGAATGACCAGTCTGCCGGGAAAATAATGGGCACAATGACGCAGCACCGATCGCTGAAATAAAAAGCAACTTGATTTTGCCCGCGACACAATTCATTTTCTCGGCAGCGATGCAATTTTCGATGCGACAGTGTGCTCATTATTTTCCCGACAGGTTAATACTTTGGCAAAGACCTGTCTCTCGGGCCGAAAACTCGTTTGAGGGTTGTTCTCTACTTTTTCAAATGTTCGTTACAGAAAAATGAACATATGCATTACATAGCATTCGATGACTTGGATAGAGTGTATTTTATACGAGCCTCTCCGCCGTTCAACATATTTTATCGCAAAGATTTGACGTCTCGCGATGAACCGGAGACTTTGTTCAAACTGTCTGACCGTTACAGCATTCTGTGGTTCGCCGTTTCGGAGTCGTACAAAGTCTTTGTGTTTGCATACGAAAGCGATGCTGTCATAATAGTCAACGATCTCCAAACAGGTCTCGTATGCTCAACACTGTCCGCCTGTATATGTTCCGTAAGTTTCACCAGATGGCCATTGTGGCGCTGAATCGCGGTTGAGATGTTGGAGAGCCGAACAATCAAAAAATTTTTAGCCAGTTCGAGAGTTCGCATTTTTCTGAAGGAAATATTCTGACCCCTAGATCCCTAAAGATTAATTTTCAATTCAGGGAGCTACAAGCAACGCACATGGAAATTCTGTTGTTTTTACCGGTGAGGACATGCAAACATGGCTCTACACAGTGGAAGGGAGTAAATTCAACAAGCAAAAGATCCCGTGCTACCGACGACAACAACTCAACAAAGACAGCTATCTGATCATGGTCGACACGGGCGAAGAGAAGGTTGTATTGAAGGTAAAAATAATGGGCAAACTCATTGATTACAGTGGTGGACCCGATCCAGGGGCAAAAAACATATCATTTTGCATCCGGGAAGCATTAAAAATGTAGCAAAATACCTCCCTCTCCAAGTGAAAAAACTCCATTTTTGAAGAGCGCGCCCTCATAAAAAGAGCGCTTTTGACAAGGAAAGTACTTTTATGGGGGCTCCCACTTTTTGACGGGACATATCTCAAAAAATCAGAAAAAATGTGCTGATCAAGGATATATAAATCTTAGCTGCCCATTTTAGGTTTTTAGGGGTGAAAATGCCCAAAAACTGGCTTAATTTCCCTACAAAAGGCGCAGGCATTCGAAACGATAAAAAGCGCAGGCGGTCTCTTCTTTCGGAAGAGAGCGGTGTGGCCGAGTGGTTAATGCCGTAGTCTGGGAATCAAGAGGGGGGACGCCGCACGGGTTCGATTTCCCTTTTGGACCGAATCAACTTTTTTTGAAGATGAAAGTCGGAAAAATAAAATTTTGTGCCAAGACTGATTTATTACGTCTTACAAACTGAATGAACATCATTTTAAGCCAAAATAAAAATTGTAAACCTGTGAAAAATTAAGCGAAAAGGGGTTCATATACGACTTTAAGTCAACTTCCGATTGAGTTTTCACCCCTAAAAACCTAAAATGGGCAGCAAAGATTTACATATCCTTGATCAGCACATTTTTCCTGATTTTTTGAGATATGTCCCGTCAAAAAGTAGGAGCCCCCCATAAAAGTACTTTCCTTGTGAAATCGGAGTTTTTTCACTTGGAGAGGGAGGTATTTGGTATATTTTTGATACTTTCCGGATGCAAAATGGTACGTTTTTTGCCACTGGATCAGGTCCGCCACTGTAGTAATGTTTCATCATAAAACATGCTTAAAAATGTAAATTTTAGATCCTTTCTGTGGTTAACGACACTCCCATAGAATGGTATGTGCAGCATTGCAACAAGCTATGTGTTTTTCGCCGCCTGGGGGATAATATTTTCTACGTCCTCGAAGAGAACAAGCGCTGGATTTGGTACAAAGAAAGCAATTCGGGTAAGGTGGATCCCTAGCATTTTAAGTCGATTTAGTGCCTCCGATTCTACTACATACTGACGATAAGGCGACACAAATATTCGACTACAACCGGCGCATATGTTTCCGATCCATACCAGACAGCTAGTAAAGTCTTGAGTCTTTTAAAACTATGCAAATCGTCGGGCTTTTCGCATTTGTATTAATAAAACATAAACCTCTATTACTTCTGCTTTATCGAAATATCCTACTCTCCAAGAAAGAAATCCAACAAACTCCGAACTAGACCATCTATTGTTGGCCAGTGGCGGCCTTGAGGAGGGCTTCGGCGACTTCAGCGCGGATCGACGCTTCAGCACGGTCCACCTCGGATCCTTCGCCAGTCTTGCGTTGGGCGGCATCTAATTCTTGACGAGCGGCCTAAAACTCGGAATACCAAATAATACCAAATGCAACATACCGATTCATCGATATCTTCAACTTGAACGATCTCCTCGGCCAAAACTTGGCAGGAACCGTCGATGTTGACCGACAGAGTGCCTGATGAGACGAAAAGCTTAACCTGACTTCCTAAAATAAAGCAAATGAGCCATCTTTGGTTTAATATCAATCTTACCGTCGGCTTTAGTCACACTGACAACACCAGGCTTGAGAACACCAATCGTAGGTACGTGGCTGGCCAACACACCAACAACTCCGGCCTGGGTTGGGACATCAACCTGCTTGACGACTTCCTTGTTGAAGAAGGACTAAAATTTCGATATTACACGTGCTTCTAAAGGTAAAACAAAATAAAAGACAAATACATACAGCGCTGGGAGAAGCGAGAGTCAGCAACAACTCCTCAGAAGCCGACTTTTGGGCAGCAGCGGCGTAGGCACGTCGGGGGACGAAACGGAGAGCACTGACGGCCGATCTCAGCATGGTCTGAAAGGAAAAGATAATTATATAAGATTCACGGGCAAAAAATCACGTCTAAGTATCACGATAAAGGTTGCATAAATCTATCCATCGCTTCTAACGAAAAATAGGTGGGAAAACACCCAATAAAAATTATATTATCAATGAGATCACGTTAAAAATCCAAAAATCAGTGAAATTGATTCTGAAATTAGCCAAACCCAAGCGAATCCTCTAAAATACGCGATGTCGAATGAAAAACTTCTCAATTTTGGGCGAAAAAGTAAAAATTTTCTCTCCGCTCCGGAGAATTGCAAGACCGATTCTGCGTCCCGGCACGAAAACAAAAAATGTCCACTACCGTAGCAACCTTTCTAAAATTTTCGTCTTCTATAAATTTTTTGGGAGTTTGGAAAATTTACAATGTTTTTGTTGCTTTCGCAGTAATTGTGGGGGATTTCGGGATTTTTTAGAGTGAATTTTTTACGTTATCGGGAGTCTGTTGTGTTTTGTTCGTGTTTTGGATGTTTCGCGAGTTTTTCTTGGGATTTTAATAAGTTTTTCCTTTTTTCCGGTCTCCAGGTTATCACCGATTTACAACCATGGTAAGTACCTGTTTTATTGGTGCTTTAGTAAAGCTTTTCTTGTAATTGTATTGATCATGATGAATATCGTAAAACTCACGTTTACCTCTTTGTTTTCAGGGTGTTGACATCAACCACAAGAACGACAGGAAAGTCCGCCGCACGGCCCCCAAGAGTGACGATCCCTACCTTCGTGTGTTGGGCCAAGTAAGTCGATATTTTACTTGCTTGTTTACTGTTTAGGTGTACACATACTTGAGCCGCAAAACCGATGCCAAGTTTAACAAAATCGTCCTAAAGCGGTTGTTCATGGCTCGTCGTTTCCGCCCTCCACTTTCTCTCCAACGTGTTGCCCAAGAACAGAAGCGTGCTGGAAACGAGGAGAAGATCATCGTCGTTGTTGGAACCGTCACTGATGACGAGAGAATTGTTGAGATCCCCAAGATTAAGGTGAGTTCATATTTTATGTTTTGTTTTTGCTTTTTAGTGTTTTTTGAGCTAAACAAAGCCTTTTTGAGCGATTTGTGATATTGTACTAGAGAAATTTATGATTTTTGGTATTTTTCAGAGGTTTGACGTTTGTTTTTCAGGTTGCTGCTCTTAAGGTCACCACCGCCGCTCGTCAACGCATCTTGAAGGCCGGAGGGACCATCTACACCTTCGATCAATTGGCCCAGCTCTCTCCTCGTGGTGAGAACACCGTCCTCGTGCAAGGTGCCCGCAAACGCCGCGCCGCTGAGAAGCACTTCGGCAAGGCTCCCGGTGTTCCCAACAGTCACACCCAGCCCATCATCGCCTCCAAAGGACGCAAGTTCGAACGTGGTCGTGGACGCAGAAAGTCCCGGGGATACAGAAACTAAGACTTTACATGTTATTTTTGTTGTTCTGTTTAAAAATATAAAACTTTGTTCGATACCACACATTCACCCCAGATTTTTAGTTCCTCATTTATCGCGCCATAGAGACTCTAAACGCAGGTGTTGGCTCATTTCAATGCAATTTGCTCTTGTCTATAAACGGGGGATTCATTACTAATCTCGCGATACATATAGGTAAGACGGCCCCCCGTCCTGCTGATTCCTAATTGGCCTGCGGTTGTCGTGTTTAGGTGACGAAAGCGAGCAAATTGCGTTCTTTGTCCGCAGAGTCGTGCCAAAATCCGTGTGCTTATGAGAGCATGAACGACCGGGACCTGGCCCATCTCACCAACATCCTCGGCATGGGCATGTTCGTGCTGGTTTTCCTCTTCCATCTGATCGATGTTCATCAACGCCGACGAACGGAGAAGGTGTGTTCTGATGTTATCCTTGTTTTCGAAATAAAATTTACCTTCTTTACACACTTCGCTTCGAATATTTGACGTTTTACTCGCAAAATTATCAAGTTTTTAGTGGAAATTGAAAATTTTTGGGAGAAATTGGTGATTTTTTTTTTTAATTTTCTTTTTTTTTACCTTATTTTAGACGAAAATTCTCTAGAGAAAAAAATTTCTATAAAAATTTGTTGCTTTTTCGTTCCGAAGATAGTAAAAAAGTCAACTTTCCATCCGAAAAGCACTTATCTTTCTTCGTTTTCCCCTCTCTCTGAACGGTCGATTTTTTTGCAGCCGAGCGATGCTGAAGAACCTGCTGAGCCGGACGATTAGTGCCTCAGGTCGTGCGTTTCATCCGACTCAGCCCAGGAGCGTGGGGATTCCATTGGTCATCGACAATGATGGACGGGCCGAGCGGGTTTACGACATCTACTCGAGGCTGTTGAAGGATCGAATTATTTGCGTTATGGCGCCGGTAAGAGAGTGTTTTTGATAGTGCTTACATTTTTAATGTACTCTAAGAAGCTGTGGACAACTTCTATTGATTTTTATTTTTTGAAAATCCGATATTTCCATACGAAACATGACGTTTTACAAGGTGGGCCAAAAAGTGTTTTTGCACCGTGCGGGCGCATGAATTCGGTGTTGCGACGAGGTGTCGCGCGATAAAATTTTGGCGGGGTGCGAATGAAAAGTGCACTGTGCGTTGTTTACCCTTTTCAAAACAATCTTTTTGCACTGTGCGGTGTCGCATTGCACCGTGAATTTTGGTTGTCGCCGCGCGGCAAATTCTTCGCACGACGGCGCACTGTGCAAACATGTCAAGACATTTTGGCCCGCCTAGTGTCAAAATACGTTTTTTCTCCCTAAAATTTACGTTTTTCATCCATAATTGCAGATCGACGATCATTTTGCGTCCGCCGTGATTGCGCAGCTGTTATTTCTCCAATCCGACTCCTCCAAAAGCCCCATCCACATGTACATTAACAGCCCCGGAGGCTCGGTGACCGCCGGACTCGGTATTTATGACACTATGCAGCATATCAGCGCACCCGTTCACACCTGGTGCATCGGCCAGGCCAGCTCAATGGGCTCGCTTCTGTTGGCCGCCGGCGAAAAAGGCAATCGAACCTCACTTCCCAACTCCCGAATCATGGTCCATCAACCTTCTGGAGGCGCTCAGGTAATTTTTTTTTTACAAAATTTGTCATCAGAAGCTAGTGCAATATAAATTTTTGTTAAAAAAAGTTTTTTTTTGCAGGGAACTGCCTCAGATATCATCATCCGAGCCGAAGAGATCACTCGTCTTCGCAAAAGACTCAATGAAATCTACTCATTCCACACTGGACAGCCTGTGGAGAAAGTGCTTCATGCCCTGGACAGAGATCATTTTATGAGCGCCGCTGAGGCCAAAGAGTTTGGAATAATTGATCGCATCGAAACTCATACCGGATCATGCCCTGCCTAATGTTGTTGTATAGTATGAAATAAAATATTAGCGTCTAGATGTCTAGTGTAATATAAATTGAACATGAATTTTGGCCTTTAAAGTAAAAAAAATATCCTTTTCAGACCTCAAAAAAACTAAAATAGTCTTTTCAAGCTATTTTCATGTTGTGGTATCAGTCTTCTTTCCAGTTACAGACAGGGGTGGTCAGCAGACCCTATTTTTCCGATTTTCGGCCCGCGGCCCGGCCCGTCTAATCACCGGCCCGGCCCGGCCCGTCTAGTCTTTTTCCAGGCCCGGCCCGGCCCGGCCCGTGACGGGCCTGGCCCGGCCCGGCCCGGCCCGTGCAGGCCCGTCTATAGAGGGTTCTGCGAACTGCGCCCAGGCTCGGGATCTAAACCGAGGCAAAAAAGGCGTTGATCTAGCTAGTAAAGGATCAATGTGATAGTTTTGTGGTTCTATAATGGAACTATAGACTTGTAAACGTGTTAGAACTTCAGAAACAGCAACTATAACAACATCAATTAATTTTCCCGGCGCGAAAACAATGAATGCCAACGGTTTGGCATTGTATTTTAGACGGGCCGGGCCGGGCCGGAAAAACCCCAGGCCCGCGGCCCGGCCCGGCCCGGCCCGTGACGGGCCCGGCCCGTTTGTCAATTTCCATTTTTGAGGCCGGCCGGCCCGTTTGGGCCGGGCCGGGCCGGCCGGGCCGGGCCGGCCCGGCCCGCCGACCACCCCTGGTTACAGAAACTTTTCAGCACAGAGAAAAACTTGACGCAACGAGACAACTCTGACCCAAAATGCGCAAAATTTTCTCTTCAAAAAGCCTTTGTCGGCTAGCCGCGTTTGAAGTGGCATTTCTGACCAAAATATATGCCGCGTCTCTTTTTGCGTCCATTCAACCGACTCCACACTTCATAGATAGATTTCCGCAATGTCCGAGAAGGTGCTAAAGTTCGTGAAGGCGAAACTGTTTGGCAAAAAGGAGAAGAAGGTGAAAGTAAGTCGTTTTTGGGTAGTATTTGAGTTTAGGATTCTCTAAGCCACAAGCGACCTTAATTTAGCCATGAAATTTGGGAAAATCAAGAAATTTTATGATTGTTGCCATGTATAATATAATTAATGTCTAAAAAGTTTGTTAGGTAGTCTAAAACAATGTGAAAATGATTTATCTTGATGTGCTATGTACTCTTCTTTTTTCAGGATGATCTCCGAACAATTCGAATGAACGAGGTTACCGTATCTCCACGCGGCAGTCGTATTCCCTATGAATACGAAGATGTTGGTCGGAACCGCACTTCAGCGTATCACACAAACACCAGACGCTCCTACCGTCGTCCTGTGGTCAAGTCCGTCGCAATGGGGGAGAATCTCGACGATGCGGCGTCGGATTCGGACGATGAATACACTCCTCCAGCCAGAAGACGAAGCCGAGGCGGCCGCTCTCAATTCATGGCAAGCTCGACGAAACGAGAGGCTCGCCCTCCCGCTCCAACATTCATTAGTCCGTCTTCGACGAGAACTCGGAGCAGTCGGTCGAGAAGTCGGTCCACTTACATGCATGACGACACCATTGAACAGAGCTTTGAACGGATGTCGTTGGCGAGGAATTTGGAGGACAAGGAGGACGTGGAAGCGACTCTTTTGGTAGGCTCTTTAATTCATTATTGGTATTTGGTCTTTAGGAGCTGTATCATCAGTTGAAACGAAAGGATTTGGAAATGGAAAGAAGGGACTTTCTGTTGAAGCAGAATGAGAAGGCCATGAGGGAGATGAAGCGACAATGTGATCTGCTGCAGGACAGACATGTCAAGGACAAATACGCCAAGAAATTCTTGAAGGTATGGGGGAACTTTATTACGGCGTTATTGCGAGTATTTTATGACCTTGTTTTAGGCATTTTTTCTTCATCAAAATTTTTTCAAATGTTTGAATTTTGATGTTTCGAAGTCTAATCTCTCCATTTTCAGGACGAGAACCGCGCCCTCCTCTCGGCTTTGGCCCGGCCAGCACAAATTTCGCCCTATTTCCCACCAGCTGAAGGCCCCAAGTATAATATAAATACGACTGGAATGGACTATCCGACCGGCAGTTTCGCCTTCCCATCGTCTCGCGCGGGCTTCCCACCACAGACTCCAGCCTTTCCAGCCTATGCCAACGTTCAGAATCCTCTGAATTCGACGAGTTTTGCTCCGGGACCTTCGAATTTCAAGCCAACTGAAGAATTGCACAGCCAGCTCAATCCATTCGGCCTTCCAAAGACTGGAATGGAGTTTCAAGGTCTGGAAGGGAGCAATAAAACTACTGAGATTCCTTTCACCTTCCCAAAAGGGAATCCTTTGACAGCGGGAGCGGCCGAAGGAATGGTGAATGAAGCGCAATTTCCGAGCGCCCCGAATCGCCCGCTGGCCGAGAGCGATGTGGAATCGGTGAAGCAGTTCCAACGACAGGACGACTTCACTCTCCAAGACACCTACAACACGGAGGATTCGTTCGAACAGCCGAGAGATGCGGCCGAAAATATTAAGGACGATTTGAACTTGAGTGAAGTCAAAATCCCCACAAAAGACGATGATGGATACCAAACGGAGGAGTCGAAAGTGTAGAGGGATGAAGATTGTACAGTATTTATTGTTATTTAGTCGTCATATTAACCACTATTCGCTTTTTTTAACATGAGTTTTTGAGATTTTTCGGCTTTTTTTATTGGGTCCTCGTATTGGGGAGATGTTCAGATTGTAATAAAGGTTGTATAGAGATGAACTTGGACCTGTTATTGATGATGAATTGTACACTTGGCAGCTACTACAGTAACTTTTTCGTTAATTCAAAAATTGAGCTGCGCCCGAGACTTTTGTAAATAAAATAAGGGGACATTTTATACGATAACGTAAAACAGTGAGGAAGGACGAAATTGACTCCGGAAATTCGTCCTATAGTCTTGTGGGGGATAAATACGACTATTAAATAAGTTTCAGACCGATTGCGGACAAAAATGATATTACCCATGATAAAAAGATAGCCCAAAAATTATCAAAATTATTTAATATTATAATCTGGCATTGTTTCTGGAAAACAAATCATAAAAAACAGGTGGAGTAAACAAAAATTCGTGGTCAGTAACAATCGTTTGCAAAAAGAGATCGAAATAAAAAAGAGGGATATAAAAATACGGTGATTAGAGGTAGCTGAGTATAAGAAAAGACTTGAAACATGAGGAAAATACCAAATAAAATGCGTGTTTTTGGTTATTGAGTCGAGTTCTAGCTCGTTTCTGAGAGAATAAAGACTATTATAAGATAAAGGATTTAGAATATTTGGATATGATTTTTTGTGGGTCTGATGGCTAGTGTAATATTGAAATAAATAAAAAAGATTAAACGGATGAGCTCTGGTGTAATTTAAGGAGTTCACTAAGCTAAAAAAATTTTTTTTCATACCAAAATTTATAATAAAATTCATCAAAAAATCTATATTTATATTATGACACAACTTGCTAAAATAAGGTTAAAAAATACAAATTTAGAAGCCTATACTTCACAAGAGCATAAAGATCACTTTCAAGGCCTTATTTGACTAAAAGAAAATAAAATTCAATCTCAAAATTACATTATTCATGACCAAAGTCACCTAAAATAAGGTCCGAAATCGCGATTTCAAACCTGAATTTAATTCAAACTGCTCACACCACCCTCAAAAGGAACTATTTCCCTCTGTAAACCCTAAATCTTTCCCGTTTTATCAACCCTTCACCCCAATATTACACTAGCCCATCCAGACCAAAAATTGTCCATTACTGTTTGCTAGTTCCAGGCTGGTCCGGGTCCTCTTCCTTGCTGCTTCTTGAGGCCATTCTGAAGCCCGAGGGGCCTGGTTGATCGGGATCCGAGATGGGGTTGGTCCTGTGGGTGGGGTGGGAATTGGCGGCAATGAGTTGTTGAAGATAATTTTGTTGGACCGACTGCTCGATCGGCTGTGTGATGACGGGTTGTTGAGCGACCACGGGCGGTCCGGTGATGCATTGGATGAGGGCTTGGAGTTGGCTGACCTCCTGTTGACTGAGTTGGTTGCCCGAAAAAAGGGCCGAGATCTGCGCCTCCAAGGAGACGGCGTTGGGGAAGGCGGTAGAAGTGGAAATCGGAGGGAGAGGCTGCACGGACTGCAGGGCCTCTGGCGCTGGAGAGGGCTGAAATGGATTTATTTAATATTTTAAAAAATTTTTTTTCCAGAAAATCATCAAATTTTTCAACACAAAATCGATCGACACGGGGCGTAGGTCAGGTGGATACCCAAGAAAAAGGGCTGTAGGAGATGCCTACGACGCCTGGAAAAGCCGTTGGATGTTTTGGATGTTCGGCGGACGCTCGGCGAAGGCTTGGCGGAGACTTTCAATATGTTCACTTTTTCTAATTCTAGCTATTACTAACGTTTGTTTTTTTACCCTGAGTTACTGCAACATATAAAAGACCAAAATTTGCGACAAAAAACGAAGATCCGTAACTTTTATCTAACAGGGGAAGTACTCAAAGTGCGACGTCCATTTTTATGAAACTTGGCACAAATTTAGAGCAATTTTTTCTATGACATATGCAAGAATCCTAGCTCGCGCTTTGCATAAACAACCAAGATTTTTAGGTCGAAAGTCGACGAAAATTTGAGACTTTTTGTCGAATTTCGGCACGAAAAATTGCATCCCCATTTGTACCGTAAAGGTTAATGTTTCCACAAAAAATCCTTTTTTTTGCACGAAACTAGCAAAGTTATGGCCAAAAAGTGTTCTGCTCTCTGACCGTTCTCCGCGTTTAGCGTACTCTCTCGACCGAAAAGACCGTTGAATATCTTGGCTGCGACTTCAAAGCGCAAGCTAAAACTTTGAGGAATTGATATCTAGTCTATGCTCGAAGTGTGTGCAAAATTTAAAGAAAATCAGAGCGTCACACTTTGGGTAAATCCCTTGTAAATAATATTGATGTGAGTGCATGTAAAATGCCTCAAAATAGGTGATAAGCTAGCCTAGGACCCTCAAGCTTACAATTTCTACTAACTAAGTCTTCTCCTAGCCTCCCCATGCATACAACGCCGAACTGAGGCGATCCATAGTCTCGTTGACAACTGTCGCCGACCCGAAAAGTTGTAGCGCCAAATTTTTTCAAAACAATCTCTTACATGAGGTTCCTGCGCATACAAAACTTGATGAGCAATGTCGAAGGCTTGCATGACGGCGTCGTAGGACAGCGGGACATTGTTTCTTTCGTAGACAAGCTCCCGTTTATAGATCAGAGGTCCCTTTTCCCTCAGGATTTCATATTGTTTCAGGTATTCGTCCGAGTATTCCAATTTGAAGGGCAAAAAGAGATGAGTGTGCCATCGGTCCTGCTGGAATCCCCAGTATCTGAGCTTCTTCTCGCGGGCCGCGTCCACCGAGTGATGGCAATGGATGGAGAATTGGTTCGGCATCATAAAACATCCACAATCTTCGCAAACAATGCAATGTTGGCCCAGTAAAGAGGGGTAATAGAAGCCTTTATGGTAACCGAACATCATGCAATGGAGCTGAAAATATTTAGATTCATGGATGAGATAAAAAGAGAGGGATTTTAAAAAATAGATCAGATTGGAACTGGGACGATTGGGGAAAAGGTGGGAGTTTTTGGTAAAATACGACGATTGGGTGTTCATTTTTATCCCAGATTAGTTTTATGACTGTAAGTGTGGAAAAAAATTGTAATTTACCAAATTTTCTGATGATAAGGTGTTGTACGATAAATTTTTGAATTTGTGGAGGTTTTTGCATTGTTTTGTCTGGACAATCAGGTTACAACAAGATTGCTGGAAAATGTGGGACGTAGTATGTTGTATTTGAAGATACATGATCAGGAATATAAAACTAAAAGGAACTGGGACGATTGGGGAAACCGAAAAGTATTGTTTTTCTTCGACGCAAGTGTGAATTAGGATAATCGAGGGTGCTGATTTCAAAAATGACATTAATTTTTTTGAACTTTACTTTTTTTCTTAAGTAGTACTGTAAAGTAGTGATTTTTTGAAATTTTTTCACAAATACTCGATTTGGGGGTTTCGACCTTGCTGATTTCGAAAATCTTATTCATTCTTTCTGATTTGAAATCAGCACCATCGAAAACCTCCAAATCGAGTATTCGTGAAAAAAATCAAAAAATCACTACTTTACAGTACCACCAAAAGAAGAAAGTTAAGATCAAAAAAAAAATTAATGTCATTTTCAAAATCAGCACCCTCGATTATCCTAATTTCAACACTTTCATCGAAGAAAAATAATACTTTTCGGTTTCCCCAATCGTCCCAGTTCCTTTTAATTCGATACCAAAAGCGTCTAAAACAAGATCCAAGCTGCTATTCCTGACCATATATCTTTAAATACAACATACTACGTCCCACATTTTCCTACAATCTTGTTGTAACCTGACTGTCCAGACAAAACAATGCAAAAACCTCCAAAAATTCAAAAATTTGTCCGTACAGCGCCTTATTCATCATAAAATTTGAAAATTTTACAATTTTTTCTAAACTTAAAGTCATAAAACTAATCTGGGGTAAAAATTCACATAATGCCTACCGTATTTTACCAAAAACTCCCATCATATTCGATCAAAATCCAAAACTTTTGGCCTTTTTTCTTTCGGACCTCTCTAATCTCAAGTATAAGGTCAAAAATCACTTCCAATCCCTTTCAACCTCAAAACCAAAAGTTTTACCACACCTCCATTCCCAGTATGCCCCCTTACCGTCATTTTCTCGCCCTCCAGTTGGCGTTGCAGGTCCTCCGGCATCCTCAAATCGAGGTCTCCCATTCCATTCAGCGGCCGAACCCCACTGATCCACATATGTCCCAGTAAATTGTGCGCGGACGAATGCCGGATGAGCATGGCGTTTCCTGCATCCCTTGGGAAGGCGTTATGTTGATAGAGCTGGTCCATTTGGTATGGAGTTGCGTCCATGAGGCAGATTTCGAGATCATTCAGGTATTGGTAGTAATCGTGAAATCCGGGGAAAACGCAAGCGCGCAGATGGCCAAAAACCAGTCGAGCTTCTCCTCCTGGAAAGAATAAAGATCTGAGAGTATTTTACATACAAATTTATTATCTAGGGCTATCAAAAATTCCAGTTTTTAGCAAGTTTTACCTTATTTTAGATGACTTTTTGTCAAAAAAAAAAACAAAACTCAAACTTTTGTCAATCTCATGGCCTACAAAGCCCTCATCCAATATAATATTCTATAATCTTTCATAAAATCGCAAATTCCCCTAAAAAATCATCAAAAAATATATTCTCCTTACCAACATTGAAGCCCAAAACATCAAAAATCCCAACATTGTAAGTTCCCAACGGCGAGGACGACTGATCCCTCAAGAACATGAACGGGAGGCCCGGTCCCCTCACTTCCGGCTCCGTTGAGGCTTCATTTGCGGCCTGTTGAGCTTGAAATTCGGCGTTCAAATCATTTGATGATGAACAAGGTGGCGGGGACGACGAATCTTCGCTCATTCTCAGGTCGGATTGTGATTGGTGGCGGAGTTGGGGTCTGGCCTGGGATTGTGAGGTGGATGCGCGGGCTTGTTGGGCTTCTTCTCGTTCTTGTTGATGTAATTGGGCCGAGAGCCGGGCCAGCTCCTAAAATACGGATTTCAGACTCGAAACGGTCAATAATTTTGGAATTTCTTTTTCAAATCCGGTAGTCATTTTCGTGAGAATTCCATTTTTATTTTGAAAACTCCAAAAATTTGCATATTTAAGTATGTCATCATGACGGATTTTTTGGAAATTTTGAAAACAAGTCGGCAAAGACTGTGTGTGTTGTCAGAACCGATTTTTTTACTTGTTTCTCACAGTACAAATTCCATTTTCGCTTTGAAAACTCCAAAAATTTACATATTTGAGTATGTCATCATGACGGAGTTTTTAGAAATTTTGAAAACAGCCGGAGTTTGAAGAGATATAGTGGCGGACCTGATCCAGCGGCAAAAAACGTACCATTTTGCATCTGGGAAGTATCAAAAATATAGCAAAATACCTCCTTCTCCAAGTGAAAAAACTCCGATTTCAAAATCTCGCGCGTTCTTTTTGCGAGGGCGCGCCGTTCAAAACGGAGTTTTTTAGTTGGAGAAGGAGGAATTTTGCTACATTTTTGATACTTCCCGGATGCAAAACGGTACATTTTTTGCCACTGGATCAGGTCCATCACTGCATCTCTTCAAATTCCGGTTGTTTTCAAAATTTCCAGAAAATCCGTCATGATGACATATTTAAATATTCAAATTTTTGGAGTTTTCAAAGTGAAAATGGAATTCTCACAGGTTAAAAAGTTGGAAAAAACGCGTTTTTCGCAACACAGACAGTTTTCTCCGATATTTTCGTCATTTTTTTGGTTTTTTTCAATTTTTAGCCCAAGACAAGGCGAAAAATCAAATTTTTCCCCGTTCAGACCGTTTCAAGTTTCACAAATTTTCTTCATAACACTCTACACACACTTAAGTATCTCTAATACCATCCAAATTTTTCCTTACTTCCAGCAGCAGATCATTATATTCACTTTTGTTTTCGTTGCGCCGGATCTCATTCGGATTATAAATGACATCGCGTTGTGAGCGCTGTGCCTGCGGTCGGTTGTTGCCGAAGGCGTAGTTGCCGCTGGGCTGCGCGTATCCGTTCTGTCGGCCGTCCATTCGCGCGTTTGGTCTGCAAAAACGAGCGGTTTTGGAGCTATGTCAGAAATAAGTTTTTATCAAGTACAAGGTAAAATTGGTTGGATTCTTACAAGGAAAGTACTTCTATGGGGTATGGAGTTACAGGTCGAGTCATATACCAAAAAAATCGCAAAATTTTTCTGATTCAGAATGTGTAAAAATTAGCTGCCTAATTTTGGTCTGTAAGGGTGAAAAAACCCTCGGAACTTTTCTCGAAACACCACACAAATGCCTTTTTGACCAAGTTTTTACCAAATAAAAAGCTTGTTTTTGAGTTAAAGTAAACTCTGGTATCTTTACAAGCCTTAAAATATCAAATTTAATTTATACTACATCTTAATTAGTAGTTCCAATGTAAAAAAGGCGCATTTTCATGGTGTTGCGAGAAAAGTTCTGAGGATTTTTTCACCCTTACAAACCAAAATTAGGCAGCTAATCTTTACATATTCTGAATCAGAAAAATTTCGCGAATTTTTCGATATATGACTCGACCTGTAACTCCATACCCCATAGAAGTACTTTCCTCGTTAGACAAAAACTCGGATTTCTGCTTAGACAGACCATTTAGAGTGTAAATCGCAAATCAGACTAGGCTCGACTTCAATTGACGCTTTATTTTAGACATGATTATATTGTAGTAGATATCAAGTGTAATCCGGAAAGGCTGACCTTTCGGAATAACATAATTTGAGTTTCTACAGACTTTCTAGAACTTAGACCACATTGTTGAAAGGTTTAGACCACAGTGAGTCAAAGACTCACAAGATATTTGACTTATATTGTACTAGACATTAGACGTCATTCGGTGGGTATCAACCCATACCACCGGTGATTCCAAGCTAAAACCGCTTTATCAGACCATGCTACGCATATCAGACACATTCAGACATTTTTCAACCATATTCTTAGACATGATTATATTGCACTTGACATTAGATGAAAAAACTGTCATAAATCTTTCCTGAAATGCCAAATCTCAATTTTTTCAATTTAGACAGACCAAATAGGGCAAATACAGCTCCGCCAAACATTTAGAATCAAAAATCAATCACAGATTTCATCAAAATTATATTACTTTAGACATCAGATAAACAAGGCCAAAAACCTTTGCAAATCACAAAAAAACTTTTCCAAGTTCTCGTCAAATGTCATAAACTTCATTAAAATCGCATTATTACATTCAATCTGTTCTAAAATTCTGTCATTATATGGAAAAATTGTCAAATTCTATACATAAATTCAGATATTATACGACGTCTTCGCGGCTCAATTGCAGTGGATTGATGTATTCAAAGCCCTCAAACTCCGTTTGATCAATGAGATTGAGTCTCTTGGAGCTCACTGGGGTTAGAGTTGGCTTTTCTTTGGTGAAATTCTCATCAAATCTGGAGTAATCAAAGTCGCCGTTGATTTCGGGCCGGAACGGGGGTTTTATTTTGCGTTTTTCGAGCTGAAAATCAATTGTCATTAAAAAATAAACACTCTATTCTCAAAATAAAGAAAATTTCATAGCAAGATAGAGCTTTAAAATAACGAAAATCATTTAAAATTCTGTCAAAATAGACAAAAAAGTTCAAGGCCAAAAATTGGCTGAAACTCAATTTTTTTGCTGTAGTTCAATAAAACAGTGTCAAAAGCAACAAAATGAACCTCACTCTAAATAACAGACTTTATAAATTCACTATACCCTCCATTTCATGACTAATTCAGCCTTAAAAAAATATTGGAAATTTTGATCTTATACCTAAAACAAGGTCAAAATTTTCATTTTCAACCCTATTTTTAATATTTCTTTCTTCTCAAAGGCCTCTCAGCTCTCTAACATCCCTTAAAAATATCTTTCCAACTCCTTACCGCACTCCAATCGACCAAATCTTTATAAAACTTGGCTCTTTTGATGTCCTGAAGTCCTTCATTCACTTCGCTTCTAGATCCCAGCCTCTGTTTCGGATCCTTGTTCAAAAATCCTTTGAGCAAAAGACAGGCGCGGACCGAGAAGCTCCTCGGCATTCGAATCTGTTCGTTTAGGACTCGCCGTTCGAGTTCCTCTTCTTCCGCCTCCGGATCATCGTATCCCTGAAGTTGAAAGGGCGAGCGTCCGGCCAGCATTTCGAAGATCATGATGCCCAGAGACCAGTAGTCCACCGCAAAGTTGTATCCCATGCCGAGGTGGATCTCCGGCGCCATATAATTCGGGGTTCCGCACTTGGTTTTTGTCAGCTCGGTGGGGGAAACTTTCTCCTGAAAATGGGCAAAATTAAACCAATTCGTGAAGTCAAAAACTATATTTTAGTGTAAAATCGCATTTCATTTTATTTTTGGGCCTTTTCAACACTAAAAGCCACAATTTTGTCAAAAAAAATTTTTTAATTTTACATTTTTTATAAAAAAATCAATCAAAAACTATTTCTACCTTCAAAATTCGACAACCAAAGCTCTTGAAAGTCCACTAGAATCTATCGGTCATCAAATAATCAACAAAAATCGTTCCATTTCCTCAAAAAAAGACAAAGACCATCAGAATCAAAGAAAAAACTCAAAATTTTTCCAAAATCTAAATTCTAAACAGAAAGAAACACATTTCCAACCACTATTTTCCCCTTTACACAGAATTTCCTCTCTTTTCAAGTCATATTAAATTCTTTTTCACCCAAAATTTACCTTGCACATGCCAAAGTCGGTCAATTTCACATGTCCCTGATGGTCCAAAAGTACATTGTCCAACTTCAAATCTCTGTATATGATATTCCTCGAGTGTAGAAAGTGTAATGCCAAAATAATTTCGGCGGAATAGAAGCGGGTGTGGTCTTCAGAGAGCCTTCTTTGCTGCTGCATGTGGAACATCAAATCTCCGCCGGAGACAAATTCAATGACAAAGAAAAGATGGGATTCCGTCTGAAATTGGATTTTCGTTCATTTATGACAATATAGAGCCAATAAAATAAAAAAAAATTTTTTAATTCAAAAAAGTTTTAATGTCTAAAATAATATAAAAAGCACTTCAAATCCCAAAATTCAAAGCAAATTACTATCCAAAATCCCAGAAAATGTCATAAAAAAGCAATCTACAACTTCACTCCTTTTCATTAAAAATCCTTCAAAATTTATCTTCTCCATGACAAAAAATGACTTTTTCCCCCAAAACACCCAATTACCTGAAAGCAGGAGTGTAATCCAACCAAGAATGGGTGATTTGAGGCCGTCTCAAACACCGACTTCTCTGTTTGAAGCCAATCCAAGTCCTCATCTTCCTCCAGAAACATGGTTTTGTTAATGGTTTTCAAGGCCACAATCTCCTTGGTTCTTCGATGCTGAGCTTGGAAAACTTTGGCATATGATCCTCGACCCAGGACTTTGAGAAGGTCATAATCATCCAGGGGATTTCTTTGTTTTGTTGGTTCCAATCTCTGAAAAAATTTTTTAGTAGTTGATGTCAAGTGCAACATAAATTTGATAGCAAAAATAATAATAATTTGATGGAAAAACAATTAAAATCGTATTTTACACCAAATGCAACAATTTAAGACAAATTTCAAAACAAAAACTTTAAAAACCACCAAGAAATTTCAAAATTACCTTATTTTAGGTATAAAATCCCACATTTTCACCCAAAAATCGCCCGCAACCAGTTCAAATCGCCTCAAATCCCATTCAAATCAAAAATCATCCTTTCAAAGCCCTTACCTCAATCTGAAGTCGATCAAAATTCAAGTCCCAGTCATGTTTCATCTTCAAAATGTCCTTATTCATCCCGTCGCAGGGCTTGCACAGGTATTTGTGACATTTTTTATGGACATATGCGGTACAATCCATGCATTTGAGACCTCCTCGGCCCAGACCCCAAATTACATCACCGCATATTTCACAATCCATGCGTTTCTCGGGCCGCTTTACTTCGAACCGATGGCCACATATTGTGTAGACTTTGTTTTGACGACGAGCACCGCGCCGGTGGACTGGGACTGTAAAAATTTCGTCAGTACATTTCGAAATATAGAACCAAAACGAGGATTGTCTTCTTTCAAAACGGCATGGAAATTTTTAATTCTCAATTTTACCTTGATTTAGATGAACCTGATGTCCAAAACAGACTTAAAACAAGATCAAAACGACTCAAAAAGATGCATAATAGTATCATAACCAATATAAAAACTCTCTCCCTCATTTACCATTATCTCCACTGCTTGTATCCGAATTTGTGCCCACCTGACCAACATGAACAACAACATCCGGCGTTTTGGTGAAAAACATGACTTCATTCAGATCATGTTGATTCTCAATCGTCACGGGATCACCTAAACATCACAATAAGCCAATTCAAAACCAACATACCATCAGAATCCACAATGCGAAGAGCAATTTCCTCCTTTTGCCGGAATCCGCAGGCATGCCGGATGGAATTTTCAAGTTCCTCATATTTGATGGGCAAAGCTGTGTAGATTACAAAAATATTCTCTCCATGATGGACGTTGACGTTCACTCTGGGCCCTGTGCTCTTTCGCCGGCCGGTGGTCATCCTGAAAATTGAGATTTTAGATCAAGAAGGATCTGATCAAGTTTGATGTCAAAAATAAGGTAAAACAGAGCGCATGAAGATAAATACTGGACAAAATCGGTTCTATTAGGTAGAATAAAAGTCGCGGATTCTAAATCACTAAAGAAAATGGCAGAAAACATCTATTACCACCTATTTTTTATCAATTTTATATCATGATGTGCACAAATACCTAAAACAATAAAAAAAGTCAAAAAAATCCCATACATTTTTGTTCGAAGAACCTAAAATACTCATCAAATCGCTCTCCAACCTCTTTACCTGCCATGCGAACTCCAAAAAGCGGCAAGGACCCCCAAAAACGCGAGCAAAAAGGAAAAGAAAAAAAATCGGGGGTGGTTTATGCAAAAAGGCAATGTCCCAGCGATAATGAGAAGGTCCGATCGATCCAAAGGCCATCGTCGATCGTCTCCGCATTCAATTTGGAGAGAGACGTTCTGGATTTGAATAGGAACCGGAATTGAAAAAAAAGTTTTTTACAAAAAATGTTTTGTCTGGGAAAAAAGGTCAGGAAATTCGTCATAATGACTGATTAAAAAAAATTTTTTTGAATTGAAAGTACTGTATTTACAAGGGAAGTACCCCAAGTGCGACGCTCAGATCTTCTTTAAATTTTGCACACACATCGGGAATAGACTAGATATCAATTCCTGAAAGTTTTAGCTCGCGCTTTGCGGGCGCCGCCGAGATATAGAACGATTTTTGCGGCCGAGAGAGCACGCTAAACGTGGAGAGCGGTCAGAGAGAAAAGCGCTTTTTGGCCATAACTTTGGCAGTTTCGTGCGGAAAAATTTGATTTTTTGTAGAAACATTATCCTTTACGGTAGAAATAGGCGTGAAACTTTTCGTGCCGAAATTCGGCAAAAAGTCCTAAATTTTCGCCGACTTTCGATCAAAAAATCTGGGTTGTTTCTGCAAAGCGCGAGCTAGGATTCTCGCATATATCTTAGAAAAAATTCTTCTAAATTTGTGCCAAGTTTCATCAAAATCTGAGCGTCGCACTTGGGGTACTTCCCCTGTTAGTAACAAGGTCAAAAAACTCGTGAATATTCATGACATTACCCATTTTCGATAAAATATTGTGTTCTGACCTTATTTTAGGTAACAAAATCCTAATTTTTGCAAATAACTCAGATTTTTATGGGTAAAATACGAGATCTGTGGTTTTATAGGACATGAAAAACTTTTTAGAAGCTTATATGAACAATAAAACCCAAATCCCGCGCTTTGAAATCAAGTTTTCGGCTAATATTTTCCGTTGGTCCTCTCATTTACAATATAATTCGTTCAAATCTTGACCTTATCCAATATGAAACTGCTTACCATTCCACCAAACTCCCATGTGCGCCATTTGTAGCAAAATTTCGAGTGTCTTCATTTCCATTTTGACGCTTTTACCTACTACAATATGCCAGTGTAAAACAAGTCCAACACCAAGTATTTCTGATGTAATTTCCGTTCAAACGGATGTGGAATAGGTCCGAGAAGATAGCGCATACATTTATTTCAAATAAATTATTATAGCTCTGCGGTTATAAGGCACGAAAGAGGGCGATATGAGTGTAGATGACTATGTTCAATATTCTTGCTCAGGGAAGACGAAATTGAGCGTTTTAAGTGACATTATGGATGGGAAGCGAAGTGAAAGAGAGTATATGCACATACAATCAGAACTTTAGGGATTAGCTAAACTAATTTTTTGGGGTTACGGTAATGGGTTACTGTAGTCGAAAAAATGGGCAAATCTTGTATTTTACAATGGATTTTTTTGAAAAAACAGTAACTTAGGAGGATAAACATGAGCTGCGAATACTAGAAATGGACAAAAACTATAGAAAATTGGCAAAAATCTATATTAATTCACTAAAAAAAGCAAAAAATTAGGTAAAAATCTCAAAATTGATGTAAAATAATATAAATTGGACCAAATCGTGTCAAACTAAGGTCTTATATAATGTTTTGGACCATGATTTCGTACTTTCAGTCGTTATTTCGACTAGTTCGGGTCTAATTTTAGACATTTCGATATTATTTTAGGTCTCAGACCACATCTTCCCGTTCCAATTGAAGTGGGTTTACGTATTCGAAACCTTCGAATTCCGACTGATCAAGACGTGCAATTTCGGCCGGATCATCGGGCGTTAGGCGGGGAGATTCGTTGGTGAAGTTGACATCGAATCGGCGGAGGTCTCGGTCACCGGCAACGTTCGGGTTATACGGGGGCAAGACTTGACGGCGTTCGAGCTAAAAGAAAATAAATTATGAGCTAACAGACTAGAGTTAAATTTGAGAAAATTTCAAAGTACCAAAGAAAAATTTTTGTGGCGATTTTTGATTTGTTTTAGTTTGAGGTGGTTCGTTTACAACAAAATTGCTTTGTAAAATATTTTTCACCAGTTTATTATGTTTGAAATTTCGCATACATGTTCTGTGACTTTTATCAAAATTTTCAGTCAAAAAAAGGCTCAAAATTTCAAAAAAAAATTACCAAAAACCTATCCGAAAAGTCGCTGGACCGAAATTGGCGACACGCACTGTGCGAAAACAAAAGTTTTCTTTGCACTGTGCAATTTGTTAATTTCTGCACCGTGCAAACGGCTCTTTTGGGCTGTCGCCCGAACTCTGACTTTTTCGCACAGTGCAAGTCGCTCGAGTAATTTCTGCGACATGCACTGTGCGAAAACAAAAATGCATCTTGCACTGTGCAATTTGTTAATTTTTGCACCGTGCAAAAATGAAACGCGATTTTCGCGACATGCACTGTGCGAAAACAAAAGCTTTCTTTGCACTGTGCAATTTATTAATTTTTGCACCGTGCAAAAACAAAAAGTGATTTTCGCGACATGCACTGTGCGAAAACAAAAGTGCACCTTGCACTGTGCAATTTATTAATTTTTGCACCGTGCAATAGGCTTTTTTCGGTTGTCGCTCGCACCCTGAGTTTTTTCGCACAGTGCAAACGCCAAAAATTACGACAGCGACTTCCGACTTTCCGGAAGGACTTTTCCGCCAAAAATCGCTCAAAACCCAAAGCTTTTTTTCAAATTTCCAACTCACCGCGACCCAGTCGATATTGTCCCTGAAGAACCCGTTCATTTTGATGTCATTCATTCCCTCTTCAATGTCCTTCTTGCATCCCAATCTGAGCGTTGGGTCCTTGTTCAAGAATCCTTTCAGGACATTGGCGGCGCGCACCGACAAATGGCGCGGGATGCGGATCTGGCGTTCCAGGATCGTGTGGAAGAGATGGTCCTCGGCGTTCTCCTCGTTCTCATTGCCCGGCAGTTGGAAGGGCGAGCGGCCGGCCATCATTTCGTACATCAAGACGCCGAGCGCCCAGTAGTCCACGCTGAATCCGTAGTCTTCGCCGCGCAAAATCTCCGGTGCAATGTAGTTGGGGGTGCCGCAGAAGGTGTTGGTCACGTCGTTGGGACCAATGTTTTCCTGAAAATGGAAAATTTTATATTTTTTTAAAAAAATTTGGAAATATCCCAAATTTTGATACAAAATTTTTGAGATTTTTAGGTCAAAAATTCTCCAAAATTTTAATTTTTACCAATTTTTTTAAATTTTTTTTCGGAAAATCGAATTAAAAATAATTTAAACATCAATAACCTTGATAAAAAACTCTAAAATCAATTTTAAACAGGGCTACAATTTCTAAAATCATAAATTTCATCAAAATTCGAGACAAAAATTAAAATTTTCTGTCCAAAATCTTCAATAATTTCTGAATTTACTAAATTTGCACCACCGTATTTTACCTTCAAAATTTATTTTTCTGTCCCCATCAGGTCATTTCATCACTATTTTTCACCAAAAAATTTAAAAAAAATCATCAAAATTTCAAAAAAACCATAACCCAAAAAAATTCAAAAGACGTATTTTACATTCCAAAATTTTCACTTCTCCCAACCAACCAATTTTCAGCCCTCCTCGATCAAAATCTCACCTTGCACATTCCGAAATCGGTCAATTTCACATGTCCATGTTGGTCCAACAACACATTGTCCAGCTTCAAGTCGCGATAAATGATGTTCCTGGAGTGCAAAAAGTTGAGCGCCAAAATGATCTCGGCCGAATAAAATCTGGAGTGGTCTTCGGGTAGGCGTTGTTGGTGTTGCATGTGGAACATCAGGTCGCCGCCGGGGATGAATTCGATGACGAAAAATAAGCGCGAATCCGACTGGAAACAGGAGTGCAGGCCCACCAAGAAGGGGTGATTCGAGGCCGTCTCGAAGACCGACTTCTCCGTCTGGATCCAGTCCAAGTCGTCCTCCTCCAGGAACATGCTCTTCTTGATGATTTTGATGGCGTAGATTTGCTTGGTTTGCTTGTGTTCGGCCTGCACAACCTTCGCGTAAGATCCGCGGCCAATCACCTTGAGCAAGTTAAAGTCGTCCAACCCGTTGTGTTGCGGTCGTCGGTGGCCGTTGACCTGAAACGCAGCGATAAATAAAGTCTTCAGAAAGTCGTAAAATCATTTTTGAAATTTTTTATTAACCATGCCGCATCAAAATAAAAAAAATTTGAAAAATTTCAAAAATCCCCAAATTTTTTTAAAAAACCATCAAATTTCGAGGAAAAAAATCAACTACAACGCAAAAATATCTTTAATATTACTTCTAGCACTTATTAAAATCTAATTTACAAAAATTTCCATCAAAAAATTACAGTAATCTCAAAAAAATTTCAAAAAAATTTTAAAAAAATCAAAAAATTCGGCAAATAATCTAATCGCAAAGCAGTAATGACTGTCTAATTTTATTAGAACTACTTCAGGGAACCTTATTTAGAAAAATTTTCCATCAAAAATTACAGTAACCTAGCAATTTTTAAAAAAATTCAAATTTTGGGCCAAAAATTTGTTTCGTTAATTTTTCATTACAATTTTGCACTACTTTTAAAATAATTGCCACCAAAATATCTTCACCAGATCCCCACGTACCTGTTCAGCTTCAATCCTCGCCTCCAACCCCTTGGCCCTTCCGTTAATCGGCGAAATTTGTTGAGTTGGGGTTGGCTGGATATGCTTTTGAATAATTGGTGTTTGCGGGAAGTTTCCGACCTCTTTGGTGCAAAATTTCCTCACAAATTTGTGACATTTTTTGTGTACAAACATTCCACAATCCACGCATTTCAATCCGCCGCGGCCTAGGCCCCATATCGTGTCTTGACACAAGGCGCAATCAACCCGTTTGTTTGATCGTTTCACTTGGAATCGATGGCCGTGGATGTTGTAGAACTTGTTCCAACGACGCGCACCGCGGCGATAAACATTTTCTGAAAGGAAAACATCGATTATAATCCCAAAAAACAGTAAAAATTGGAGTTTTCCAAATCCGCCGGCTTTCGTGTTGGGACCCAAAAGCCCCAAAATTTTTTCGAAATCTAAAAGTAAATCAAAACAAAACAGAAAGAACATACTGTCTTCTCCGATACAAGGGGCACCTGGAGTAGGTGGGACACCATTAAACACATGAACCATGAGATCGGAGCCACTGTGCTCCGTGATGACATGGATAATTTCGTCGAGGTCGCTCTGGTCAATTACTGTGCATGGATCACCTAAAATGTTTGAAAATCATATTTCAAGCGCTATCAGCCAATTCAGTCAGCAGATTATGATCAAAAAGGCAAAATTTTATATTCACCATCAAGTGCAATATAAAATTTTGCTCAAAATTGGGTTTTTGCTGCTGTAAATCAAAAGAGACCCATCTGAATTTGTATAATAGACCATTTAAGAAGTCCTAAATTCATTGACACATCTAAATAAACTAGTGGTGTATCACTATCTTCACCATAAAAATCTGTCATATAAAATTTCATTCTTCAATTTCAATTACAGAAAAACCTTCAAAAATATTCAGAGAGCATAATAACTCTTACGAAACATTTGTATAACCAGTAGATATTCTATTACCCCAAAATTTTTACAATCATAATCAACTTTTAGGTCAAAAAAAGTTTCATGACAAAAGGTCCAAAATTTTCTAAATTAAACCATAATTCCTCTCATTTTGGCAGCGACTGTGACCTAAACTTCAAGACAAACAAGTCGGAAGACCACTCACCTTCATCATCAATAATTTTCACCGTGATTTTTGCATTGGCCGCCAACTTGCAGACATCCTTTAGCCTCGTGAAGAACCCTTCCAAACTGATCGGCACGGAGAAGTAGACCACATATACGTTCTTTTCGAAGTGGATCTTGGCCTTGAGCTCCGCTTCGATCCCTTCGACACGACGTCCGGCCGTCATACCGTAAATTATTCGATTAAAACGGGATTTCTTACAATCGCGATGAAAATGGTGATGGATAACAAAAAATTGACGGGAAACGGGGGAAACGGATATCGGCTGGGCAAACCGTTGTTGTAATAAAGTCAGATGGTAATTTTCTTACTGTAACAAAACTAAAATTTCGGCAAAGTAATCGGAATCGTATTAAAAAAATTTTTTGATGATCAAGTCTGATGGATAAGAAAAATTGATGGCAAACTTAGAAAAAATAAGGCTCAGAGGGAATTTTTGTATTTTAATAGATTCATGGTGAGTTTGACTTACTGTAACAAAAAGAAATTTTTAAAAATTACTAGCAATTAATATCAAATTTACTTTTCAAATTTTTGAATGACCACCTTTGATGGTTAATAAAAAATGATCGAAAAAAATTATTTTAAAGGAGCCAAACAATATTTTAAGTGAATAAAAATACCCTCAGGGCAACTTCTTAATATTAGCATTTTCACAAAGTGCCTGGACATTTGTCGCGGTCCGCACAGTGCACAAAAATTAGCAATTTTTTGCACCGTGCACTCACCTCTTTTTTGGTTTTGCTTTTGCACTGTGCATTTGAAATATCGCTGCGACGTAAGCTTTTCTCAACTGCGCCGCTGCGATTTTGCACAAAAAAGTGCACAGTGCAATCGGCTTTTTTGAGGTATGCACGGTGCGCAAAGGCAAAAATCCACAGTGCGTTGGCGACAAAGGTTCAAAATGCACTGTGCGAAAGCGAAAAAATGTCCAGGCACTTTGTGAAAATGCTTCAAACTTTTTTTTCGAAACTAACCAGAAGTCGCAACAAATTTTTAATTAAAAAAGGCAAGGAGACAAGCCAGATTATTCACCCAAGAACAGCCCATTCCCTCCCACAACCCTCTAAATTATGCAAGAAGGCGAATTGAAAGAGTTGGTACAGGGAATTCCCATTCCAGTGATGAGTAAGCCCCGTGCAATCATTCATGACCAAGAAATTCCTTCGAAAACGCCATCAAATCTGCATTCGAGACGGGAAGCCAGGTTCGCGGCGGGATGAAGACGTCGGAAATTCGTCGAGAAAAACATCGAGTGCATTTTTTACTGCATTCCACTGTCTGCGAGTTGTTTTGAAGGTTCACACGTTATTTTAGGTAACAAAATGGGTAAAGTAATATAAAAAATATGGAAACTCAATGAAATTTCGGCCAAAATAGGTCTCAACAGTCCTGTCATGGCTGAAAATACGTTCATAGAAAATTTTAGAACTCTGCATACATTAATTTTGGAGTACCACACATAAACCACCAATACCTACTATAATATCGAAATCGTCAAAATTCTTTGCAAAACCAACTCCAAATCGAGCCAAGCCCCATTTCTAACTAAAGAAATTGCCTTCCACCAAAACTTTCATTCCCAGAACTCATAATAAGCACTTCTTGATATTACTTTAGGCACCACATACCCCACTTCCCCATAAAATCGAAAGGAACAGTTGGCGATCTACATTAAGCAGCTGTAATAATGCCGACACACGAACGGCCACTACCGTTGACTAAAGACCAGTTTATATCTTCTCCATTCTTTCTCCTCAATTTCTAACGAGGGCGCAGCTCGCGAACAACGAGGAAAGAAATAATTTATTTTCTCCTCAAATTCCCAATTTTTAGTCGTCGAAATGAGTAAGAAAAAGTTACTAGACCTTGGAGACGATGATGGAGAGGATCTGAGCATAAATGTGAACCCGGATTATGCCGAGAGATACGAGAATTGGAGGCAGCGAGAAGAATTGCAGAAATGTAAGTATTTTTAAACTAAAACAATGTTGTTTCTGTGTTTAGTGAAAGACAAGTATGGCTCAGACGTCGAGGATGAAGAGGATGAGGAGAGTACAGATGGAGAAGTGGTAAGAAACGGTTTTTTGCATTTATTATGTTATCCATGAGGATACGTAAACGGAAATTCGATTTTTGACTAACATAGATGTTCCAAGAGCGGAATGGGAATTTTAATAGATGCTTTAGGACTTTATTGGGCTTCTCAATTCAAAAAACTTTCCACATTATCAATTTTCGATCTTATATTATCCATGGGCAATATAATTTTTGTCGCAAAAATTGAATGGCTTTCTTATCTTTTGTCTATTACTATTTCAGGAATGGGATTCCGAAGACGAGAAGGACTTTCTGCGCACATTAGGCGCTTTGAAATCCAATGATCCAAAGATTTACAAGTCTGATGTAAAATTTTTCGATCAAGAGAGACAAAGGAAGCCGCGGAAGCCCGAAACCAGTGCTCAAAAGAGGGCAAAAGAAGAGAAAATGACTCTGAGAGACTATGAGCACAAACTGGTAGTTGAACGGGGTGGGAAATTCAGCGATGATGAGGAAGAAGAGGAACCGCCCAATGATCCGAGTTATTATCAGAAGGAACAACAATTAAAATCCGAGTAAGTTGGCGTTTAAAATGTTGAATTTGGTGTTTAGATTCAAGAAAGCGTTGGGAGAGGATTCAGAATCCGACGAGGAGCTGCTGAAACCGCGGGAAAAAACGAAAGAAGAGGAAAAACGCGAGGAAAATGAATATTATGAGTGGTTGGCTAATCATAAAGAGTTGGATAATGTCGATGAAGATCTGGTAAGACAGTTTAGACCTTGGTTTTTTGTTTTTAGACCGTTTCCCATATCAATTCACTTGATGACATAGAAAAAAATTTCTTTATCAAAAATTTCCCAGTTTTTGTCCAAAATAATATAATTTTTGTCGATTTTAGAAACATTTGAAGGAGAAATGGAATTCCAATGATCTTACAGCAGAGGACAAGTTTCTAAGGGACTATTTACTTAACAAGAGGTACGAAACGGATGGGAAACATATCCCAGAAGCCCTTCCAACATACGATGAAGTAGTGAAAGTTGATGAGGAACTTGAAAAAGTCGAGGAGTTTGAATACAAATACAATTTCCGATTTGAAGATCCGGATCAAGAGTTTGTAAGTGTCATTTGAGATTTGATTTTATGGATTTAGATCAAACAATTCCCTCGGACAGTCAAAGAATCGCTGAGAAAAGAGGATACGAGGAGAAAAGAAGCGAGAGAACGGGTGAAACAACGAAAAGAAGAAGAGAAAAAGCAAAAGAAAGAGGAAATAAAACGACTCAAGCTGCTAAAGAAGATGGAAATTGAGGATAAGTTGAAGAAATTGAAAGAAGTCACCAAGGATGATATACCAATTAGTCTGGAGGACCTGCAAAAAGACTTTGATCCAGCTGAATATGATCGGAAAATGAAGGTAAGAAATTTTGAGGTGTTTTAGGAAGAAAGGAATGAATTCAGAGGGAAGATATGTCTTTTTGGGACGAAATTTGTTCAGGAGTACCTAAAGTAATATAATTTTTGTTGGAAATACTAGAAATTTGATAGGATTTTGGTTTGAAATGATGGATCATAAAATTTTAGGAGATTTTCAATGATTACGACGACAAAGCAGACGAGGATGAAGAGAAACCGGTCTTCTCCGACATCTCTGACATTGATGATGATGAAGAAGTTGATGAGGACGATGCAAAGCCAGAAAAAGTTGAAGATAACCATGAACAAGAAGAAGAAGCTGGCCCCAGTAATTCCGAACCATCAAGACGAGAGAAGATCTCAGCGAGAAAACATAAACGAAATTCAAAATTCAATGAGGTGATCACCAAGAAAAAGCCGGCGTTCGACCCGAATGAAAAGACATTTGAAGAGTATTTCAATGAATATTATGCCCTAGACTATGAAGATATCATCGCGGATAATTTGAAGACCAAGTTCAAGTATCGGAACGTCGAACCGAATGATTTTGGACTTTCGACGGACGAGATTTTGGAGCTGGATGATAAGAAGTTGAATGCGTGGGTATCGGTGAAGAAGGTGACCTCATACAGGTCTGCGGCAGAGGAAAAGACGGACAAAATTGTCTACCAGAAGAAGGCGCAGAACCCGGAGAGAAAGAGGAAGATCTTTGGATCGGTGTAAGTTGGTCTAAAATAAGGTCGGATTCTGGAAGTTGATGGGGAAAACGGATTGTTTTATGGATTTCTGGATGGTTGATTTTGAGATTAAGACAGATAAGAGAGTAGGATTGAAAGTTTCAGGCGATTTGGAACCTTATTTTAGCAAAAATTGGGATTCTTTGCCCATTTTTTTGATGATTTTGAAGAAAATTTTGGTTTTTAATAGTGAAGGACAATATTGCTGGTGAAATCTGCCTATAGTTTGAAGAAATATTATCTTTAGGATATTATTTTACATTTTTTTAAATGTCTTTCAATTTTTGAGATCCGTATTTTACCACAATAAATCCAATTCTTCTTCGATTTCAGTGTCGTGGAAGACGAAAAGAAGAAAAAGAAGGCCCCGGTCAACGAAATCCAACCAGAAAATCCACCGGAGACTACCGAAAAACAGGAAGAAAAGACGAAAAAGAACAGAAAGAAGAGAAAGAGCCGAAATGAGCTGAGCAAAAATCGCCTGAAGGCGTATGGAGTGAGCACAACCAAACTGAAGAGTCATTTGAACAAGGACAAGTTCAAGAAGAAGGAAAAGAAATCCTAGATTGATGATTTTTTCAGATTTTTACAGACTTGTTGACGTTTATTGTTATTTTTTTGTTGGAAAATAAATGTTGTTATAAGTTTTTGGACAAATTTTTGATGAAATAATTTCTTTGGCGTCTCAGATTTTGATGAAACCTGGCACAAATTTAGAATGAATTTTTCTAAAATGTATGCGAGAATCCTAGCTCGCGCTTTGCAGAAACAACCGAGATTTTTTTCTCGAAAGTGGGCGAAAATTTGACACTTTTTGCCGAAATTCGGCACGAAAAGTTTCATGCCTATTTCTACCATAGAGGGTAAAGTTTCCACAAAAAATCAATTTTTTCCGCACGAAACTAGCAAAGTTATGGCCAAAAAGTGTTTTTCTCTTTGTCCGCTCTCCATGTTTAGCGTGCTCTCTCGGCGGCAAAAATCGTTCAATATCTCGGCGGCGCCTGCAAAGCGCGAGCTAAAACTTTCAGGAATTGATATTTAGTTCATGCCCGGCGTGTGTTCAAAATTTGAAGAAAATCGGAGCGTCACACTTGGGGAAACTTCCTTTGTTAGACCATTATATTTCAAGATATTCGCAAGTATTTATTAGATTAATCATGCATAAATTAAAAGCCTTGATGAAGTGCACTTATCCGCTTCATAAAGTGGATAGAAAAAACAAGTGTAGATAGCCATAAACGGCTTGTTATTACCCATGATGACGAATCCGAACCGATCTCATGTCCTCGGATGACCCAGCATGATATCGACAGGGAAACGTGATCATGGGTAATAGCTCCAGCTATAACGCAATGCTTGATTCTTGGGGTTGGAAATAGTTTGGATGCAAAAATAGAGTAGACTCTTTTACTTAACAGAAAAATCTTTGTAGTTACATAGTAATAGCAGTAGTTATTAGCAATAATAATAATCATGATGACCAATATCCAAACATCTCTTACAATTTGCTCAAACTCAAATAATTAGTAGCTGTAGTAGTGAATAATACTAGCACACACTCCTTTCATCGCATATCCGCACATTTCACCGCGGAACTGAGTCTATACTGATCTCATATCCATGAAAATCTAGTATGATTTCGGTAGAGACCCAGGTTCGCAGTCAAATTCGGAGATTTTTCTTCGGTTTATGAGGTCGGCGACGGGGTAGAATTAAAAGCACCGCGGAATTAGCATATATTTCGGTGTGCAAACTCGAACAAACCGAGCAGAAAGCGGATCCAAACGATCGCGGGAAAGCGAGTTTGGAGGAATCGGAGCGACAAAAGAAGAGGGGTTGTAGTCTTACCGATTGGAAATTATCAATGGAAAGCGAGAAAAAAGATAGTCAATGGTCAAGGCAAGCAGAAATTTTAGGATTTCGCAATCTTTTTTGCTTTTTCAGGGGGACTTTTGTCATAGATAATATAAATTTTGATGGTATCGAATTGTCTAGAAACTCCCTGGGCTCTTGAAATTGCTTAAAATGTCATATAGAGCCTAATGAATCAAACCAAACATCAGTAGCTAGCCTAATTTAGGGAATCAAGTCGAATGACCTAAAACAAGATACCGATCACCCAAAAATGGCACAAAACTAAAATAGAGGACTGACCAAAGCATCTGAAAGGCCCCAACGACTCTTTAACTAGACAAATCTTCTATTCAAATCAACTTCAGCAAGCCTCGACCCCCATCCCAGACATTAAAGACCGTTTTGTCCGACAAAAGAGACGGTGAATCCGACGAAAAAAACAACAAGACCGAACGAAATCAATGGCTGGCTAGGAAATGGACACCCCGCAAAAAAATGGCCTCGGAATTTTTGCGGCGTCCAGCGTACAAGAGCGGGGCGAGACAGCGCCCCCACCAAAAACAGTGCGAGGCGGTAGAAGACGCGAAAGTGGGCGGAGCCTGTAGCTTCGGAAATTCTTTCGCCTTGACCCCCGAAAAGCACAAAAATGAGAGACAGAGAGAGATGGGGCGAATGCAATACAATATGATGTATTCGCCGACAATAAATCTCTGATTTCAATCTCTCAACAAATTTCTTGCGTCCGCCTTGATCCCCGCAGTCACGGCGCCAGAAATGGGGTGGGAATGGGGCGGCGAAATGGGCATGGCACAGGCTGGAGGAACGCCTTATTCGAAATATTATGAAATATAAGAAACCAAGAAGTATTACAGAACGCGTATTTTACCTAGCAAAACTTTTTTCTAAAACCCGAAATCATTTTTGCTGACTAATTTTCAAGAAATCTCAAACTTTTGTCTCCTAATCCAGTTTATTGTACTGACCAATGACTCAAAATCAACCTGGGTTAATTTTTCATCATCGCAGAGCCTTTCAACTTAAAAATCGAAACAGAACTGAAAGAATAACCAGATTTCTATATCAATTGTCATGTATAATATAATTATCTGATATTTCGCGTTCCAAACAATACGATTCTTAAGCTAATAGGTCAGCCTCATTACTAAAACATTTTTCATAAATATGAAACGCAATGAAAGAAGCTTTCAGCTCAAACTTATACGGAGTCATCTATTTAAAATAGTGTCCAAGCTCCGAAAATCCATAGGATCCATTCTCTGAATAAATTGAAATGGTAAAATACGGCATACCCTCCATGACGAAGCTCTTGAATTCTTATAAGAGGCTAACAATCGTTGTAAGCAACTTTTACTTCATACAAAAACTCATCTGTGTTCACCGAAAGCGAAGTCCAAAAACTAAAAAATCTCCCAAACCCGATTCGATTCTATTCCCCCCTCCATCAATTCAAATCGGTGCAGAACCGCAGGCCTTTCACCCTCCCCTACACACGCTTCCATTCTGCGGATCGCTTTCCATACCAGGGCATGTAAATGTGTGTGAGCGGGACCGTTAAAATGTCTGGTCCGCTCTTTTGGAGGACCCGTAAAATTTGCGGAATATTGTACGGAAAGTCGGGTCCGTTTTTCGGACACGTGGCGCTGCTGCCCGCTTCGCTTCCAACCCCCAGCAGGAGCGACGAAGAAGAAAAAGGGGCGACCGAAACGGGGCGTCGGAGGAGCCGCAGGGCCTGTCGCAATGCGTTTGGATCGTCGCCACTCCCATTCGGAATGTGCATCCAGACGGGAAGAGCGAGAGAAATTGCGGAGCGGATTTTTGTGCGGCAATAAGCGTCGAAACCGTTTTCCGATCCCAAACAATGGTTTGTTATGAAGGGCGACGGGGAAAACAGGGATCGCGGGTATAATGAAAGATCAAAAAGATGATTATTGTGAAAATCAAAGACCGAACATCTGATAAATCCAAGAGTCTATCAAATGTTCGGTCTTTGATTTGCACAATAATCATCATATCCACTGACGAATACCAAAACATGCAATCGACCAAAGAGAATTGAAAGAAATCAAAAATCATCAAAAATCTCATTTTTTAAGGGCCCAACCGAAGATACAACCAGAAGAATGCGGAGTACAAGTGACAAATCAAACCGACCACACGAAACAGACATTCACAACAATCAGGAGCGTTTCAGCCAACAAAATGACAGAAAATAATACAGGAGTCCAAGAATTTGATAGCAAAAGGTGAACGGCAGAGAAAAGACAGATCATTTTGAAAAGAGCAAGTCCTTAAAAGTGCAGAATACTCTCTCTTCAAAATGAACAGCCTTTTTCTGTCCCGTGTTACCTTTTGATATGAAATAAGAGGTCTCCTGAATCTATTTTCCCACTTTCTTGTTGACTCGATCGCACCCTCTTGGCAAAACTAATCAAGCACAGAGAGCACGCAAGTCAACTGAATAGAAGGAGAAAACCAAATCAAGCTGCCATCTCACCTATTGCTCTTAACATCAAATGAAACAAAGACAACAACATAACCGTCTCAAATGGGCGTAACCGAACCTAGACTCAGATCCCCTCAAATGTGTATGATTATGATGACCTGTTGTAAATCACATTAGCACGCACTTCGATCATAATCTTTACGACTGGACCTCGTAAATCACCGCTTTCATGACAAATCTTTGTAGTCTTAAAAATTCAAATACGATCTCCGATTTTTTCTTTCCAAAATTTGGGAAAAGAAAGGATTAAACGAATTTTCAACACAGTTCCAGATTTGTCTCAGGTTCAGTCAGCATAAACGTCGAAAAAGCGGATGTGTAATTGGTGGTAAAAAAGGGTGCCTGTGTCATATCTTGCGCGAAATTGAAGGCTCTACAGTTGCGTGGGCTTCGTTATGACAAGAGGAGACCACAGTCCTGGTTAATGCATTGTAATTCTATATGTAGTAAATTCACGCTCTCATAAAAATTCGTTGTATTCTCCTAAATTAAAATACGACCTCCGAAACGTTTTCCGTTTCAAACTTGGGCAAAAAGAAGGACTAGCTGAATTTTCAACACAGATCCAGTCAGGATAAACGTCGAAAAGTGATCCAGGAGATCTCAAATTTGTTATCAAAAGGTATCGAAGAGAAGGAAAAGAATGTTGCTGGTTTTGAAGAAAGATTTGCTACATAAAACTATCTTTCTTCAAAACCAACAACATTCTTTTCCTTCTCTGCGATACATTTTGATGACAAATTTGGGGTCGCCTGGATCACTTTTTCCAACTTTTATCGTGACTGAGACTGTATTGAAAATTCAGCTAGTCCTTCTTTTGCCCAAAATTTGAAAATAAAAAAGTTAGAGATCGTATTTTAATTTAGGAGAATACAATGATTTTTTATGAGAGCGTGGATTTACTACAGCATTACAATGCATTAAACAGGACTATGGTCTCCTTTTGTCATAGCAAAAAACACGTCACTGTAGGGCCTCCAATTTCGTGCAAGATATGGCACAAGCATCTTTTTTTACCACCAATTACACATTCACTTTTCGACGTTTATGCTGACTGGACCTGAGACAAAGGAACTGTGTTGAAAAATTCGCTTAATCCATCTTTTCCCCAAATTTTGGAAAGAAAAAATCAGAGATCGTATTTGAATTTTTAAGACTACAAAGATTTGTCATGAAAGCGGAACACAACCTTATCAGACCTTACCATTTATATAATCTCACATTTTCCACATTCCTCACCTCATTGTTTTCAACTTCCAGTTCGTAAATCAGACCAATCTCTCAAAAATCACCGCCAAAATCGCTCGATAACAATCTGACCTGCTCCAAATTTCCTTGTCAACAAATTCCTCAAAAATTTGTACATTTATTCAATAAATTAACAACTCTGTTTGAGAAATCTCAAAAAAAAACTATCAACTAAAATTGTTGGAGAGCAAGTAGCGGATGAGGAGAGAGTGGGATTCCACCGATTCAAAGTCTTCGATTCGGTAGTCCTCGTTGTCCTGGATGATGCGAAGCACATTCAGGAGGTAGTGCGCCGCCGCAAGTTGCAATTTTCGACTGAAATTTTAGGCTTTAGCTCCTTGAACGCATGATTTATATAACTTTAGGCTGTTTTCTGCCACTAGCATTATATTTTTATCGGTAATGGCAAATTAACACCAATTTTTGGTTTTTTGATTAATTTTATGTCAATTCAAGCCTTTTATTTTCGGACTGACATCAATTCAAGTTGATCTACAGTGACGGACTTGATCCAGCGTAAAAAACGTACATTTTGCATCTGGGAAGCATAAAAAATGTGGCAAAATGCTTCCCTATCCAAGTGAAAAAACTCCGTTTTGAAGGGCCTCACAAAAAGAGCCGGCGCGCTTTTGAAATCGGAGTTTTTTCACTTGGAGATGGAAGCATTTTGCCACATTTTTGATACTTCCCGGATACAAAATGGTACGTTTTTTGCCACTGGATCAGGTCCCCCACTGTACATCAATTTCAATAACTTTTTCGGCTGTTTTTCTTCAACTCATACATATTTTTGACCATTTCGATCAATTTTAATCCGTCTCGAGGCAATCTTTCTACATTTACGCCATGAATGGTTATTTCTACCTTATTCAAACCCCTCTAACTTCAATTTTACATCATTTTACACCTTATCTTGCCTTATTTCCGAAAAAATCAGCCAAGACATAAAAAATATCTCAACATTCATACAGTAAACTAATAATAATAAGCCCGTTACAGCTCTTGCAAATTGCTTTGCTGACCTCAACGAGTCGTTTTGTGTAACACTTTCGGCGTTGATTGATTACAAATGGACTATTGCCGTCAAATTCAAATTATCTGCCTATTTCATCGACGGTCGGCGAGATGCGAATGACGAATCGGCCCTTCTTGGCGCCGACACTTGATCCGCTCTTTCCCGATTACAATCAGCCGAAAAAAAGTCGGCGGAAAATTAATTCACCACTAATTACAGTGACCGACCTGATCCAGTGGCAAAAAACGTATCATTTTGCATTCGGGGAGTATCAAAAAATGTAGCAAAATGCCTCCCTCTCCAAGGAAAAAACTCCGTTTTGAAGGGTTCCTCAGAAAAAATGAGGACGTGCTTTTCAAAAACGAGTTTTTTCCTTGAAGAGGGAAGCATTTTACTACATTTTTTGATACCTCCCGGATGCGAAATGGTACGTTTTTTGCCACAGGATCAGGTCCGTCACTGTATTTGGAAAAAAACTTTTTTTTTGATCAAAAAAGGTCAAATTCTGGAAAGAATAGCCCAAGTCGTGTCTCACACAACTTCATAAGCCACAATTGTTCTTCAAAACACTCTTTTAACAACCACCAATTCCAGTATTTAACTTGAATCGATACTTTTGACCAAAAAATCAATTAAAAATGTGACTTTCCCATCCCTAATCAAAATTTTCAAATTGAAAACCAAATAAAAACCAATATCCTTGCTTTAAAAACCTCACTCCTTCATTACCCACAAAGTCCCGGCTCTTAGCCTTCTTTTTCACCCACAACTCCTCAATTTTATATTATCCATGACGCTTACCGTTTCAATATGGCTGCAAAGTGTTTGGCGACCACTCTATTCTTCAACATTTTGTTTTTAGTAAGCTTGATCGTTCTGATGTCATCTCGGATCAATCTGTCAAACCGTAAAAGCTTTCGGCGATTTCTTTGCAAACAATTTGTCGTACATGACCTGAGGGCAAGTCTCCATTTCAGTTCCGGCGAGGCTCTTGAAATTAGGAATGCCAGTAAATTCGGGACAGTAATCGGCAATCCCGCCGGGTACGGGGCTATTTGGAGGTGAGAACTGAAAATTTTTATATTACCCATGATGGCTCATATAAAAATTCTTCCAAAAAAGTGCAAAAACAACATATTCTGAATGCGGCAAGCTATCACAAAACTCTTGATGCTCTTTTTTATCTAAATCAGCAACAATTTAATAAAAAACCAACTAACCTGTGGACTGACGGGAAGAAAACAATCGTTGGCAGAGCATCAAAATCATATGAATATGGCAGCGAATTCCTTGATGTATCGATTCTAAAATCGGCAAAGTAAAAAGAAATTTATTCACTTACATATAAAACTTGAGGAGCGATTCGAATTTTTGAAATTCCTGTTTTACGGCATGGATAATGTAAGTCACGGCCATGGACTGGCCATGAGCTGAGCCACCGGAGAAGAAGACCACTGCCGAGTGGGTTCGATTTACCTGGAAATACAATATTCAACACACCTCGCAGAAATTTGACAAAAAAACAAATTTTTTTACAAAAATTATATTGTAGTACTTATCAGCTGTTAAAAATCGTCAAAAAAAGCAAATTTTTAATCTAATCAACCTCTTTTTGGCCCCCAAAAAGACGTAACTGCTCTATAAAATCTCTTTGTGGTCTTACATTATTAACAATCTGGTTCTTGAATGTCTCCGAGTCCAATCTTATTAATCTAGATGACCTGGATTGAGGGTTCTCCTGTAGATCTATTGTGTCTGGAACCTTTGAAAATGGGCTTTGTCTGCTCTTTTCGTCCAAATGCATTGTGCCTAGGGTAGTCACATCCACATGAGACAAGAAATCGAGGACATTTGACCTAAACTCATATTCTTGATATTACCCTTGACAAAAATCGATAATTTCAACAATTTTTTAGGGGCCAAATAATTGTAAATGCCTTTAAAACAAACACCCATCCTTACCAATCCTTTTCGACATCAATATTCTTAATGACCTCCTGATTCATCGATATTACAGCCACTTTATCCTTGTCAAACCCAAATTTTTGGCCGTTCAGATTCCAAATCCTCGAAAAATACGCAGTCAATCGCTTGTCCACGGAAATGAATTGGATAGTGTGATTACGGTAGCATCCTTTCCCTTTAATCCTAACCAGATCTTTGACTTTCGGAGGTCGGATCACTTCTTTATTTTGCAGCCCAAGTCTCTCCAGGGCTTTCTGATTATAACAGTCAAAAGTGAGGTCAAAAGACGGCATTGGAAAGGGTCGATTCTTGCGACAACAGTAATTCTTGAAGGTATCTGGAATGGAAATCGTATAAAAAACGAAAACCACGGGAGATTTTGAGCAAAATTATATTATACATGGCAGAAAAAATGGATAAAAAATTTAAAAAAAATATGTTCATCAAACATAAGACAATTATAATGCTACATATAGCCTATTATACCACAATCACGACATTTCCCCCAAAAAAGTCGGAGTTGGACGATTGGGGAAACCGAAAAGTACAATTTTTCTTCGATGCAGTGTGAAATTAGGATAATCGAGGGTGCTGATTTCAAAAATGACATTCATTTTTTTTGATTGTTACTTTTTTCCCTTAAGTAGTACTGTAATGTAAAGTAGTAATTTTTTTAATTTTTTTTTCATGAATACTCGATTTAGAGGTTTTCGAAGGTGCTGATTTCAAAAATCTTATTCATTTTTTCTGATTTGAAAACAGCATCATCGAAAACCTTCAAATCGAGTATTCATGAGAAAAATTCAAAAAATTACTACTTTAAAGCACTACTTACAAAAAAAAGTAACTATCAAAAAAATGAATGTCATTTTCGAAATCAGCACCCTCGATTATCCAAATTTCAACACTTGCATCGAAGAAAAATAATACTTTTCGGTTTCCCCAATCGTCCAACTCCGACTTTTTTGGTGGAAATGTCGTGATTGCGGTATAATAGGCTTATATACGTAGGATTATAATAGTCTTAGGTTTGATGAACATAGATTTTTTCCCCAAAAAACTTAAATTTCTTACTATTTTTCAAAAAATTAAATTCGGGGCAAGTAGGTCCAAAGAAATGCTGCTCATTCTTCTCTGACACTCCCTGCTCTTCACTATGCAACTTGTTCCTACTACATTCATGATGTTCTCTCATTTCTCGACAGCATTTTTCAATAACATCAGGTTTGAATTTGCACTGTGCGGTGAAAATTTCATAATTTACTGTTGAAGATGGCTGATCTTCAGTGACCTGTTCCGATTCATCACATTTATAGTATTCGAATGCGATCTGAAAGCAAATTAGTCTATCAAAAGCACTGATTTATAAAAATTTCATCAAAATTTTCGACTTTTTATATTACACTAGACAGGGTAATCGAAAATAGCCAAAATTTTGTGAAAACAGCCCTTCTTTTGCTCTAAATTTTCGGTCACAGCAATAATACGTCTTCTTGGATACTTTCAACACCTAAAATCATAAACAAAAAACAAAAATTTCCTACCTTTCTAAGGGTTTCCAAGTTCTCGGACGTCCCGAATTCCCCGTTCACTGATGTAAAAAGGACCATTCCAATCTTGGATTTGTTGACCATATCGAATAATTGGGTCGATAGCAACCCTTCCGACTCTTTTACTAAAAGTAAAACTCAAAAAAATGATGTTAATTTACATTCGGTTCTCCATGGGACCACCAAATTTGATTCAATTTCTTTGAGATGCGTATTGACCGTATCTAGGACTGCTTGAGACAGCGTTTCATCAGCGATTCGATAAGTTTTACTTCCAATTTTGAAGATTCCATGGTCTTTAATCCCGAATTTCTCGGCCAAAACTGGATCAATGGTGTAGAAAAATCCAATTCTGGGGTTGTTCGCCTTCAGCGCGGCAGCTCGATACACCTTAAACTCTCTGGAGAGCTCGCTGTGGTTCTGGAAACATAAAAATCATTATATTCCGAGGTGAAAAATCGGTTCAATCGTCAATTTTCGGCTATCTTACACTTGCCTCCGCCTTTAGATAGGCCAAAACGATCAAATCGTATCTCGTATCGTCGTAATTTTTGTCCTCCAAGCTGTTCAGTCGATGAATTGGTCTTGAAAGTCGTAAAATCCAACTAAAAGCCAAAGGAAATAATCAAAAAATTGACTTACCTGAACATCCTATCTGCTAATGGCACATCCTCAAAGAAAACCGGAATTCCACCGGTCATGACCGCCAAAATCGCGGGATAATTGTGAACCTTATAGAGCTGCTTACAATAACCCGTATCACAGTTTACCGCGTTCAATTTTACCTAAAAATTTTAGAGAAATTGAGATTATATTGCAGTACCTACATTAATATTGGTATTGCTCAAAAGTTGAGAAAGCTTGATATACTCCCGTTTGGCTTCCTTTGAGTGCAAACTCCATGAGGCATAGAAGAAGGTAAGTGATATGTCCGCCCGATTGTACATGTCAAAAGGCCGTCCAAAGCTCCCATTATAATAATCATTGATATTCGAGGTGGTCGGGAAAAAAGGCCGAGGTAGTGGAGGTTTTCTGACTAGAAGCCCGCCTTCTGATGATCTAAAGGTCGAATAAAGAGCAAGGAATCAAGAACTTACAAGGTGGTCTTGATTAGTGCGGTGAGAGCATAGAATACGAGAGCCCCACAAAAGAATGAAGGCATATTGATGGGGACACCACAATAACTGATATCCCACCAATTATGGGCCGATTCTTTCGCGGTTTCCTCTTTAATTAGTTGCTCTATCTCTTGATCCTCGCGGCTGTCATATAAGGAAGCTGAAAATTTGAGAGTAAACATAAACTATTTTAGCTTTTTCGAGAACACTAAGACCTTATGCAGTTTTTCAAAGAATCTCTATCAATAAGCAATGCATAAGCCAAAAACCTGAGCTCAAAACCTTCTACAAGCCCTTATTGTGCCTTTCCACAACATTTTCGCCAGTTCTTCAGCGGGTTTCGTAGCAAATTTACCTTATCCATAACAAGGTAAATAACCAATCAGTGTTCCTCTCAAAAACAACTCAAAACTACCCAAAGTCTATGTCTAAAAATCAAACCAAAACAACAAGAACCACTTACATGAACAAGAACTATAATTTCCTCCTTCGTCTTGGTTTGATTCGTCTTCTTCTACTAAAAAATCAACAAAAACTATCCATTTTATTACTTTTTAAAAAAAATAATAAATAAGAGTGACGTACCATTAGCGGAAAGGGATTCCAATCTGTCCGCACTCATTGGAGCATTTTTGTAGCCAGCAAAAAGCAAAAAATTAGGGGTTTTTTCTATTTTTTTGTGGAATTGCAGAATGCCAAGATTTTGGCATCGATGGTTTTCGTGGTTGGGCGATGTGCATTTCGCACAGTGGATTCGGAGAGCAGGCTAGGCGGCTCCAAACTAGCCTCCAAAATACAGTGCGTCTTATTATACATGTCTTTATTCAAATCCCCGCTTAAAAATGACTTTTTTATATTGCACTTGACTAGTTCGATGAATTGCCGGAGGGCTGATAATGCAGGAAGCAAACGCATTCCAATTCGTGATTTACATTCCTCACTACATTTTCTAGATGATGGATGTAGATGATGGCGAGTCGGAGAGTGTCTACCTTGCTTATTCGCTTCTCACTGAAATCATAGGGATGTAAAACAATGTGATGGTAAATTTTATCTGACGTGAGAAGGAAAGTACTTTTATGGGGGCTCCTACTTTTCGACGGGACATATCAAATCCAAAAAATTGTGCTGATCAAGAATATATAAAACTAAGCTGCCCAATTTTGGGTTTAGGGGTCTAAATTGCCCAAAAACTGGCTTACAGGGGAAGTAATCCAAGTGCGACGCTCAGATTTTCTTTAAATTTTGCACACACGTCGGATTTGGACTAAATATCAGTTCCTGAAAGTTTTAGCTCGCGCTTTGCGGGTGCCACCAAGATATCGGACGATTTATGCCGCCGAGAGAGCACGCTAAACGTGGAGAGCGGTCAGAGAGAAAAGCGCTTTTTGGCCATAACTTTGGCAGCGGAAAAATTTGATTTTTTGTGGAAACACTAGCCTTTACAGTTGAAATAGGCACGAAACTTTTCGTGCCGAAATTCGGCAAAAAGTCCGAAATTTTGGCCGACTTTCGATCTAAAAATCTCGCTTGTTTCTGTAAAGCGCGAGCTAGGATTCTCGCATATATATTAGAAAAAATTGTTCTAAATTTGTGCCAAGTTTCATCAAAATCTGAGCGTCGCACTTGGAGTACTTCCCCTGTTAATTAATTTCGCTACAAAAGGCGCATCGATCTTTTCCTCCGGAAGAGAGCGTAGGCGAGTGGCTAGTGCCGTAGTCTGGGAATCAAGAGGGGGGCGCCGGACGGGTTCGATTTCCCTTTTGGGCTGAATCAACTTTTTTCGAAGTTGAAGGTCTGAAAAATAAATTTTTGTGCCAAGACTGATTTATTACGTCTTAAGAAACTCAAGAAACATAACTTTAAGCTAAAATAAAAGTTGTAAACCTGTGGAAAATTAAGCGAAAATGGGTTTACGTAGGACTTGTACATAGGACTTTAAGTCAACTTGCGATTGATTTTTCACCCCTAAAAACCTAAATTTGGCAGGTAATTTTTACATACCCTTCATCAGCACAATTTTTTGGATTTTTTGACATATATCCCGTCAAAAATCAGGAGCCCCCATAGGGGTACTCTCCTTGTGAAAAAACCTGGATTTACCTCTCGATTAAAGGGAGATGTTCCCGCAATCTTGCATAACCATCATTAACCTGTCGAACTCGATCTCTTTCTCTTTGATTCCGTCTATGAACAGTGGTTCCATAGCTCCTAAACACCAAAATTTACATTATCCTTGCACCCAAACTCACCACAATTCATCCAACTGTGAAGGCAGCGGAACCTTGGCCTCGGAAGAGAATGGGCTGATGATCTTTTTCTTGGTCGGCGGACCCATCCCGTCGTTGTCTGCGGGTTTTGGGAGGGATTGTTCGAGCGCCTTAGGCGCTTCTTCTTTGGCTTTTGATGGCTCGGAAATTGATGGTAAAGTTTGTTGAGGGAGTAGGACTGTCATTTGAGGGAGGAATTCGTTGATTTGGTTGTAGTCGACACCTGAATTTTGAAGAGTTTTCAGAAAAATCATCATTTTTCAGAAGTTTTGAAATTACACTAAAGATTTTGAGACGAAAACGGAACTTTCTGAGCTCTGACAGGATTTTTAGATGAACAGCGAAGAAAAGGCTGTCACGGTGCCCTATTCTAAGCCAAGATTTTTCAAGAATTCAAAGAAAATTTGACCTTTTTATATTGCACTTGGTATATTAAAGTAAAATGCGTATATCTCCATAATTATTCAACCAAATATGGAAAATAAACGCTCTATAACACCATCTTTAGCTCTATTTTTTATCCACATAAAACCTAAATTCCAAATTTAGCATAAACCCTACAAAAATCAGATCTCATCGAAAAGCCCGGGCGCAGTTCGCCGTTTCTTCGCCGTCTCGGTGAACCAAGAAAGAACCAAAAAAATAAAAGAAAAGTGACAACAAACATAACCAGAAGTGTTCTAAAATTTTTGGGCATTCTTTTTCTCCTTACCTGGCGGATACAGTAGGTTTGTTCCGGCTACCGTATACCCAGGCAGAAGATTCAAATTGTAAGCCGGCAGAGAAGTGACCATAAATGGTTGGGGTCGTTCGATGGCCAATGATTGATTGGAGTCCATATGATGATTGGAAGATGACTCGGAATTTTCATTCGATAATGACGTCATTTTAAGTTGTAGCTCAGAAACTGCGATTTTTTAAAATTTTAAAGTGATGAAAATCAAATACGAAGAGCGTAGAAATCGTTGAATACATCCAAATAGTAAATTTCAAGGCGTAACCAACTCAAAAATATCAAAGGATTTCTGTTTTCAAAACAAAATTTCACTTCGCTACAGTAACCCTCAAGACTCAAAAATCTCGAAAAAATATCTCTCCCAGCCAGGTTACTGTAATAGCTGTCACAACATACCATCTATTGTAGTGACAGCCCCACCAAACCCCCTTCAAATTGTAGTAACAGCCACGAAAGGCAGTTATTGAAACAAAAATCTTTGTTAAACCAGGCCCCAAAGGTGAATCAATAAAGCGCCGCGACCGTTATAAAACCCATCGGCCACGTCCGAAATGAAGTCCAAACAAATCCTGTCCCCGCTTCCCCTCTTTTTTTTCGGATCCCCTTTTTCGGATATCAAACACAGCGCTGATTCGCGGGGCTGCATCGGATTTCAATCAGAGCGCTGCGGTGCCAGTGACGATTCAAATTCGCGCAGTATTTGGCAAATAATCGAGTTCGTATTAAGCATGGCTGCAAACCGGGCCGGGCCGGCCCGGGCCGCAGGCTCGGGCTTAAATCTCCAAGCCCGGCCCGGGCCCGGGCTTGAAAAATTTGGAAAGCCCGGCCCGGTTCGGCCCGGAAATTTTTTATATTAGGCTGGAAAGAAAGAAAGCGGACATGAAAGGAAAATTATGACAAATTTTTGCAAAATGTATAGAAAAATTTAGCAAAACCTAGGTACATAAGATCACTTTACGTTTGCTATCAGCATTGTGTTTGAAAAAATGAAAAATTATATCGAAAAAGCTTGTTTTTTCCTTTTTTCCGGGCAAAACTCAGATTTCAAAAAAACCGGGCCGGCCCGGGCCGGGCCGGGCCTAAAAATCAAAGCCTGTAAGCGGGCCGAGAAATCAGTCGGCCCGGCCCGGGCCGGAAAATTTTGCAAAGCCCGGCCCGGAGCCATGCCTAGTTCGTATAAACGCTTCTAGAAATGGAATACAGTAAGGGCAAAAAATTAAAACACGATTTCTGGGTCAGTGAATCAGCCGCCGGGACATAGGAAAAAATGGATTTTGAGTTTTTGCTTTTAAAATGACTTCAGGCATTTAGTATACATATTCCGAAACTATTTTTGCCTAATTCTCTCACTAACCTACTGTAATTTACAATTTAATGTTTTTACAGTAATTGACCACTACAGCATAACTACGTATTCGAAATGGCTGAAATTGAGAATACTGATGTTTTCGGGCATGCTCGTCATCGTGAATTCAGAATTTCGGCGGTCGGGTTACTGTAACATACCGTAATGCGGTTTCGGCCAAAAATAATCGGCCATCAAAAATTTGTTTCTGAAACGCCGCAGCTGATTTTTACATATGTTAATCAGCGTAAAATTCTGCTCTAGAAACATTTTAAAAAAGTGTAAAAAGTCATCACCCATTTTTTGTGGTATAGTGGATTTTGGTCAAATTTAGTAATCGAGAGGTCGCGAGTTCGATCCCGGTGGAAGGAAAATTTGTAAAACTGTACAAAACCTCAAGAAATTGGTTGAGGTGGATTTATTATGTACATCAAAAGTATAAAAAATTGTATCAAAGTTGATTTTCGAATTTGAAAGCATTTTTATTTGATTACTTTTTCAACTGGCTTTTATGAACATTTAAGATAGAATTTCCTTTTCAAATCAAAGTCGAATACAATGTCCATTCCCTTATGATGACATACAAACATCAATTCCTCAATACGACCATGTTCTCACCGATTTTTTGATCAATTTTTCTTCACCATCTGACTTGATGTTGATTATAAAAAAGTTGCTTTTTCTCCCAAAATTTAACAATCATTGTGCCCTCCTTTTTCTCATATCGACATCTCAAACGCAAGTACACCAATTCCCAAAGATTTATTTGAAAAATCAATCGGCAAAAAGAAGAATTCAGGCTTCGGCTTCCTCGAGTCTGATGAGTTCCTTGACGCCATCATACATCTGTTTGACGGCTTCGTATTCGCTCATTCCGAGACGGGCCTTGTTGGAGATGTCGTAGACTCCGCCTTCGCTCTCCGAGTGTTCGCCGTGGATTCCGCGGACCTGAAAAATCGGGGTTGAAATCAAATTTTAGGCAAGAATAAGGTCAGATCTACAGAATTTAACGTTTTTATGGGAATAAAATTTGAAAATAAGTAATAATTGATTATTTGGCTTACAATAAAATGAAAGTTTTCAATCTAGGTAATTTTCGCTGTGAGACACAAAACATTTTCAGATTTTTTGGGTCCCGCCACGAAAACCCTGACAATCAGGGGAATGGGGGCAACCCATTCAAACTGCCCGTAAATGCTGCCAAAATCTTAGAAATGTCCCAAATTTTCATTTCCCGCTCCTTCACCTACCTGCAAGTGCAATTTATCGCAGATCTGTTTGAAATCCTTGCGAGCCGACACCTTCGGTAGCTTGATATGGACCGAGGCGCGAACCGTAGTTCCCAAATTGGTCGGGCAGAAGGTCAAGTAGCCCAGACGCTCATCTCTGCCAAACGGAACCTTGGCTTCGATGGCTTTGACTCCTCGAATCAGACGGTCCAACACCTTGCCCACATCGCTTCCTTCTTGCATGGAGATCAAGCGCAGATGGTCCTCTTCATTCACCCAAACCAGGAACGTCTTGTCATTGTTGTGGAAGATGCCACGTCCTTTGGGCCAGAAGTTGCAGGCGTTGGCGTGCTGGAGATGGCGATCGCCTTCTTTGAACTAAAAAAATGATGACTTTTAGAGAAAACCCTCTTAAAAAATAGCAATTTCTTACTGTAACTGATACTCCAGGCTACTTACAAGCCCTCTAAATTTCAGTAGCTATTGTAATCTTCTTTTTATTCCCAAAAAATTCAAATTTCCTTGGAAAAAATCAACTTTTCCGCCTAAACTCATCCAATTTTGACTAAATTAATACAATTCTTCTCCTTTGCTCCCCCAACTCACCAAGAAATGGTCCTTGATCAGCTGATTCTGAGTCTCCTTGCTCATGCCGGTCAACGGATAGTACGTTCCCTTCAATTCCTTGTCCGAAACACTATCAAAAACGGCCTTGACCTTCTTCTCCATGGCCTCGTAATCCTCGGCCTTCAGCAGCGGATTGAACGGATAGCCTTGGAAGGAGCGGCCACAGCGGATTCTCGTCGACTTGATGTACTTTCCTTTGGGGTCCAATGGGGGGAAGTTCTTGGTCTTGCCTTCGCCCAGGTCGACGGGAGGTTGCTTCTGCTTGGGGCCGAATCCATGGTAATCCTCGATAATCTTGTCGAAGAGCGGGCCGAAGGTCTGGAAATGAATCATGAGAGGAGCAGAGGCCTTTTAGCATAGATCAAGTGCGGTTAGAAGCTAAGATCGGCGTAAAGCTTGCTGAAATTTCAATTATATTATACTAGGTCATCAAGTGTAATATAAGGTGGCTAAGCTAAAATTTAGGTCTAAAAAAAAGTCTATCGAGATGCCAATGGCACCTAAAATCGGTCTAAAAATTCTTCGAATCAAAATATTGAATTTAACAATCGACATATCAGTTATATTACACTTGATGACCTAGTACAATATAACGTCAAGCAAGCGCAAACTAATGTCTCTTATATCTTCAAAAAGATATAAATGACCCTCTAATACCCTGTTGACACTATTGAAATCATAAAAACGACCAACAACATCAAAAATCACCATCAAATTACCTTACTTTACCTACCGTAAGCTCATAAAATTCGTCATCCCCTCACAAAATAAAATTTTTTTTTTATATCCCCTTTTACCTTGTAGGACTCGGCGTCCGGAGCGTAGACTCCCACACCAGCATCCAAATTGTAGACTCCGGATCGGATGACGTCATACAAAGTGGCGCCCAGCTTGGTCTTTCTGCATTTGCACTGCTCCAAGACGTCCTTGGTGAAATGTTTCTTCAGCAACGACTTGCATTTGGCTCCTTCGGGTCCATTCAGCTTGGCATAGGCTTCCTCGATCTTCTTGACCGTCGCCGGGTCCACAGCGCACTTTGCGGACGCGGAGCTGCTCTTCTCTTTTTCCTTTTTCTTCATTTCGGCCTAAAATTCGCGGGTTTTCGATGATAAAATGGAAAAACTAGAGATTACAGTAACCCTGTGGGCAGTGTAATGCTATCTAAGTGCTTTTCAAAACTTCAAAAATGTTTTTTGTTCCAGATATCACTATTTTTGGGCTATGACGTCATTTTTGAGCAAATTGAAATTTCAGCTACAGTATGCCAAAAGAAGAGTAATCGGTGATAGGCAGTAAAAATTATGGGCATTTCTGTCATAGCAAGTCAAAAAATTTTAAAATTTGACATGTCAAAACGGCTAAAATACGATTTTTTTTGTAGAGGATGACAATATAATACATGGCTACCGTAACCCAAGAGCGATGGAAAAAAGCGTGTAAGGTAAAAAATACAACATTTCAGAGCATACTCTTTAATTTGGCAAGCTCTTTGGGTTCTAAAAAGACAAGATTCATCTGCAAGAACTCCTTTTATATTAACCATGGATAACATAATAAGGTCTCAAAAGATGGCCCAAGCTTAATTTCAGCCCATCTTCAGCACAAAATAGGACAAAATAAGCCCTAGCCTATTACTTAGATCCCACAAAAACTTCAATAACACCCAGAACCATCAAAAACATCAAGTTTCCCAAGCAAATCGTAAAAATCCCCCACTTACTCCCTGGTTGAACGTGTAGACGAGGCCAGCACCGCCGGCCGACGCTCCGAGCAGCTTCAGCAAGGCGGAGTTCTGTGCGAAGAAGGTGGTTCTCGCCATGATTCGGACCGACCGCACGCGACAAATCCAAAACGGACAAATAAGACCAATTTATGGGGATGGGAGGACTTTTATACGGAAATTTGCATAAATTTCATTTTTTTCATAATGATTTCAAAATGAGACTTAATTTTCTCAAGCAAATTTTTGATTTTTTCAAAAAAATTTTTAATTTTTTTTGGAAATGCTGACAAAAAATTGAATTTTTATGACATAATTTTGATGTGTAGAACACGGTAAAAAAATTAAAATATCATTTTGCACGTTTTTATAATCCACAAAAAACGTATTTTCCAGCGATTTCATCGAATTCTTGATCTTTAAACGGCGGAAAAATTATTAAATCTTCCTGGATCTGTTTATGCCCTAAGGCAAGGATGTTTCAAATCGTCCCACGGGCTCTTTTCTAATATGAAGATCGTATTCTGGTCTATTTTTATTCAAATAGCTTGCCTTTTTTGGCAAATCAAAGGACAAATTGAATGTGGAAGGCCCGGAGGGGATTTTAACCGGACCAGATTGTAAGTTTTGAAGGGTAAAGTAAATTTTTTATAGTTTATTGATTTTTCAATGAAACTAATGTAATTTGGAACCTTTTTCAGAATCCTACAGGAAGCAGAATGCGTCAGAAAATAGTAAGTCGAAAAATTCGAAAATTTCAAAAATCATAAAATGACGTCATCCGATTAGCTTGATATTTTGAACCAATAATGAATCTAACAAGGGCTCGGCAAAACCTTGTCCCCTGGTTTTTTCTTAAAACATATACGATTTGAAAGAGCGTAAAAAACTGGTCTAGAAGCGACTTTTATTAGCTGCTATTATTCACTTACGCGCTGGCTAGCGAGCATTTTTTAGTTCTAGGCTAGTCTCACCCTTCTTTTGAGAAAACAAACGCGATCGGTTTCAAAAGCAAAACGAAGCAGTGCTTCGGTGGCCTAGTGGGGAAAGGCGCTGCTCAAAAGGACCTGCGAAGCGGGTTCGAATCCTCTTTTGGATTTTTTTATTTTTCTGGCTAGTATGGAACAAATAGAGTCAGAAAGTTGTGTTCAATTTTTGACTAGACTTTTGTGTATACTCAGGTCCATTTTAAAAGAAAAAAACTACAACTTTTTCGTTTTTTTTAGTTTGGCATCTTTGACCTTGTAGTGGGGCATCCCGGTTGGTTGAAACTTTCGAAGGCTTTCATATTTTTACTAGAAATGCCCGCTAACGGAATGTACGTAAAAATTGAGACTGAAAACATCTTACATGTTTGGAACATCTTCCTTTGTCTTGAGTTACAGGACCTAAAACATCGCGCAATCACTCATTGAGTGCATCAACCTGAATGTTTCAAACTCAGAAAACCTCTTGTATTTTTTTGACATAGTTTGAAGCGTTCAACCTCATAAATGACTAATATTTATATGAAAAGTGATTATTCGATCCCGTTTGCCCCTCAGAAGCAAAGAGTTCCAAAATCCAATTTGGAAATTTTAAAAAATGCCCGCTAGCCAGCCCGTAGGTGGATAATAGCAGCTAATTCAAGGTGATCCTAGACCAGTTTTTTACGCTCTTTCGAATGGTATATGTTTCAAGATAAAACCAGGGGACGAGGTTTTGCCGAGCCCTTGTAAGACACTTTTCAATTCCTGAAAATTTCATCTCGCGTTTTGCAATGGAATTCAAGATATTCAACGATCTTTTCCGGCTAGAGAACACTGAAAATGAGGAGAGCGGTCAGAGAGAAAAATTTGCTTCTTACGTTTGCAAAATTAGCTTGGAAAAAAGTAATTCCCTTGTAGAAAAGCAGTTATTTTTCTTTAAACCGGAGTCAATTTTTTGTTTATCTCGAATTTTTGTTTTGGTATGAGATTTCTAATCTGACCGTAAAGTACCCTAAATTCAGCGCTCAGATTTTGATAAAACTGGGCACAAGTTGAGAGAAATGTTTTGGAAGGTGTATACGAGACTCCTAGCTCCTGCTTTACAGACACAACCGAGGTTTTTTTGGTCGAAGATTGGCAAAAAATAACAGTTTTTAGCGAATTTTGGCACATAAAGTTTCATACGTATTTCTACCGAAGAAGGCATTTTTTCTACAAAAAATAATTTTTTTTCTGCGTAAAACTGGCAAAGATACGACCAAAAGGAATTTTCTCTCTGACCGCTCTCCGCGTTTCGCGTACTCTCTCGGCGACAAAGGATGACTCAATATCTCGATGGCGCTTGCAAAGCGCAAGTTAAAACTTTCAGCAATTAGTATGTGGCCTATGCCTGAAGCGTGTGAAAATTTAAAGAAAATCTGAGCGTTTCACTTGGGTGCTTCCCTAATGAGTTTCTGCTTATTTTACCTTGACTTATTGTATACAATTTTAGCACTCCACAACAATGTTGGGTCTACGGAGTGAAGCCGCAAATCATGCGGGCGAATGCGCTGATCACTTTCAAATTACGTAAGCTTCTCTTCAAATCTCGACATTTTCTTTTCTATACAGCAAAAATCTTTGGTTTTCATACATATATACATATGGTTTCTTTTGTCTAGAGCTGACTTTTGGGACCGCTGAAATTGTTTGTTATAGACAGTCTTTGCTCTATGGCAGTCTTTGTGCAGAGGTTTCATTGTAATTGGGGTTTTTAACAAGGACTTTTTTTGTCACTGTGAGACTTTCTTTATATGTATACATATATGTATATCTGTGCATACATATATGTATATCTCCCCTATTATCCCCATGCCTTTCAGTTCCAAACCTAGTCTCCCCTTTCACTGGATGCATCGTGGAGAAGATGAGCCAAATGAAGCCGGACTTCTTGATGAATTTCAATTACACTTCGCTGGACGTGCACAAGGACAATTGCATCACAAAGGCTCAAGCTTGTCAGTAAGTTCTTGAATTTTTGTTTAAAAAATGATGACTTTATTATTATATTATAATAACAGGGGATACTCTAAGTGTAGCGTTCTGATTTTGATAGAACTTGGTTCAAATTTAGGGTAATTTTTTTGAAGACATATACGAGACTACTAGCTTGCCCTTTTCAGAAACGACCGAGGTTTTTTACTCAAAACGTTTAAAAATTTTTACATTTTTTTGCAAATTCTGGCATGAAAAGTTTCATAGCTATTTCTACCGTACAGACGAATATTTCCACAAAAAATCAATTTTTTCCGCGCGAAACTAGCAAAGTTATTGCCAAAAAAGTGTTTTTTCTCTGACCGCCCTCCTCATTTCGCACTCTCGGCCAAAAAGATTGTTCAATATCTCGGCTGCACCTGCAAAGAGCGAGTTAAAACTTTCAGTAATTTATGTGTTTCCTATTCCAGAAATATGTGCAAAGTTTATCGAAAATCTGAGCGTCGCAATTAAAGCCTTCATTTTATCTCAAAATTTGATGATTTTATTCAAAAAACAACAAAATTTCATCGATTACTCTTCCAATTTTGCTTTATTCCATTTGCTGTCGTCGGTTTTTGCCACCATCAACACCCACGCCTTCCCCGAGTACAGGATCATGCAGAGGTTGGGGTTCTGTAGTCGGGCGTTGGCCGCGTGTCCCCAGCCCCCTCCCAGGATCTGAATGAACGACGCCTCGGAGCGGGCGTATTGCGACGCGAAAATGTTCCATTGTCCTCTTCGATACAAGCGCAGAGCATCCTGCACACGTTCGTAGACCTCGACAATCGAATTCGATTGGCGCATTATGTCGGTGCTTATCGCGTAGAGGTCTTCGTCGCCGCAGTGCCATTCTGAAAGGATATATAGAGCTGGGAGAATTCGTCGATGTTTTAAATATTAAAAAATAGCGCCCGTTTACAGTGGCGGACCTGATGCAGTGGCAAAAAACGTGATATTTTGCATCCGGGAAGTATCAAAAATGTGGCAAAATGCCTCCCTCTAGAAGTGGAAAAAGCACCGTTTTTAAAAGCGCATCCGTTTTTACTGTGACGGACCTGATGCAGTGGCAAAAAACGTGATATTTTGCATCCGGGAAGTATCAAAAATGTGGCAAAATACCTCCCTCTCCAAGTGAAAAAACAAAAACTTCGTTTTGAAGGGCTTCACAAAAAGAGCGGATGCGCTTTTGAAATCGGAGTTTTTTCACTTGGAGAGGGAGGTATTTTACACATTTTTTTGATACTTCCAGGGTACAAAATGGCACATTTTTTGCCACTGGATCAAGTACCCCCGCTGTTTTTGGAAAAACCTCATTTTCGTCAAAAACAGGTCAAATTCTGAAGAAAATTGCTCAGTCGTGTCTCACACACTGCTTCATAAGCCATAACCGTTCTTTAAAATGCTGTTTTAGCAACCATTAACTATAGTATTTAACTTGAAACGACACTTTTGACCAAAAAATCAGTAAAAAATGGGAATTTCCCGTCTCTAACCTAAATTTTCAAATTGAAAATCCAATCGAAACCCATATCCTTATTGCGTAACTGACAAGGAAGGTACCCCAAGTGCGACGCTCAGTTTTTTAAAAATTTTGCATTCAAGTCGAGCATAGGCCAAACATCAATTCCTGAAAGTTTTAGCTCGCTGATTGGACGGGCCACTGAGAGATTGAACAATCTTGCTGAGAGAGTACGCGAAATGCGGAGAGCGGTCAGAGAGGAAACTCTTTTTGACCGTATCTTTGCCAGTTTCGCGCGGAAAAAAATGATTTTTTGTGGAAACATTACCCTCTACGGTAGAAATAGGTACGAAACTTTTTGTTCCGAAATTCGCAGAAAATTTTCACATTCTTCCAACTTTTCGGTCTAAAAATCTCGGCCGTTTCTGCAAAGCGCGAGCCAGAATTCTGGCATATTGTTCAGTAAAAATTATTCTAAATTTGTGCCAAGTTTCATCAAAATCTGAGCGTCGCACTTGGGGTACTTCCCCTGTGAAAAGCAAGTGTCTCTTGCTGAAAAAATAATTTGATTCCTCACTTGTAGGTACCCCAATTTTTCAAGAATCTAAAGTTTTAAAAAGTAAAAAAATTTTTTGCCGACATTTAAAACCTCATAATTTTTTCACTTGCTTACCTCTGAACCTAGAGATTTCATTCGAGCCAACAAGCACAATTAGAGCGACACAGACAATGGCTTTCATAATTAAGCCAAAGTTTTGTCATCTTTTCACACCTCCGAACAAGTGGGTCATGATAAGAAGGCTATAAAACTTCGGAACTAAAACAATCTGTTTTTTTCACTTTGATTTGTGAAAGGAGTGGCTAACAAGGGAAGTCACTTAAGTCACGGATCGATTTTGTAAAACGACTGTTACAGCGATGGGGAGGGTAGGAAGGAGATATCAAATCTGAAAACCGTTACCTCCACCGGCCTTTGGGAGCCGAGATAATCGACCAAAAAGTTTGCCCAAATTCCTCCGAACATTTCTTCCTTTCGAAAGAAGAAAAGCCAGCGAACCGAATGGTCCGGTGGTCTGGAAGCGCGCTTCCGGGCCTTCACCTTTTCAGGTTCGAATCCGCGCGGGTCTCGAGCTTGCGAAAATTTTATAAAACAATTGCTGTAATCCAGTAAGTTTTCTAGCAATTTATTTTTATATTTTATGTCTATTTTACGGTAAATTTTCAACCTTGAAAATCCAAATCGTTTGGAACTCGCATTCAAATTATTACTCTGAAATTTTATTGTCAAATATGCTAAAAACCAAAAATTTTATCGTACCAGTAAATTTACTGGATTACAGGAAAAGTTCAATAAATATTTGACCCATGCGGATTCGAACCTGAAAAGGTCAAGGCCCGGAAGCGCGCTTCCAGACCACCGGACCATTCGGTTCTCTTCCCTCCTTCTTTCGGAACAGAGGACTATTCGCAGCAACTTTTTTTGGTTAAACCTTTTTGGTCGATTATCTCGGCTCCCAGAAGCCGGTGGAGGTAGCGGTTTTCAGATTTGATATCTCCGTCTTACCCTCCCCATCGCTGTAACAGTCGTTTTTAAAAATCGATCCGTGACTTAAGTGACTTCCCTTGTAAGGGTCAAAACGCAAAAAAAATGAGAGTTAAAAATCTGCATGATTTTTTCACAAGGAAAGTACTTCTATGGGGTATGGAGTTACAGGTCGAGACATATACTAGTCGCGGCAAAAAGTCTTTGGAATTTTCTGCGACTCTGCACGGTGCATGAACCCGAAAAGTGCTTTTGCACCGTGCGAATTCGTTGATTTTGCCTTATTGTCGCGCGCGATTCCCATTTTTCTCAGCGACAAATTGACATTTCGGGGTGCGGCGGGATTTGGGGGCCGCGAAAAATTCTAAGGACTTTTTGCCGCGACTAGTATCAAAAGAATTGCAATTTTTTTCTGATTCAGAATATGTAAAAATTAGCTGCCAAATTTTGGTTTGTAAGGGCGAAAAAACCCTCAAACTTTTCTCGCAACACCACGCAAATGCCCCTTTTTTATATTGGCAGTGCTATATAAATAAGGGGCTATAAGGTGTAGTATTAATCAAATTCGATATTGTAAGGCTTGTCAAGACGCCAGGGTTTACTTTAGCTTAAAACAAAGGTTTTGAATTGGTAAAAACTTGGTCAAAAAGTCATTTGCGTGGTGTTGCGAGAAAAGTTCCGATGGTTTTTTCACCCTTAAAAACCAAAATCGGGCAGCTAATTTTTACATATTCTGAATCAGCAAAATTTTACGATTTTTTTGATATATGTATCGACCTGCAACTCCATACCTCATAAAAGTACTTTCCGTGACAAAAAAATTTTTTTTTGGATATTCGAAATTTTAAAAATTCTCTTTTTTTTCAGTTTTCTCAAAGACTATCTCGTTCCCATGACATGTCTGATCCGAAGAGACTGCAATAAAGTTCTCTCCGACGCCTTATACGCCTTCCAATATGGGGATTTAATGCTGGCTGTGGAAACCACCAAGACCCTCAAGTAAGTCATCGTTACAAACACTGCTGATCAGTCAAGTTCTCGAACTGTGAGGTTCAGATTTCGATGGAACTTGGCGCAAAATTTATGTAAAAGTTTTCCATGACATATGTGAGATTCTTAGCTTTTTGATTTGCAGAAACGACAGAGATTTTTTTGGATCTAAAGCTGGGGAAAAATCGAAAAATTTTTTAGCGAGTTGAAAATGTAGAAAATTGGCATTTCATCTCATAAAATATTTACATAAAAAATCAATTTTTTTCCGCGCGAAATTGACAGAAAATAGACAAAAAATATTTTTTTCTCTGATCACTCTCCTCATTTTCCGTACTCTCTCGAAAAAAAATTGTTGAATATCTCGGCTTTCCAAGTATAGTTTTGAGATAAACTTTAAACTTTTTATGGATCCAAACGTGGCCTAGGAAGATTATTCTTACATAATTTGAAAAAAAATGCGAGGCTAAATTTGATGAGGTACCAAAATGCAAAAAAATTTTTAACGAATTTAAAGGCAAAAAATAAGGCATTCCATTCCGTATGAGCCATAAAATACTTTCTCAAAAAATCAATATTTTCCGTTTGAAATTCGCGAAGATATGGGCTAAAAACGGGTTTTTTCTCTGGCCACTCTCCGCATTTTCCGTACTCTCTCGAACAAAAGATTCATTAATATCTCGGCTCTCGTTGCAAAGCATGAGCTGAAATTTTCAGACCTTGAGACGTCATGCAAACAAAATATCTTAAAGAAATTTGAGGGAGCTTCTACAGTACCTCATTCAGAAAATCGCATTCGAAAAAAATTAAAATTTATTTTTAAAAATACCCCTTATTTTTGAATTTTTAGATGTTACAACTCCACTCAATTTGACATCCAATCCAATTTCTTCAACCTCTTCACCCTGGCCAACGGCCTCAACGTTGTTCCGCCCGCCCTTTGTTCCGGGATTGAGCTTCCCATAGACGCGGATGAGGAGGAAGACCCCGAAGAAATGGAGGATTACGCGGATGATCGAAGAAAAAAGGGCAAGAAAAAAGAGAAACCAGAGTGAATTAATTCACAGGAGAAGTGTCTGCAGTGCGACGCTCAGATTTCGATAAAACTTAGGGCAAATTTACAGTAATCTTTTTTAAGACATATGCGAGTTTTTTAGCTCGCGTTTTGCAGAAACAACCGAGATTTTTAGGTCGAAAAATGTGAAATTTTTTGATTTTTTTGCTTTTTTTGGCATGAAAAGTTTCGTATTAATTTCTACCGTAGAGGGTAATCTTTCCACAAAAAATCAATTTTTTCCGCACGAAACTGGCAAAGGTACGGCCAAAAAGAGTTTTCTCTCTGACCGCTCTCCTCATTTCGCATACTCTCTCGGCCACAAAGATCGTTCAATATCTCGGCTGCGCCTGCAAAGCAAGACCTAAAATTTCCAGGAATTCCTCATTGGAAGCTCACCGATACGTGTGCAAAATTTAAAGAAAATCTGAGCGTCGGATTTGGCACACTTTTCTTGTGGGCTAAAAATAAAATTTGTTGAAAATTGTTTGAATGTTTCGAAAAAAATTTTGCAAAATACAGAAAAATAGGAAAATCAGGAAAATTTTTGCACTTGTCCCTTGGTATTTGTTGCGGAGAATCTCTTTTTCATTTTAAAAATTCAAAAATTTTCTAAAAATTCAAAAATTTTTTTTTAATTTCGAAATTTTCGCTGAAAAAATCGCTATGATAAACAAATCTTTTACCAAATACACATCTCAAGCTCCCTGTCCTCTATTCTCCCAGCTTTATCCATTATTATATCAAAAAAATCGATGAGAAACAAGCAATTGTCAAGTCGAACATCGGCTAATCAAGTGTACTATAAAAAAACCACTTCCAATCTTCATCCAGGAAGGTTAATTTATTTCTACAGCAAAATAATAACTTACAATTCTCTAATAAATGTTTTGAAAAGAAAACAAGACGGCATTATTGAACAGGAATAACAAGACACAGTACAATTTAGAATTTACAAAAAAATTTCCGTTATAATTAAGCGACTTTTTGGGTGATAAACAATACAATTCGATGGGATAGGACGTGGAGACCCGTAAACAGAAAAAAAAGAAAAATTGGAATTAAGCGATTTCATAGGTTAAAGCAGATAACTAAAGATCGGAGATATTGTTGCAAGCGGCGTCTCAAATATGCTGGCTGAGCTCGGCTTCTCGCTGCAGGGTCTTGGTTAGGTTGCTGCGGTTGACTGAAATGCTTATATTAGTCTTGAAAAGGCAAAAAATAAGAATTTTTCAAATAATAAAAAATTTTCAAGGAAAGTACTTCCACAGGGTATGGAGTTACTGGTCGAGACATATATCAAAAAAATCGCAAAATTTTGCTGATTCAGAATATATAAAAATTAGCTGCCCAATTTTGGTTTGTAACGGCGAAAAAACCTCACAACTTTTCTCGCAACACCACGCAAATGCCCCTTTTTGACCAAGTTTTTTCCAAATCATAAGGTTTGTTTTGATCTAAAGTAAACTCTAATATCTTGACAAGCCTTAAAACATCAAATTTGATGAATGCTACGCTTTTTAAGAACTACTAATTAAGGTGTAGTATTAATCAAGTTTGATATTTTAAGGCTTGTCAAGATGTCAGGGTTTACTTTAGCTCAAAACAAAGCTTTTGAATTGGTAAAAACTTTGTCAAAAAGCCATTTTCCTGGTGTTGCGAGAAAAGTTCTGAGGTTTTTTCACTTTTACAAACAAAAATTGGGCAGCTAATTTTTACATATTCTGAATCAGAAAAATTTTGCGATTTTTTTGATATACGTCTCAACTTGTAACTCGATACCCCATAAAAGTACTTTTCCTGGAAAATTTTTACCTAAAATAATATTACAGCTTTTCAAAACCACCCTAAAATTCTTCTAAATCCCTTTGAAATCCACATTTACTACCTAATCTCTAACTTCCCAGCCCTTCCCTACTTCACTCACCAAAAAAAACTCAAATTATTACCTAAAATAATATCCAAATTGCATAAAAATCTTTCCAAATCCCACTGAATCCCCTTCAAATCCCCTCTACCATCCTTAAATTTCCTTTTCCCTCATTTCCAACCTTCAACCGTCCCTTACCCTTGAACTGAGACATCACTTCCGAGGTCTTCTTCATATTCTCTTCCAACTTTGAGAACTTGTCCGTAAACTCCTTCACATCATAATCCACGGACCTAGCATAGTCCGCAGCCTCTACACACTCTGAGTAAAGGCTGTGCATTGTTTCGATTTGTACATCCAGCCATCCAATCGCGTCTCCTTCCGCATTTTCCAGGTCTTGTGCCGCTTGCTGATAGGCCTTGTAGGCCTTGCTCTTGGCCTTGACGGAGGTTCTTGGGATGGGTTCTGATGGGACCGGTTCCTCCTCTTCTTGGGGGGAGATGTCTTCTTCGCTGAGATATTCCACGTCGTCGTCGTTTCCGCCGTCCGAGGCCAGCTCTTTGGCTCGATTCGCATATCTGAAGGGAAAGGTTAAATTCAGAACAATTGTCAAGAAAATTGCAGTAATCTATACGCCTAATAAACCCATAACCCTGCAAAATTTCAAGATAAAATCCCAAAAAAATCACAAATTTTCTCAAATTTTTAGACCTTTTTGGACCATGAAAGTTTTTTTGACAACAAAAGTACTTCTATGGGGTATGGAGTTACAGGTCGAGCCATATATCAAAAAAATCGTAAAAATTTTCTGATTCATAATATGTAAAAATTGGATGCCCAATTTTGGTTTGTAAGGGCGAAAACCCCGTCCGAACTTTTCTCGTAACACAACGCAAATGCCTTTTTGACCAAGTTTTTACCAAATCAAAAGTTTTGTTTTGAGCTAAAACTTTTGATTTGGTAAAAACGTGATCAAAAAGACATTTTTTCGTGGTGTTGCGAGAAAAGTTCAGAGGGGTTTTTCGCCCTTACAAACCAAAATTGGGCATCCAATTTTTGCATATTCTGAATCAGAAAATCTTTGCGATTTTTTTTGATATATGTCTCGGCCTGTAACTCCATACCCCAGAGAAGTACTTTTCTTGCTAAAAAACTTTTCATGGTCCAAAACGATATAAAAAATCGAGAAAAATTTCGTTCTAAACCAGAAAAATTTTTCGAATTTTTTGATATATCTCTCGGCCGTAACTCCATACCCCATAGAAGTTCTTTCCTTGTAAATCCTCTGCAAAGCATTTCAACCCCTTTCCTACCCTTCCAAACCTCAAAACCCACATAAAATTTCACCTTTTTCCAACACCTACCTCAATGTGTTCAACGAATTTTCCGCGGATCCCAAGCTCGGCGAAATCGTCGCAATCATGCAAGTCTTAGCATTCTTTCCAATAAATGAGTCCCTGAGTACCAATGTCAACTTGGATCCCCTGAACGGGACGTATTCCTTCATCATTCCCATGGCTCGGATGCATTCCTTCAAGGACAACAGACTTTTGTTGATTTCTCCGCCCTCCATTCTGGTCTGATTGTTGGAGGCTTTGGTGTCGGCGCCTCGCTCATTTCCGGCCAAATCGATCAAACTGAACTTTCCGTGGATCGAGTCGTCTCTTCGCTTCAAAATAATTTGGAAAATGGCATGGGATCTGGACGAATTGTTGTTGGCGCTGGTCTGGCCGGCGGTTCTTTGGCTCGAGCCCTCTCGGATCAGCTTCAGTACATCCTCGGCGTTGTGGACCGTGAATTCCTTTAGGCCGACAATCTGAAAACAGGCCAAAATACTCAAAAATTCACAATTAATCATCAATTTTCCAACTTTTTGCGCTAAAATCAAGTAAAATCTTTAATAAATACTTAACCCACCTACAAACGGCTTTAAAAATCGTTTGAATTCATTACCAATGATTATCAGACAATTTCAAAACCAAAAGTCCTTCAAATTCGAAAAAAATCACTTCGACTTTTTCATCTAAAACAAGGTCCAAGATAAAATTTTAAGTCTCAAAACATCTCCAAATCCTTTCTACAACCTTCTACACTCCCCTATCACCTTGATTAGCAAACACACCGGCAAAACCAACTTCTATTTCCAAAGAAAATCAAGTTTTGGCCTAAAATAAGGTCTATTCTCCAAAAAAAATTTCAAAAAACCTCTTAAACCCTCTCAAAACCTCTTTTCCTACCTGAACAGATCTCTTATTGTCCTCCAAAATCCTCAGCGACGCCTTCTTGTTCAATAAATCGTACGCTTTTGATCCATAAAGTTCAAAGAAGGAGCAGTCTACATGAAGGTCCAGATCTCTAAACTCCGGCTTCTTCATGAACGCGAACACATCCGTCGCGGCCAGAGCATATATTCCCTTGGCACAATCTTGACTTTTCCCTTCAAAATCTCCGCCCATGGTGTGCGTTTTGCCACTTCCAGTCTGTCCGTAGGCGAAACAAGTCGCGAATCCCTGCTGAAAGATGGTTTTCACCAGCGGTTGAGCCGTAAATCTGTAGACCATAGTGTTGTCTGCAGTGTCATCGAAGGCATAGTCGAAGCGGAACTTCTGATTCTCCAAATATTTGGTCAAATCGACCTTCATTTGGGGTTGATGGACAATGATCGTGTCCTTGGTCGGGATGGTGATAACTTCAATCTCTTTTTTGCCCACTTCCTTCTTGGACATTGGGCGTTTCCGGACGCACACGCAGATCCGGTTATCCACCACCGGATCGCCCATTCTCAGCGGTCTAAAGTCGATGTTGGCTCTGTAGTCGCGGATCATTTTTTGGAACTCCCAATTCGGATTTCCAGGGTCCAAATTTTTCAGATTGTCCCGCTGTCGACGAGCGTCCTCCTAAAATCACCTTATTATACAACAATAACGGAAAAATTCAATCAAAATCTCTGGATCTCAAAAAAAAAATTATCAAGTATAACGTCCATTTTTTCACAAGGAAAGTGCTTCTATGGGGTATGGAGTTACAGGTCGAGACATATGTCAAAAAAATCGTAAAATTTTGCTGATTCAAAATATGCAAAAATTAGCTGCCCAATTTTGGTTTGTGAGGGCAAAAAAAACCCTCAGAACTTTTCTCGCAACACCACGCAAATGACTTTTTGCCCAAGTTTTTACCAATTCCAAGGTTTTGTTTTTGAGCTAAAGCAAACCCTGGTACCTTGGCAAGCCTTAAAATATCAAATTTCACAAGGAAAGTACTTTTATGGGGGCTCCTACTTTTTGACGGGACATATCTCAAAAAATCAGAAAAAATGTGCTGATCAAGGATATATAAATCCTAGCTGCCCATTTTAGGTTTTTAGGGGTGAAAACTCAATCTAAAGTTGACTTAAAGTCCTATATGAATCCCTTTTCGCCTAATTTTTCACGGGTTTACAATTTTTATTTTGGCTTAAAATGATGTTTATTGAGTTTCTAAGACGTAATAAGACAGTCTTGGCCCAAAAATTTATTTTTCCGACCTTCAACTTCAAAAAAGTTGATTCAGCCCAAAAGGGAAATCGAACCCGTGCGGCGTCCTCTCTCTTGATTCCCAGACTACGGCACTAACCACTCGGCCACACCGCTCTCTTCAGAAGGAAGAGACCGACTGCGCTTTTTATCGTTTCGAATGCATGCGCCTTTTGTAGCGAAATTGAGCCAGTTTTTGGGCATTTTCACCAATAAAAGCCCAAAATGGGCAACTAAGACTTATATATCATTGATCAGCACATTTATTCTGATTTTTTGAGGTATGTCCCGTCAAAAAGTAGGAGCCCCCATAAAGGTACTTTCCTTGTGATAAATACTACACCTTAATTAATAGTTCTTCAAAAGCGTAGTATTCATCAAAATCGATGTTTTAAGGCTTCTCAAGATATTAGGGCTTCTTTAGCTCAAAACAAACCTTGTGATTTGGTAAAAACTTGGTCAAAAAGGCATTTGCGTGGTGTTGCGAGAAAAGTCTTGATGGTTTTTTCGCCTTTACAAACCAGAATATGGGCAGGTAATTTTTACATATTCTGAATCAGCAAAATTTTGCGATTTTTTTGACATATATCTCGGCCTGTAACTCCATACCCCATAGAAACACTTTCCTTGTGAAAAAACGGATGTTATACTTGATATTCCGTACCCATAGAAGCACTTTCCCTGTCAAGTATAATACCCATTAAAAATAAATCCCACCTGTTGCTGTCTTCGTTCATTCCGATTCTTCTGGAGTTCTTCAACTTGCTTGACAACCTCCGACTTTGTTGGTGGAAGCAACGACATCCTTATCGGAGGCTTTTCTTCTTCGAAGAATTTCTTTTCCTCTTCGACTGGTGTTCGTTTCGGCAATTCGACCATTGATTGGCGATTTTTCACTGAAATCAGGGGAATAATTAGTCTTCCAAGAGTGTTCTCTTTAATTTGGGGATCGAAATAATTCCCAAAATTCAAAAAATTGGGGACAAACAGACAAAAAAATCTAAAACAAGGTCCAGCCCCAAAAACCGATCAAAAAACTATTGAAAATTGAAAAAATTTTACGACCTGGTATCCTAAGCTATTCATAAGACCACAGTGATACTTTTGAACATAAAATTCCAAAGAAATTCCCCAGACTTTCCAATAAATTCAATAAATTTCATCTGATGTCAAGTACAACATCCGAAATTTCGAAAAGTCCAAAAATAAAAGCTCAAAACTTTCTAATATGTTTTCACTTCCCTCAAAATGTCCTATCACTTCCAAATATTCATCTTTCGCACTTACAAGCTGTTCGCTCCTTCCTTTCCGGCACAGCTTTACTTCCGTTCTCGACCATAATCGTCTGTCTGTTCTTCTCCACCACTCTGTTCGTATTCGGAGGCCGCAACGCCGGCTTCTCCTCGGGGGTTTCGACAACCGGAGACGGACGAGATGGTTCCATCGTTCGGCGAGTGGTCTTCGGTTGCGCGTCGGGCAACTTGGCCTCACCGAGGAGGTCCGGATTGAATCGGAGTACTTGCGCCAATTCCATGGCTTTTCCCTTCGTTTCACCCTGAAAGAGGAACGGTTATTCAATGTGCAACATTTGAGCAATAATAACTAGAGTTTTTAGACGTTTTTAAAGGATAACCTTAGATGTCAAGAGATAGGGTAAAACAATATAAATTTTAGCAAGAAATCCGCCGAAGAAACGTCTACAACATAACCTTCCACCTCCCCTGGTCCACTAGCTTAATCAACAACCTCTCGGACATCTCTTTCTATCCACTCTAAAAACGAGACAATAAAAATTTCAAAGAACTTACGTTCTCAAACCATTCCACGTCTATCATCCGACTATCGGGCCTCACTCCGGCAATGATAGCTGAGTGCTGACGTCCATCCGACCTCAGGATCATAATCGACATTCCCACAGCCAGGCAATCCATGATCTCAACTACCCGTGAAGAACCCTGAAAAATAACAAAATTTATGAATCACCAAGTGTAACATCGTCAAAAATATAGTTTACAACGCGAATTGGTGGGAAAAGCGGTGCTTATCAACAAGAGTTCGACAAATACTGTCTTATTCATCAAGAAGTCAAACAATTTTGGGGCAAATATTAATTTAGTGCCTAAAACTAAATTTTTTCACCTACAACAACATAAATTGAGCTCTCAAGTGCGCGTATGCAGATAAAAATCAGCGAAAGCGGGGGCAAATTTCTCATTCTTCCTCATGCCGACTGTTCGACTACTTTTTACGAAATCCTTTTCTTACAATGGGTGCCAAAACGCTGTTTTTTGGCCCTGACTACCAAAAAAGGGCCAACCAATTCTTGGCCCGGCCATTTCGAAAGCACGAAGGGAATAATTTTAGCAAAGGAGGCGAAAGGAAAACCCAGCGGGAGGAAGGGAATTCGAAAAGGCCTCGAGCGACGCTCGAGAGAGGCGTTTTTCCGCCTCTACGATGAAGAAAATATTGGAGTAGGAGGTCAGTGCGAAAATAAATGAATCAAGAGACAAATTAATAACAAAGTTGAGGGAGATATATCCCGGAATGTCCGTAATTAGACTGCGACGCCGGCTAGAACAAGGAAAAACCTTCTTCCATCGAGCAGAGCGAGCGGAACGCCAAAAAATCCCTCCAAATGATTTTCGTGTCGGGGCCATTCTGACTCATCAGTGCGCTTGTGGGAATTTGATGGGAAATGGGAGAAATGAAGACCGAAGAGCTTAGAATTGGCTTAGAGTTGAGTCTTAAACCTTTTTACTAAATTTAGGCCCGATTCAGCGGCATAGACGCTTCTTTTAAAATAATTTGTTTGTATTACCATGGATAATATAATTTCATGGTCTAAAATGCGGATTTTAATGATGAAAAATGGTATGCTCTACGTGTAAACTCTCCTAATTTCTTTAGGTTTACATTAGACATCTATAAACATTGAAATTATAAGAGAAAATCTAGATTATACAGGGTGCGCCAAAAATATTGGGACAAAAATCAATTCCGTGTAGCTTTTTTCGGCTGGCCTTGGAATCAAAACTGTAATCATGGTTGAAAACCGATATGGAATGTTCCCACAGCGGCGCTGGTCGAAAAAACAAAAAAAAATCCCGAAAGTTCGGATTTTTATGTTAGTAAGGGGCGGCGCTTGTGTCTATAATGATATTATATAAGCGTTCCTTTTAGTAGTCTAGATAGATTTTTATGAGAGCAATAAATAAATATATATCTATAAGATCATGTCGGATTATTGAAAGTCTGAGCAACAAATCCTACCAGGCCAGATACGGGCCGTTGATCAATATACCGCAGCTAATCGCAACAAAATACTATGCGACACGATATATCACGACTCCAGCGTTCCCAAACTTCGCATCATGTAAAGAGGAAAGGATGCCGCAAACAGAAATGGAAGGGGCAGTAGAAGACTCGGAAGAAATGAGAGAGGAGGATCAACAACCATCGTCCTCAAAAAGATAAGTCATTTGTTTAAGCAGGGCATTTTTGAGAGCAAAGCATTTTTTCTCTTTCTCAAAAAGCAAGTAAATTCAAGAAAAAGAAAGGGCATAAAGGCATAGTTTCATAAAGGCACAGTTTCGGTGTTGTTTAAAGCAAGAATAAGGAAAAAAGGGCAAATCAGGCAAAATCCTGCTTCAAGAAAAATTATTATTGTTTTCATCCATCACTTATCGTCTTAATTATCTATGTACCAATTATTGTCTTTTTTTTTCAATCATTTATCGCATATTACCATTTATAGTCTTTTCCAAGCGCCGGCTACCCCAGGACATGGACCAATCGAACTGCCACCATCGCTACCTCGAACACGTGTACCGCACCAAACCTACGATCACCGACAACCCCCAGGAAATGAACAAATCCGATCACTACGACTATCCTGAATGAGTACCGCACCAGAGCCCAGTCCAGATTCCCGATAACCCCAGTAACTTCTTCTAAAATGGGGAGGAGTAAGGGGCGGCGCTTGTGTCTATAATGATATTATATAAGCGTTCCTTTTAGTAGTCTAGATAGATTTTTATGAGAGCAATAAATAAATATATATCTATAAGATCATGTCGGATTATTGATTAGGTAATTAGATAACCAGAAGTTTAGTTGTTTTTAACGATCTCAATACCACAGTATCGCCCGTGTTGCTCTAAAATTTTGTGGTTATAGAGTGTGTACATAGGGAATTGTCATACTGTAAAAGAAAATCTACACCTACAAGGGGACAGTTTCTGTATGGAAAAAACTTTGTGGTGCGGATTGGAGGCACGGTCCTTCGAAGCTTGATATATTTTGGCAGTTTACTACAAGGTGAAAAGTACTTGAGCGTAAAAATCGACGTAACGCTATACTCGGGATACATTCTGACACAACTGAATTACTTTTAGCGATCTTCAGTCCAAGCTCACTTGACGAGCAACCTTAGAGTAAATTCTACCGCTATAGTCACTATCTCATCCCCCAGAGGCAGAAGATAAAAAAATAATTTTTCAAAGACGACTAGTCAGACTCTCGTTGTCCTTATAAAAGTGTCTCTGATGCCTAATACGCTGGGAACCTTACATGGAAACTTCTACATAAAAATCTTTGATCTTACGGAAGTTTTCTGGAAAACGGCGCGTTTTTAGGTCGACTTTGACGGGCTGTAAAAGATGTAATCGTCATTATAAGTAAAAATCATTTTTAGTGTATAAAAAGCGACCGCTACTCTGTCATATAAAGTGAATTTCTGCCATAGCATGCAACGGTAAAACTAGTGTTTCCAATTTTTATCCATTTTGGGGTCCGTGCCTCAAGGGCCTTAGTTGTGAGCACTTATAATGGCAGATCAGGTGTCGTATACGACTACTCGGTCTGAAACTTTGAAGATAGATTCTTGGGAGCATTGCACGTTTGCACAAGCGACCACTTTGCTCTTGTACCATTACATCCCGCAGGGCAAGTAAAAATATGAGTCCCAATATTTTTGGCGCACCCTGTATTATCCATGCCACCATGAATAATATAACTGGAATAAGAGTTGAAAAGACGATAAAAAATCTAGAAATAAGGTACAGAATAGACGTAAGAAGGTCTGAATTTTCATTCGTGGCATAGCTCGTCTCCAAAAATTCAGAAATTTCAGCAAAAAATCGAATTTTATTGCCTAAACCACAATGTGTAATATAAGAATCCAATATTTTTCTGATTTCATCCCTGTTGCAAAGCCAACTTGCCTTCCGCACCATCAAACTTGACATGCCTGTTTTACAGCCCAATTTGGAGGACTGTTATTCACTTCCCACATCCCTTTACGAGCCTTTTGGAACAGCAAGAGCCCAAAAAATTTATTCAAACGAACTATGTGAAAGCCAAACAATAAGAACACACAGTCTTGGCGATGATGAAATTTGATTTCCGGCACGAGAAGGGGGGTTCTATTAAAAACTTTGAGGAGGATAAAAAAGAAAATGAGATTTGAAAAAACAGTTGAAAGCTGTCTAAAATAAGGTAAAAATCTCAGAGTTTGGTCAAGACCGATTTATTTTTTAATTAAGACTTTGAGTTTGTTCACAAAGAATCCATTGGACGCTTCTTTACTAGGATTACTGTACTTGATATTTTTCTTTTGAGTCCCGCCACGAAAACAAGTGAAGTGAGGGATTTTGATGAAACTTGGCCAAAATGAAGTTCACATAATTATAAGAGTTTTGTAAATGTTATATAGTATTTTCTGATAGGGCTGCTGAGATAATACACTTCAAAAAATTTTTTTTGGGTTTTACCACGAAAACATTTCAATTTGTATATTCTTTTCAAATCGATATTTTTTATTTTTACACTTCATTTTAGTCAATTTTATTACTATACAATCACAATCCACGATTTTTTCGCCATTTTCCATTTTTTTGGGTCCCACCACGAAAACATTTCAATTAGTAATCTCCTTTTCAAATCAATATTTCTTATGTTTACACTTAATTTTAATCAATTTTATTACTATCCAATCACAGCCCACGATATTTGTGCCATTTTTCATTTTTTGGGTCCCACCACGAAAACATTTCAATTTGTAATCTCTCTTTCAAATTAATATTTCGTATGTTTACAATTCATTTTAATCAATTTTATTACTATCCAATCACAGTCCACGATTTTTTTTGCCATTTTTCATTTTTTGGGTCCCACCACGAAAACATTTCAATTTGTAATCTCTCTTTCAAATTAATATTTCGTATGTTTACAATTCATTTTAATCAATTTTATTACTATCCAATCACAGTCCACGATTTTTTTTGCCATTTTTCATTTTTTGGGTCCCACCACGAAAACATTTCAATTTGTAATCTCTCTTTCAAATTAATATTTCGTATGTTTACAATTCATTTTAATCAATTTTATTACTATCCAATCACAGTCCACGATTTTTTCGCCATTTTCCACTCAAATTTGTGCAAATTCATCGACGGAATGCACAATTCCAGCGATGGACAAAATTCCCGTCTTTTCATCAGCGCTGTTTGTCTACAATTCTCAATTTCCATCGTCAAATTGCTCCCAAATTGTTGAAAATGATTGGAAATTTCGGGAAACTGGGCTTTTGATCTTCTTCGGAAGAAATTAAAGTCCAATTTTGAGGCCAAATCCCGCAAATCCATCGAATATTTAGCCGACTTCCATGGGAAAATGTCCGGTAACTGGCGGAGATGCAAAATCAGTCCATCGGAAATGCTGGCGTTGTAATGAATAAACCGATTTTTTGTCGGAAATCGGAAATGAATGTCGAAATTCTCGACGCGATCCGGAATGTAAATGTTCTTGCTGTACAGCGAACGCTCGAAAATACGATCTTCGAACTTGGCCGAGTATTTCAGAGGGTAGAAATGGAAATTTTCGGGGGTTGAGAGAGAGTTCCAGGAGTTCTGAAACATTAGTTTTTTAACTGATTTTTAGAATCTAACGCCCTCTAGAGAAGTACCTCAAGGCCATCAGAATTTCTTCAAATTTTATACGCATGCCGGGCATATGCCACGTATCAATCGCTGAAAATTTTAGCTTGGGATCTTTAAGGGTAGCCGAGATATTCAACGATCTTTGCGGCCGAGAGAATACGCGAAACGCGGAGACTGGTCAGAGAAAAACCCCCTTTTTGGCCGTATCTTTGCGCGTTTCGTGCGAAAAAAATTGATTTTTTGTGGAAGTATCAAGCTCTACGGTAGAAATAATTATGAAACTTTTCGAGTCATAATTCGGAAAAAAATGTCAGATTTTTGCCAAGTTTGGACTTAAAAATCTCGTTTGTTTCTGTAAAGCGCGAGCATGAGAGTTTCGCATATGCCTTTGAAAAAAGTTTCCCAAATTTGTGTCAAGTTTTGTGATGATTTGAACGTCTTTTTTGCCTCGCCGACTCTCCTGATTTTGCGCATTCTCTCGCAAAAACGTTTCTCGAATATCCCGGCTGAAGCTGAAGAAAGGCCAGAAAAGGGAGCTCAAATTTTCAGCGATCAATAAGCGACCTATTTAGAGCATGTATATAAAATTTCGAAAAAAAATCGTTGCTACATAAGTGGGGGACCTGATCCAGTGGCAAAAAACGTACCATTTTGCATCCGGGAAGTATCAAAAATGTGGCAAAATGCTTCCCTCTCCAAGTGAAAAAACTCCGATTTCAAAAGCGCGTACGCTCTTTTTGTGAGGCCCTTCAAAACGAATTTTTTTCACTTGGAGAGGGAGGCATTTTGCCACATTTTTGATACATCCCGGATGCAAAATGGCACGATTTTTGCCACTGGATCAGGTCCGTCACTGTGGTATAAAAAAATTTCAAAAATCTTACATCAATCCGGACCCTTTGACTTCTAAAATTGACGGACGCCATATTGGGATAAGTCCTTTCCAATCGCTCCAAGTAATCGATCAGATTTCCATTCGAATTCAAGTAAATGATCTCATCAATGTCCGTTTGGACCACAAATTTGGCCATTTTTCTCATCCGCTGCATACAATCGAAGATCGCTAGCTCCGGTTCCAGTCGATACAAATACAAATTTGGGTCGAAATCTTTGGGACTTTTTGATTTCGGGATTTTCGACCAGTCGATTAGCTGAATTTCAATACTTCTGGAAGTGTTTTTATAGTAATTTACAATGTTATAAACGTCCTGGCTCAGAGATTCGTAATAAATGTAGAATACGGTGGCTTGTTGTTGCAGCCAGTATTCGAAAACCATGACTAATAAGGGCCAGTTTGTGTAGAGGAATAACGGTTGGACACAGACGCCCAATTTGTGTTGTTTTGGACGCCTGATGGGCCTGATATCTCTGAAAACTTGATATTAAAGGTATGTTCAAGAATTGGCAGGTCCAAAAAATGTGATTTGTTATAAAAGGGTTTCGTTATACAAGGGTTTATTTTGCCCTAAAATTGACTTCTGCGATCTTTAAACTTGTTTTTTATACGCAGTTTTTGTCTTATTGGGACTCTTTGTAAAGTTGAACCACTTTTCCAAAAACCCCTGTAAAACGAAACCTCTCTATAACAAACAGTTTAAAATGTCTCAAGAGTTAATTTTAGGCCAAAATTGACCTCTATAGACCGTGATCCTTCTGTAACGAATACATTTTTGTCACTTATGATTTGTCGCATAGAGATTTAACTGTACCTAATAAAAACTTTGCTTACATGACTTGATGTCGAACAATTTTCGAACTGTTGATTGTTTTAAAATACGCGACCCGTGCATTTGTCTTTTCTGTCGCAAAGTCCTCAGAAATGTACCCAACATAACCAGTGAATACGCAGGCGTAGGAAAATCGCCTCGGGCATTCTCCAGGTCGTTGACAAGAGATTTTCAAAATTTGCCAGGTCTTGCCGTCTAGTGAGTAGAAAATTGATGTGCTGAAAGACGAGAGCATTAGTTTAGATTTCTTAACATCGTTTTGCTAATTTTTCAGCCCAAACTCATGCAAAAATGGCCGACAGAAGAAAATTGGGGTTTTTTCTATCTGAAATTCGCAAATTCTTCAACGGGCAATAATATGAGAAGGAAAGCGTTTTCAGCATTTTGCTTCTGCTAGAAAAATGCTCAGATGTTCGTTAAATTTTGCACACACGTCGGGCATAAATTAGCTGTCAATTCCTGAAAGTTTTAGCTCGCGCTTTGCAAGCAACACCGGGATATTGAACCATCTTTTCCGCCGAGAGAGTACGCTAAACGCGGAGAGCGGTCGTAGAGAAAAACACTTTTTGGCCATAACTTTGCTAGTTTTGTGCGGAAAAAATTGATTTTTTGTGGAAACATTGCCCTCTATGGTAGAAAGAAGCATGAAACTTTTCGTGCCGAAATTCGGCAAAAAGTCCCAAATTTTCGCCGACTTTCGATCTTAAAATCTCGGTTGTTTCTGCAAAGCGCGAGCTGGGATTCTCGCATATTTTTTAGAAAAAAGTACTTCCCTTGTGAGCGACTTTTTACGTCCAAAATTCCGCACGAAACTGCCAAAGTTATGGCCAAAAAGCGCTTTTCTCTCTGACCGCTCTCCACGTTTAGCGTGCTCTCTCGGTGGCAAAGATGCTTCAATATCTCGGTGGCGCTTGCAAAGCGCGAGCTAAAACTTTCAGGAATTGATATTTAGTCCATACCCGACGTGTGTGCAAAATTTAAAGAAAATCTGAGCGTCGCACTTGGGGAGACTTCCCTTGTAAATTTAAGCCAACTGTCAGCAAATTTTCAGCTTTAGAATTTGAATAATTTGCTTAATAATTTCGGCAAATATAACCCTTACCTGGACAGCACATTCCTCACCATGACCACTCTAAATTCCCCATGCGCCACTCTAAAAACCGATCTAATATAGACCTCATTCCTCTCTTGCAACTCTCTCCAATTATCGATAAATTCAAACGGATCTTCATTTTTGCCTTTCGCATAATCCAGAATCCAAAATCCTCCAAAAATAATTACGAATCCTTGAATAATTAGGAAAATTTTCATTAAAAAAATCTCCAAAATGAACTCAAAAAGCGCTATCGGGATTCTAATCGAAATCGCCCGCCAAATCCCCGGAGGCGATGACAAAAGAAAAATGCCGAAGGTCACAAGCGGCGTTTATGTACAACATAAATTACAAGAGGAATAATTAATAAATAATGAGCACGAGATTTGGGGGCTGTCATATATACCGTTTAACCGTAGTAATTCTGATAAAAATTGTTTCGTCCCTGCGGCCAGTTGGCCCCGTTCGGCGGCATATTGCTGTTGGGGAGGGAGGGGATTTCTGAAAAAAATTTTTTTTAGATTGGAAAATCAAATTAAATAAAAAAAAAGTTTTAATAAAAGTTTTTTTGGCATTATAAAAAAGATAAAAAAATATGAAAAAATGGGAAATTTCAAAAAAAAAAAAAAAAAATTCGAAATTTTAAGAAAATTAAAATGAAAAAAAACTTTCAAAAATAAAAAAAAACTAAAAAAAAATTTGATAAAATCAAGAAAAAAAAAATAAAAAATCCAAAAATTTTAAAAAAAATATTTTTGAATTTTTAAAAAAATTAAAAATAATAAAAAATTTCCAAAAATTCAAAAATGAAATCGCAAAAAATTTCAAAAATTCAGCTAAAATCCAAAAAAAATTCAAAAAAAATCAAAAATCCGAAACTCACGATTATTCATATTCTGTCCTGGCGGCATATTCATTCCAGCTGAAAATGCCATATTTGGGTTTGCAATACTTTGCCCATTGTTAAAACTGGGGGCAGTTTCTCCGACCGCTTGTCTCATGAAGCTGGAGAAAGGCTGGGACGTCGCTGATTGGCTAGAATTCGAGCCCTGAGAATTCGGTGGACTTTGGAAATTGGTCATCATATTGTTTGGCATTTGAGAGGCCGACATTTGTCGTTGCATCTGCTGGATTGCGGGGTTCTGACTCATTGTGGAATTGCCGGCAATCGAGTTTGAAATATTCATCATCATCGGGTTTTGAGGCACAAATGGGGAGTTTTGATCTGAAAAAAAATGATTTTAAAATAAGCCAATTTGTTCTTCAGTCATCCTAGATGACATAAAAATTAATGATACGACATTTAAAATCATTTTAGCAAACAATTTTAAAATTTTCACTTTTGAAAATCAGGACATCTTTCATCGTATAAAATGTCACCCTATCACTCAAAAATTAAAGCGAATCAAGTAGAGTTAATAATACGTCTATTTCAGTGCCAAATCAGAAAATAAACTAATTTTTCCCTGTTTTACAACCATTTTTATATTATACATGATAGAGAAGTGACATGTGTCGCTAAAAACGCTATAACTGTCTGTGGCAGTTTCAAAATTAACCACCGGCCATTTTATTACAGAGTTTAGTCCTCTAGACTACCCATTGGCACAAAATTACCCGGATATCACCTCCAATTCAATCAAAAACTCACTTTCAAACGAGTTATTGTTCGACCAGGACGGTCTCCGTTGATTCTGATACGGCGAATTGTTCGCAAACTGCGGCGAGTTGGCTATGGGGCTTTCCACCGCCTGCTGTCGTTGAATTGGCGGTCTGCCCATGTTGTACTGGCCCATGGATCGATTCATTGCCTGAGGGTTTATTGGCGAGGCTGGGACATTATTCACGCTGGAGCTGCTGCCAGCGCTGCTGGGATTGATGGGGCTTCTTTTCGGGATCGTCAATGGGCTTCTTTCCGCGTTTAGGCTGAAATTTTGCTGTTGCTGATGTTGTACTTGGCCTGCTGGGGAGGTGTTCATCGGATTCTGGAAGCCTTGAGGTTGCTGATTTTGAGGCTGATTCGAGGAGAAGCTGGGTGGACGGATCTGGCGACGCTCGTAGACCTTGTTTTGGGATTGCTGGGGAAATGCTGAGGCTTGGTTTTGAAGCTGATTCGGGACGATTCCTCCTGGCTGATGCTGATTATTGAACGCAGCCACTGTTTGAGGCTGATTCTGGAACTGAGGAACTGCTTGATGCTGATTACTGAATCCAGCTGCTGATTGAGGCTGATTTGAGATAACTGCTATTTGCTGATGCTGATTATGGCCTGCAGATGCGGATTGAGGCTGATTGCTGATTCCTTGAGTCTGTTGAAGCTGGCCTTGAAATCCGGAAGCTGATTGAGGCTGATTATTAAATGCAGCTGCAGATCGTGGCTGATTTGGCGGATTTTGGAAGCCAGCCGCAGATCGAGGCTGATTATTGAAAGTTGGCTGATTCTGGAATCCCGACGGTCCTTGAGGCTGATTGTTCATAATAGTCGCTGCTTGATGCTGATTAAGGTGCAGGGAAGCAGTTTGCGGCTGATTGCTGAATCCAGCAGCTCCCTGGGGGACGACAAACTGCTGCTGTGCATAAAACGCATTTCCCGGGGATTGTTGCTGCCCAATCGCTGGCGATTTCTTCTGAGTTTTTGCCTTGTTCCGCTCCTCTCTTTCCTGCTCATCTCTCTTCAATTGTTCGCTTAGAAACGATCCCAAAAAGTCATCATTATCGCTTGACGGTTGATTCTCACTATTCGCCATGATTTCCTGATTTTGCATTGGATTTGGCTCCATATTTCGACTGGAATTATATTCTCCATGCCTCGAGAACTCTTCAATTTGCTCGGATTTGACTCTTCGGATCATTGCGACATGTTCTTCTTGTCTTTTTCTCTCCAATTCCTCCATTTCCTGTCGTTTTCTGGCGTCTTCTTGCTCTTTCTGACGCTGTTCTTGAATCCGCTGCTCTTGCAGCCTTCGATTCTCTTCGATTTGGCGTTGTTTTTCAATGTTTTCGCGATGAATTCGCTCTTGGATCAGCTTCTTTTTCTCCAAACTCTTGAGGCGCTCCATTTCCACGGCTCGTTTTCGCTCCTCCTCCTTCTGTCTTCGTCTTTCCTCCTCGAAACTCTCGCTTTCATCAGTGTAATTGCTGCGTTGGTCATCGTCGATCAAACTTTTCATCGATTCCACCGCTCTGGCCTCTTCTTCCTGCATTTTGCGGCGCTCTTCGACTTCGCGTTGCCGTCGCTCCGCCTCCATTCGGCGTTGCTCCGCCTCGATTCGCCGGCGCTCCTCTTCGGCGCGCAATTTTTCGGCCGCTTCGATTTGGCGACGGCGCTCTTCCTGTCGCTGGCGCTCCTCCTCGAGGCGGCGATGGCGCTCCGCTTCGGCCTGCAATCGCTTGCGTTCGAGTTCGGCCGCCTTTTCGGCCGCTTTTCGCTCTTGTTCCGCCTGTTTTTCAGCCAATTTTCGTTGCTTTTCTTCTTCAATTTTTCTTCTTTTTTCCGCTTCTTTGGCGGCTTTTTCCTCCAAAATCCGTTGCCGCCGTTCCTCTTCCCTCTTCCGGAACTCTTCCAGCATCTGTTTCTTGCGTTCCTCCTCCAATTTCTTCTTCAATTCCTGTTCCTTTCGCAGCTTTTCGGCCTGTTCCATCTTCAATTTCAGTGCCTTTTCCGCCTTCAATTTCTCTTCTTCCGCTTTTTTCTTCTCATTATTTGGATTTCCCTGCATCATTTGCTGCATCATCAGCATCATCTGGTTGTTGGCGGAGTTGTTCGCAATGGTTGCCTCGAGGAATTGGCGTTGAATTTCGGGCAATTTGTTCTGAACCAGCGATGCGTCTTCCTTGGTCCACTTGTCCATGGGTTTCTGCATTACAACGCACAATTTCATCACCTCCTCCATGCTGACATTCGCCGCCGCAGTTGCTGTAGGTGCTTTAGAGCCGGAAGGCTTCGCTCGATCGTTGGGATTCATTGCCTGAGGGGTTAGTTGCGCGTTTCGAACGTTCGAAGTCATCTTGTTAGCTGATGTGGAAGGTGTAGATAAATTGGCTGCCCTGCTGAGGGGAGTTGAGATGTTCGCTGAGGACGTTGATGAGATCATAGTAGATCCATTGGGCTTCGTTGGTGTTGAAGTTGAGGTTACGAGAGCTTTCTTGGCCTGAGATATCGTTGAAATTGGACTTTGACTCTGGCTTTGGCTGGTCCCCAAAATATTCGCCATACTGTGGGTGGTTGTGGGCTTCAATTGATACGCCGAAGTGCTAGTGGTGCTGCTAACATTCTCCTTAGGAAGTACAGGAGTTTTAACTTGACTTTGAGTAGCATTTAACGCAGCAGGAACCTTCAAAGAGCTTGTTGTTTGAGCCGTTGCAGCCGTCGTCGGATTTTGCGCCTTGAACATAAAAGGAGCCATGGTCTCCTTGGCCTTGCGAAAATGCTCCCAGAACTCCTTATCACCGGTGGATTTGTCAACAGCGGCTGTTTTGAAAATCGAATTTTGCGGGGCTTTCGCATTTCCACCCAAACTTTGGAACGCCAAAAGTGCACTTTGAAGGTTCTGGATGGTCTTCGGAGATGGCACTCTATTCGATGGAGTTGCTTTCGGTTTCAACGAGGTCACCGGCGCTTGGGATTTCGTTGAAGTTGGCGTTGAAATCTCAGGCGTTGGCTTTATTGGGGTAGAAGTGGATGTTACTGGCTGAAAATTGAAATTTTAGAGGTAAAATTGAGCTTAAAAATTATGGGTTGGCAATGTAAAAAAGATTTTGTGGCTAGCTGTGAAATTCTAGGACAAACAATGAGCCTTGATTGGTTTGAAAAAAACTTTGGCTTTAAAAAGATGACTAAAAAATATCGAAAAAAAAATAAAACGCATATCAAAAATAAAAAACAAGACTTTTTTCAATTGTAAAATACGATCTTGTCGCCTGTTAAGCAAAATTTTAAACTTTACAAGTGCATTTGTCAAACAAAAAAAAATCAATTTTCTCAAAAATAGGCTAAAATAAGGTCTCGAATGAAAAAAATTGACCTAAAAGTTATAAAAAAATCTCTAAAGATTGTAAAATACGCAATGCTAATGCACTCTACAGAAAAAAAGTATCAACCCCATCTTTTTTCCCAAAAAAATTATCTTCACCTAGACCTGACTAGTACACCATAATCTTTTGGCCACTACAAAGTGCACAATCAACGAAACAAACCCAATCAAGGCTCAAAACAATCTACAAATAGTCCACTTCTAGCTCAAATACATTTTTGGCGTCTATCACTAACACTATCACCACTACAAGCACATTAAAAAAATAGTTTATTGCGGTAAGTGGGAAAGGAAAAATAATTAGTGAAAAAGAGTGAAACACAAGCGGGAATCAAACACAGAACAATGAAACGTCCTAAAACAATTCAAAGAGAACCAAAACAAAGAAAAAATTGGAAAGTTTTGGTCATTTTTTTGGTGCTGGTGGGCGGGGATAGAGGCGTAAATAGGGTTGTGAAAGGGCCGGAATTAAGATACCTACTGTGTTTTTCGATGGATTGGTGACGGCTGGAGGGTTAGGCTGAGGTCGGGAGGCTGAAATACGATCAATGAGATAAAAAATTTAGGAAAAATTTAACCTTCATAAAAAAATTTTTAGATGACCTAAACTACCAAAAATCGCATAAAAATATCCTAAATCTGAAATAAACTCACATCCAACTTTTTTTCTAGTCTTAATACAACATTATACTCCTTAAAAACACAATAACTCCAAATTTGAATTCAAAAATTATATTACCCATGACCTAAAATATCAAAAATCTCGATAAAAATCCTAAAAAATACCCATTGCAAAAGGACAAACCTTTCAAAATTCAAACACAGAACCTTATTTTATCTCTATAAACCCATATTTCCCACAACAAACCACTTTTTTCCCAATAAATAACCTCTTTTTGCCTACTACAATATAACCTACCTTCGACATTTGTGTCAAACAGGGTCAGAACCTTTCTCAGCTGTTTCTCCTGTTCCACTGAGATTCCATTGGTCCTCCTATTCGAGCTATTCAACGTAAGTCGGAGCTGCTGACGCTGTTCTTTGCTCATGGTTTTGATTTTCTCATACAATGGGGTCTTCGTCAGATCCTCTTGGCCTGTTTGAGGAGCTCCTGGGGCCGTCTTTTGAGGCATTTTCATGGATATTTGGGGCTTTTTCGCTGTCTGTGGGACATTTCCATTCGTTGGAATTGGAGTTTTCTTTGGCACATTTTGTGAGTTGAGAGCGTTTAGTTGAGGTATTTTAGGGGCCGGTGGCTGTTTCGGAGGTTGACTAGAGGTTTGTTGAGTTAGTGTGGGAGGATTCGGGGGTTTCGCAGCAGTATCTAAAAGTAAAAACATCAAAAATTAATATTTTATAAAAATTTTTATATTACACTTGATAAATTTGATATCCAAGTGAAAAAAACAAGCTTGAATTTTCAAAAAAAGACAATAGACAAAATCTATAAGTCAGATGTAACCATATAATGCCAAATATCGATACACAGTCGTTCAAATCCAAGATTTGTACCCAAATTTTCATTTCTCGTCTACTACAATATAATTTCGCCTTTCAATGTAAAACCAGCAACTAAATTTTGCTATAACTCGCTCTATTAAGTCCTACGCCCTTCCATAAACCATACACAACCATCCAGACCTAAACTTTTCCTACAATTTTCCCATAAAATCATTTTGCCTACTACAATATACAGTGGCGGACCTGATCCAGTGGCAAAAAACGTTCCATTTTTCATCCGGGAAGTATTAAAAAATGTAGCAAAATACCTCCCTCCCCAACTAAAAAATCCGTTTTCAAAAGCGCGGCCGTCCTTTTTGTGAAGGACGCCTTTCAAAACGGAGTTTTTTGGTTGGGGAGGGAGGCATTTTGCCACATTTTTTAATACTTCCGGATGCAAAATGTTACGTTTTTTGCCACTGGATAAGGTCCGCCACTGTATATTGTAGAAGGCAAAATAAATTTTACAGGAAAATTGTAGGAAAGGTTTAGGTCTGGACGGTTGTGAATGGTTTATGGAAGGGCGTAGAACTTAATAGAGCGATTTATAGCAAAATTTAGTCTCTGGTTTTACATTGGTAGGCAAAATTACATTGTAGTAGGTGAGAAGTGAAATTCTGGGTAGAAATCTTGGATTAGAATGATTAATGTATCGATATTTGACATTATGGAGTCACATCTGGCTTATAGATTTTGTGTATTGTCTTTTTGGGGAATTTCAAGCTTGTATTTTTTTCACTTGGATATCAAATCTATCAAGTGTAATATAAATCTCGTCACTGTAACAAACCCCCAAAAACCCCCTCAAAACAAAATTTCTTTATCCTACCTTGATTACCACTACTCTTTTTCTGAATCTGACTTGTATTCTGCTGAATTTGACTTGCTGTAGACGCTGTATTACTTTTGCTAGCTCCTTCAGCGGCCAACAAACTTTTCATTATTTCGGCTGCCTGTGGCAACTTCAGGATTCCCAGCATCATTGGGGATTTGAGCAGGCTGCTCCAGGTCTCGGGGCCAGCGTGTCTAGCCGAGATCAGGACTTGTTTTATCGATTCCACCGACAACTGGGAGATATCTTTCTGGGAAGTCGAACTTTTCTTCGGTTCTTTTGCAGGATTTTCCGTCGATTTTGAACTTTTTTGTGTTCCATTTTGAGTCGAGGTCGGTTTGGCCGCCGGGACTACTCCCAGGATCTCAATATCATCGGAATCATTGTTCGCTGGGGATTTTGACTTCGCTGAATCGCCGTTAACCCGAGGAATCGCTGGAGATTTGGGTGAAACTCTTCGAGGGGATGACGAATTCGACAAATTCGAGTTGACTTGAAGGGTTGAGAGGCCAGAGGTGGATGGGACGTCCTGAAAACACAATAATTTATACTTGATATTATATTCAACATCAAAAAATGGCAATTTTAGAAAAATATTATATTACTTTAGGTAACAAAAAGGTCAAAAAAACATTCTAAAACCCTTTGAAAATCAAACATAAATATCCTCATACCTATATAATATCCTAGTCACACTTTAAACACAACAAAAAAAACCAAAATCGACCAAAAGCTTCAAAAAATACCTAAAGTAATATAATTTTTTGCTCAAAAGTCTTCATTTCCCAAAAATTCTTCAACTATCCAAATCTCCACTATATTCCTCGCCAAATTTCTTACCTTTTTAGCCATTTTCTGTGGAGGTTCACTCGCTTTGGTGCCTTTATTTTGATCATTTTCCGCGAACGGCCGCTTTTCGGCCGTTCTCTGTTCAACAAACTGTTTCAACAGGACCTTGAAGACCTTCGGGTCGTTCTGCGAGTACCTTTCCAGCAATCTGATGAGCTGTTGTTGCATATGAATAGGGGTTTTCACGGCGCGGAGTTGTTTCATTGCGTCCATGATCAATTGGGCGTTCTCGGCCTTGGCGGATTGGGAATCTTGAGTCGAAGCCGAGGAATCTTCGATATGTGGGGGTCGGTGAGGGATTGGATGGGGGCGGGAGATTGTCTGCAGCTAAAATACAAGTTCTTTAGATCTTCCGGAAAAAAATTCGGATAAATTTCAAAAAAAAAAAAAAAATCTCGTTTCTTACTCTAAATCAATATAAAAATAGGTAAAATTTAATTTTAAAAAAGCAAAATTATAACTCTCATGAAGTCTCTGATCCATTTCCCACCAAAAAAACATATGATTTCACATCAAAAACTATAAAAATATTAAAACTTCCAAACTTTTTGCCTAAAACAATATAAAAATTGATCAAACTTGAAAAATTGATTAATAATCCCCAAAATTCCACCTTCCTTTAATCTAACATTCCTTTTCAAGTCAAACCCAATCCATAATCCACAAAAAAATCTCAAAAAATCCCTCAAAATTTTCGAAAAACCACCAAACCTCCACTCACCCTGATATTTTTATAATGATTCTTCGTTTTCCCCAACAACTCCGCCAATTTCGTCACCAACGCCGAATCCACTTTGACTTCAGCCTTGGCAATGTGGGTGACACTGCTTTGCAGCACCACTTCGTACTGTTCGAAATGAGTTGCCCATTCATTTCGCGGGTGGATTAACATATTCTTGATGAGAAGAAGGCACTTGCGGATCTTCTGATGGATCACATCTTGACTGAGGTAGCTCGAGGCGAAGAATGCGGGGTTCGAAAGGGAATGGAGAGTTACAATCACATGGCCCAGATCATGGGTTCTTTGGAGGGCTTTCAGGAAGAGGTCCAGGCAGCGGCCAATGTGGAAATGAAGGGCGGTTCCTCGTTCAAAGTCGGAGCGCTGGATCTCCGTGATGTTCTAAAACATAGGACATTAAACTTGACTTAAAACAATGGAAATAATCCGCAATTTTAACTACTTTTTTACATTTTTTTTAATATTTTTGCCCAAAAATTCTAAAATATCGGCCGAAATTCAAAATTTATCGACTAAAACATGAAAATTCTTTGATGTAGGAACCACTGATGCTCTCTTCGAAAAATCATAGTGCTCAATCTACATCTAACATTCAAAATAATCATCTTTTAGACATCATTTTCGACATTTCTCAAGCCTTTCCTCAAAAAACCGATAAAAATTCAAAAATCTCAAAAAATACCCCTTAATATCAAGTACCACCTAACTAGACCATTAATCTACCTCCTAAATCTCCCTACTCTAGTAATTCACCCGCTCAATTCTATTAACTTCATCAAAAAAATTTCAAATTTTCAATTTTTCCAAAATTCTACCCTAGTATCTAAAACAATATAAATCCTTACATGGAAGATATTCGCATTAACATTGATTCTCTTATGACCTTTGAAGACATATTCCATCAAAGTTTTTATACATTTCGTCGAACTGCCTTCATTAATCTGAATTTCTGCCAGTCTGAAGGCCGCTTTGTAATGGGGAAATTTGGCCAAAATGCTTTCATATGCCGACTTTAGCAACGTCTTTGTTCTCTCTTCAATTTCCACCCATTCCGTCATCTCACTCATCGTTTCCTGGATCTCATTTTCCGGGGTTTCTTCTGTTAGCTCAAGTATAATATCGTTGATTGCGTCGAATGTAGTTGGAAGAGTTGAGAAGAAATTTTGTACTGATTGCTTCGTAGTGCTGTCAGGAGCCTTTGAGACGCCATACGTTGAGTAATACTGCATGTAATGGAGGATTTTTCGACGAATCTTTAGGGAGGACCTAAAACACGATAAAATAAAATAAGTTTTCTACTGTAAAAAAGCAAAAATTACAGTAAATTCAACAATAAACACCTTCCTATCTTAAAAAACAAATTTTCAGCTCCAAACCCAGCAAAAAATACAAAAATTTTCATCAAAATCCAATAAAATTTATATTATCCTTACCCATTCATCTCCTTCGACGCAAAAAACCTCTTTTCCAAGAACGAATGAACTCTGTAGAACAATTCCAGCGGCTCCAAATTCGACTGATTTTTCTTGGAGATCTTGTGAAGGAAGACGTATTGATCATCGTGCATTCGCTGGGCACATTCCGTGTAATGATCCATGACAATATCAATCGACTCTTTGAGTTTTTCCGAAACCTTTCCGGAGAAATAACAGCAAAGCCAGCCAATGTCAATGGCTTGAGTTTTGAAGCGGTCCGCGAGGAGGAAGTGGGTTTGGCAGGCGCGGATCAGGGACAAGTTGTTCTTCCGGGCTTCAAGTTTGTCCGATTCGGAGGGGTTGGAACGCTGAAAAAAATAAGACATCAATCACAAACTACTCTGTTTAGACAACCTTATACTCTGCTATCAAAATTTTCCTCTTGGATCGAAAACATTATTCCTCAATTTGGGTCCCACCACGAAAAATTGAAATTTCTTATTTCGATTGGAAACCCGTCTATTCAGTTTGATAAAGTCGTGAGCAAAGTGTAACAGCAAAAAAATCTAATTTTGCAATAAAAATTCAACTTTCTTAGCCCTAAATATTTTTTGTAAGTGCCAGCTCATGTGTAACATTGAGAACGTCAATTTTCTTAAATTAAATTGTTCAAAAACGCAGTAGAAGTCAAATAAGAACTATATAGACAATATAAACAAAAGTAAATATCAAAAAAAGCAAATTTTTAACCAAAAAATAGCAAGTGTAACATAATCTCCACCTAAAACAAGGTAATTGTTTTGTGCCAAACCCTATTAAAACCGTCCAAAACCCAATCCATTTTCCATACTCTACCCTGTTCTCACACACTCTTCAAACTCACCATTTTTCTACTATCCAGTGCATGAATTTGGTACATTATACTGCCCAGGTCCAGATGGGCTTCTGCGCAGTCCACCTTCAGCAATATCGACATTCGAAACGGGAACAAGACTTCATCCATGTCCTTGGCGAGGTCGTCGACGCTTCCCACCGAACTCTTGGCCAACATAATCCACACACTCGATTGTAATTCTCGGGTTAAGGCGTCGGACATCATTAATATCTGATAGGCCAAGTTTTTGATGTCTTTTCCGGTGCTTCTGTATTGATAAAATGCCGAAAGGTAAAGGGACTTTGAGGTGACAATCGCGCGGTCCTTATCCATGTCAATTCTAGGCCAGGCCAAGAGATCGCGGTCCTCAAAGATCGAGTTTAGCGGTAGAATGAGAGTTCCGTCCGATTCAAAGTTGAAAACTGGCTTGAAACGGAAATTCTTGGCGACAAATTCATTAAATTCTTCAATGTGAGAACTGGTAAATGGACTCTGAAACAAAAAATTGCACAATAACCACCATTCTCTGCCATAATGTGCTACATCATTTAAAAAATTTCACAAGGCAAGTACTTCTAAGGGGTATGGAGTTACAGGTCGAGACATATATCAAAAAAATCCCAAAATTTTTCTGATTCAGAATTATGTAAAAATTAGCCGCCCAATTTTGATTCGTAAGGGTAAAAAACCCCCTCAGAACTTTCCTCGCAATACCATGCAAATGCCTTTTTGACCACGTTTTTACCAAATCAAAAGCTTTATCTTTTTTTAGCTAAAGTAAACCCTGGCATCTTGACAAGCCTTACAATATCAAATTTGATTAATAATATACCTTAATTAGTAGTTCCAATGTAAAGAAATGTAGGTAGTATTAATCCAATTTGATATCTTAAGGCTTGTCAAGATGCCAGGGTTTACTTTAGCCCCAAACAAACTTTTGAATTGGTAAAAACTTGGCCAAAAAGGCTTATTTATGTGGTGTTGCAAGAAAATTTCTGAAGATTTTTTCGCCCTTACAAACCAAAATTAAGCAGCTAATTTTTACATATTCTGAATCAGAAAAATTTTCAATTTTTTTGATATATTCCTCGACCTGTAACTCCATACCCCATAGAAGTAATTTCCTTGTAAAATTCATCATACCTTTCAAAAAACCCCTACTCATCTCGCTTACCTCCAATTCAGCAGTTACAATTCGCACCAGCTCCATGACTTCCGATTTCAGCGTCATTTGGTCATCAAATAACGGCAAATTCTTGGGCAAAATCAGTTGCAATATTCGTTGAAGGATCTCGAACGGCGGCAGGGGCCGTTTTTCATTTTGATGCTCCTTCAGTTTCAATCTGCAGCGAATATTTTGACCAGTGTAGCAGGTGAAAAGTTGGAGGATCTCCTTTTCCAAGTTGTGCCTCAATTCGCGTGTGTGATCGTTTTCGTTTTGCAGTAGGTCCGTGATCAATCTATTTTCCGGAGCGCTAGTGAACTCTTCGAGGCAAAACAGTAAGAATTTCCCCTGGAAATAATCAAAAATTAAGATTATTCGGGATTTTGTACGAACTTTCTGGACGACCCAATATTTTGGACAAAAATTGGTCAAAACTCAATAATTTTTGATAATGAATCTAAAAATTGTCTTCCATATACTAAAAACAGCATTTACAAAACATTAATCTCTATAATTCCTTAAAAAACCCAAAAAAAATTTTTTTTTTCAAAAAAAAAATCACCAATTTTCTCATGGATAATATACCAAGATCTCACCTCTTGCGTTCCACACCGTCTCTCCTGTCCCAACGCTTCATGAGCCTCCTTCAGAACCATCAATGAGATCAATGGCAATCTATCTTTGACCAACTTTGTCTCTTCCACAAACTTGCTCATCTCTTCTGTGGTTTTTGGATCTTGGAGTTGGGCGACTTTGTAGATAACCCTCCATAACCTTAGATTAATCCGGAAACTATACTTCTCCGACAATTCTATTAGAAGGAGTTTGAGTTGAGCTGGGTCATGCCGGCTGATTTCTTCCAAGTTTTGCTCGATCTGTTCGAGGAAGAAATCGAGGACTTCCAGGGCGTTTTGATGGGATGGGAGTTTGTTCTGGAGGACGTCTTCCAATCCGCTGAAAAATTAGCTTATCACTTATTTAAAAAAAGTCAAAAAAATCATCAAAAACCGTATTGTTTCAAAAATTTTCTTAAATCCGATGTCTAAAATAAGGTGGCCATGTCTCAAACAGCACTCACAAAATTTTTTATCACTAATTTACAGAGCAAAAACTTCAAAAATGCTCAATAAATCCTACTCTCACATTTTAAGACATTTTTTATATTACACATGACCTGGTGTCTAAAATAAGGTCGTTACCCTCTAAATTTACATCTCAACCCTCAACAAACCCCCAAATCCTCTCTAAGCACCACAGTGCACATTCCAAACACCCTATTTCTATAATAAACCCCAATTACTACACTACAGTGATGGACCTGATCCAGTGGAAAAAAACGTACCATTTTGCATCCGGGAAGTATCAAAAAATGTAGCAAAATGCCTCCCTCTCCAAATGAAAAAACTTCGTTTTGAATGGCGCATCCTCTCCCTCACAAAAAGAGCGGGACGCTTTCGAACTCGGATTGTTTTTTCACTTGAAGAGGGAGGTATTTCGCCACATTTTTCGCTACTTCCTGGGTGCAAAATGGTCCGTTTTTTGCCACTGTATCCGGTCCGACACTGTAGTGTAGTAACTGGGGTTTATTGCAGAAATTTGGTGTTTGGGATGTGCACTGGGATGCTGAGAGAGGATTTAGGGGATTTTTTGAGGTTTCGGATATGAATATAGAAGGTAGCGACCTTATTTTAGTCACCAGGTCATGTGTAATATAAAAAAATTCTTGAAATGTGAGAATATGATGTCATTGAGCTTTTTTTGGGTTTTTGCTTTGTAAATTATTGATAAAAATTTTTATGAGTGCTGTTTGAGACATGTTGAACCTTATTTTAGACATCAGATTTAAGAAGATTCCGAAAAAAATCCTTACCTCACAGCCATCCTGAACAATTCTCCCACCGCCTTCTTCTCAATAAATGCCGTAAACACCAGTCTCCAGCAATCGAACTTGTCCGCCGCTTCCAGCACCGACCAATCAAAGTAATGCCAAATCGTGTCAATAATCCTATCCTTATCGCCAATGCTCTTCAAGTCCTTTTGCGATATCAAGAACATGATGTAATTGTCCATTTCGATTTTGTAGTTTTGTACAAATCGTCTGGTCGCAATTTCGAGGCTGAAATCTCCGTTGACTGGGGCTGTTGTGGGGTTAAAATATGACTTCATGGCTGGGATTTGCGGGGTCCCCTCGGTTTGGAGATCATCAAGTATTTGGAACAGGGAGAGGAGATGGAATTGCTCTCGTTTTCTTTCGAATTTCCGTTCGCTTTTGTAGCCAACTGGTCGGAATCGATGCTGGAGCGCTCTGGTCCAATGATATCTACAAATAAAACAAAAATAGACAATTATGCTATTTTAGGCATCAAATGCCAAAAAAAAAAAAAAATTGTCCTCCAATCTAAACCGGAGTTGGACGATTGGGAAAAAGACGATTGGGGAAACCGAAAAGTATTATTTTTCTTCGATTCGAGTGACGAAATTAGGATAATCGAGGGTGTTGATTTCGAAAATGACATTCATTTTTTTGACAGTAACTTTTTTCCTTAAGTAGTACTATAAAGTAGTAATTTTTTGAATTTTTTTCATAAATACTAGATTTGGGGGGTTTCGACCTTGCTGATTTCGAAAATCTTATTCATTTTTTTTGATTTGAAAGCAGCACCATCGAAAACCACCAAATAAAGTTTTCATAAAAAAAATTCAAAAAATTACTACTTTACAGTACTGTTTACGGAAAAAAGTAACAACCAAAAAATGAACGTCATTTTCGAAATCAGCACCCTCGATTATCCTAATTTCGACATTTTCATCGAAGAAAAATAATACTTTTCGGTTTCCCCAATTGTCCCAGTTCCATTTACACAAAACTACCGCAATTTTTTTCTTCTACACGTATTCTAAGACAATTTTCAGTTCAAAAAAAGTTCAAAAATAACTTTCATTTATCCATAATTTCGAAAAAAAACAAAAAAAAATCACCTAAAACAATATAAAATCCTCTTACCTTATGGCCAAACTCTTCTCAATCCCATTCCAATCACTTTCAAATGTCTTTTCCGGCTCTACAGAGACCAGTTCTGCTCTATTTCCAAGACTGTTCACATTGAATTCGGCCGATTCATCTCCTCCAAGTTCGACAAACTCCTTTTTTAAGCTTATTGGGGTCAAAATCTCGCATTTCTTCGGCTCCATCACTTGCTTATCCCTCCATTTACGATACTTCAAATTCGAATACAGGTTCGTCTTGGATTTGACAACACTCCTTTGTGCCGATACCAACAATTTCAGGGGCAAATCATCAGATTCTTCCAGCTCTTTGACTTCTTTGGTAATTTCAAGCCGTTCAAACTGCCATGGAAGAGGTGAGTCTGTCGTTTTAACCGCTTTATTGACCGTCTTTCCTAGCTGAAAATCCATGGTTTGTAAGGCAAGAGGATCAGCAAATTCCGCGGCCAAAAGATGGATTTGAAAGGGGTTTCTTGACCGTTTTTTGGAGGAAATTGAGGAGCGGAGGTGCTTCCAGAGGGCGTAGAGATCGCTGAAATCATAAATCATTATTCCATCTTTCCAATAAAGCAATAAAATCCCAAAAAAATCCTAAAAAATACCCAAAAAATAAAAAATTTCAAGATTTCCCTTAAAAATCTCACTAAATCAATATAAAAATCTTAAAAGCTCTAACGTCCTATCAAACTTAACATCTAAATAGCTGTACCACAACCTGCAACCCCTCCAGCACTCACCAAAACGCATTTCGATCCTCTTTACTGAACAAAATTTCATTTTCCAAGGCTTTCGTGGCCACAAAGCTCAAAAATCTGTCCAAAATCGAAACAAAAAACAGTCCATTCGCCGGATTCTTGTCCATTTCATCTAGGAGATCGTTGAAAAACCTGCGGAGGTCGAGTTCATTGTACAGGTTTCGGTTATTTTTCGAGAAACTTGGTGATTTCATGCGCAAATAATAATTGGTATTGGTTGATCCGGAGAAGTGAAATTCGGCATCTTTATCAACTTTAAGGCACTTCCTGATCTAAAAACCGAAAACAATAAATAAAAAGATTTTTCACTTACATTATACGTCTCCAGGACCAATGGCATGGACGAGAATGGGCAATCTTCAATCTCTTCCACATGACGAGTGGATCGGCGGGTGGCGAAAATGTGGCTTTTCTGAAGGCAAATCAATTATTAAAATCACTTATAACATCCTTCTACACCGTAAAACCAGCTTTAACAGTCAAAAATCAGCAAAAAATATATTATCCATGATAAACTTTACTAAAAAATTTCTTCAAATCTTTATAATTCTCTCAAAAAAAAACCGTAAAAGAAGGCTTTCTATGGGTATTCAACACGATTATAAAACAAAAATACCAAATTTTTGATAAAATTTATATTACACTAGGCACAGAAAACATGATTTTCACCGAATCAAGTTCAAAAATCTATTCGAAAGCTCTTAATAATCCAAAAAAGAGTCAGATCTCTCATATTTTTACTAAAAATCAGCATGTTTCTCCCAAAAAAAAAAAAATTTACGTAAAGCTTACAAAAATTTCTATTTTTTGTTACACCTCAAAATAAAAACCCAATTCTCACCTTCTTTTTCTTAGCCGGTGGTTCATTCTCATCTCCAACCTCCATCATATTTTTTGCCGACGCCTCAGACTCTTCAGATGCCGCATCAACGATGGTTACAACTGATGGGACATCAAGTTCTTCCTCCTCCAACCTCTCCAGCATCTCATTCATCAAACTCTGAATGACTTCTTCATCCTCAAGGTCGTGCTGCTCTTCTTCTAGGTCCATTTCGCTTTCCTCTTCGTCTGCCACGGATTCCGATGGATTTGAATTCATCTCCACATCTGGTTGAGAATTGGTTTCCAAAGTTGGCACTGGCGATGGGACCGGCTCTTCCTCTTCATCCGACTCATAGAAGACTTCGGGAGATCGGTAAATAAATGATATCCGAGTTGAAAGTTTCTAAAATTCGAAATTTTAAAAACAAAATCCACATACCTCTTCAATTTCATCATAAATCGTCTTCAATTTGTTCGAAAATCCGCTAAAACTAAGGTCATCTTCCACCAATTCAACTTCATAAAAGTTTTTCGCCCCTGGCAAACTGCTGCCTTGATCTTCAGGGACAATCTTCGCTCGGAATCTTTGAACCATTCTCATGACCTAAAATCCAAATTCAATAAAAAAATCTCAATCTACCTTTTCCTTGACCTTCTCTTCCACTTTGTAATACTGTCTGGTTGAGATCTGATTTTCGTACATGACTTTTTCAACAGCATCCTTCATTACCAACGGAGAATTTAGCATTTGATCCAGGAGAACGAGAGCAACTTGATTGTCGGGCCATGTTTTGAACACTTCTTTTATAGCCAAAAGACATTCTAAAGACAAAATCAAAAATTTTGAAATTGACTTACCAGGAAATCTGCAGAGGCCGTAATACATAACAATTAGACGTTCATGGGCTCTTCGTCCCTCACCCAAAAATAGAAGACGTTTACAGGCAAATGTGGCGGTTTTGACGTCACTGAGGCGGGCTGAGGACTTGGCTAGACGAATCCAGAGATCTTTTTTGTTCGGGGTTATCATGAGCATCTGTAACATAAAAAAATAGCTGAAATTTTAAGTCAAAGTAAATTTTTTTGGCAAAAAACAGTCACTTCATGTCAAAGAAATGTAAAAAAGTCCAAAATTATATTATCCTTCCTAAAAAACATTTTAAAACCAAATTTTTTTTGAAAATTAGCCCCCAAAAAACATAAATCATATTGAAAATAAGGTAAAACTGAAGGTAAATTCAGGACAAGTGTGTTCTCTTAAATTTAGAATCTCTTTCCCAACTAATCAATAACAAATTTCCCCAAATCTTACCTGATACAAGTGAGGAATGGGATTTTTACAAACACTGGCCAATAATTTCTGAATATGGCAAAAGGCACACAAAATTTCGTCTTTCTGATCGACAACATCAACCTTCCTCCTCGTCCTCGGCCATTCAAACGTTTTCTCGTCCTTGCTCAACCGTTTGAACGATGGCTGCATAACACATTCATGTATTTTATCGAAAAAGTTGTTCTTCTTCTCCTTATCCTCAACATCACTTCGCCATTCGTTATAACAGCCTTTTAATTCTTTGTACATCGTCAAGAATCGTTGATCTTCCAGTTCGGAGCAAGCTGCACCCACTTTGAAGTTGATGAATGGGTTGAGCACCTCTGGTTCGGAGTCTGATTCATCTGGATCTTCTTCCTCTTCATCTGATGGGGACTCCGAACTAGAACTGCTAGAAGATGTGCTGGCCTCTGACTGCTCAGAGAGATCAAGTTCCATCTGCTCCTCGGCTTCTGGAACGGCAGCCTCTGAATCCGTGACTTCCGGGACTTCCGCAACCTCTGCGATATTATCCATGGCATCTGATGGAAGTTCTTGTGAACTTTGAGAACTGGTCGACGGCTCGACAACATGAGCCTCCGCAACAGATTTCTCCGCAATTTCCATGGCCTGAGCCGTTTCCTCCACATCTTCTTTGACCTCTGGAGACTCTTCCTGACTCTCATTTATGTCAAAACACAAAACTCCGAGATCATCTGTATATCCCTCAGCGTAATCGTTCACAACAACCTCTTCCTCGTCGTCGCTTTCGCTGTCAGCATCAAAGTCAGAATCCTCGCCACTTCCTGACGACTCTTCGGAATCTAAAAGCAGAAATACATAACAAAAATTTACTTACCTTTCTCCTGATCATCCTCCCCTTCATTGGACTCCAAATTTGCTGTAGAATCTCGTTTTTTACTCGAAGAAGTGTCGTGTTCTTCAACAACCACACAATCGTCCTCTTCGTTATCGTTGTCCGAGGCTTCTAGATCGATTTCCGACTCCTCTCCCGAATCTAAATTGATCATGAGCAATATTTAAAAAGAAGTCGGGTTTTTTATCTCAACTGAAAGTGTCCTACCTTCATCACTGTCCAAAACAATCTCTTCATGAGCTGGATCTGTAGTTGTGGATCCGGTCGGTGCCGGTTCCGGCATTCCGGCTGAAATTTGGCAAAATTACTCTCAAAGTAATCTAAATCCTTGTAAAATATTAGGCATATCCAAAACGGCTTGAAGAAACGCAAATCTCTGGACAAGGTTTGCAAACAAATTTGGTGTCGAAGTGCAAAAAAAATTATGGTTGTGCATTTCGCGCATTAGAGGTTTCGCAGCTTGCGCCCGGCATTTCTTACTTGCACCAAAGGTAGGGCGCGAGCCGCAAAATTTATTTTTATTTTTTCTTTGAAAAAATTGAAAAATTACTGCCAAATTTGGCCAAAATGAAAGTTTTACTTGTCAAGTCAACGGATTAGATGGGGATTTTGGTTTTATGTTGCCTTATGACATCCGCTGGATATTTCCTTTACCATGTGTAATATTGTTTAGGTAAAAAATCGGGTTCAAAACGAGGAAATTTTTATTTTTTTGATAGAATAATAACTTCTCGAGATATTAGTCGACTGATTATAACTTTACTTCAATTTTTTCAAATCTGATTATTGCTAATTTACAGCCATGGGATCTCTTGTCAAGCAATCCACTCAAGAATTCGCCGATGAAAACGTCGCCGAGCACCAGAAAACCGGCAAAGCTTGCGATCGTCTTCGCCAAGAGTTGAAGCGATGTATCAAGGAGAGCGATTGTGTTCAGAAGGATCGGCGGTCGGCCAAAGAGTGCATCAATGCCACGGATGGAACTGTTCCGGACCGATGTTTCAGTTTGTTGTCGACCTTTTCGGATTGTAAAAGATCATTGGTAAGTTGTTCATGTTGTTTGTTTCGAATTTTAGAAGAACGATGATTTTCTCTTTTCTCACGGATTAAGTGGATTTCTTTCAGGTGGACATGCGTTCACGATTCCGCGGCCGAAAGGGAGATATGTAGATGTAAAAAGTTAGTGTTTTGTTATTCTTTTAATGTTTAGAAGAATTTAATAAATATTTCCCCTTTCTTGGTCATTAATCCAAGAACGAGAAGTTCTATGGCCCTTTTTGATAATGAACTTCCATCCGCCCAAACGATCGAGACAACATTTAATATGTCAAACAAATTACCCGTTCAACGAACACACATATTGTAAACAGAAAGTTGCGATGAAATTAAAATAAATGTACAAGTATCTGGCTGGGACGGTCCTTGGTGGGGGCCGGATCACAGTTTCAGTAATAGAATATGCAGATTGAACCCATTTCTAATCCTTTTCTTCTTTGTCATCACCCATCAAAAGGGCTGTGTCGTGATGACCAGAGTTGGAGGTGGCACGGCGGAGGTTGGGGTGTTTCTTGGAGCTGACGGTGGGCATGTTGATGTTGACCATGAGGGCCATGAAGACCAGGAGGGCTCCGAAGAGGAATGGAGGGCCGGGGATGAAATTCTGAAAAAAATTTATATTACACATGACAAAAAAATCAAACCCTGAAAATTTTGCATTTTCTCTATAATCTTTGCAAATCTCCCTTACATGAATCTGATCCAGTTTCTGTTCCACAATCGTTTCATTCTTGCTGGGTGAAATGATTTTCGTTTCAAATGGCTGTAGTCTAATATGAGGCATTGGGAACTGAGGTCCCACTCCAATATGGCCAGTCGGTTCGTCTCCATCGGCGCTGAGATCCATGTCGAACATGTAGAAAAAGAATCCAAACATTGCCGGCCCAAATCCTTGACATAATCCTCTAATTCCAGTCATTACTCCTTGAACGGTGCCTTGCATATCCTGGCTAGTTTGGATCGAAACGAAGGCTGATATGGCCGGGTAAGTGAGTGAAGATAAGGCTGAGAAGACGCCAGCGGCCCACATCATCCAATATTGAGTGCCTACGCCGTACCAGGTCAGCTGGACGAACTGAGCAAAGAGTCCAAAGGATATCGAATGTTTTGAGCCCCATCTCCGTGTGATTATAGGGAGAACACCGGTTTGCGCGAGGACGGAGAAGCCACCAACGAATGCAATGTATGCTGCGACGGCTTCTGGAGAGAATCCAAGGACCTGAAAGAAATTTGAGCGTGAGTTTTGGAGAAAAACAGAAATTTGTGATCAGATCTCTTCCAATACCAAGTACAATATTCAGAATCGCCTAAAAATCAAAAACAAAAGCTAAAAGACTTACCAATTTCAAATAAACAAAGAAACATGAGAACTGGCCAGCTTCTGGTAGATTCGACAAGAAAACAACCGCGGACAATTGAAGAACGGTCGAGTCTTTGGCTATTACCTTCAATGAAAGGAAGGGATCAATTGATTGCCAATTGAAAGACTCCGCCATGAGGGGAGATTGTGGTATTTTCTGAGAGTCTTTTTGTTTCCGATTAATAATATCCGGCAGCGATTCGGGGACACACAATGCAATGAACAACAAATCCAGGGCAAATACGGCTGTGGCCTAGAATAACGTAAAATTTATTCCAAAACTGTTGTTACATCAAGTGCAATAAGGGCAAAACTTCCCTCTAATATAGTCCTTATTCCTTCCTAAAGTCAAAACAACAGCAAAAAAAAGCAAAAACTTACAATCCAAACAGCCAACTCATCATTATAAGTGCTCGAGATGTATGCTCCGAGAGCCGGCGAAGTGATCAATGAAGCCGCAAATGTGGCAGAGACATACCCACATGCTCTTGCGCGATTATGTTTCTCGGTAATGTCTGCCACGTACGCTAACGCCACTGAGAATGTCACGGAGAAGAAACCGGAAAGAGTGAACAAAGTGAAATACCACCTGAAAATGATGCCATTAAAGTTTTGTACCATCATTAAAGCATTCAAAAAGTCGGAACTGATGTTTGCAATCTGTGAATTTTGCTTGGAAGCAAAATCCACAAATATACCCTCCATCTTCCGAAATTATATTAACCATAACTATCTGTCCTAAACTCCAAAAAAGATCAAGAAAAATCACTTACCACGCGCTAATTTTCAAGCAAGGGATGGGCATACACGTAAAGAAAACCGTAATGAACAAGAACTTCTTCCTTCCCCATATATCGGACAACGATCCGACGAGAGGTGCAGATAAGAAGGATAACAACCCCTTCAATCCTAATATCAGGCCGTTCATGAGGAACTTGTTGGCTGGGAACGTTTCTGCCAGCACCTAAACATTGAACAAACAATTCCTATCGCATATAAAGAACACTTACATTAATCACTGGCACTGTAAGTAGACCCCATGCGAAATATTCGAGGAAGATGACCACCAAGGCATGTGTAAGGTGGGCGCCGCCGCCTTTCCGCATTTTACCGGGCGCGGTGGGAGATTTGGTACAGCCGGAGGAGACGGTCGAATGGGCGGCAGCACAGGGACGATGGCATAAGACTGAGAAAAGGGACCGGCTCTTCCGAAGGATCATCCGCTGAAAAAAAAGACATGCCGAAAACTGTTGAAAACTGGCAAACGACAGGAAAAGAGGACTAGATTATTAGAGAAAATTATATATAACTATGCACGCAGAAATTTTTTCAATACTAAAAAAGGTTCTTATATTACCGATTTACTATATTTTTTTTGAAAAAATTATATTGTACTAGGCAATTTCACAAAAAAAAGCAAAAAAACTTGCTGAAAAAAGAGGAGTGGAATATCTATAGCAAATTATTATTTTTCATACTCCTTAGCACACCCATATCAGACCAGCCGCAAAAAAAATTTCAACTTTTTCAATAAAACAGGTCATGGGTAATATAAAAACTGCTCCCAAAGGTGTTCTAGTAGCAATATCTTTATCCAAAATTTCCCATAAGATCCTAAAAAGCAACTTTCTACTGTTAATTACCTTCACTTTTCCCTAAACTGGCAAAAAACTGCAAAAAAGTCTTACAATTGTGATGAACGGAAGTAGGAGAATAAACTTTACACTGCGACATATTGGAGTAATTATCTTCATTCTAATTAGCGTCGGCTGTCATTTACATTCAATAAAAGCGAGAATATTCCCTTACGAAGTAAGGAATTGACATTAATAATGAATAGAGAGTACCCTCTGGAATTAGTCGCAAAAAATCGCCCTCTTTTTTTGCAGTGCGTGCAGTTTTCTTTTTTCCGAAAGCGGGGGAGAGCGAAAGGATGGGTGGGGAAAGACCAAACAAAGAGGGGGCAAGTCTTCCGCGGATCTCGGTCTCAGGTATCCAGAACCAAAAACTTGCTCATAAGGTGGACTTTTATGGTGTTTTTGAGCGACAAGACATAGATCGAGACGAGATAAGACATTTCAACTAATTATAACACCTTTTCTTGGGATTTTAGGAAAATTTTTTCGGATTTTCGGTAAAAATTATATTACTCATGACAAAAAACTGAGATTTTTTCAGTAAACCTCCACGATAAAAATATTCGTAGCATTCCGACACTTGTAAACATCCGCAACGCTCATTTCGAAATCTTACAGTGGCGGACCTGATCCAGTGGCAAAAAAACGTATCATTTTGCATCCGGGAAGCATCAAAAAGTGTAGCAATATACCATCTCCAAGCGAAAAACTCCGATTTCAAAACCTCGCTCTTTTGGTGACGGAGATTTAAAATGGAGTCTTTTAGTTGGAGAGGGAGGCATTTTGCCATATTTTTTGATACTTCCCGGATGCAAAATGGTACGTTTTTTGTCACTGGATCAGGTCCGTCACTGGAAGATTTCAAAATCTGCGTTGCAGATGTTTAGAAGTGCCGGGAATGCTACGAATATTTTTAACATTGAGGTTTACTGAAAAAATCTCAATTTTCTTGCCATGAATAATATAATTTTTATTCAAAAATCCTAAAATTTTTCCTGAACTCTCAAAAAAAGATGTTATGATTAGTTGAAATGTCTTATCTCGTCTTGATCTAAGTATTGTCGCTCAAAAACACCATAAAAATTATAATACCGCTCCTAAGTTTGTCTACCGCAACAAAGGAACACAAGAAGCGTCGGAAGTCAAACACAGACACAATACTGCAAAAAACCCCGATCAACAATAATAAAAGCTTCAAAAATAAACCGAAGTAACATTCGAATGTGAGGGGAAATAATCTATCCCAGTAATCACTAAAAAACAGAAGACAATCCAACTGCTAAATCTCACCTTGAGAAGTTTAATCCAGAACAAAAATTTCGACGATTATTTGAGCAGCATCAACGGGAGAGGGGGGCTAATTGTTCGCTCTGAAATTATAAAGATAAACATAAAATTTTATAAAAACGGAGAGGAAATCACAAAAGGTCTCGTCATAAATTGAAACGAAGGGGGCTATAAAAACAGATTTTAATTGAATTTATTGCACAATTAAAGTTTTTGGTGTTGAAAAAGGCGAAATTATGGGTAAGTAAATAGATGAAATTTATAATTTTTGATATGGAGGTCAAGTTTCTGAGCTTCCTTAGCGTTTAATATTAAATAATAAGCGTCCTCCAGCTAAGATAAATAGTAAAATTGAACAAATAAAAAAATTTTTTTGCCTATTACAATATCAGAAAATGAAAATCCAATTTCAAAAAACTGAACTCCAAATTAGGCTACTACGTAAGAAATGTCATTTTCATGCAATATACGTCACAAAAACACAGTAAAGCCCATAAAAATTACGCTTTTCGACAAAAATTTATATTATCCATGATGAAAATTTTCAAAATCCCCTTTAATTTTGATAATGGCAAACTCAAAATCCATCTCCTACAGCTCTAAATGATGCAACAGGCCATAGTCTTCACTCCGAACCCGTCTGACATCGCACTTATCATCCGTCAATGCCCTTTTCGTCGAGATCCAGTTCCATCGAGGCTTCCGTTTCGCCGATGGAAACGCGGTTCGCTTTCAACAACAAGCCCTCTGGAAGCCGACACCGCTGTCCCCCATGTGAGCAAACAAGCCCGGCCCCGCTGCCCTGATAATCATATTTTTTCTTCTAATTCCGTCAGCCCTGCGGCGGGTTTAATCCAAAACAAAGAATTGGAAGTCGGTCAAATGGAGGGAGTTTTGGCCGAAAATCAAGGCGAAACTGATATCAATTAGTGAGAAAAGGTCTAAAAAATGGTCTTGTAACTCAAAAAACCGGATGAATCACCAACAACGGGGCTGCGGATATTTTTTAGCTTATACGACAGCTATCTGCCCAAATAAAGAGTCATTTCCATGGAAAAACGAAGAAAAAGCGAACTCTCGTGCTAATCTCCGTTAGGAATCGGTCTCCTTCCCTTCCAAAATCAACTTCAATAAGTTTTCAGGGCTCGATAAACAACTTCCGACATCAGTTTACATTCGCCTTCAAGTGTAATATAAAAAAATCAAAAACCGATGCGTTTTGGCATCGCTTCAAGAAATACTGTCAGAATTTTAATTGAGCTTGATAAACGTTGCATAAAAAGCCCGCTTATCACTTGATCGGAGAGAAGGATGAGCAAGAAAAATGAATCATTTTGATAACCGAAATTGTAAATCTAAAATAACATTTTTTCTCTTCAAAACCATCTTTTCAAACTAAAAATCAATTCAAAACAAAAAAATAAACTCTCTATCTTGATCAAGAAGTCGTTGTCCACCTGAAACAAACAAAACTGAAGTAAAAAGCAAACTTTTTCGAAGATTTTCGACCTTCATCATGAAAAAATGGCTGAAAAACAAATATCACGTAAAGAAAGTGGGAAGCTTGTGTTTTCTAGCAAAACTGCGATTGTAATGAAGAGGAAACAGTCATTTCCAGGATGAAAACAAGAAAAAATCTTTCGTTTTTTGCCAGGGAAATATTTCCTGGCATTCTGTGGCAAGAGGCGCCAAAGTCGCGGGAAATTTGAAACAGTTATACAAAAAGGGACAAATTTTGCGGTAAAAGGTTTCAAATTGGAAAATTAAAGTTTGTATGCTTGTAAAAGCGTGTTTACCATTTATTTTGACCATAAAATCGCTGAATATTGACCCATCTTATAGTAGACATCAACCCAAAGTAAAATTTCAAAAAAAAAATCGGTTTATGGCGGCTGTAAGGCCTGAAATTGATCAAAAAAGGACCACTCGGCCTTGCAATCGCTCTGCTTTCAATTCGCCTTTTAAATAACAGTTTTACTCATCAAAAAATCCATAATAATAACCTTGTTTCAATCCGAATATTGTCATTTTCTAACGTGGCAAGAAGGCAATTAAATGATTAAAGTGTAATTTTCAAACATTACACGAATTAACGTCGCTATAGCGACCATAATGACCTGCAGTGTAAAGTCACTTGAAGTTGCACTTTTCTCTTTTTTTTGGAGATGTTTTTGTTGCGGTTATGGATACTGTAGTATATCCAGAAACGCTCCAGAAACAATCCAGAACTTCTCCAGAAGCTCTCCAAAGCTTTTTTGCAATTGAAAATACTGTAATTCTATGATATTATTGATGTAGCCTTGTGGTAGACGTGGTTTGCACAAGGGATTCCTCATTATAAGGCTACAAAGATAATAATAGCGAGTGTAATATGCAAAAGTAGCCATGGAAACAGGAAATTATCCGTTTCTTATGACGTTTTAATCCGTGAAAAAACAATAACAAGATTACAGATATAAATTCGCATTTAAAAATCCATTTCTTAGTATTTTATCTGCTCTGAGGGCCATCTCTAAACGAGGCTAATTTCCTTCTCGCTTTTCTTGGATTATAGGAATAGAGATAAACATTACACTTTTTGACTACTTGGAAGAGGAAAAATGGGTCCATTTATCGTCGTTTATGTAACGAGAGGGCTGTACGTAGATAAGGAGACTAATGCCCATTTTGAGCCGTCTTGAATTGGAAATGGGTGTTGTGGGAAGGGTGAGATTGGATGATTTTTACTGTGGGCTTTTGAGTTATTTCTTGAAGTGATTACTTTACACGAGGAATAGCTAAGGGGTGATATGGTGATCTTGATGCAATTGAATGCATAAATCCATCCATATTACGGCTTTCTGTCGTACAGTGGAACCAGTATTGTTTCGTTATGAAAGAGTCCGTTGTACAGAGGCTGATCGTCAACTGCCCTTGTAAACTTTGGCCTAATATTTGAAAGAACGGCAAGGCTTTTAAATCGTATATTGCCAAGGTGCAGTAAATAGAGAAATTTGAAAAACGGGACGTTTTTCCGAAAGACAGCTCATACTGTAGCCATAAACTTGGTGCTAGCATTCCTGTATCTATTTTTTGCTATTCCGCAAAGATGTTTTCTCAGAGCACTTCCAACAAGTTGTGTGGTACAATTTTTAAATACATTGACAGGAAGTTATTAATCGCTCCACTATGCTATTAAATCTCCACGGAGCCCTACTTCCCAATATCAATCTTCATAAATCCCGTTTTGGCAAAACAATCCCTTTTGGACGAAAGTATTCATTCTCAAACATACAAGTGTGTAAAGCGTTGTATATATGTGTAATATACATATATTAGATGGGTATTGTTGATGAAGTCAAGAGTAATGAGATTCTTTCATTTTAAGTGGACGTTTTTGAATCTTTCTTTTCTGTAAAACGTTTTATTTTTAATTCTAAAATTCAACGCTCATGCCTTTTTCAAATTTTTCTAGGCGGTGGATAGGATGATTTCGATTCTTCAAAGGCTTGGCTCGCGCTTTGTGGGGACAGAATAGAGATTTGACAGCATTTACAGACGAGAGGATGGGCAAAATGTGGACAGTGGCCAGAGAGAAAAACGCTTCTTTTTAGTCCTATCTCTGCCAACTTCGCGTGAAGAAAATTAATTTTTTTGTGATGATGTTGCTTATAAACCAACAAAAAATGCTAATTATACTCTATGGATAGGGCAACATTTTAACGTTTTTGTCAGCATTCAGGCTGAAAATCTACACAGCTCGAGCTGAAATATCGCATGTCTTTTTAGTCTCCACAAAAAAAGTTATTCTCTAATCTCTCTGACATTAGACACCCAATTATAAGCTGCAAAAACTTGTACTCCGCCGCCAATTAACTGAAACCCACTTTGGGAAAAACAAACAAGATTAGTGTCGTTCATAGGGCACGCGTCGAAATACTTAATTTTGCAGCGAGAGTCTCATGGCGTGACAGCCGTAATCCTCGCCGTAATAAAGTGGAATCCAAAAATATTGGATTCCGGAGTTTGTTAATTTACTCCGCTGTGTTTCCTCGAAGGCCTAATAAGGTGTTGGGAAAATCTCGAATAAAATTACTCTGCTCTTTGATTACTATTCCATGCTATTCTAGTTTTATTAGTCAGAGCTTATATTGCTATTGGAAAAGAATTTTTGGGATATTTGGCTATTAAAAGCGCCTCAAAAATCAAGTATTATAAACTAATATTGGTGTCATCTGTTATTGTAATTCTGTGATGGAAACCCAATCACAACTCTCCACCGAATCCGAGAATTCGAATCCATCGTGTTCGCAACGACATCGAATGCGGAAACAAGTCCATTTCAGCGAGCTCTCCATGACCAGTGTCCTCTCGCCGACGGTGATTCGAATAAATTGTGGAGGCCAATTGATTGAAGTCACCCGCGAAACCTTGGAGTCCTATCCCAAATCGGCTTTGTATGAGTTGACGAAAAATCTAAGGCCAAATGATGAGATCTTTATCGACCGAGATCCGTATGGTTTGAGGACAATTGTCGACTATTTTCGGTGTGGGGTCAGGATTTTGTACAGTGAGTGCACGACGACGGCCAATGCAGAGTACTTGGAAAAAGAGGCCGAGGTGAGTTGAGGGACTTTTTTTGACTAATGGAAGATACAGTGGTTGGTTGAGATTACTTTTTTGGCCTAAAAATTATAAGACTTTAGTGGAGTCAAGGCTTGAAAAAACCTCCTTTTTATTTTCTCAATAAAGTTTACAAGGGAAGTACTTATTATGTTATATTTGGTATTAAACAAAATGGGGATGTCTGAGGATTCAGGGAAAAAACGAATTTTGAAATTTGGCCCAAAATTAAAGAAGTTATAGCTCAAATCGGGCCACCAAACTGGTACACCCTGTACTCCAAATGCAATGCTCAAATTTTCTTTAAATTTTGCTCAAACTTCGAGCGTAGGTCACACATCAATGGCTGAAAGTTTTAGCCCTCTCTTTCTAGAGGCAGCCGAAATATTGTAAGGCTTTTGCGGCCGAAAGTCTGCACTAAAGGCGGAGTGCGGTCATAGATAAAAACACTTTTTGGCTGACCGTATCTTTGCCGGTTTTGCATCGAAAAAATTAATTTTGTATGGGACAATTCCTCTCTACAGTAGAAATATACATAAGTACTTCAATTCGCTAAAAAGCTTCAAGTTTTTGCCAGCTTTTGACTTAAAAATGTCGACCGTTTCTGCAAAACATAAGCTAGAAATTACTACCTAGCAAATTAATTCTTTTTTTTTCGTTTTTTATCCCGAATTTTCCGTCAAAATATCTTTGGCTTTCAGTTCTACGGCTTCGACGACATTGCAATAAAATGTGGTGCTCTCTACAACTTCAAAGTGAAGAGTGAAGTCTCCTGGAGGCCAGACGTCATTGACTCCTATTATCCGCTGTTCGCAAAGTGCATAGTCGATCCGAATTTGGTGGTTCCTTTTACGTACGAACGGAATTCTCATCTAGTTGCGAGATGCATTGCTTGTGAATTCAGTTACGAACCGAAGCAAGGCCACATTTTTGTCTTCAATATTCAGGAATGGGCGGCGTTAAAGCATCACATGGGAGTGATGATTGGAATAACGGAAAAGGTATTTTTTAAGGGATGCTGTGATAAGCAGGCTCTATTGGAAAAAAATTAGTGGCAAAACGTGGATTTACAATACAAATTATTGTAGTATAAGACATCAATCTTTCCCAAGTTCCAAAAAATTTTATTTGTTATAGTTATAGACAATTTTTTGTTGTATTGAGGTTATCTTTTACATAAAACTGGCTTCGGAGACCCCTGAAATTATTCGTTATATACATAATTTGTTGTATTAGAGTTGTGGTTCGACTAGGATCGTCTCAGAGACAGTTGCTTTCCCTTACATTTTTAGTCATCATTTTTTTCAGCTTCTCGGCCCGACTTGCGTACTTGTTCGATGGGCCAATGGAATCCAAACTCATCTTCCGAAAACTGCTCTTCGAGTAGTTGTGGACGACTTATAGACCTTTTAAAATGATATGTATTGGTCATAAAAATACGATGACTACAGTCAAATCTCTGTACAACGAACCACAAGAGAGTATAAAAAAATTTTGTTTTATGGAAGGGTTTTGTTATACGAAGCTTCATTTCGATCCAAGATTAACTTCTGTAACCTCTAAAATTGTTTGTTATAGACAGGTTTTGTTGTACAAAAATTTTCTGTACAGAGGTTTTACTTTATTTTTTTTATCAGATATTTATTGCCAATCAATTCCAAATAAAAATTGCTAACTCCAATTCCAAATTTTTTGCCCGTTTCATTTTACAAATCCGCAATTAGGCCTCATAATTGTTGCGCTAACTGGTGGCTTTCCCCGATGCATTGCGCAACTTTAAATAGAGAGTGTGTGGAAAAGTTTGGCGACCACATTGTCTCACCCACTCTTCAGTTACGCAATTTTACGGACGATGTGTGAAAAGTTGCGCAAAATTCTTGGCACCTGCCGAGAAATCCGAGAACTCTGAGATTATGCATTTTTATAGACTGGATACTGTACGTTTAGAGGGTCAAATCACAATCAAAAAATTGCAAAAAGACTGAAAATTTGTTTCTCAACAAAAGTTTTGGGTTAAAATTTTCCATGGCCAATAAAAAAGGCTTGAGAAAAAGCGGGCTGCCGACAAAAACAAATAGGATTTGCGGTGTTCACGGCTTTCATAAACCGCCTTTCCTTGACCGACATTGTTTACCCAGCCAATTAGAGCTTATCCTTTATGCTTTTTGGGAGAAAAAAACCTACAAAAACTATAAAATACATAATTTATTCGCTTTTTTCAATTACAATATACGGATCGGACTTTTTTGGGGAGAAATTGCAAGAATATGAGTTTAGAGTGATAAAAACAAGACCCGGAAGGTTGAGACAACATCAAGGACCCTTTTAGAAAGGGTTTACAATGTAAAAAATTAAACAGTAATTCCCTAGAGCTGATTGTGAAAATCAAAAAAACTCAAAAAAATTAGAATTGATTACTCTTGAACAAGTTAGTCTTTGGTCCCAAAGGGTTCGAATACAGCTTGGCTGGGGGTTTGAACGCTTTCGGCGAGCTGGTTCCGGGCATTTGGACGGGATGGGGTTGCGGAAACATCGCTCTTTGCTGGAGCAGGGCGAATTGAAACCAGGCCAGATTATTGACCGTGGGAAGGAGAGAGGGGTAAGCAGGGGCGGGCTGGAGGGTTGAGAGGCCCGCTGAAGGGCAAAATCGTTTCGCTGGGGGCTCATTTTCGTTGGCGGAGGCCTAAAAATATTGTTCATGAGAAAAAATCAAAAAAAAAAATCTAAAAATCTCTTAAACTGGTATATTCCACTTGAAAATGGAGCAAATTCTAACTTACAATTAATTTCTGAGTTGTATTTTATACCTTTACTTAGTTTTCATGTAACTTTTTTTTCAAAAATACCAAAAAACAGCAAAAAAATGCAAAATTTCACTTCCAAAAAAATCCAGAAAATCCGTCATCCTGACATTTAAAATTTTTCTCAACTCCTTTACACTCTTTGTATTCTCTTTTTATCTAATAAGCAACCCAAAATTTTCAATATTTCCCAAAAAAAACGACCAAATTTATCTTACACTAGGCTTGGGTCTAGGCAATCCGTTTTCACACGAATTCTCATCATTTTCCACTTCTAGCCTCTCCATCTTTATCATTGGTGGGTTGTTCTCCTTGTCTTCTTCTTCATAACATCCATAACTGGGTTCCTGTTTCACCATATGAGGGTGGCCAGTGATCGGAAGTTCGCCGAAGACCCTGCGTTCGGTCTGCGGTTTAATGGCCGCGAATTTGAAGTTCAACGGGGGTAAGAGCGGGGTGCTTGACGGGCGGATGCCAGTTCCGAAGATCGCCATCCAAGTGTCGTCGTATGGGATGGCCAAGTTTGAAGCTTTGACAAAATCTCTCATGCTTTTATCGGCCTCTTCGGGAGTGGCTAAAGTAATGTAAATTAGTCAAAAAATAAAAAAAATAATAAGATTTAACTGTCAAATTGTTAGTCAAAAGACATTTCATACCCTTAGGTTCTGGTCCGCAGTACTGAAACATTGGGATTTTCTTGGTTCCAAACATGTAGTGAGCTTTTTTGACCAGTCCGAGAGCCACGAGGACATTGGCAATGTCATAAAGTCGACGACATCTGCTGCGACTTGGTGGATCGAACCCTTCTCGTTCTGTTTCTTTGATCAAAACAGTTGATGCAACATCCAGACTGACTTTTCTGTCTTTCTGAAAAGAAAAAATGAAATTTTCCAAATTTTTTTGCCATGAATAATATAAAAATTGGTCGAAATTTAATAAATAAACCTTCTAACTACCAAATTACTGTCTCTAAAATCTTGTAAACACTCTAGAAAACCCTTAGAAATCAACGCCTACTCATAGTTCACTTATATTCTCCTTGTCCATCACATCCCCACTACCTACTGTAAATCAATTAGAACTCAAAAACATGACATTTATGTCGTCCAGAAACTTTTCGCATCGATTTTCTCCGAATAACCTTCAGTTTAATGCGTTTTACGATTGATGGACCACTTGCCATAGTGCGATTGCAGAATAAGTTTTGGCGCGCAATCTTTGCTCTCGAAAATAACTTCCTCGAATCAAATATAATTGACATTAGCGATGAAATGTCGTTAAAGCCCATTTTATGGGCGTAAAATAAGTTACGACAAGTTTTTTGAAGGTTAAAAGCATTCATCGGAGAATTCGGATATTACACTTGATGAGGAATATAAAATGGCTCAAAAAAATTATAGTGGGAGATTATTGGTACCAAATTTGTATCGGAAATAAAGTTTCAGATCCTCGGAGTCATTTTAAGACCAAAATCAGCAACTTTGAGATCAATTTTTATATTACACATCAGAAAATTTATATTAATTTAACACAAAATTCCATTTCAAACAACCTATTTCTTCTGAAAGTCTCCAAAGTCCAAAAACTCACCGGATCACTCAAGATGACCATCAGAAATCGGGAGCACAACAATGCCAACGAGTTTTTGTTTCCCTTTTCCTTCAAAAAGGACCCAAGTTTGTCATTCGGCGAATCCACCGGCGATTCCTTGACTTCCTCGACCTGTGGAGGTGCCGAACCCGAAAGCCCGATCTCATGCAGCTTTCCCATTGCATCCTGAACATCAGCTACACGTTTTTTGAGACCTTCATCACGGGCTTCTTCCTGTAAGAAATTAGATTATTCATGATCAAAATATTTGATAATCAGAGCGATTTTTGGCATGCCAAGAAAAGTGAAAGACTGTAGACTGTCATATCTAAGATACTTTAGGTGATTTTCAAGGATTTTTGACAAATTTTTATCTTATACTTGACCAAAAAATTCACCTCCAATTTGGCCATAATGATAGGCAATTTTGACAGCGTATTCCACTGATAATAGCTCTTGTTCCCCTTGCTCATCGCATCCAGCGCTTCCATCACATTCACAATGTCGTAGATCCGTCGCTTCTCCGTCTTCATCTCCTTGGCCACTGTTTCCAAATGAATTTCTCGGCATTTGCAGTTCTTCACTGTCGCGCAATCACCCCGGCATTCGCACGGCAATCTCCCGCCATGACATTTTCTCTCCTTGACGTTGGCCAAGGCTTGGCCCATCGCGATCAGAAAGCGGCGACACAATTTCCCCAGCGACTTCTCTTTTCTGGACGCCGGAGTTTGAGAGGTCGTGGCTTCGTCGTCACTGTCTTCGCTGGGGTTCTGCGACTTTTGCGACAAATTTGAAGACATGGCTGAAAAATTGAGAGAGTTAGATTGAGATCGAGTAGTATTTCAACAGTGAAATATCGAAATTAAAACAGCGGGTATTTGTGGGGCAAGGATAACAAAAAAATGTCGGAAAATTATGTTTTCATAGAATTTTCGGTGCAAACAGCACTTATATCTGATAACAAGGCTATTTTCGAAATAAAAAAGGTAAAAATGTTTCGGGTTTACATCAAATTTATATTACACTTGATCAAAACTAAAGTAATATCGGAAAATCAAAAAATATTTTAAGATATTCGACTTTTACCAGAAAAAAAGAGTACTAATATACAATTTGAACATCCAAAACAGTTTTTGGAAAAATTGTAATTGTAAATAATTTTTTTTACAAATTCGCGAAGTGTCAAAATTTTATCGATTTTTTCTTTGACACTTCGTCAAATACCCCAAAACAACCATTACAACTTACATAAGAACGAGGCGCACGATTCACTGGTCTGATTGAGTTCCGATACACTCTTCATGATGTCAACGGGATCGAAGGTGGCTTGGCACTGCAATAGAACACAATTATATTATACTAGGTCATGAGCTTCGCCGAAACCGCGCACAGAGCCGCGCAAATCAACGAAATGAGACTGAATACGAAAACGGCTGGACACTGGCCACTGATCAAGCGCATCTGCGCCATTCTCGCGCGACGCGGGATTTCGCTCTCGACATAAATTATAAATGGTTCGCCGAAAAGATTAGGCAAGCAAATTCTGGGCGGAGACTGGGCGAAAAATTGGCGCGCGTTTTTTTTTTGTTTGGCCACAGTCGAGAACAGGTCGAGAGTCAACCGAGAGATGAATGGAGTGCGCAAATAAGAGGGAAGAGCGCCAAAAAATGAGGGATTTTTGACAGGATTGAGTTGATACAGTACATGATGGACATATGCGATTGGTAGGCCGGGAGTTTCGTGCGGAAAATGATGTCCGAAAAGTCTAGTATCATCTGCAGTAGATTTATGTCGAAAGGCTTGAGTTTAGATAAAGATTTGAGGGTTTTTGATATTACACTTGACATTAGTCATCATGAGGAAATAAAGTTGCAAAGATAAGCCTAACTAAATGTAATTTTCATTGCATAATGTCTGATAGAGCCTAAAACTTCTATTATTAATAACAATTCTGTCATCTTTTGTCAACAGAAATCATCAACATCAAATTTTATCTATATAACACAATCAAAATTTAATGTTAAAAATAATTCAGACTTACACTAAATCAATTGTAAATAGAACCTCCAGTTAATATTTTACTCTCACACCTCACTTTTATCCATTACAACCGCCCCACAAACCAGAGAGTCCCAAAAAATGGCGCCAACAACTGGCCATCCATGGAAAATGGTCGCCCTTTTCGAAAAACGGGCGCGAATTCTCGAAAAAAGTTCTCTTTTCTACAGTTTCGGCGCCTTGTCATGTTCTGATGCGAACATGTGTTCATCTCGAGGTCGTTTCGGACACAAATCATTCAATCAGAAGAAGAGAGAAAGGCGCCGTTTTTGTCTTGCCGAAGATGGAATGCCATACCTATTATTAATGGAGCTACCGTAATCTGAGGCCAAAAATGGCCATGACAAAGGTCGAGAGAGGCTTAATCGGGATTTTTGAGATCCTCTGTACAGGTAATTTTGCTGTGAAATTGCAAAATTTTTGCTAAAAGAATCAAAGTCATCAAATTTAAATATCAAGTATAATATAGCAGTGTATATTCAAACTCAAAAAAAATTCAAAAACTTCTCCGATTTGAAATCATTCGTCCCGCTTTGATGGGTCTGCGGTTTTATCTTTTTCATTGACCATGAACGCCACCAAAAATATCTTTCCGTTCAAAGCCGAGCGCCTCATTTTCGCGCCCAAACCGTTTGAATTGGGGGGAGAAGCGCCCGAGGAATTAGTTCATAATCTCCAATAGGGGCGGCAGAATTTTTTTTAAAAAGCAAATATATAAAGATTTAATCTTGAAAAGGCGTATTTTACATTGACAAGAACGAAAACGAAGAGAATGGGAAAGCGATGATTTTTGGGGTAGACTTAAATTTTTTTGTAATCTAGATGTTATGCTGCTAAAAATCTATCGAAAATTATGACCTTTGCAACGAATGGGGAAGCACACAGCGTATTGGCACCAGTTTTGCATCAAATCCAACAGCCGTAACCCTCAAAATTTCATCCAGACATTACTGTGTCATGGATAATACAAAAGTGTCGTCTAAGAAAAATCTTTCCTTTTAGAGTGAAACTAAATTATTTTTCAAAGCTCCCATGATCTCTGTTTTCCCTCTAAATGTTTCAGTAAGCTCTCAGAAGTTACAAAAATTCACTAGTATCAAAAAGCGAAATGTCATCATTTTGCCATGGATAATATAAAAAACTAGCCAAAACCATGACTTGCTGGTTCCCAAATTCAAACTACGGTCCCTTAAAATACTTCTTGACCATTCAAAAACTCTAGATCAAACGTACAAACGCCGTTTCACACAATATTACCCTTCCCAGACACAATCTTCACTGACCGGTCATGCCTTGCCGAATCCCTCGAAAAACATTGCCCAAAGCGATGGATGGCTTGGAGTAATGAGGATGCAACCGCAAGATCGGTGTGTGGACGCGAAGGCGCTTGGTGTTCCCGCAGACTGGGGCGCGGCGGGGACCGCCCTTTTCCCGCTTTTCCGTCGCTTTCCCGCTTCGGCGTTGCGCGCGCTTTCTTTTCGTATCCTGTGTCTGGCGGTCTCCTCATTTTTTTGTGACCTTTTTTCAAAGTCTGCTGAGTCTTCTTACTCTACTCTTACAGATGAGACGGTCTTTTCGCAGGACTCTGAATTTAGGGTTACTGTAGGCGGATTAAGGGGGATTTGAAGAGATTTTAGAGGAGATACTGCCGAAAATGCCTAAAAATGCTGATATAAACTATAGCCTGGATCAAAAAGCATGCTATTAAGAGCCATTAGCCCAAACAAGGCCAATTATGGATCACTTACAACTTGTTAGAATACCCTAAAACTTTGCTGAAGCTCGAACTTTCCATCAAAAATCGTAAAATCCACCCATAGATCAGCGATATGACAGGTACCGGTGAGTGATTGCGCTAAACCTTTCACTCTTTACGATCCGCGCCGATTCCCATAAAAGGTTATCTCATAACAAATGAGCTGATATTACATGTTGCCAGATTGCAAGGGCTGATAAAAGAATGGTTGATGATGTAATTCATCATGTTTTATTATTATGAGTCTTGGCTCGGTATTGGAACATTAACGATAGAAAAATGAGTACAATAGTCATCAAAAAAGAAGAGTACAATAGTCATCAAAAATAGTATATGTATTATTTTTCCTTACATGTTAAGGCAATGACTGTTCGACTCTCCTCATTTTATGTACTCTCTCGCAAAAAAATTTTTTTTTCAATATCTCAGTTGCCCTATCAAAAGGCAAGCTAAAAATTTCAAAAATTAAAAAGTCCCCAATTTGGCAAATATCCTCTAAATTTTGGCAAAAGCAATATGTCATGATTGTATTACTCTCAATTTGAAAATCTCTAAAAGTATTACCATCCCACCTCAGCTAGCCCCATCTCACCAATCCCACTTGAAACCCTTTGCCGAACGGTCATTCCTCCCGTCGCTGGCGAAGAGCATAACATCATGTCGCTTCCAATTATCCGCGCCAACCTTTTGCAGACGGTTGCTTTGGAAAGTCTGTCGCCTTTTCGAAATTTGCCGCACTTTTCGCCGTACGAATTTGAAAAAATTGCGCCAAAACATGGATGTTGTAAAAATCTCCGCCGTTTAAAAAGACCGACAGAGAAAAAGGGATTCAAAAAGTCATGCGAAATATGAAATGGCCAGCAGTAAGATTACTATCACAAAAAAATGTTGGAAAATCAAAAATAGTACTGAAATCGCCGAACGCAAAAAGAAAGAAGGTCTACTAATTATGGACAAACAGAGATGATAAGTTTATTTTTTCGTAAAAAGCGCGCCAAGTTGAGGAACGCCTTGCGGACGGTCTAAACAAACAAAATTATTATACTATTCGCCATGGTGTTGATAATTAGAAGACTGAATTTAATCAAGTTCAATTCGAATTTCCTCAAATTTTGTCAACATTTTGACTAATTAATAGAGAAATTTAGTAAAAATTTCAGCTCATGCTTTGCAAGCGTAATTGAGAAGCTCAACAATCTTTTCCGCCGAATACAGGTCATGAGGAGGACGGTCGGAGAAAGGAACATGATTTTTTCACAATCAGCTAGTTGCTCAGAGAGCCTAACTTGTGAGTTGCATTGATGGCCTAGATATCCATCGATATGTATAGAAAACATACATGCATATGTGTAGGAGAAGTGACATAGAGAAAAAACGCTTTTGGTTATATCTTTGCCAATACCGAGACAATTTTTCATTTTTTGTAAGAAGCTTGACTCTTATGGTATAAAGAATGAAAAAATCCTCGTGTATAAACCCTCAAAAAGCGTAGAATCTATGTCAACTTCTGACTTTGAAATCTCGTTTGTTCCTGCAAAGCATGAGCCAAAAAAATCTTACTTGTCTTATCGTTAGTTAGAAAAATGTGGTCTAAATTTTTGCCAAGTTTTTACAAAATCTAATATCTCTTCGAGTTCTTTAATCAAGTTCCATTTAATTTTTTAGCCATTTTTTTGTAAATTACTTCAATACAATTTCTTTGTCTCTTTTGAAGCCTCAAAATTTCCTTCTCAAATTTCGCAGCAAGGCCAACTCTCCAACTCTTTTTTGGCGCCGTTTCCAGAAGTCGTCCATTCAAATCATCTTTTTTTTCGAAAGCCCTGTGCCATCGATTTTCGGCACAATAACTTCCGATGCCAAAAATGCGGACGGTTGAAGGGGACAGAAATAACGATCAGATCTGATTTTAAGCGATTTTGGCGGCATTCAAACACTTCCAGAATTGCTGGGAAAAGAAAAACAGACAGGAATATCCATAGAAACAGAATTTTTAATCACCATTAACTGGCAAAAATTGAGGATTTACAAGTTAACCGAGCTCTCTGGAAACATTCAAAAGGGTTTTTTTTTGAAAAATTTTAAATCTGATGACAAAAAATGTCATTAAAGTACATATTGCGTGATTTCGCGGACTGGACCTCAATGCCCGGCCTAATCCAGCTGATTAACGCGCTAAATGCGTACATTCGAATGGCGTGGGCGGTGATCTGGACGGCCATGTGGGCTGTTTTCTTATACGAGTTCTATTTGATTATCGACAAGTTTCTGCAGTACCCCGCCTCGGTGACAATTTCGTTGGGCTACAAGGGAAGGGTAAGTTTTCTGTGGAAGATTCCAAATTATTTTGTAAAATGCTGAAGTTTTACGATTTAGGCTTTCCCCATGGTCACAATTTGCAACCAAAATCCGTTGAGATATCAGATAGTACAGAAGAATTCGACGTATTCCGAACTAAATAATATTATGACCACTTACAAGCAGTTGGTTCAGAGTAACTATGACAATATTAGCGGGAATCCGTATGGAGTCAATGTGAGTTTTCAAAAAAAAAAAAAAAAAAAAAAATCAAAATGACAAGGAATTATCAGTTACTGTATTTTTGATGATTAATGTCGTTTGATGAAACTTGGCCCAAGTAATAAAGCTTGGCCCAAAAAAGCCTCAAACTTTTTTCTAGGGAGGCGCGAAATTTTTAGCAAAAGCTCTGCGCAAAAAAAGCCTACATTTTTAGTCCGAAAGCTGGTTAAATTTGGAACTTTCTTTGCAATTTGCTATGTAAGAAATATTTCAGCCTTAATTATAGCGGAGAAAGAAGTACTTTCCTTTTACAAGGAAAGTACTTCTATGGGTTGTGGAGTTACAGGTCGAGATATATATCAAAAAATTCGCAAAAATTTTCTGATTCAGAATATATAAAAACTAGCTGCCTAATTTTGGTCTATCAACGAGTTTTATCAATAAATGTATTTCTCGAGGAAAAAAATCTGCGGCAACAAAAGCGCGCTCGGTCTATTCCTTCGGAAGAGAGCGGTGTGGCCGAGTGGTTAGAGCGCTAGATTGGAAATCCGAAGGGAGCGGGTTCGATCCGTTTTGCCACACTAGAACCCATTTTTTACATTGGAACTACTTCTAAGGTGTAGTTTTAATCTAATTTGATATTTTAAGGCTTGTCAAGGCCTCAGAATTTATTTTAGCACAAGACAAAAATTTTTTATTGGTAAAAACACGGTCAAAAAGACACTTGCATGGTGTCGCGAGAAAACTTCTGAGGACAAAAACATGTCATCAGACCAAAATTAGGCAGCTAATTGTTATATATTCTGAATCAGAAAATTTTTGCGAATTTTTTGAATATCTCGACCTGTAACTCCACACCCCATAGAAGTACTTTCCTTGTAAAGAAAAACTGAGCCTTGCACTTTGAACACTTGTTTCTTCAAACAGTTCCTAGCAAAGCCCCGTTTCAGGACTACGAAAGTCGTTTTACAAAAACCGCTGTTCTGCAACAAGCCCAAGTGCTGGCTTTGAACGATTTGACAAGTGACGAAATTAAAGCCGCCTCCTACACTCTGGACAACTTCATTTTGGCCTGGTACTTCAACAACGCGAAAGTAAATGCTTCATTCTTCAACGAGTTTATCGATCCCACTTTTGGCTTGTGTTATCAATTCAATTCGAATAACACAGGGACCACGTTGGTGACTAACCGAGCTGGCAGCTATTTTGGGCTGAGATCATTGGCGCTGGTTAATGTAAGATAACCCTTTAGCTATTTTGCTGTAAAACTTGGCTAAGAAAGTTCTATGAGAATTTTTCAGCAAAGATCTCCTGATGGAACACTGCAATACTTGCCAACGACAATCGCGGCCGGTCTGAAAGTCGGGATAAATTATCAAAATGAAGACCCGGCCATGGAGAACTACGCAATCAATATTGGCGTAGGAACTGAGACCATGATTTCGTTGGAGTTGGTAAGGCCTTTACCATGAAAATTCTCGAGGGTTGACACATAGAATTTAATGATTCTGGTAGAGCAACACAACCAAGAGATGATTCAAGCCAAAAAAACCAAATTTCAGACTGAGGTGAACCGAGCAAGTCACCCTTACGGAGACTGCAGCGACGATGAGACCCTCAACTATTACACTAGTTTCAACTACACCCTAACCTATTGTTTCCGGTCTTGCATTCAAAGAAGAACTATTAGTGCTTGCGGCTGCGCCAATCCGGTCTACGCGAAGCCGGACAATGCCAGCTACTGCACTTTGGATGACTTGTCTTGTGTGTTTCTACAGAAGACGGCTCAACAAGACGGCAGCAACTTTAGTGTGGCCAGCGAATGTGGCTGTAATCCGTCTTGCAGCGACACGAATTTTGATATAATTGTGTCGGTGGGGAAATCGCCATCGTTGGATTATGCGCCATTGGTGGATGTGAATCCGGTAGGTTGAATGTTGAACATTCCGAATAAAAAATTAAGTATAGGAAAGGTAAAATACGGTGCTCCAACAAAATTCCCCATAATGGCAGCATATATACAGGGTGTACCAAAAAAATGGAAACTTTTTTTCATGGGTCCTGACGCGAAAATGGTTAGGTGTAGCCAAAGAAGTTTATTACTAAAAAATTCTCTGTGTTTTTCTGTCCTAGTGGTTTGATTTTTATGCCCATATCGATTAATCGACCTGTTTTTCTGAACTTCAAACGAAGGGACCTCGATTTTGGACTTGTTTTTGGAGCTGTTCGAACAGTTAATTTTCTAGGTATAGAAAGAACGTTGCGTCGAAAGTAATCACGAGGCCCAAGGAGCTTGATACGGATAGTAAGCGCCCAGGAAGTGAAAGAAAACGCACCGCCAGCGCTTCTTTCAACCGGAAGATCCCCAACAGCAAAATCCGCGATTTTCAAGAAAAACTTTCCCTTGAGACTGACATCAGCGACCGATCAGTCGGCCGAATAGCCAAAGACGAGATCAATCTCATGTCATACAAGCTCTAAAAAGTTCAGATCTTTAAAGTCGAGAGAAAGTGCGTACGGCACAAAAATGTCGGAAAGTCAAAGGGGCGGGCCGCAGCTCCGAGACGTGAGCGCATTCAGTTCGCGGTTCAATATTTGGCGGATACACAACCACCAGAACGATAGAATCTGCTTCAATGAAGCTCCTAGCCTGTTGGCCATCGTCGAATACCGCCAAATTCCGGGCCGTCATTGCTTAAGGCGGAATTTGTGCCAGCGGCAAGAAATCCATGTTTTTCGTGAATCAATGGGGCAAAATACTAGCGCCGCGTTAATTTCTATTTTGTCGTGCTTCCGTCAGCTCAGCAGAACCTTGGCAATGCAAACTTGGCGTTCCAACAGGACTCAGCGCCGGCTCACAGGGCAAAATCGACTCAGGACCCGAAATGGGACCGATTTTCCCGATTTTAACCCGTCTGCGAAATGGCCGCCTGCTCGCCGGATCTGAATCCAATGGACTATATTTTTTTTTAAGTAGAAGGCCAGCACCCGTACTATGCTCCACAAAAGTTTGGGGTCGCAAAGTAAATGCTGCGCCAAGAACGGGGCCGATTTCCCCCTTAAAAAGCTGCGGCCCGGAGCCCAAAATTTTACGTCACGTTTGGAGCTCTATATCGCCACCAAAGGCAGCCACTGTGAAACAGGTTGAACATGTTATAAACAATGCTCTATGTTACCAATAATAACCGTTACTTTTGCTGAATTTTGATTCTCCGAAAAAATATAGCTATAAAAACAAGTTTCCATTTTTTTGGTACACCCTGTATATATACAGGGTGTTTCAAGAAATTTGGAACAAATGATTTGCTTATATCTTTGTGTTCTTTGCAGCTATCAACGAATTTCTTTTTGCTTCTAAAAATTGACAGCGTGCGTTTTTAGAATCTCAAAAAAAATTTTTTTCGTCGGCGGAGGGCCCATTTCTCGGCGGAGAAAATTAGGGCCTTTTTTAAAAATCACAGCGTATTACGTGGCGGAAACGCCGTTGCAACGGCTGAAACCAAGTTTACGTAATACCTCCATCGATTTTACGGTATGCTTTTTTTGCGTTTTCGATTTTACGCACTTTTGCGGATGCGCGGCGGAGACCTCAGATTTCGGCGGACGTTGTTTTGCGCCTTTGGCTATTGCAATTCATGTTGGAAAAGAGGTTGGGGTGATTTTTTGTTGTCATCCAATGCACAGATGGCAAAAATTTCGTGCTTTTTATTCCCGGCGGAGGAGTCGGCGGAGGCTTTATCAAAGGGTAAAAACAAAACTCCGCCGATTTGTCCGCCGGACCAAAAAAATCAAAAATCTTTGAAAGACAATGCTGATCTGATGGATTCTTGTAGCTGAGATTTTTCCCGGACTCGTAAGACAGCTTTGACCCTTTGATAAAGCCTCCGCCGAATCCTCCGCCGGGGAAAAAAGCACGAAATTTTTGCCATCTGTGCATCGGATGACAACAAAAAATCACCCCAACTTCTTTTCCAACATGAATTGCAACAGCCGAAGGCCCAAAACAACGTCCGCCGAAATCTGAAGTCTCCGCCGCGCCTCCGCGGTGCGCGTAAAATCGAAAACAAAAAAATGCATACCGTAAAATCGACGGAGGTGTAACGTAAACTTGATTTCAGCCGTTGCAACGGCGTTTCCGCCACGTAATACGCTGTGATTTTTAAAAAAGGCCCTAATTTTCTCCGCCGATAAATGGGCACTCCGCCGACGAAACAAATTTTTTTTTGAGATTCTAAAAACGCACGCTGTCAATTTTTAGAAGCAAAAAGAAATTCGTTGATAGCTGCAAAGAACACAAAGATATAAGCAAATCATTTGTTCCAAATTTCTTGAAACACCCTGTATATATACACATATCATTTATGACATTGCCTTTCCTTTTCAGCGCTACTCCTGCGGCGTCAATTCAACCCTCTTCGCAAATGAGCAGGCCTGCGTGAAATGGTTTGAAAGTAACTCTGCAGTCATCAATATTTGGTATGACGGTCTTGACTACACTCTTCAAGCAGAAGGCTCTTCATACTCACTCAGTACGGCTTCCAATGATCTTGGAGGTCAAGCCGGATTATGGGTCGGGATCTCACTGGTCAGTGTGATCGAAGGGGTCGTGTTTATCATATTCATCTTCCTCTACTTTTGCTTTGGCCGCAAATATACGGATGTAGAGATTACCGACGACATCCGTGGAGCGGACAGCCGATATTTGGTAGGGAAACGGAAATATTTGAAAATTTAAATATGTTGAACATTTTCTAGATTATGAAAGGATTCAAAGAGGAACTGGATACCCAGGAAATCATGGACGAAGAGATTGCAATTCGTTACAGAGCCTTTAAAATGAGAGATGAACTGAAGAGACAGGAGAAGATTGCGGAAGGCGAGAGACTCAACGCACTCGCCGTGGCCAAAGCGAAGCAGCAGAAGAAAGATCCGGGCCTTGTACAGAGAATGCTGGGACAAGGACAGTGACTGTTCGAAGTAAAGATAGTCAAATTCATAACCTATACGGCAAATATTTACATATATTAATATGTGAAATAAAGGCAAAATCCAAAACCGAAAAGCCTAGCCTTTCTCCGTATCAGATACCCTGCCCCCAAGAACACCATATCACAAAGCACTCATACAAATTTGGCGCTTGTACAGCCACAATTAGGGTTCGGACGGGGTTTTTACTCTGCTATATACCCAGAGTTCTTATCACACTTGTTGTTGCATTATGCCAGAAATGCCTGAGTTGTTGCATTATGCCAAAAAAATGCTTGATTTCGTTTGAGTCACTAGACGGTTAGATTGCCGTACTTTACCGCATTCGTGAAACTTTATTTTTGAAGATTGACGCAGAGTGATGCGTCAATCTTTGTCACGATATGATCGCCTCGCCGTATCTTCCACAGCAAATTTAATAGGGCAAAAATCTACAAACAAAGAAGGTTCAAAGCCAATATTAAAGCCCATCTTTACAACTTTGCGGCAGTCTGTTATAGACAAAGGAGATTTTAATAATGCAAACAACGTGGAGGTAAAAAAGCGAACAGTTTAACCTTCCTTCTCCAACGGCGACGTAATACGCTTTCGGCCCTTCCTTTTCCTTTTATTTCGGGTCTTCAGACAAACTTACCGTATGTCGATAAAAAGAATCTTTCACGACTTTGCGGATTGGGCTTCAATGCCGGGATTAATCCAATTGATTAATGCCCTAAATGCGTACATTCGATTGGCGTGGGCGGTGGTGTGGTTCACCATGTGGGGAATCTTTTTATACGAGTTCTATTTGATTGTGAGCAAGTTTTTGAGCTACCCGACCGCGGTGAGAATTTCGTTGGGATATAAAGGACGGGTAAGTTAGATTATGATAAAACAAGGCAAACAATTGAATGTCTCGAATTTTCAGGCATTTCCAATGGTCACAATATGCAACCAAAACCCTCTAAAATACAGCATTGTCAAGGAAAACAAGACCTATTCTCAAGTGAATGACGTCATTGAAATCCTAAAACGTTTGGCGGTAAATGATTATCAGGATTTGGACGACAACCCCCTCAATATTAACGTGAGAAATTTTCGTTTTTTACTAATAAAATTACCAATTTTTCTGCAGAATATTACCGGTAAATTCGGCAAGACAACATATCTTCAGCAAGCTGCAACTCTGGCTATAAATCAGTTAACGGATGAGCAACGAAGATATGCCGGTTTTAGCTTGGATGACTTTGTGTTGGCGTGGTATTTTAATAATCGAAAAGTTGACTCCTCTTTCTTTAACGAGTTTATCGACCCTTCTTACGGCCTGTGTTATCAGTTCAACTCGAATCAATCGCTGAAAACACTGTATACGCAACGAGCCGGAAGTTATTTTGGGCTGAGAGCGTTGGTATTGGTCAATGTAAGTTTGTCATATGAAAATACGTAAAGTAATAGCTTTATGTATATATGCAATTATTGGAGATTTTTCAGCAAAGATCTCCAGATGGGACACTACAATATTTGCCGACGACAGATCGGGCAGGACTGAAAATTGGGCTGAATTATCAGAATCAGGACCCGGCTATGGAGAATTACGCGGTCAATGTTCCGGTGGGAACGGAGGCAATGGTGTCGCTGGAATTGGTAGGCTAAATTGAGTTCATAGAGAGGGCTGACACAGATTTTTTTAATTGAAAAGTCATACGCTCTCCGTTTATTCCATATTTTTTAAAACTAGTAGTTAAAAAGGTTAATTTTTCAACTCAAACTTTGAAGGTCATTTCCAGACCGAAATCAACCGCGCTGTAGCGCCCTACGGAGACTGCGTTGACGATGACACTTTGAACTACTACACTGGCTACAACTACACTCTAACTTATTGTTTCCGCTCATGCGTGCAAAAGCGAAATATCGAAGCTTGTGGCTGTGCCAACCCGTTGTACGCAAGGCCCTCAAATTCAACGCTTTGCGGTCTACAAGAGCTGGAATGCGTGTATAACACGAGAAAATTGCAAATTAACGATGGCAATTTTAGCGTTGCAGCCGATTGCGGGTGCAATCCATCGTGTGGTGATACTGTTTTCGATGTGATAATGTCTGTTGGGAGGTCGCCAATGAGTAATTTCGCTGTTCTAAGCGATATGAATCAGGTGAGGAACAGTTTTTAAAAAGTTTTTAGGTCTCCTTGGCTGGTATAAGATAAAAATGTCATCGTTTTTTGAAACCATCATTAAAATTTGCAAAACGCGCAGATCTTTTTCAAACTTTGCATAGGTCATTGATCATAACGACTTATCGATTTCTCAAAATTTTACCTCACGGTTTGCAGATCCGCCCGAGATATTCACCGATCTTTGTACCGAGAGAGCGTGGAAAATGGGGAGAAACGGCCAGAGAAACTAGTATTTTTGGCCTGTCCTTTGCAGATTTTTCACATTGAATTACATTTCCTATCGACACGGTATACTTATCATCATAAAGAACCCATTTTTTTGCCTCTCCTGCTCTCCACATTTTGCATACTCACTCGTTGATAAAGATTGTTGAATATCTCGGACGTCAAGGCAAGGCGCGAGCTAAAACTTTCAGGCATTGATATGTGAATGAGAACGAACAAATGTGTAAATGAAAATAATGACAATCATAGACTTTTTATAATTTTCTCATCTCCTCTACCTATTACAATATAAAAAATTGAAAAAAATGAAGTCTTGAATCACCCCTTTTCCAGGCCTATTCCTGCTCAACGTCCACCATGTTTGCCTCCACAAAAGAATGCATCGCCTGGTTTCAAAAGAACTCCGCCGTGATTAATATTTGGTACGATGGACTGGACTACTCTCAGCAGTTTGAAGAGAGCTCGTACTCGATTAGTACGGCTTCGAATGACCTGGGAGGTCAAGCCGGCCTCTGGGTGGGGATTTCATTGATCAGTGTGACAGAAATCGTGGTGTTTGTAATCTTTATGGTGGTATACTTATGTCATGGACGGAAACTGACTGATCATGACATTACGGATGTGATTAGAGAGAAGGAAAGGAGATTTCAGGTGAGAAAATTTGAGGGAAATTTGAAAAAAATGTATCCTCAAAACTTCAAATTTTTTCAAAAAATAATTTGTTACAGACGTTTGATTTTTGGCCCCTTCTTTATAAAAAAAAACTGTACTCTGTTTGTCTAGGTCCTGCGCCGTCTGAAGGAAGAGCTGGATACGCAGGAACTAATGGATGACGAGATCGGGGTCCGTTTCCGTGCATTCAAAATGCGTGACGAACTGCAGCGTCTGGCGAGGATAAAGGAAGGCCAAGAGTTGAACGAGAAGGCTGTTCAAAGGGCCAAACAAAAGCAACACCAAAAATCAAACGAACACTCAACATCCAAGGAGTTGCAGACTTGCTAAAAATAGAATGTATATATTACAGCAAACTTTTTTCTGTGAAAAAATTGTTTTATTTTTGAGGAGATCGGATAAAAATGATTTTGATGACATTTTGCATAAATTTAGAGAAAGTTTGCCCAAGACTTCGATGAGATTTTTTGCTGGTGTCTATACAAACTTTGTGCCATTTTCTATCTAATATATTACTACAAGTTTTTAGCATATGGAAAACGAGAAACAGGATGTTGACCGCTCATTTACTGCATTTTAACGGCCTTCTTATCAGAAGTGACTGCTTTGAATAAAGGTGTGAACTGATAGGTTCTTGTAAAGAATGAGGATTGCCGTGTTCTTCTCTGTGTTTGCCGTTTCGTCCTCAGGAATTTCAGGACTACAAAGTAAGGAAAAAATGTTTTGAATCTGTATGCCCCAAAATTGAAGATATTTGGGGAAAGTAATCGGTTAACAAAGTCGTGAAACATGGGTTAAATTTACAAGGGAAGTGTTTGAAGTGCGACTCTCAGATTGCCTTTAAATTTGGTACGCATTTCGGGCATAGGCCACGTTTCAATTCCTAAAAGTTTTAAATTGCGCTTTGCAGGGTGAGTAGAGTTATTCAACAATCTTTACGGCCGAGAGAGTACGCGAAACGTGGGGATCGGTCATAGAGAAAGCATTCTCTTTGGCCATATTTGCTCCAATGTTGCATGGAATTTTTGTGGGAGTATTACCCTCTACGGGAGCATCGAACTTCAGCACTTACCTGCCCCAGATTTCCGACATTTTTACTTACCAAATTTCCTCCTCATTTTCCTTCTCACCTAAGCTCTTCTTTTCAGACTGGACTTGTGGCGAGGAGCTCCTCGCCATCAGCACCGAGGTTATGCTAAAAGCCCCTTCAATTTCGGAGGTGCACCGGCAAATTCAGGATGTTTTGCTGACTCGAAAGCCCGGCCAATGGAACGTCTTCGCCTCGCAATATGCACGAAATGAAGCCGCATTTATCGATATAAAAGACGAAGGATGGAGGAATTCGGCGAGCATCAGAAATAAGAATCCAAATCTCTGTGTGATCCTGGACACAAGCAAGGCGTGGATTCTAATGGTCGCAAGAACGGAGAAGCTCAGCGGAGTTGGGAAATAAGTTGTAAATTTCAAAGTTTCAACCAAGAATAAAAATATTTTTTTTTCCAAAATTGTGTATTTTTGTCTTCAAAAAATTTCATTAATCCTCAGGCAACAATTCCAAGTAATCCTTGGTAAATTTTTCTTCAACATGTTCGTCATCTTCGGGTTCATGGGCTGGCTTGGCAGTTGTCTGTGGCTTTTCTTCTTGCTCAATTTGCCCTTGGTCCTTCAGTGGCTTCAAATCTTTAGTCGTTTCTTCAACCTCGTCATGAAATCCGTCTTCCAAATCGGTCCCATCGATCGTTTGCGGGCCCTCGAATCCATCGTTTTGATCATGTTTCGGTGGATCAACATTGTCAGTATTCTCCAGAGTATCATTCTGACTAACGTTGCTGTTTGTCCCTCCCTCCTCATCAGCTGTCCGTTTCAGCGCTTCGCTGAGATGCGGGTCGATCCGATGGGGATCCAGCTCGTCCTTGTTCAAAAAGAACCCGCATTGATGAGGCATGAACAAGTTCATGAACCCGCTCATGTGCTGGATCAAGGGCTCGGACTGACTCTCAGCCATTGGGCGAACAATGGCTTCGGAGAGAAGAGTTCCCGCACTATTCCCGCACTTGTTGTTGTAATCGGTCCGGAAACAGGTCAAGTAACATTTAGAGAGGCTGAAAATAGTTTGGAAGTTTTTGAAAAAAATGATGACTAATCAAAAAACTGGCAACTTACTCGCAGACGTCCTGCATGACGGCTCGAAATTGTTCCCCATCAAATCTGGGAGAGGCCTTGTCGTAGGAGCCAAAGATGTCCAACAGACCACTTTGCGCCGCCCAATTTGTCAGCCGATTTCTTCCCCGGCAAACTTTCTCGCAATCTAATAAAATTATCGACCGAAATTAGGCTTTGAGCAGACTCACGAGCTTGAACTTGAACTCTCTCGGCGTCAATGCAGTTGATAACGCGCTCGAAGGCCTTTCTCTGCTCAATACACATAAAATGAAGGCCACTGGTCATCACATCAAATAGATCTCGGCCAGGGCAGTCGATCAACTTGTTTTGGCAAGCAACGCCGTCTTCGTAGTTTCTGAAAACAGGGTTATTGTAAGAAACCTTGGACTCATAATAATTTCATCGGACTTCCCAAAATAGCCAAAGAAGGCACGTAAAAATGTCAAATCTCACTTGCAGACGCCAAAAAATCGGACTTGGTTGTTTTCGGCTTGAAACGCCACTTTCATCGCTTCGGAAAACGCTCGGTTGCACTCCTTCTGGCAAGCCGGCAGCCCTTGCAACGAGTTCCAATTGGGAACAATCGCCAGCGTCGACATATCCTCAAAATTCAAATCCAATGGAGTTTCTGAATCCAAATACTCATCGTCCAGAGGAGAAGGGTCTTTGCGGACGGCTAGGTCCCTTAGGATTTGCCTTAATTTCTCATCATTCCGACGAGGTACGATTGAAAGGGTTGTGAGGAAGGTAGTCGATAATATTAGAAAAGGGAAGAGTCTTGGCTTCACGATCACCATATTTACTTCAAACTAGAGTGCAGCAGAAGATAGTGAGGAAAAGATGAAATAAAATTGATGAGTGAGTTGGCATGGGAAGATCTTTCATGGCCTTGAAATTTCGAATAATTAGATGACTCAAAGTCCATGATTATTCTCTTCTAGAAGAATCAGTCTGCTGCAATGGAAATGCGACACGAAAAAAAGTGTACATACTTTATTGATAACTAAACGCGGTCGGGTTTTTTGCCGTGCATGTCAAAAGAACAACAGTATCATCAGCAAAGAATTCATCTTTTTCTCAGTACTCCGTTTCAAAATTTTGATCAATTTTTTGAAATGAAGCCGTAGCACAGCTAAGACTTTCGACAATCTGGAGAAAGAGTACGTAAAATCAGGAGAGCCGGTGAGACCGTATACAGTCTTTCTCCACAAATATATGCTTATGTATAAAAACTGGGCAGATTTTAACTAATGTAAATTTTTGTGCTTCACGCGTGGCTGCTTCATATAGTAATATTATACTTCAGCTGCATTTTTTAATATTTTTTTGTGCTAATGCCCATATAATATTGATTGCGTCACCTTTTAGACATATCAGTCTATCGGGTAAGTACATATTTTTTTTCTATGCGCCATTGTGCTTGTTATTTTCCACATTGTCGTTTGCGTCATTTTTATAAACTTTTTGAGTCAGTTCTTCCTTCTTCCCCCACAATCGTAAAACATCTCCCCACGGCCTTCACATTTTCAGGGAGTGTCCTGATAAGCCGTCTGTTTCCTTTTGTTTACTTTTAGGCATTAGAACCGAGAGTTGCCTGCGGATCAGCTTTATAATTCCGTAGTTGTATCAGGAATAAAGTGGAAACGAAACAAAAGAATATAAAAAGAATTAAGATACGATCTTGCAGAAAAAAAATTGGAGAACGTTTTTTGATGACATTTAATATGCCAAGAAGAGATTTAGAAAAAAAAACTATTAATTTATTCGGTTAAATTAACATAGTAAAAAGCTGTCTTAATGATGAGGTTGTCCTTCGATATGCGGGAAGTTCTCCAGCTTCAGCGACTCAACGCGAATTCCACCAATCAACTCGAACTTGTTGATGTGCTTGGCTGGCAGTCGATGCTCAAAGTCGGCAATGTGATAGCCGTTGAAGAGGATCTGAAAGGTAGATGTTTTCAAGGGAAAAAGATAGCAATACATCTAGAGAATGACATTATAAGCGGTCAAGATTTAGCCCGGAAATTGGCCTGGGGATTGATGACTTTTCCAGGGCATTGTTTGAAGCTAGATGCTTGGATTTTGATGGAACTTGGAAAAAAATATAGACTGAGCAATCCTAGAACAAACCTGGGGCCAAGAGAACCAAAATTTGATAATTTTTAGCCCCTCAAAATTAAAAAGAATCAACGCCAAGCAAACAGGAGTTCATTCCCAGACTGGCTGACATTTTTTAGGGCAATGCTTGGGCTATAAAAGTCGAGATTTTGATGGAAATTGAAAAACATACAGATTGAGCAATCCTAGAACAACCCGGGGCCAAGAGAACCAAAATTTGATGATTTTTAGCCCCTCAAAATTAAAAAGAATCAACGCCAAGCAAACAGGAAATCATTACAAGATTGGATGACATTAAAATTTTTCGCATTGATTTTTCAGCTAAACAAAATTTTTCAAAATTTCATTTCTCCTCAACCAGACGCCCTTCGGCTCTTTCAAAGCTCCCAACTCACATAATAATTCTTCTCCGTCACTCTGATCACCAAATGAGCGGGATCGCCATTGTGCAACTTGACCTCCTCGCTAACCTCCTTCTTCCACTTGCCCTTCTCGTAGGTGTTCAAGACCAATTTTTGCCCGGTTCTTTCGAACCGCACTCTCGCATGAAGGACAATATCATTGCCGTCGTAGAGGTCGACTTCGAAAGATTCGGCGGTGTAATTGTCGAGGCGGCCGCGAACATCAATCACGGCGTTCACATCAAGCCCTCCGGCGGTGGGAATCGAGAATGGAAGGCGGGGATTGGTGAATTCGAAATTGTGGCCCATTGCTGGTGTGGAAGTTGAGGTTAGTTTCTAAAAATGAAATTTTTTGGATTTTTGGAAATTTTCAAATTGAAAAAAAGTCGAAAAATAAAATTTTAAAATTGAAAAATTTTATTAAAATTTTCCATCCAAAAATTTTTCTCCCCAAAAAAGGCCTTCTTATCAGGTATTGTGAGGGCTTTTAAACAAAATATTGCGGGGAGAGGGCGTTCCTGGTCGATAACGATTTCCTGTTTGTTTGGTATTTACATTCAACGATTTTTTTTTGGGTTCTGAATCATCAAATTTGGGTTAGCCGGGGCCGCGTTTTATGATCCTTGAAAGGGATAGGAGGAGGGAAGGTGAGGCGGTTTTGAAGTGAAATTTAGAGACAAAAAAGGGGAAGGTGAAGTCGGGCAAATTTTTTTTCGTATTTACAGTGAAAGCAGAGTGCTATTTGTCAAAATTGACTATATAGGTTTTGCAGCCGTTTGCAGGAAAAAAGTTTTAGCTCGCGCTTTGCAGGCACCGCCGAGATATTGAATGACTCCTGCCGCCGAGAGAGTACACTAAACGCGGAGACTGGTCAGAGAGAGAAAAACACTTTTTGGCCATAACTTTACTAGTTTCGTGCGGAAAAAATTGATTTTTTTTTGTGGAAACATACTTTACGGTAGAAGTAGGTATGAAACTTTTCGTGCCAAAATTCGGCAAAAAGTGTCAAATTTTCGCCGATTTTCGATCTAAAAATCTGGGTTGTTTCTGCAAAGCGCGAACTAGGATTTTCGCATATATTTTAGAAAAAAATATTCTAAATTTGTGCCAAGTTTCATCAAAATCTGAGCGTCCCACTTCGGGAACTTCCCCTGGAAGCAAGAGAGAAAAGTACCATAATTCTATCATTCGCGCGAAAAAATTTTTTTTTTGTAGAAATCTTGCTTTCTCAGACAAAAATTAGGCCAATTGTAAGACATTTTATTCATAAACTCAGAAAAAAAAATTCTAATTTTCACCGTCTTCCGGACAAAAAAAATCCCATTTGCTTCCATCAGCGCGGAGAGTCCGCGCCAAAACCAACACACCCCCATGCCCGAGAGGATTCCTTTTTTATTACAATTATACACACATGGATAGTAAAAAAGAAGACTGTTTGGCTGAGATCGTCGCTACGGAGCGCAATAGGAAACGTTGCAAGTAATGAATTTACAAATAAATAGTTTACGGCACATTTATTCTGTTTTTACAATGCGTTCAGCGGATCAGGAAGTCACGGCCTCCCAGCGAATCCAGGACCGCCAGACGTCGGCGTCGGCGGTCGGCGCGCTTCCCGAACCGTCGATTCCAGCCAATCGGGAGCTCCACTCGGCCTCCGCCCAGCTCCACGGAAGAGTCGAAGGAAGCGGAGCGCGGGCGGAAGTAGAAGCCGGCTTGGTTCGGCATGGGAATGTATTCCACTTGCTGGGCCTGCAAAAGTTGTTTTAGTCAAGAAGAAACCGGTTAAGAAAGGACGTAACCATATGAAATAAAGAACATCAAAATTTTATATTAGTCTGTCGGAAAAATAATGAGTTTTTCTTACCGAAAACCCCGAAAAAACCCGACATTTCTCGGTGATTTTCAACAGAAAAACACTGGTTTTAGGGGTATGAATGCCCCTACTTCAGAAGCTCGTAGCGACCTCAGTTTGCACATTAAAATCTTGCTTTTTTGTTGACAAAAATTTATGTCGTATAAAAATACGTATTCGAAAAACGAAGTCTTTGCGCCGCCTCCGCCGAAAGTAAGAGCCTCCGACATTCCTTCACGTTTTTTGGAAGACCCTGTATTTTGCTGGGAAATCGATGAAAACCCGAGAAAACGCACAAGTCCTTGTCCTCCTTTTTTCCAACATACCTGTACATCTTCGACTACTAACGCCACAACCGCTACCAGCGCCAGACCAACTGCAGCAGCTGAAATGTAGGCCGACTTGGACATGTCTTCGTTCGCAGGCGTGTGTGAATAACCTTAAAATTATTTTGCAATTGAAAACATATGCAGTAAATGCGAATCCGTAAAATTTTTGAACCGCGAAAGAGTTCGTGCTCATATGCATGCGTACGGAAATCTACGTCCAAAAATGAGGGGGAAGACAAAGGATAAATTGGGTTACATAAGGAGCGGCGTTATGTTTGGTTCGTTAAACTGGAAGGGGCAGATGGCAAAAAAACAGGGATATCAACTTCTTACGGGCCGCTGACCTAAAATATGGCCAAGCAGAGATCGCATATGTGAAGATTGAGCCAAAATTTGCAGGAATTGAAGAGCGACTCTGACTGCAAAAAGCAGGACAAGACATTAAACTGTCGGAGAAATAATAAGCACAATCTCGCTCTCGCCAATCGCAGTGAAAAGGAATTGGATTTTGTCGCGAGACAGTTCATTTTCTCGGCGGTCATGCGATTTTTGATGCGACAGATTGCTCATTGCTTTCCGGACAGACTGATATATCAGTGTGTCGGGAAAATAATGTGGATTCATCGCGTCTGGGAGACCGAAAAGCCTAAAAACAGAATTCCTGGAAGAATGGGAACTTTCTCATTTTGAAAAAAAAAGATTTTATGATACGAAGTTGCAAAAAGCATTGCCAGAAACTGGTTGTTTCACAGCCAACCCGTATTCAATAGACATCGTGGAACAATTTTCTTTCTTAAATTAATCTGCGGACATACAAAAAATAAGCTTTATTTGACCACAACAGAAAGGAACGGTAAAAAAATAAATTCCGTTTCCAAACGCAGCTAGCTGATTGTAAGCCGTTCAGGTTCTTTTCAACGAACAGAAAAGGAATTAGATTTGCCTAAAAACTGATTTTCCCGGTGCATTCTGGGAACAAAGCTAAAAAAAAGTATGGTGATTGGACTAGAACGTGCCAGTTTTAACTCTTAAAAAAGAGCAAAAACTGAAGTATCAGGCTGTCGGGAAAATACTGAGGATTGGTTGCAGAAAATTATTTCGCATAGCCACAGTCGCGCACCAGTTTCTTGGCCGTGGCTTGCAGTTGCACAGAGATTAATTAAAGCGCGACAAATCCCCATTATTTTCCCGACAGGCTGAGTGAAATTGTTATACTTCTATTGGTTTTTTATATCATCATTTTAAATTTTTTTGGTAATTAGTCTACAAAAAACATATGCGTAATTTACTATTTATATATTACCATATTCATATCTAAAAAACGATGACTTCGGAAGAAATTTCAATTTGTAAACTCCAGCCAAAAAAACATGTCACTAACAAAAGTCCATTCGTCTCCAGAGACAGTCAAAAATTTCTTTATTTATTAAAAATTTCCCTCCATAAATCCGAAAACGCTGCTGATAAATTGACCAGAAGAAAACAACAAATTGAAAAATTGGACGATAGAAGACAACAAGATAAACGCATCCGAGTTGAGCGTCTTTATTTCCTATGTATGTATCAAAAACAAAACCCCCGCATCCTTCTGTATGTAACAGACTTCTTTCTGGGGCGAAAACTTTTTCGAATTAAACCGAAAAAAAGATCTCTCCCCTGAGGGGGTTCTAAATAGATGAGGGTGACGACGTTTCTTCCACGAATCCGCCGACAATGAAATTTGGGGTTTTTCTACAGTGAAAAGACCAATGGTGATTCGTTTTTTTTGAGGGGTTGCGATGAAAAAAAGGATGTGGGCTTTGTACTATTAAATATGTATGATGGTGAAAAAGGACAAATGTTAAAAAGAATGATGACCTTAAGGCTTGAAACAAGGTTAAAAAGTAAAACCAGAGTATGAAAAGCAAACTCGAAGAGATCAAAAATTTTGGCTTGATCTGAAGAGGGCATCAGAGCAAAGAGCACACCTAGGCGAACAGTTCTAAAATGGCATGGTATTACATATTTTTTCTCCTTGGTCCCCTCTAACCATATCATTTCTTCATATCGCTAATAAAAATCCATCAAAAAATTCTCCCGAGAAATGAGTACATCTAGGCGAAGAGTCCTAAAATGGCATGATAATACATCCTTTTTACCCTGTTTGCCTTGGTGCCCTCTTACCACATTGTTTTTTTACATCGTACTAAATAAAAACCCTTCAAAAAATCTGCCTTGGTCCCTTACCACGTCATTTTCTCTAAAAGTTCAATAAATTATACGAAAAAAATTGTTTTGATCATTCCTTTTCACAACCATTTTTTCAACGTGAACTGTTTTCCCTTGTCCTTTCTCAATTTCCCTGTACTTAAATGTTAGGTGCTCTTTTCGGTCCCACGAAGGTGACCTGTTGATGTGAAGTGCTCTCTTTGGATCCCACAAAAGCGGAAGTGTGGATCTTACTTAATTGTTTATTTAGATTACATCTGAATATATGAATTGCTAGCCAGATAATAACATTGCAAAATATTTATGATAAAAAAGATCCGATGAAACCACGGAGCACTTTTGGGGCCCCATTCCAATTCATCCCTCGGCAGTCTCTTTTACCCTAGATATCCAGTGCCCCTTACTATAACCCTGTGGTCACATCGACTGGTCATACTGATCGATCTTTCACCTCGATCCGGTTGTTGACCTATTTTCAAAATCGAGGTAATGGGCGGAGTCTGAAACCCAAAACTCAATCAAAAATTTACTCGTCATAGCTATCGCAACAAAGTAACTTCAGTGACGTCATAGAAGTTCCCTTGTCGACCAAAAAACGTTTTTTTTCCTGTTCGCTCTCTTCAGTTGGAGTACTCGCTTGGATTCAAATTTTATTGAAATCCACGGCGGCAACAAGCGAAATATGAAGCTGCTGCACTTATATAGGCCAAAAAGGAAATGTCATAAAATCAGGCTTAAAAAAACGCGTGTTTTCCAAATGAAGAATCCATGGCTTGCCGGCGGACGTTAATTTTAAAAAGAAATGTCAAATTTGACAAATTGCTGGGATACCAAAACAAGATTTTTCAAAGCGTTTGAGAAGAGGATGACTTCTTCATTGAGGATAGAGAATACCTAAAATATCATAGGTATGTTCACCATGACCAGAGACGCTTTGAAAAAGGTTAAGGAAGCTTTGTGGTCGGTTGAAGTAAAAGCTCATAAGTTTTTCCATTATGGTGTCAGCGACGAACTATGTAAAACAAAGAAGACATAGAAGTGCAAGAAATCAAAAATTCACAGAAAACTCCCAACAAACTGTTGTTGATCATGCTGAGGTCGGTGGTAAACAAACACTGTTTATTTAAAATTTAAAGTTGATAAAACATCATAACTCTCAAAAATCTCAAAACAAAAAATAAAAGTTTAATTTTAAACCCGCTCTAATCCCGTCTGTTGCTCCACGTCCAAGCGTTTACAGTAATTTTAATTAAATTCCGGGGCATAAAACCCCAAGTGTTCGGTTTATGTCCGCAAAAAGTTTTACGGCAAGGGACAAAAGAGGCATTTCAAGTCCAATTTGTGGGAAAACGGTGCCGAACAACTTGAAGTTAAAAATACTCAATTTGAAAGGAGACTATGAAAAGCACTTACAGATTTTAAGCGATTTCCAATTATCGATTTAATCATCGAATTGATGATTTGGAAATTAAGGAATTTTAAAATACGATGGATCAAGCTTGATGTAAATTTTTAATAGAATTTTCGAGTAGTGTGCAGGGCAAGAGAATTTTCTTTGAGAGGAAAGGTATCACTAATCACTAACAATAAGAAATAAGTTTTTCTCTGACCGCTCTCCTTATTATGTCTACTCTCTCGTCTAAAAAGATCGCTGAATGTCTCAGCTCATACTTCAAAGTTTGAACTATAACTTTTATTAATTAGAGGCTCTGAAAAAAAAATTTTCCATTTTGTATCCGGGAAGTATCGAAAAATGTGGCAAAAAGACTCTCTCTCTCTCAAGTGAAAAAAACTCCGATATCAAAAGCGCGCATATCTTTTTGTGAAGAAAAGAGCGAGTCCTTCATAACGTGGTTGTTTTATTGGAGAGGGAGGTATTTTGCTACATTTTTTGATACTTCCCGGATGCAAAATGGTACGTTTTTTGCCATTTGCGTAAGTCCAACACTGTAGTTAAAAAAGAACTCAAATTTTAAAGAAGGTAGGACAGTTACAGGTTGAGCATCATGATAAGGAAGGCAAATCGCATTTTAACTACAAAAAGTTGAAAAAAAGATAGTGATCCTCATGCAACGATCGTTGAATATTTCGACTATTTCTATGCAAGTCAGGATTTTCAGACATACAAAGATAGGCCCACAGAGATCTCTAATTGTAAGAATAGTTTCGCGTCCTAGCCAATTTTTTACTCCACTCATTCAACGAGCTGTAAGTCAATGGTTGACTTCATCAGCTTACGAATATTACTATATATTTCCTTTAGCCCATGTTAGCGATACCCGACTATAGATCCCCTCCGGCCATTAACTTCAATTAGACCGTGAATAAAAAGGTTAGTAAAGCTTAGTAATCGCTAATTAAAAACATGATGTATCGTCAACGAAGGGTTAAATGACGCTCGATTTTGGCAAAAGAATTTTGAAAAACGTATAATGGCCACATCAGAGGATGGCACAAAATGGATGATTAGAATTTTAGAAGGCTTGGAATTTGCGATGGCTTGCAGGAAGAGGTTCGTATTTTCACGTGGAAGAGTGGTAGAAGTTGGGGTGCTGTTTACAAAAACAAGAGTCGAGCCTTGAGTCTTTACCGTATGAACTTGGAGACCGTTTTTTTTCAAGCCAAGTATTATCAAAATTTCAGTGTATTTGGCCAAGGCCCAAAAATTAAAAATGATGACAATAAAATATACTCTACAAAATATATACTATATACCTTTGTATAGACATTTTAAAGTTCTAAAACACAGCCAGCATCCGCTATATTACCGTAACTATCTTAGTATCCAACTTCCGCTTCAAAACATCTACCAAGCCCAAAATTACAACGATTCCCAGAATGGCCGACAGAAAATAGTTTTAGTTGGTATCGTCCATTTAAACGCAATTTTTTCCCCGGTTAATCTCATTTTTTCGGCCGAACCTTTCTTGAAACTGACTCTTCTTTTCGAAAAAAAGTTTACCAACAACCAACATGAGTACTTCTGAAGAGCTCACGCATAAATTGCTAGTGAAGTTCATAGAGGAAGTGCTCAAGATGCGACGCTCAGATTTTCTTTAAAATTGCACATAGCTGGGCTTAGGTCACGGATATCTTGAAGGCAATGGAAGGTTGTTAAGTTAAATCCATACTTTTTGCTGTAAATGCGGGCCAAATATTAGTTGTAATTATTTTTTTTAAAAAAAGCTCTGCTTCTGAAGGGTCAGTCGAGTTATTTTTCTCGATAGTCCCGCCAAGACAGTACGCAAAGTTGTGAGAGCGGGCAGGAGAAGCACGGCTTTAGCTATATCTTTGTCAACCTTGCATTAGAAAAAAAAATATCTTTTTTGAAACACTCCAGCAGAAATCAGGTTGAACCTTTTCACGCTGAAACTAACAGGGGAAGTACTCCAAGTGCGACGCTCAGATTTTGATGAAACTTGGCAAAAATTTAGAATAATTTTTTCTAAGATATATGCGAGAATCCTAGCTCGCGCTTTGCAGAAACAACCGAGATTTTTAGATCAGAAGTCGGCGAAAATTTAGGACTTTTTGCCGAATTTCAGCACGAAAAGTTTCATGCCTATTTCAACTGTAAAAGATAATGTTTCTACAAAAAATCAAATTTTTCCGCACGAAACTGCCAAAGTTATGGCCAAAAAGCGCTTTTCTCTCTGACCGCTCTCCACGTTTAGCGTGCTCTCTCGGCGGCAAAAATCGTTCGATATCTCGGCGGCGCCCGCAAAGCGCGAGCTAAAACTTTCAGGAATTGATGTTTGGTTGATACCCGACGTGTGTGCAAAATTTAAAGAAAATCTGAGCGTCGCACTTGGAGTACTTCCCCTGTAAAAAGAAACACTATGAAACCCTCAGAAATTCAAAATTCAGAAATGAAAACAAACAGAGTCACAACATAAAACCGGAACAACGCCTTTGAAGCCTGTCATTTATCTCCAAACGACGTCTACATGTCCGCGAGGTGAAAACGGGAAGGAATGCCGTTGGATTTATAAAATAATGTGATATATGTTTCACATTTATTTCGTTGGAGAAATTGAGGTTTTTGAAAGAGGTTTTTGAACAACCGTGTAAAAGCTTGTTTCCTTGCGAATTGCGAGCGAAAGAAATTGATTTTTTGTAGAAATTTTGCTTACCAAGAGAGAAACATAATACCACTGCAAATTTTTGCCCAAACCTTTAAAATATTGCCTTATTTTTCAGCAAGTTTCGACCAAAAAAGCTCGGTGATTTCTGCAATTTTTTGGGGTAGCAATCTCGGTTAAGCCACAGAAATTTTAAGCCGTGTATGTACCAAGCTCCATGAAAAAAACCATGCCGGATTCCCAGCCCGCGCTTTGCAGAAAAAAGCAAGATTTTCGTGGCTAAAACTTAATGAAAATTCGACAGTTTTTTGCTAATTTTCGCATCAAAAGTTTCACTGAGACTCCTAGCTTGTATTTACCTCGCAGATACGACCGATATTTTTGGATCGCAAGTTGGCAAAAAAATGAGTTTTTTGCAAATTTTGGGATGAAAAGTTTCGTGCCTATTTTTACTATAGTTACTTTTCCACTAACAATTAAGCAAGTCTCTTGCCGGTCACTGAAAACAGAAGATTCCAAAAAATAAATCAAAAAAAAAAAAAAAAAAATTTTTTTTACGACTGTTTACTCTATACATACATGTATAACAACCTTTCTATTATTAATATGTTATGGCAATATTATCTTCTAGCTTTCATAAAATTTTGAACAACCAATTCTAATCACATGCACTACCTAAAACCAAACAACAATTTGTCATGTTATTTTCAGCTACGAGATGATCAATTTAGCCCCGTCCAATTCCTTGGCCCTCTCGGCGATTGGTCGATAAATGTCCTTGATTGCGTCCATCCCCCAGATAAAGTCGATATGGCCATAATTGGGGAGTCGAGTGACTTCGGCGACAATTTCAGGCCTCAATCTTCGGAGGAGATAGCCATCAACATCCTTTTCGTTGGCCAGCCAATCCTCTGGACTGGAGAAAATGTGGAGCGGCAGATCTCGGATGGAGGCCAAGTCGTAGATTGGAGGGAATTTCTGAACAATAAAAAAAAGTTATTAATAAATTTTAGACAGGGGAAGTACTCCAAGTGCGACGCTCAGATTTTCTTTAAATTTTGCACACACGTCGGGTATGGACTCAATATCAATTCCTGAAAGTTTTAGCTCGCGCTTTGCGGGCGCCGCCGATATATTGAACGATTTTTGCCGCCGAGAAAGCACGTTAAACGTGGAATGCGGTCAGAGAGAAAAGCGCTTTTTGGCCATAACTTTGGCAGTTTCGTGCGGAAAAATTTGATTTTTTGTAGAAACATTATCCTTTACAGTTGAAATAGGCATGAAACTTTTCGTGCCGAAATTCGGCAAGAAGTCCAAAATTTTGGCCGACGTTCGATCTAAAAATCTCGGTTGTTTCTGCAAAGCGCGAGCTAGGATTCTCGCATGTATCTTAAAAAAATATTCTAAATTTGTGCCAAGTTTCATCAAAATCTGAGCGTCGCACTTGGAGTACTTCCCCTGTGAGTAATTTTTATCCCTCTACAACCTCTCACCTGCCCATATTTCTTGAGATTTCCCTCCTCTCCAAAGTCGTATTTTTGGAATTCGTCCGTCTCCAAGCTCTGATAGTAATGCAGCATATTCATCATCGAGGTCCCTGAATTTGAGTGCGCCGTGTAGACGCCGATCCTGCTTTCGTTCAGATGCCAATGCGGACCAGTGTAGTCGATGATGTGTTGAGTACAAAGATGACGAGTAATCGGAGATCGACAGAAGAGAGTGGACAGAGGACGGAGGATCAGAGCGTCGTTGAGGTATTCGCCGGGGACATTGGCCTGCCAAATGAACTGAAAAATGGAGATCAAAGGTCATTTCAGGAAAATATCGGAAAAGTGGTTTAAAACTCGATGCTCAAATTCAATTTTTTATACATAAATTTTGCACAGATTTCGGAAAGGTAGTGGCATATATTCCTAAAAATTTTAGCTTGTGCTTTGCAGGGGAAGCCAAAATTTTCATCGACTTTTACGGCCAAGAGAGTTGCAAAATGCGGAGAGCAGTCAAAGAGAAGATTTTTTGGCCATATCTTTGACAGTTTAATACCGAAAAAAATTATTTTTTTGTGGAAACAATACCTTTTTTGTGGAAACAATACATTTAGAAACGTGTACGAAAATTTTCCTGCCAAAGTTCAAAAAAAGTTTTTTCCAATTCTTGATCTAAAAATTTCGGTAATTTCTGCATAATACGAGCTAGAAATCTCACAAATTAAGAAAATATATTATTTTTTTTTCATGCGTGAAGGCCATAGATCCACCTATTTTTTGGCCATAGGTGGATCTCCAAAAAATGCCCGAAAACAATCTCCTCAACAAAGACGGGTGAAAATTTCGACTGTGCCTGCAAAGTTCTAGTTAATATTTTCCAGACACGATACTTAACCTAGTCTCAACAAATAGGCTAAATTCCAGTTAAATCTAAGCGTCGAAACTTTGAGGAGCGCTCTAGTTACGTTTTAATCATCATTTTTCCCAGCAGCCTTGCAAATCTTACCGGAAACGCATTATGAAATCGCCCAATACTGCTCATCGGGCCTTTCAAGTTCTGCACCCTGGTAACCGGCGCCACAGCAAAGAATCGTTTGATATTCCCAGCGAATCCAGGGTCACTCGCCAACTTCGCGAACATCAGCAGTGCTCCTTGCGAATAGCCAATGTAATAAACCGATTTTCTTTTCGTCACCAACTTTACATAATCGATTATGGCCGGAAGATCAAATTCAGCCATTTGATCGTAGGAGAAGTCCCAGAAATTTCGGTCGAGAATATTGAGTTTGACATGTTTCCTGGCGTACTTGTTGCCGCGGACATTGGCCAGCCAGACGTCGAAGCCAACGTCAGCCAAGTAGAAGCCTAAAATTTTTTGGAGAATTGTCAAGAGCTCGGTAAATTTTTGGAAAAAGTTCCTTATTCTGGCCACAACTTATAACTTTGCGGAAACTGGTCAGAATTAGCCCAAATTTAGCGTCAGGGCTCAACTCATCGTTGTCAATGCCCGGACAGTGGATTTAGTTAGTGAGGTACCTTATTATTTACGTGCCACCTTACTCTTTAAAAACGGCTGCAGCCTGGGATTTTATACTTTATACGATGAAACCTGTCCGGAGCTAAACTTGTTGCCTCCGTGTAGAACTAAATGAGCCGTTATAGCCTTCGTAGGTACCCTTAAAGCTATAGAGCTACTATAATAATTCAGTTCCAGCTAGGTCGAAGCTTTTTTTTTCTAACTTTAGTTCCCAAGCTTGGGCGCAGTTCGCAGAAAGCCTTTGTTGTGGCCAGAATAAGGAACTTTTTCCATTTTTTATTTGATAATTTTACCCACCTGCCGACCCATTTCTCCCATTCAAAACCCAAGAATCAGAAGCCACTTCCAGCCCATGCATCATCACCAGTGGATATCTGTTCGGAATTTTTGTGTCTGAAAATCAATCTTCTTTTTCTTTCAGCAAGAACTCGCCTTTCTTTGATGGTATCCGATGAATGTCAATAAGATAACCATCATCCGTTTGGACTTTATGCGTTTCCACTGGATATCCGTAGAATGCCGCGATTTGGGCCTGAAAATTTATTTAATAAAGTGAGCAAGCGCATAAAGGTAGTGTTCAAACTGTTCAGTTCATAAAATCCAGAGCTTGATGAAGCCGAGTACAAGTTCAGATTGAAAGTTCAGATAGAAAATGTTTCTAATAAAGCATTAAAAATTCGTGTGATGACCAAAAAAGTGCCCAAAAGTGTCCGCCAAATACGCTGCTTTCTGCGTTGGTGGCGAAAACGATTTTCATATGCAAAAAACCGCCCATATTCTTCTTTATCATGCAAAAAAAATTTTTTTTGGATATCTTGACTGAGCACCAAGAAATCGACAAAAACTTTCCGCGCATTTCTTGAAACACCCTGTACAGTGGCGGACCTGATCCAGAGGCTAAAAACGTACTATTTTGCAGTTGGAAACTATAAAAATGTGGCAAAATACCTCCCTTGCCAAGTGAAAAAACTCCAATTTCAAAAGCGCTGGGGGTTTTTTAGTTAGAGAGGGAGGTATTTTGCAACATTTTTAATACTTCCCGGATGCAAAATGGTAAGTTTTTTGCCATTTGATCAGATCCGCCATTGTAGAAAGATTGGGTAATTAGAAATTGACAAAAATTAAAATCCAAAAAAATCTGAATTTTTTACAGTTTCAGATCAAAAAATCTCGGCGATTTCAGTATAGAGAAAGCTAGGAATATTGACTAATGTTTCGAAAATTATGCCCTTCCTCAGAGCCAACATTCACTCAATTCCTCCGTTCAGCCCTACCTTTAAAAACAAAGTTTTAACAAAACATAGGAAACCTTTAAAAATCTGAACGTTGCACGTCAAACTGAGGAGTCCGGTGACCGGAATAGGCTCTTCGCTATCGGTTTTTTACACTCCGTCTTGATTTCGCAGAGAAAGAGAGAAAAAAGACACGCAAAAACGTACTCTCTCGCCCCAAAAATTCCCCATTTCTTCCCCGACAAAACGTTTTTTCGCGTCTTTTTTTGGCAAATTGCCAATCCATTCACCGGACTGTCTTAGCTCATCTCAGTTTGACGTGCGTTGCACTTCAAATTCAAGCTAATTTTGTTTGACTTGCACTTCCCTTTATACAGTGATGTCATTACAATAAAAATTGCTTCAAACTTTGTAAAGCTGCTTCTATTTTCTTTTGTATTCGTGATTATTTTTAGCGCCTCATCTGGAATTCATGTGTTTTCATGTCTTCCTTTCCGGCGTCTGCCTAATTTCCATGGAGCCGTGTTCGAAAACACGTGAAGAGAAAAAGGCAAAACCGACAAATTAAGAAGCGAATTTAGACGGAAAAAAGTTGTTACAACACAGTAAAACCTCTGTAGAACGAATCACTTGGCTCAAAAAATTTTTTTGTTATAGACAGGTTTTGTTATACGAAGGGTGATTTTGGCCAAATAATTGGCTCTTTGGACATACAAAATACTTTTTTTCTCAAATTATTTACCCTCCAACTTACCGTATCCATATCGCAGATGACATCCGAAACATCCCGTTTTTTCACCGTTCCATCTACTGGCCCTCCAATTACAATATAAAAAATATTAAAAATCAAGGTGACCTCCGTCCAAAACATTTTTTATTCGGCCTCCAAGACCTGCAAATATCCCAAAAGAAACTCCGTGGAACACGTGAAAAAAGAGGGAAATTTCGCGAACAAAACTTTAAACTACATGTGTAATACACCGTAAATATTTGTGTGCTTTTGGAATAAACATGTTCGGAGTTCGGAATGTAACAACTTTGGAGGGAAAAGGGGGGAAACGACGCAAGAGTCTGATAATCTTTGAGGTTCAAAAATTTCGAAAAATTACGGATCAATGAGTAATTTTTTGGAGTGTTGGAATTGTAAAAATAGATGCAAAAACAGTAAAAAATATTTATGCAATAAGAATTACGCCATTTTAACTTACAATTTGCAAGGAACACTTGAGTTTGTAATGCATACTGTTGTCCAAACTGACAGCGTATGTTTTACGTGATAAAGACCATCTTCCAAGAAAAAATTTCTCTTTCCTTTGTAAAGATACTGTAATTTTCTTCAAATTTTATCTAAAAGTATTTGCGAAATCTCTAGGTCGCGCTTTGCAGGAACAAACAAAATTTTTAGTCCGAAGGTTAATGAAAAAACAATGTTTTTTTGCGGTCTTACAGAGTGGCTGACTTTGCTGTACAAAAAAAAACACCTTTTACCGTTTGAAATTACAGATACGGCTAAAAAAACTTCGCTATCTACCCCTCTCCGCAGTTTGCTTATTCTCTCGTCTGCAAAATTGGCTGGTTATCTCGCAAAGCGCTAGCCAAGATTTCCAGGAATTCAAGTTTTTCTTGACCAAAAAATTTCAATTATCTCTGCTAACAGGGGAAGTACTCCAAGTGCGACGCTCAGATTTCCTTTAAAATTTGCACACACGTCGGGTATGGACAAAATATCAATGCCTGAAAGTTTTAGCTCGCGCTTTGCGGGCGCCGCCGAGATATCGAACGATTTTTGCCGCCGAGAGAGCACGCTAAACGTGGAGAGCGGTCAGAGAGAAAAACGCTTTTTGGCCACAACTTTGGCAGTTTCGTGGGGAAAATTTTGATTTTTTGTAGAAACATTATCCTTTACGGTAGAAATAGGCATGAAACTTTTCGTGCCGAAATTCGGCAAAAAGTCGTAAATTTTGGCCGACTTTTCGTTCTAAAAATCTCGGTTGTTTCTGCAAAGCGCGAGCTAGGATTCTCGCATATATCTTATAAAAAATTATTCTAAATTTGTGCCAAGTTTCATCAAAATCTGATGGAGTACTTCCCCTGTACGTAAGAGAAAAGATCTCGTATATTCCATAGAAAAAATTACTATAAATTTGTGCCAATTCTCATCAAAATCAAAGAGATTGCTCTTTGACAACATCCCTTGAAAATCTGTTGATACCTAGCCTAACAACTCCATACCATCTGACCGCCTTCAATAGCCCTAAAAATCCCATCTCACCTCCAAAATCCCGAAGTCCAATTCCCCTCCAAAAAATGGCCAACCCATCTTCTCCACGCCCCATTCGTTCCCAACACACTCACGGAACACGCTGTATACAATTTGCATACTATACGCTTTCGTTTATTGTTTTCCGAGCAAGACAAATAGGGAAGAAACAAGAAGACTAAACTAAACTGTTTGTTCAACTTGGCCAAAAAAAACTTTGAACAGACATGCAAAAAAACCGCTGGAGGCAAATCTCTGTTGGCCATCCATTTCTCATGAATTCAGAGCGTACGTAAATAAATATTCGAAGAGGATCTCAAGTGTGGAATTTGCATATTTTTCGAGGAATCGAAAATCACGTTTTCGAGAGTTGGCTAGATGACTTTTTTGGAGTCTAGCCGAGAGACTTCTGGACGTTTTTTCGGTTAGTTTTTATAGCTGGTAGTCAATTTTCCCTGCGTGAAGATGACAGGCAACAACAACCTCTCAAAATTCTAGCTAACCTGTTAAACTTACAAGGAAAGTACCGCCAAGTGCGACGCTCAGATTTTGGTGAAATTTTGAACAAATTTAGAATAAGTTTTTCTAGGATATATGCGAGAATCCTAGCTCACGCTTTGCAGAAATAACCGAGATTTTAAAATTGAAAGTCGGCGAAAATTTGAGACCTTTTGCCGAATTTTGGCTCGAAAAATTTCATACCCATTTCCACCGTAGAGTTTAATGTTTCCATAAAAAATTAATTTTTTCCGCACGAAACTAGTAAAGTTATGGCCAAAAAGTGTTTTTCTCTCTGCCCGCTCTCGGCATTGAGCATACTCTCTCGGCTGAGCTTCGCACTTGGGGAGACTTCCCTCGTTAGAGCGCAAATATTCAAAATATTTCTTGTCGGGAGATCATAAAATTTTAAAAAAGGTAATTCTTCTGCTAAAAAAAGATTCAAGATTTAAGTCCTCAAGACTTTTCAACCCTCTAAAAATTTCAGCCAAAAGCAAAAGCAAAGTTTCAAACGTTATCCACAAAGGGGGTCTCACTGGACTTTCTCTTTTGTAAGCAAAAAAAGTGCAGTTTTATGGGCCTCCAAGTTGAACACCAGATCGTAAAAAAAGGATGTTTTTTTTTTGTTGCTAGCAGTTGGAGAAGTGACAATGCTCGAGAAAAACGGAGTATCAGAAAAAGATGATTTTTTAAGGGGACCATGGTTCCGAAGAGGGAACCTTGAAAATGATTTTTTTAAATCTTATGTTTCTTGAAGATCGACTTGTTTTCCTTGATTCAAGAGTCTTCAAAAACATCTTTATTGGCAAAATTTTGGTCTCTGATTACTTCGCCATAAACAGGTTTCTCTCATCGTATCTCTAAGAACTGTGAGCCGCGGCCGTTGGACCCCAACCTGTGCCCTGACACGAAAAGATCCTGAGCTTTGGCATTGTGTCACAAATGGGAATAACGATGGGTTTGGAGGAAGAAGGAAGATCCAGTCTGGAAGAAGAGGCCAGAGCGTGCGGTTGGCCGTCAGAGCAGAATTTCATACTATATACTATGATATCTGCGACCATTGATTCGGCCATATTGTGTTTGAAGGAGGGTGTTTAGGACAAAGCTTATTGGCATTTATTCGTGTTGATTTGACAGTGCGTCTCTGGGAGATTGTACCTTAGATATCTTTCGAGGATTAGCTGCGGAATTGGTTGGTGGAAGCGGCTAATTTCCCATTGAACAATAATGGGAAATTAGCCGCTTTGGCTACGTTGCCGAAGTTTTAAAAAATTTTGAATATTTAAAATACGACAATGGACAAAGAGTGGGCTTATATGCCCTTATGGTAAGTCAAGTATGTTGATTCAGATGCTGTCATAAAACCCCGGAAACTCCGCCAACCTCATGGTAAAAATTGAAAAATCTCGAAAGTTGGTCGTATCTTTCGACTGGTCGATTTTAGGCTCATAAAATTGCGGTTGCTACTTCTGAACGCCTCCAAAGATCACCGCGACGATGAATGTCTTGAAACAGTTTTTCCAACATCATCCATTTCAACGAATTCGTCTCCCATCTGATACCACACAAACTTTACACTGAAGCAAAACTGTTTTTTCATGATCAGTTGCCCTTCCCGTTTGCAGACATTTCTAAAATTTCCGTGTTTTACAAGTCAGGTACAAAGTAATCGCCGTGTGTTTTTCTTCATGTGATTCAAATTATGGGCGCCTTTGTGTTATCCGATGAATAGTTGATGTGTCAGGCGGGGGTATTTATGGAAGGGAATCAGTTTGTGTCGAATTAGTGGGGTGTAATTGGTGGGATCTGGTAATGCGACTGAAAGTTCGTTGTGGTTTGCCACATGATCCAGTCGGGGAATGTAATTACAGTGAAGCCGCTGTGCAACAAACTGCTTGAGAATAAACGATTTATTTGTTACAGTAAAGGTTTCGCTTTACGTAGGCTGATATTCGAACAAAAATTACCTCCAAAATTGTTCGTTTTAGACAGGTCTTGTTGTGTTGAAATATGACTGTATTTGTTAACTTAGATATTGTCTCCACTTTCAACACAAGAGCTATAATTTTCTATAAAACAATTCTGTATTCTGGCCACAACTAACGAACTCTGCGAGCTGCGCCCAAGCTTGGAAACTAAAGTTAGGAACAGAAGGTTTTGATCTAACTTCTTCTGGATTACTACACTACCTATGTGTTTATTAACAAGGGAAGTACCCCGAGTGCGACGCTCAGATTTTTTTAAAATTTTGCACACACGTCGGGCATGGACTGATTTTTAATTCCTGAAAGTTTTAGCTCGCGCTTTGCAAGCGCCGCCGAGATATCGAACGATCTTTGCCGACGAGAGAGTACGGTAAACGCGGAGAGCGGTCAGAGAGAAAAACACTTTTTGGCCATAACTTTGCCAGCTTCATGCGGAAAAAAATGATTTTTTTGTGGAAACATTATCCTCGATGGTAGAAATAGGCACGAAACTTTTTGTACCGAAACTCGGCAAAAAGTGTCAAATTTTCGCTAACTTTTGATCTAAAAATCTCGGTTGTTTCTGCAAAGGGCGAGCTAGGATTCTCGCATATATCTTAGAAAAAATTATTCTAAATTTGTGCCAAGTTTCATCAAAATCTGAGCGTCGCAGTTGGGGTACTTCCCCCGTAAGTTAGCTCCAAAGGCTATTGGGGCTCATTTGGGTCCCATACGGAAGCAATAAGTTCAGTACGGGAGAGATTTCATCACTTGCCCAAGTTTGCGGAGGCCCTCGTAATGACCTCTGACATTTTCATTCCAAATTTTTGAGCCCGAAATCGGTCAACCTTAGAAAGTTTAGCCAATTCTGACTATCTTGCACGAAGTTATATGTTGTGATCAGAATAAGGAACTTTTACCGTTTTCTGCTTTGTAATAGTGAAAGTTTTCACATAGCTGCTATTTTTGTCACCACACATTATTACATCTACACAAATCGCAATTGTAACCAGCTAAACTTCCACATTAATGTGTATACTAAATCACGGCAAGACTTTTGATCTTTTTGTTGCCTTTTCGCAACATTTCAGAACAGCATGACCTCTCATCAAAGTCTCCGATTCTAGCGGGTTCAGAATGTGATCTAACACAGAGTGCAATTAGCTGACCTTGCAACAAAATTCGGGAATGGGGAAGTTGCTAAAACGATTAGCGGTTAGAAACACTGCGACGGAGTGGTATTTACAATCGACGGAGGTGTAAGTCGTTTGTTGGAAGGTCAATAAAACAGTATATAAGGGGTTTTTTTCCGCGGTTTGAATGCAACTTACTTATGAAACATTAAGTGTGTAAGTTAGTGTGAAAGTAGGCTGCTGGGAAAATCAAGCTCTCCCAGGGATAATGCATGCTGATTTATGCAAATCCTTGCTTCGTTAATGTTCCGAGCGCACAGATAATATTTTGAGCTCTTATAAACTTTTTAAAGGGGTTTTTAAGCGGTTAAATTGAGATTTATATCTGCTTTTTATCTGATAGACCACTGGGTAACAACATTTTGTTTTGAAGAAGAAGATTGCTGACTTTTAGCCAATGCCGTATAGAAAAGGCATAGAGATTTTTCAAATATTTTTTGACGTTTGTATCAAATTTTTTGCCCTACTTTTGGTTCAGTTGTCTGTACTGATCTCTTTTTGTAGTCTACACCTCACATCACATCATTTCTTAGTGCCTTTTCTTGATATTTTTGAGTGTTCAGTGTAATATTTCTTGTGTTTCCTTTGTAGTATTGGAGATTTTGATCTCCCACCCGCGCCGTTGATCGCAATGAACCCTGCTATGGTGCGAGCCACACTGTAGACGGTATGGAGCGAGTGTCTCCTAGTGTCACCGTAAACTGTTATTGTACCGAAAATGAAAAAAATTCGGTAAAAAATTTCTCATAAAATAGGGGCATCGCAATAGTAAAATTGTCTGTTTAACATCTTTTTTTACTTCCTTGTTGAACGACATGTATTGTTCATTGTGATTGCAAATGAAATTTTTGTAATATTTTATTAAAGCTGCAGTCCTTTACTTTTCCTTTCTCTTTACTCTGTCAGTTTTGCGGCGATAGATCTTTGCTCTCTTTACATAAAGATCACGTCTCTTTGATCAGTCAAACCGCTCGAAATATTTAATTATTTTTTTAATTTTTTCCATAGACTGCCTCCAATATTGCAAAATCCAAAGCTTTATATAGCAATATATACTTATATACTGTCATTTTGAAATTTATACAGAAAGTTCCCACACAACAAAACCTGACTATAACAAACAATTTACAGAGGTTTCAACGGTCAGTTTTTTGCCAAAGTAAACTTTCGTAGAGCAACATTCTCCTATAACAAGTAATTTTTAAGTTCCCGGAAGCTCGTTGTACATAACCTTGTTTAAAATACCAATCATTTTTTTGTCTTAACATAATCTTTAAGCCATTCTTTTGTCTCGCCAATGAATCGATGTAATTCAAAACACATTACTAATCTATTCTCTAAACCGCCGAACAATGGTATTCACACCAATCAAGCAGAAGCTCTCCGCAAAAATATGACGAACAGATTCAATTTTTTTCGAAAGTTTTGATATGCGTTTCGAAACGCGAGATAATTTTATTCCATTTTTATTTATTCCGCTCCGTTCGTCTCGAATCTTCATATCCATTTTTGGGACTTGCGCTTCAAATAAAAGCCGAAAAGGATTGGTTTATCTGCGCGTCATATTTGGAAAAAGGACATCACGCTGGGGAAGAGGAGCTACATAAACCTTGTTTTGAGTGGGATGAACGGGTAGTTAGTTCAGGTAAAAGGTTGTGAGCTTTTAAGGGGGATCCGAGAGCTGAAACGAGAAGATATTCCTTTATTTCTGCAAATGTAATCGGTCTATAACATATTTTGAATTCTGAAAATTTGGCTTCCGCTTTGCAGGTAAAGCCAAGATTTCCAGCGATCTTTGTGTGCAACGGAGCAAGTAGAATGAGGAGAGAAGGCGCTCTCAAAAAACTTTTTTATTTTTTGGTTAGGAAAGTATTCATTTATCAACCTTGTGGTCAATTTCTTGAAGGCTCACACCAATAACATTCCATCAAGAAGTCAAAACTGCTAGCGAACTGTATTCTAGATTAGATATGGCCCTCAGGCCGGGCCAAAAGACGCTTAGGCCCTCTAGCGAATTCTAGTGTGGTAAAAATTGGTATTGGCTAGCTAAAAGCTCGAAAATTTTTTTGAAACTATAACAAATGGCTGCTATTTCAACCCAGTTCTGCATTGACCAATATTTGGTACAACGAGAAAATAATTTTCCCTTTATTTAATTCCAATACTACAATCCATTTATCGCAAGTATACAATTAATTTGCCCATGAGTCAATGTCTATTCTGAATGCAATAGGAAGCGCTGTTGACCTCTGAATCTAGCCCTACACTGTGATTGATACGGCCATTTTTTTGGCATGAGTCCAAGTTCTCAAGGAGGAAAACTTGTCACTTTTTATTGGTCTAAAGTTGATCACTTCTCATTTACATATACATTTGTTTTACTATAAAAAATATGGGTCCTATTGGCCTATTATCCCAAAATTAAACATTTCTCTTTATAAGTACTTTAATCGTATGCTATGCCCTGTATTCGCGCTTATCATTACCTTACTTCCGTTTTCCGGGAATTCTAAAACAATGAGCAGTGAGCTCCTGCAATTGTGCCGTCGAGATGTCCAAAATTTAACGACGTCTGTCGGTAAATCATACCTAAATGTTACTGTATTTTTCGTCTAGATTTGTCTGCCTTTTTAATTACTTTTGAATACCGCAACCAGGATTATCATCGTCACCAGATCCAAAACCCTTCCTGAAATAACACTTTCGAATAATACGCCTCATGTTTACTCTACAACGCGCGAGTTTACTCTCGACTAGAAGCCCCCCTATGCTTGCAAATAATTCTTGTTATTCTATTTATCAGATTTTTTCCGAATCGCGTGTTTATTTACATTATCTCGCGTTTGTATTGCAACGCATTCTGTATTTCAGGTTATAAGCCGAATCTTTTTTGGGGATTTCCTCATTTTTTATTATCTTGATCATGTCCATCCAGCCGTCGGATGGTCTCAAGAATTTCCAGAAGCCTCTGGATGCAAGCTCCTTGGAGCCGGAAAACCCCAAAATTGTCAAGAGTCCGACTGACGATGACAAGGTCCCACAGCATCACAAGATGGGACTGTTGGGTGCCATCAGCTTCGTTTGTGGGAACATGATTGGCGCCGGGCTGTTCATCACGCCCAGTTCGGTCGTAAAATACACAAATTCCGTGGGACTGGCGCTTACTGTATGGGTGCTGTCGGCCGTAATCTCTGTTCTGGGAGCCTACTGTTATGTGGAGTTGGGAACGTCGATAAGGAAGAGTGGAGCGGATTTTGCGTACCTGTGCTATGTCGGGTGGTAAGTGGGGAAGAGGGTTTTGTTAATGATAGATGAAGTTTTAGAAGTATGAAGTTTATATGTTAAAAATTGGCTGCATAGGCGCTATGACTTTTTGTGTCAGCGACAGTTTGGGTCAACGATACTATGGTTCGTCGCTGTATGCAAAGGGCAGGCTAGGAGAGAGCTTAATTACAGCGACGGACCTGTTCCAGTGGCAAAAAACGTACCATTTTGCATCCGGGAAGTATCAAAGATGTGGCAAATACCTCCCTCTCCAACAAAAAATCTCCGTTTTGAAGGGCGCGCCTTCCGGAGCAAAAGAGAGCGCCGAGAGTCCGCCGACCATCCAAAAGCTTTGCCAGGCCTCGTAGACCCAAAAAAATACAATTATGTTTTGGGCACCACCTCTTCTACGCCCCGTATCGATCAATTTTGTGGTGACCCGAACTGTTGCCGTCCCGAAAAGTCGGGACTAGGCTACAAATTGAAATTTAGGGCCAACAACTTCAAAATTTCTTGTTTAAGGTTCCCAGCCGCATTCTCGTTCATGTCGACTGGCTGTTTGATGATGTACCCATCAATCGTCGCTGTCCAGGCTCAAGCCTTCAGCGAATATTTATTCCAAGGAATTCGAATTCACATCGAAGACAAAACCTTGGAGCATGTGGCAAAAGTTCTTGTCAGCTTTACTCTTGTTTGTAAGTACCACTGCTAAATTATTTTACCACCCGTAAAATCCATTAAAACCCATTTTTCAGGGGCTTTATGTATCCTCAATTTCTTCTCGTTAAAAAGATTTGCATCGAGATTTCAAGTGGTTGCAACGAGCGCTAAAATTTTGGCCACATTACTTATCGTTGTCATTGGGTTTTACTTTTTGATTTTCAAAGGGAAAACTGAAAATTTGCAAAGCCCGTTCGAGGGGTCGAATTGGCAGGCAGCGCCGCTGGCGATGGGATTTTTCCAAGCCTTGTTTTCGTATGATGGATGGGATATTTTGAATTTTGGAATCGAAGAGGTCGATAAGCCGAGACGGTAATAAAAAAGTCATCAGATTTTTTCTCGTATCTGCAATTCTACCTTGACTTTATTACTGTATTATACAACATTTTTTCATTGTTTTAGAACTCTCCCTTTGGCCATCCTTCTTGGAGTCGCCATTGTTGCTCTGACATTTTTTGTCACAAATTTTGCGTATCTGGTGGTTCTCAGTATTGATGAGATTTTAATTTCACCGGCTATTGCCCAGACCTTTGCCCAGAAGACTATGGGAAATATGCAATATGTAATGCCCTTCTTGACGAGCATGATGCTGATTGGCTCTTTGAATGCGACGATTTTTACGGCCAGTCGGTAAGTTAAATTAGTTTTCGTGGGGTCAGAGTATCTCGGACAGGATCTAACGCATTTTATCGCCATATCAAGCCTGCCGCCTAGAAGCGTGAAGTAAAAAAATTACCAAAAGTTTTACTCACTAATATGTGGGCTAGGCGCTGCAAGTTGGCGCCAAGTATTTCCCGTTTGTGTCAAGTTTCTCTCTCCCAGAAGAAGCATTGGTTTCACAATATCGCACACAAATAAAAATATTTTTTTCGGCAGAGAAAAACTTGACACATCAGGGAAGGACTTGGCGCCAACCTTCAGTAGTGTAAGCAAAATCTTACCGTAGTATCTTCAGCTTGTTTTAAAGTGCTTTGTGACCAATTTTTAACCTGCACATAAGATTGTAAAGACCTGCTAAAGACCTGTGTGTGTGCCTTACAAATTATACATTGAAGGACCTGATCCAGTGGCAAAAAACGTATCATTTTGCATCCGGGAAGTACCAAAAAATGTAGCATAATACCTCCCTCTCCAAGTTAAATAACTTCGTTTTGAAGCGCGCGCCTTTCCCTCAGAAAAAGAGAACTTTGTGATACCTCCTGGATGCAAAATGGTACGTTTTTTGCCACTGGATCAGGTCCCCCACTGCAACACAAGGAAGACCCTCCTTTTCAGCTACCTCTTTGCCGCTGCTCGTCATGGCCATATGCCTTCATTCCTCAGCATCGTCAACGAAAAGACGGGTTCTCCTCGAGCTGCTATTTTCTACCACTCCGTTCTGGCCTTCACTTTTACCATGGTTGGCGACACCGAGACACTCGTTAATAGTCTTGGATTTGCTCAATACCTACAACGATTACTCACAATGTCCGCACTTCTGTACATTCGATTTAGTGGGATGAAGGTTCATCCGGAGAGAATTCAAATTCCGATTATTTTGCCTATCCTATTTATGCTGATTTGCTTGGCATTGGTCGTTACAACAATCTGGCTGGATATCAAAACAGCTGCGGTTGGATTGGCTTTCTTGCTGACCGCTTTTGCATTTTACTTTATATTTTTGTGGGATCAATCGTTGATGCGGTTTCCGGGATATCAGAAGTTCTGCAATGAGGTTAATGGTGAGTTTTCTAGCTTGTAAAAAACTTTTTTCATTTTGAAAAATTTTTTGGCTCTCTCAAAAATTTTTGATTATTTTTTCAGCCTTGCAATAGGATCTAAACTTGGCATTACCGTTGCTGTAAAACACTGCTATTACTATTGCAGAAAAGGCAAACGTTTGATTTATTAGGCCATCCGAAAAAAAGATATAAGCAATTGATTTTGTCCCCATCTTTTTGGTGCCTCTTGTACAGTACAAATTTGAATTTTACGAGGGCCGGCCTAGGCAGTATACAGTGGGGGACCTGATCTAGTTGCAAAAAACGTATCGTTTTGCATCCGGGAAGCATCAAAAATGTGTCAAAATGCCTCCCTCTCGAAGTGAAATAACTTAATTTTGATGGGCGCGCCTTTTCCCTCACAAAAAGTGTGGGGGCTTTTGAAATAGGAGTTTTTTCACTTGAAAATGGAGTTATTTTGCCACATTTTTGATACTTCCCGGACGCAAAATGGTACGTTTTTTGCCCGGTCAGGTTCTCCACTGTATGAGTTGTTACAAAAAATTACCACAGCTTCACAGGGCACAAAATTTTACAGTCTTTTCGCCGAAAATTTGAAGGAAGTCTGAAGAATAACTTCAGAATTTTTAATTTCAGAATTAAAATACGCCGGGCATAAAGAATACAATATTCAAATTTTCATTTCCAGACAAAGCCACCTCCATCAACGAGTCCATTTTCAACGCCAAAGCCCAAAAGGACAAACATCATGAGGAGTTCGATGGCCACAGCAACTACTCGGACAATGGAATACATTGAAGATATTTAAAGTTTTAATCCGGCTTTCTGAAACACTTACTAAACTTTCGGGTACTCTTTTTTATCGCATTCAATTGAATTGATTAGATCTGCAACATAATAAATCTAATATTTTATAAAAAAAATCAGATCAATTTTCGCGTATTTTAAAAAGAACCTTGTAAAAATAAGTTAAAAAACGAAGATCTCTGTGACTCATCGTTCTTGACCCAGTTAGCTTTTTGCAATAAAATGTTGGCGAATTGAGAAAAAACCGCCCTTGGATTGGTAAGAATAACTTTTCTTATCTTCGAGATTCATCTCTCAAATCTCGTCATTCCAATTCCTGTAGAAGCGTTGATATTTTACCCAAAATTTATGTTGTGTTTGCTTTATACAATACTCCTTCCGATTACCCGTCATTATAATCAGATTACCTTGGAATGAGTAGTAAATTCAGACGTTATGCGTAAGCGCTTGAAGAGTAGCCGCTGTTTTTTGAAACTGAGTCATTGGTCAAGCATTTATAGCTTTGTAAATGACATAGGAAGAATGGTTATGGGTCAAAGAAATTTATGTAGATTTTTATGATTCTACATTGATTCTCGGGATTTAGCCGTTCTAGGGCCAAATTTGAAGGGGAAACCGGGAAAAACATTGCGTCTAACTTTTCGGTGCTTCGTTTATTTTTACAATTAATTTTTTCTTATTCAAGTGCGTCTGATGAAATTTTGCAGAATTTGGAGAAGAGACATTTTTTAGGGGACAACATGTAGTCTCGCGGCCGCGGTAGGACTAGCAATCTTAACCTTTTGGTCCAAAAAGATAGGGTTGGCGTTCTGAGCGCTATAACTTGGTGTTACGTTCAGTCTTACGCTTAGCGTTTTACTTTCGCGGCCGAAGGCCCCGATCAAGCCTTGCGAGCTTTAAATCACATTTTGGTCAGGAGCATGGCTCAGAATGCGCGTAAGGTTTGCTTTATGTGCAAGGCTGCCTGAGAGACGGTAGCAACCGAAGACTGCGTTATTTTTGAGCCCTAGTCTTGACAGACTGATTTCAACCGATTGTCTTATGCAGGCCGTGATCAAATCAGCCAGGCTCAAGTCCTAAGACAACCTCTGCCGCGAATGAATCGTTGTTTGACCAGTCTGCGCCGCCGGACAACCTATTAATTTGAATATTTGCTTATAGAATTTTTTCTTAATTTTGTTACTCCTTTCTAGGCCCTATAGCCGGAAAAGATGCAAATTGAAGTTATTATTATTTTCTGTACAGTAATTAATACAGCAGCCGCATTACTGGACGATTATCATTGCGGAACAAGCAAGTTTACCAAGGTTCTGTCGTACATCGCCAGTTCAATGTGTGAGCGGGATAAATGTAAGGATTTGAACATAGTAATACTATATATTTTAACTCTATATACATGCATGTATATACATTGCTATCGACACAAAATTTGCTTTATAAATTTCTTCCAGTAAACTCCTGCTGCTTGGCGCACGACCGCTGCTATGACCGGCATTACTACGAGAACGATGACAGCTCCATGACCCAGTGTGATTACGAATTCAGAAGCTGTATTCGAAAATCTTACAGACAAAGCGAATTCCTGTGCAATAAAATTTTGGGAATCACTCATGGATCTTTCGTGGTGTGGGTTGGAAGTGCTTACCGTAGTCTTTTCGGAGTCAATCAGCCCGAAGATCATGGCCATGGAAGGTATCGACGGCATTTGGCAAATTAAGAAGGTTTAGAGATTGTTACTGAGATCAAGTGAACATGTTTATAAATAAAACTGCCAAACAAGGTGAAAAAAAAGAATATTGATCACCAAATCTGAGTTTTTATTGGTAAAATACGATACATATAATCCGGTTGGGTTTTTGAAACTTCTATTTTGCTTTCAGCAGGCAACCTCAAATCTCCACCGTTCTTTGCCGGCGAGAGAGTGTACGAACTGAGGAGAGGAAACAGAGAAAAATATGTTTTTATGCCTATGCCTTCAACAAAATTTTGAGCAGAATGAGTTTATTTTCTATAGAAAAGTTATTTATATCATGTGATAAGGAGACCTGGCTTTAAACTGACGCTGTGAACCACAGTAAATGTCCGCAGAGATTTATTTGTATGGAGATTGTTTTAGCTGTACAGAGTAGTCTCTAATTTAACAAGGAAAGTACTTTTATGGGGGCTCCTACTTTTTGACGGGACATATCTCAAAAAATCAGAAAAAATGTGCTGATCAAGGATATATAGATCTTCGCTGCCCATTTTAGGTTTTTAGGGGTGAAAACTCAATCGGAAGTTGACTTAAAGTCGTATATGAACCCCTTTTCGCTTAATTTTTCACAGGTTTACTATTTTTATTTTGGCTTAAAATGATGTTTATTGAGTTTCTAAGACGTAATAAGACAGTCTTGGCCCAAAAATTTATTTTTCCGACCTTCAACTTCAAAAAAAGTTGATTCAGCCCAAAAGGGAAATCGAACCTGTGCGGCGTCACCCTCTTGATTCCCAGACTACGGCACTAACCACTCGGCCACACCGCTCTCTTCCGAAAGAAGAGACCGACTGCGCTTTTTATCGTTTCGAATGCCTGCGCCTTTTGTAGGGAAATTAAGCCAGTTTTTGGGCATTTTCACCCCTAAAAACCTAAAATGGGCAGCTAAGATTTATATATCCTTGATCAGCGCATTTTTTCTGATTTTTTGAGATATGTCCCGTCAAAAAGTAGGAGCCCCCATAAAAGTACTTTCCTTGTTAAATTTGGCTAACAGGGGAAGTACCCCAAGTACGACGCTCAGATTTTAATGAAACTTGGCACAAATGTAGAATAATTTTTTCTATGGTATATACGAGAATCCTAGTTCGAATTTGCAGAAAAAACCGAGATTTTTAGATCGAAAGTTGGCGAAAATTTGACATTTTTTCCGAATTTCGGCACAAAAAGTTTCATGCTTATTTCTACCATAGGGGGTAATCTTTCCACTAAAAATCAATTTTTTTCCGCACGCAACTGGCAAAGTTTTGGGCAATTTGTGTTTTTCTCTTTGACCGCTCTCCGCGTATAGCGTACTCTCTCGGCGGCAACGGTAGTTCAATAACTCAGTAGCCCTTGCAAAGAGCGAGCTAAAACTTTCAGGAATTGATATTTAGTCAATGCCAGACGTGTGTGCAAAATTTAAAGAAAATCTGAGCGTCTCACTTGGGGTACTTTCTTTGTAAGCAAAAATCGGATTACCATTCCTTGAGAACTTCCCATCACAATATCATAAAAACTCCGGCATTTTTTCCAACATCATATTCTTCCAAAATATCTCTTACGCGCCAAAGTTCAAACCCCTTCATTTCCCAACAAATCACAACCCACAATTCGATCTGAACTCCGTCAAAACATTCACTCTGTCCGTGGAAGAATTATTACATCGTGGTTGATTCATTGGAGCACATTTTCCCCTTTTTCTCAAAGACTTTCTCCGCTGCCATCGTAGCGATTTTTTGCCGACGCAAAAAGTTTTTCCCGAGTTATCAGCGGAAAGTGGGATTTCCATCGACGGCGTCACCGATTTCTCGGGATTTTCGCTCGATTCGACGGCTAATTCGAGCTTAACCTTGCGATATATTAAACGAAAAAGGTAAAAATGGCTGTAAAGTACGTTAATTGTTGATGATTTTTTTTGCAAAAAAGGGAAAAACGTATCTTTTGTGTTAAAAATCACAATTTTTTAGTGATTTTCCTCAAAAAAAAAATTTTTTTTTAATTTTAAATTTTTACATTTGTATTCCCATTTTTGACACGGTAGTTTTGGCTGTATTTTGCATTTACAAACGTCTGTCGATGCAATTTTTATACAGCGTAACCGTTGATCATGTGGATGTTTTTTCGTCTATTCGTTTAGTAGCATCGTATATTACAAGTCTATCGGAAAAATCACCAACTCTTCAGACGTTCAAAAAACATATTTTTTGCTTATTTGTTTTGTGTAAAGGAAATTGATCGCTTTTTTTGACAGTGAAGTTTTTCGTTATGACTAGACTTATTGTTAGCCGTAGACTTGAATAAAATTTACAAGGGAAATCTTCCGAGGGCAACGCTCAGATTTTCTTAAAACTTTGCAGATATGTCAAGCATAGACCACATACTAATTCCTGAAGGTTTTAGCTCGCGCTTTGCAGGCGCAGCCGAGATATTCAAGAATCTTTGCCGCCGAGAGAGTACGCGGAAGGCGGAGAGCGGTCAGAGAGAGAAAAACATTTTTGGCCATAACTTTGGCAGTTTCGTGCGGAAAATTTTGATTTTTTGTAGAAACATTATCCTTTACGGTAGAAACAGGCATGAAACTTTCCGTGCCAAAATTCAGCAAAAAGTCCTAAATTTTTACTTTCGATCTAAAAATCTCGGTTGTTTCTGCGAAGCGCGAGCTAGGATTCCCGCATTTTTCTTAGAAAAAGTTATTCTAAATTTGTGCCAAGTTTCATCAAAATCTGAGCGTCGCACTTGGAGTACTTCCCCTGTGAGTACACATAGACACTGTTGGGCTGTCTTTTGTCAACTTCGTATGAAAAAAAAATTTTTGTGGAAACATTACCCTCTACGGTAGAGGGTCATATTTTTTTCCGACTTCCGACCTAAAAATCTCGGTCGTTTCTGCAAAGCGCAGCCTAGGAGTCTCGCAAATGTCTTACATTTAAAAACAGCTATTCTGCATAAATCTCCACCAAGTTTTATCAAAATAATCAAAATTTGGCGGTAATCTGGGGTCGAATTTTGAGCAATTCTTTTGTTTTTCTTTGTATTAAATTTTACTTTCTTGCAATTGCAAATGTACCTTTAACATCTCAACACGGAGACCGACGTATTTTACCCTGTTATTTCTAATTTAAGTCTTTTTTTGCTTTATTTTCACTATACGTTTGACGTGTATTTGACCTATAGCTCAATAGTATACACACTAATTTGTCTCTGAATCACAAAGGAAATTATTTTATTCCCCAAACCAGACAGATCAATCCTTATAAACACGCTAAATTCCATGTCACCTGAAAACCCGTTCTGAATGCCCGACTTTTCAATTAAAGTTATTCGAAATATGCGCGTTAATTTTTTGATTGCGCAATCGAGAAGTCGAATCTCTGGATAAGCGCTCATTGACATAGTTTTATCGTTTTTTCGGGATTTCTGACGATGAATCTTATACTTGGGATATGCATTTTGGCGGGACATATGGCAAAATTTTTGCGGAAAAAACTGAAGAGGAGGTAGAGAATTATCATTTGTTGTTGTAGTAAAAAAACTTATTTTTATGCGTAATTTTTAAATAGAAGGTCTTCAGTGTAGTAATATCTATATCACAGGTTTTTTGAATTTTCCGAAGTCCCAGTTTGTAAATTAAAGGCAATAAAACAGTCAAACCTCTGTACCACAATTTTTAAGCCACAAAAAATAAGTCTTTTATACAGTGGCGGACCTGATCCAGTGGCAAAAAACGTGTCATTCTGCATCAGGGAAGTATCACAAAATTTAGCAAATACCTCCCTCTCCAAGTGAAAAAACTCCGGTTTCAAAATCTCGCTCTTTTTGGGAGGGAAAGGTCTTCAAAAGAAAGTTCTTTTTAGTTGGAGAGGGAGACATTTTGCTACATTTTTTGATACTTCCCGGATGCAAAATTGTACGTTTTTTGCCACTGGATCAGGTCCATAACTGTAGAAGATTTTGTTGTCGTCTTTTGAAGGGCTTTTCTATGGACGTTTCACTGTAACTTCGAGCTGAAAATCCAAAAAATGACATGCTTTATCAATATCTGAAAGTTCAGTTTCAAGCAAACCCTCTTGGAAAAGGAACTGCCATTGAATCAACTCTGAAATTTTAATAAAACTTGGGGGCAAATTCAGCGTGAGTTTTTTTGAAAGCGATGCGAATTTTAGGGCTGCGCCTTGCTAAAAGCCCTCTGCATTTCGCACAGTCTCTCGTCGAAAAATCTTGTTGGCTATCTTGGCTGCCTTTACAATGTTCAAGTTGCAATTTTCGGGAATAAAAATATATATCCAAGGCCCAAACCATGTGTAAAATTTAGCAAATATTCTAGCATAGCCACACGAGAATTATGCTTTTTAAACTTGTTCAATCCATTTGCCTCTGGCTGTCTCATGCCTTCCATTATATTCACCACTTCCTAAAAGGCGCGTTGACTCATCACTCCGATCGTATTTCTCGCGCTCATCCGTTAGGATCGCGGTGTAGCGTCTTCTGTAGCGCGCGTGTCGTCTGCTTTCTCCCCTCTCCCTTTTCGTTTCACGCGACGCCGCGCACAATGGGCGAATGGAATTATTATTTGCGGTCCACAAACAGTTGAAGCACAACATGTTCCAGTGACCGTCTTCCGAATGAATGGACTTTTTTCTGTCGCAACAACCCCTCCTTTTCTTGTGGCCGACGTCTGGCCACTCGGGCCAACTACTGTCGGCTGGTTTAGCAACAGATATTGTTTTAGTGACCATGAGGGGTGTAGGATGATCTTTTACGTAGTAATCAACGAGAGGGTTGTGGAAGATAGCGATTTATTTTGGTGTAAAAAATGGAATTTCGGTAATTTTCTGAACTTTCGAAGAAGTGCTGAAAATATCGCGTTTGGATTTTGTATATGGCAAAAATATAGCTTCAGAAATTGTAAGGCTCCTCGAGATCATACGCTTGCATTTTTCCGAACAACATCTATAGTCGAATATTGCAAAACAAAGGTATTT